AGACACGCGGAAGAAAAACGCGACGACAGGAAAACCGCAAAGTATTTTTATTATCCACCAAGAGATTTATGAGAATGAAAAATTTTGATTATAAAAAATGAGATAAAACCTAAAAGATGATTCAAATTAGAGAAATTATTAACGTTATGGCAAGCGGAGCGACGAGTTAATTACACGCTGATATCTGGTCGCGATATGCAAAATGCAAACAAGTGAAATGTATAACCGTATTCGCCAGTTTCTACTATTTCGATTTTGGAACTAATTAAACTTTCAAATTAAGAAATATGGAATACAAATTACACATTAACAATTCGTAATTTGTTCAAACTAACGCCGAAAACAAAACGTTTTATACCCGGCGCCAACATTTGCTTTAAATTTATATTTTTATTTTTCGTTTGATGTTGAAAGCGTTCTTGATGCCTTCGGTATAAATCCACACGCGCATCCATCGCATAAATTTGCGTTAAAACGTTTAAAATGTCTTACGAAAACAATGAATTCGCCAAGAATGTGAGCGTCGATTAACGAAACAAAAAATACAGTGTTCACATGCATTAATGCGTCGGCGTCATTCGAGACAATCGATGAAAGTGAAATCGGAGTAATTAATTACGAGCACCTTTGATGAATTGGACGCGTTAATAACAACACTTTTGCGTTCGAAAAATTCGTTTGCGTTGATTTCATAAATATACAAGTATATACAAGAGAATAAAAGCGAAATTTATTCCCATCGAAATCTACATTCAAACAAAAATTTAAAAAGTGATTTTTGTATTTAATTAAAGAAAAATACTGCAAATTCACTTAAACTCATTCAAACAAATAGATAATGATAAATTATCACTTGATAACAATAGAATGCTCATTCAAAACACAATTCCCTGATTATTATCACTAAAATATCACTTTTTAACAAAGGTTTCAAAAAATCTATAGAATTTATTACACCTGAATGTTGATTTTTATTGTTATCAATCTGGTATTGATGAGATTCAATGAGAGATTGAAGCAAAAGTGTGAAATAAAGCGCGTAACGTGAAGTGTATCATGTGAAGAGCGCAAATAATCGCAATCACTTTACGTAACCACCACGCATTGCTAAATAATTAGCGTTTGCTGTTTAGCGCGACAACAACGCAAATGACTTTATCAAGGATGAGCGATTACGTACACATGTTACCTTACAATAACTTAACATTATTTAAACTTTTAAAAATACCGACAATTATATTTAATGCGTATTTTTAAAGCCAACTAAAAACTCTAAACATTTCTTTTCGTTTTTTCGCATCTACTTCAAGATATTTTTTGTAATAAAAATTTGTTTCTTTCTTAATTAAACAAACATGGCATACAAATCTTTCGGAAAAGATTGGTTATTAAACTCATTACTGGCATTACGCTATACGTACTCGTAGCATTGTGCGATATGTCTTCCTCGAAAGAATTCCAGCCGATTATCCTCGCTGCGCATGAAATTTTCAACAACAGCAGCAACACGAAAAAAAAACACAATCATAATTAGCTGTCGATGCGCAAGAGCTCGCACCACAAAGCGCGCCCGGTACCAGTTAACGCTATTATCTTAATTAGTCAAGGTAATTGCACCGGCGCATCATATCGTTAAGTTGGAGTCGCGCGCGCCTAGCTGTACATCTCGCACTGGTTTAATTATAATATCACAATATCGTAATAATAATGCCAGGTATTCTTCACTAGGCAAACAAATTCAAGTTGGATTACAATTCCAGTTATATTCAACAAAACAAAACAAAACCGAAATTTGTAAAAAAAAAAAGTACTTAAGTACTTAAAAGTAGCAAATTCTACCCCCACCCTTTTCATGAATTATTGTGTTTTACTAAAGTTTCGTTTTTTTTTTCTCTTTTTCTAAGTTTTTACACCATTATTATTTCCAATCTTTGTTAAACTGATCATTTTACAACTTAATACCTCTGGAATGCATACATTGATCAATCTACGAGTATATCCAATTGATTCCGTTTTATTCGCAGTGTTTTGTTAACTGGCATTTACAGCTCTGGTCATTCGCACACCGTTCATCTTAGCACCTCGCGTCAATAGCCAATATGCACCGGCGTAACTGGTCTAAGTAACTGTGCCAACAATGAGCGATGAAAATTCTCGAATCGCTAATAATTGAGTGGCTGGTAACCGATCGGAACAGGTGGAGGCTGACTGCGGCCAATTCAAATAAGCCGCCGCCAGCGATACAGTTGTGTACCGAGCGAATATTTATACAAAATTTCGAATTGCGGCGCGCGCGCGCGCTCAATTGTCCGATTGATGAGGCGTCGCTGACAGGTGCTATCGAGCGTAGAAAATTAGAAATTTTCAATCGCACAACGGAGCCAATTGGCGCGATTATATGCAGGGGTCGGCAACCCCGCATTTTCTGTCACACCTCACTTGATTATGTTGACGCTTATTATGAATCTAGGTGTATAATTGCCAGATAAGATAAGATCTCACTTTAGATGAGTGCAATTTCCGTAGGTTGGTAATAGAGTGTTTATTGCATTCAGGTATTATATCTGGAAAATTTTTGATTGAAAAAGAGAAGAAAAAACGCGAAAAACTGAATTTTTAAAATCTGTTTATGAAGAAGAGATGGGGGTAGGACTTGAACCTACTATTTCAAGTAAAGAGTGGGGGTATGACTAAATTCCAGAGGCATCAAGTCAGAAAATGACAATTTTTTCGAAAATCAAAGACAATAATGATGCAAAAATTTTGAAAAACAGCAAAATAAACGCTAAACTTTAGAAACTATAACTCAAACTTAGAAATGAATGATTTATAACTGAAAAACCTTAGCAAAACATAATAATTCATGCAAAACGTTGCAAATTAATACAATTTCCACTAAAATTAGCACATCACGTGATGAGAAACCTAAAAACTATAACTTTAAGCTTATACTTAGCTCATATTCGCGAAAATTGGCCTGATAACGCCACTACTCTTTGCTCTATACAATCGACTTTATCTGCAACTTGTTGATTTGTAAATTCTAAGAATTCCAAACTATCCTAAATAATCAGCTATCACTAAATTAATATTTCAACAATTCCAATACTTGCTGTGTCAATTAACCAATTAAAACCTAATTATAATTAAACTTTGAAACCACTCGAATTGAATGTCACACGTACAAAAACAATAATTAATTCCGTAATTCATCATAATTAAGACGCATCAGACACACGTCAACTTACTTCTACCAAAATCTCAACTTCCTACCGCTCAAAATCTTAATTAACACCTGCAAAATTCCACCGGCATCCAAATCAAAACCAGTGTGTGCGCACAACAGCAATTAATGAATAATTAAATCAACTTGGCACAAAACACCAAACGCCATATCAAATGCGACGAAATGGGCAAAGACGCACAGGATTGAAGCCGAAGAAGAAGCAGCGCCGAGCTCGGCCTAATTTTGTCTCGCGTCTCATCAACCTGACGATTACGCGCCGCGCTTAATTAGACTGGTGTATAGCGCATATGCTTGCTCGGACGGCGCATGCAATAAGCGGGAACGAGTCTCACGAGTGTGATTTTCTAGATATGAGTATTTTCGTCGGTACGAGTACTCTGCATGATCGCCGAGTAGAGGTATAAAGTGGGTATACATTGTAAAAAGCGTGAAATTAAATGGTTCGCGGTCTTAGAATTCAAATTTTCGCAATTCAAATCTTCACACGGTTAAAATGTGTTATTATCCGTTGTAAAAACTTTGACTTATAAAATCTTAAAGAATAAATCATTACCTGAGGTCAATTACTTGAAAAATTCTTCGAAATATTATGTAAATTGAGTTTAAACTAACAAAATTCAAGAAAAAACGCAATAAAAACCTGTTGAATATATTTTTATGAAAACTAGGAATTCCTTCCTGACTTACCGAATTTTTAATAATTTCTCGCCATAATGTTGTAGTGTAAAGGGCCCTTTACATAAAAATACGGCATTCATTCCTTTAAACTGCCTAGAAAGGTCCTAAATTGCTACTTTTCTAAAATTTTCAAAACTTAGCGTGGAAAACGCTTTTCTTCCAGCTATTACCCACATAACTAACCACGTGCCAGCGCACTTTCCCCCCACCACTTTTTGCGGGTACTCCCCAGGTATAAAAGGCAACACGCAGGGCGCAACGTGCTCAGTTGTGCCTGAGTCCTCCAGCAGTACAGTCGCAGCCCTATAGGTTCCTCTCCAACTACCCTAACGCCCTCTATTGCTATTTTTAAAACCAAATTTTAAATCTTTTTAAACAAATACATTCCTAACACATAACGTAAGGTAATAAACTGATAACAAGATAGCATAACCACATCACGTGCGTTATTCTCATGACAAATGACAAATAATTTAATTAACTCAGCGAATTTCACCGCTAAAACGATAAAACCAGATTAAGCTTTATTACGCGGCAATATATTTCACCTCCATCCTCTAATAGTCTAATATGTATAGTAAATTTTGTGTCAAGTACAACATTATTATACATACCTTCCAAAACGTCTAAAAATGCAAACACAGGCACATTTTTGGCCCGATTTCTCGCACGCATTTTACACAAGTACATAAATGGAATACAGAGCAGCATGTGCGCCTTCATTAGAGACATAAACAGCCGAGAGAATTCAAAGTCAAGCAAAGCCACAGCCACACATAATTAACATAAATAAAAGCTACAACCGGCCGGCCGGCAACGGCCGCGAACGTGACGCATGACACATTCGATTGTAAATAAATAAATAAACGAATCGCCACCACAATACGCGCCGTACAAGTAATAATCATAATCGTAACATTGACCTTAAACGAAATCTGTTTACATTCCGGCCCCATACTCATCACACAATCACAGAATGTGAATTTAAATCAATTTACAAACACCTGTATCATAAATTTTATGATTTTAAGTGTTTTTAATTGATAAAAAATGAAATAAATTAATAATATCTTACCTTAAAGACTTCAGAGAAAAACCCCGAACCAATCTTCTCCTTGTGGAAGTCATCGATGCGATGCAGCGACGCCACGGCGTGTTTGAGCGCCTGACAACTCGACCCGGTCTTCAAGCGATCCGAGCGTGCCCTTGGCGGCTCGCTGAGCTCGTTGTTCGGACAGAACTGCTTGTCGTAGTTGCCGTCCGTGGGGTCGCACGGTGTGTCGTACATGCACACCATCTTCGGCGCGCACTCGCGCCCCCCATTCGAGTGCATCTCTTCTTGTGTATTACGTGTTGTTAACCAACTTCGCGCACAGCCATATGCAGCAGCATCGATTGTGACCTATGGCGAAGGCAACCGTTGGCAAGTTGCACATGCTTCGCTGCTCCACGCTACGCTAGTTTATCTTCCTTTTTGAATATTGATGATGAGTGTGTACTTAACCTCTTGGAAAAGTCATCGGAATGATGTTGACACTTTCCATTTGTGTGCATTCACTGATGGTTTGTTTCACTGGATCGTTTCTACTTGTTTAAAGTGAACCAAGGGGTTGTTTTACAATTAGAATTTGATGATGACATTCATTTTGATGTTTTCCTAGCGATGGCGGGGATTTCCCAATTGGTTTCCGGGGTTTTCTCACTAGAAATGTCACCAGATACCACCAGATAAACACGATTCGTGTTTGTTTTTGTTGATTGTTGATTATTCAGCTGGGAGAGTTGAATGTTTGGTATCCGGATGATTTTTTCGGACGAGGACGGTTCGTGCCTGCGAGATATTGTGGTTGTATGGTTGTGTGGTTGGAAAATCAGAAACTAAACGAAATGTTCGCACTCACTGCACGGCGTTCGGCGGCGATTTGCAGCGGTGTACGATGCACCTTCGTAATTGGAGATCGCGCGCGCGACTGTAAATAAAACTCCGTTTCGATTCCGCACACGGGCGACGCGGCGACACGCCAGAAGCTTTCACTCCGCAGCGCACTCACGAATTTCACGATGATGCAGCCACAAGCATGAAGTGCGGTGAAGTGTTCGTGTCGGTGGCGCCGCGAACAATGGCTACGCGAAGCAAATGTCTACTGCAGTGTATTGTTTACCACGCATGCGCACTACAATTCCATCTCTTTTAAACAATAAATAACGCAAATTTAACAACAAATACCTCGTAATAAAACTAAACCAACAAAATACTTTAACATTAAAAGTATAAATCTATATAAATAAACACGAATAAACTTTAAATTTAATATTTTTATCTTTAAAAATATTTGTGTGATGATAGGCAACCAATATAACACCCCAAGTAACTCATGTGACTTCCATTCCGTTGTAACATGTTAAACAATTAATTTGCATACAAAGCAGGCAATAAATCCGTAAATTTCTACTCTTTTCTAATTTACGTTTTATTAGATTATCTATTCGCATTATGCGAACAATTAAATTTAATAACACACTCGCCGTATTGTTATAAAACGTTCCATTTAATTCGTATTTTATTCAATGCGCACAAAACTTTCAAATCAATTAAAACTTGTGAAGCACGTCGGATCTGCGACGCGTTGCGTAAGTGCGCGCGTTTTTTTCTCACAACCACTCATTTCTCACATAAATTCGCCCACAATACGCGGCAAATTCACATTCGTCATAATATTTACGCATTTACCTAATATGGCGGCAATAAGAATGAATTTGACAGCGGATAAATATGGCGGAAGTACGCTCACCGTAATTAATCGTTTCCACTGTTGTTTCCTGTCGCACTTCGAGCGCGCGAACTAATTAATTGAATAATTGTCGAGTGTGTAATTGATTTTAAGGTCGTTGTCGTTCAAAACGTGTTTTTCGTGCGCCTGTGCAAAGTATTCAACATTTTTTGCTTTAAATTTAAGTAATTATCGGTTATTAATCATTATAAGTTTGGTTATGTAAAAGTTTATGAACTAATTTAAATTATTACCTTGTTGTCTCGTCATCGACGCTTCTCTTTTGTTTTTGTGTGGTTGTTGTTGGTATTCACGCGTTTTTGGTTGTTTTACGCGCGCGTTTGGCACTTTCATTATGCTAATTGACGATTAATTGTTTGTATACATAATGGCTATCGCGCATTCAATGCAAATCAGACATTCCGCTCGATTATGCAGCGATAGATGCAAATTCGTAGGCGTTTAACGCATTTGTTCGCCTGCGTTCATTAACAGTTGTGGAAAGAAAGTTTGTGAAGCGCGTTTCCTTCTCCGGATTTTTTCTTTCACCATAACGGGCAGAAAACACAACCGGCAGAAGCGCCAGTGCTTGTGTAATTAACTATGTGTGAAAATTTCACTTTTCTTTTATTTTTATTTTTAGTCTAAAGTAAATGAAAATCGAAAATACTGGATTTTTTATATGCATAATTGTTATGCACAGGTGTATATTGAGTTGCCTACATTACAAATAAACTAACAATGACTAAGAAATAAATCATTTCTTTTTTAAATATTTTAGATACTTTTTAGAGTCATAATTATCTTCAATATCATCGACTATTTTCACCTTTTGCTTGGGTTTCCTTGCTTCAAGTCTTGCCTTTCTTTCTGCTTCGAAAGTAACCAAATGTTTATTGGCAACTAAAAATTAAGATATTTAACATTTCTCTTCAATTAAATCAAAAAAATATTAAAGATTTACCTTTATAATTTGTCTGGGCTCATGATAACGAATATTAACAGTTGAACCATCAGGTTTAACCACAACAGTTGGATAAGTTCGCAGATAGAATGTTCTATGAGGTCTTGTAATCGCAGCGGACAAAGAATTTAGATAACGACATTGCTGAAGTGTTTGCAACACCACCATTTTGATTACTAACTCAAAAACACTCTATAATAACTTATAATTTACTCATAAAACTTAATTTACAAAGCGTTTCAGAGCACTATCCACAGTAAAAATGTTAGGTTATAAGAGTATGTATGAAATGTCCTTGAATTTTTGAATTTTGACATTTGTAAACTTTCGAAAGTTGAAAAAGTAGATTAAAATTTAATTTGGATAAGTGCTACGCGCAGAAATCTGTAGTAACGTTAAAAATATGATTTTGCAATGCATCCACGCAAAACTCACATTTAATCGATCACAACCATTGCAACATTTCAATTATTATGATTAATAATTATTGCAATTGCAAAATGGCGTCGATTAAGAACCATTTAAAAGAAATTCATTTAAATTAAACGATTTTTGCACAATAAAACTTATCAAAAACTAAGTAAATCATAAACTCTTGACATTGAAAGCTTAACAACGCATAAAACTACGTAGAATAATAAATATCAAACATAAAACAAAACAGCATAATTAATAATTGTTACGAGGCGCATGATAAGCATAACTGAGTGCTAAACCTGTACAAGTTGCGCAAGATACTCTTATTGTTGAACCGTTAAGTTCACCTTGGGTGAATCCCACCTTTTACACTCAACTATATAGCGAATAACTCAATAACACCGCCGAGTTGAGTTGCAAACGCATCGCATTTCTACTCTACTCATCGCAACATTCACAACTTGCACACGAAATGATTCATTTCACTTTGTTAGTGTTCTTTGTGTCTGTATTTATACATTGGTGAGTAAATTCATAATAAAAACTCATTAAAACTGTCAAAAACATTTTTTGTTCTAGTGCGCAGCCGCAAACATGCAAAACCGATTATCCTAGTTTCGGACCATCAATTCATCAACTTACTGAACCCGTACTGCATGGTGAAGGGCCCACATGGGACCCACGCACGAATAAATTGTATTTCGTTGATATACAAAACGGAAAAGTGTTTAGTTATGATCCGGACACAGGCCGGACATTTTTCATCACTCTAGATGGCACAGTGACGCCATTTGTCCAATCAAAACCCGCCCGGATCAATTCTACGTCGGTGTTAATCTCACCTTAATGAAAATCACCTGGGATGGTGAACATGAAGTCACAGCACAGGAAAAACTCACCACAGTGTCAAAAATTTCCCTACGAGTCGTTTCAATGATGGGAAAGCCGACAGTCGAGGTCGGTTGTGGTTTGGAACCATGGGATATGAAGATTCTAGCGGTGTAGCACCAAATGCTGGCTCTTTATACTTCATAACTCCTGAAAATCTTGCTGATCCACTGAAAATCATAACTCCTGTTAATGTCAGTAATGGTTTAGCCTGGAATAGAGCAAATGACAAGTTTTTCTACATCGATACACCTACTTACAACATAGTCCAGTATGATTATGATGATCCTACTGGTAAGATTACAAATCCAAAGGTTGTGATTAATATGCAGGACGCCATGTTGGGTGCAGATGCGTTACCCGATGGTATGACAATTGATGTGGATGATAATCTTTGGGTGGCGTTGCATGGTGCCGGCGCTGTTTTGCATGTAAATTCGACAGATGGTAGTATTATACGGCGGGTGGCTATGCCGGCGCAATATGTGACGAGTTGTATGTGGGGCGGTAAAGATTTGGATATTTTGTTTGTTACTACGTCTAGAGTTAAGTTGAATGATGTACAGAGGTTGCAGCAACCCGCAACGGGGAGTTTGTTTGCTGTTGAAGGGTTGGGGACACGTGGTTTGCCTGTTTATGGAGGCGATATTTAGAATTTAACAAATTGTTTGTGAATAAGAAAAGTTTTGTCAGTGTGGTGACATTGAAATGACCTTGAATGAGAAATCGCAAGTTATGAAATAAAATGAGTGGAAACAAGTTTTCTGGTTGATTGTATGCAATTATCCGATTATAAACGGATGTTTTGATTTGTTTTAAAGCGTTTTAAACGTTTGAAGAAAAATTTTAACTTTTAGATTGAAATCTGTGCATGTTTTGTTTCAGAATATGCAGGTGTATATTCGGTTGCCTAATATCTGCATCTCTAATATATTAACCATGACTAACCTAAAAAGTACCATCACACTGTATTATCACACTGTATCACTTCAAAAAATCTAATTGTATTTTAAATACTTTTATAAATTCATAATTGCCTTCAATATCAAGTTTCGCGAGCGAAGCCAAGGGTTACCCCAAAAATCACTTCTTTTCAAATACTTTTAAAGTCATAATTGCCTTCTACAGAAAGTAACCACGTGTATCCAACCCTTCTTTCAACCTGTTTTCACCAACAATATATAAATTTAACAAATAATAAAAGATTTCTAAGTGACATGACATTGAAACAACCTTCAATAACAAAAATAAAACATAAAAACGAGTTTTCCGCGTAATTCTATAAAATTACCCGATTATCCACTCATAAGCAGACTTCATTGATTTGAAAAAATCAACTGCTTACGACACAACTCGTATAATATTATAAATTACATTAGAATCATCATAATTACAGTCTTTTTAAAAAATATTAACACTCATTCAACCCGCGTGCATTCGATGCAAACCGGCGTGCGTGCGCTTAAAGTTCGTCATGGTCCTCATTGGTGCCCTCCTCCGCATCAATCTCCTGACCCTCCTCATCGGGAATACCATCCTCTGGCACATCCTCATCCTCCTCCACTTGCTCATCCTGCGAAACTCCCAGAGTCTTACGCATCATCGCCTCAATACTAGCCGCAAACTCCGAAGTTTCACGCAGCATATATCCAGACCTCAACGTCGCAGTTCTAAACATCATCTTCGCCATATCCTTAGCCGTAGGATCCGCTGGATCATCATTAACTCTCCTTAACAATTCACGCATCAATGGATGTCGTGGATTAATCTCCAAAGTTTTCTTCTGATTCAAATAATAAGTACGTTGAGGATCATCCGACTTTTGATGTGCGTTGGAAACAGCCAAACGTTCCATATTACCTGTCCATCCAAACATACTCGCCACCAATGCGCATGGCGAGTCACTCAGACGTTCACTCACCATCGCTTTAGCAACGTCATCCTTCAACGCATCCTCAGCCAGCCATTTTGTAAGCGGCTCGAATGTAGTCTTCAATTGTTCCAGTTGTAAAGCACCTCCTTCACTCTCAGTCAGTGAGAAGCCCTCTTTAGCGACGTTCTGGAACTTTTTCCCGTCGAATTCTGGTAGCGCTGAGATCGCGTACTCATCAACAGCTTCAACCAAGTATAAAACCTCATAACCTTTCTTTAACAAACGCTCAACAAATGGAGACTTGGCAACTTCATCTTTGTTAGATCCGGCGATGTAATATACATGATCCTGTTTGGGTTTCATGCGTTTTACATAATCAGCGAGGTTTGTAAGTTCATCACCGTTAGAAGAATGGAACATTAAGAGTTTAGATAACCTGGATCTGTTGCTAGGGTCTTCAATAATACCCAATTTGACATTTGTGGAATATTCCTTCCAGAACTTAGCGAAATCTTCATCGTTTAGCTTCTTCAACATGTCTAACACCTTCCGGACGAGTTTCTTCTTGATGACTTTGATTAATTTGTGTTGTTGGAGAGTTTCACGCGAGACATTCAAAGGTAAATCATCGGAATCAACCACACCGCGGATAAATGACAAATAGGAAGGCATCATATCATTAAATTCATCGGTGATGAAAACTCGGCGGACGTAGAGCTTGATATTATCTGTTTTTGTTCCGTATCGGTTGAAATTTTCACCTTGTTGGACTTGTGGAACGTACAGGAGTGATTTGAAAGTGACTTCACCTTCAGCTACGAAATGTACCTTTGTTAAAGGATCTTTTGTGTCTTTTGTGAGTGCTTTGTAGAATTCATTATATTCCGCCTCTTCTACTTCAGCAGGTTTCCGGGTCCAGATGGGTTTCGAGTCGTTTAACAACTCCCAATCCCAGATGGTCTTATCAACCTTCTTGGTCTTCGGTTTATCTTCTTTCTCCTCTTCAACAGCAACTTCCTCCTCTTCACTTTCGGTTTTTCTGGTTTTTCTGTTTCATCTTCGCTGATTTCCTCCTCGACGCTTTCCGTATGACTAGCCCACATGTAAATCGGGAAATTAATAAACTGTGAGTATTTCTTTACCAGATTCCGGATGGTGTCCACTTCCAGGAAGTCCTTGGCTTCCGGTTTGAGTTGTAGACTGATGGTTGTGCCGCGTTTGAGTGTATCTCCACGTGGGTCTTCCACAATGCTGAAACTGTTCGCGTCCGACTCCCAGATGTATTGTTTATCGTCGTTGTGTTTGGTGGTGACGATGACTTTGTCAGCCACGAGGAAAGCAGAGTAGAAACCGACGCCGAATTGGCCAATCATGTCGTTCATGTCTTTGGCGGAGTCGGCGTCTTGCATTTTGCTTAGGAATTCAGCCGTGCCGGATTTGGCGATTGTGCCCAGGTTGTTGATGAGGTCCTGTTTGGTCATGCCGATGCCTGTGTCGGTGATATGCAACATATTCGCTTCTTTGTCGGATTTTATGCGCACGTTGAGTTCGGGATTGGTGTCGAGGACGCCTTTATCTGTGAGGGAGAGAAGGCGGATTTTGTCCAGAGCATCTGAGGCGTTTGAGATCAATTCACGCAAGTAAATCTGTTTAATAAAAACAATAAATTAGTTTTTATTGTTCTGTAGAAGAGAAAAATGTAAATAGGACGTACTTCTTTGTTGCGGTATAAGGAATTGATGATCAGTTTCATCATTCGGTTGACCTCAGCTTGGAATGTGAATTTTTCGGACTTGTCGCGCAGTTCTTTCATTTGCGCCACGTTCAAACCGTCCAATTTGATGGCTTCCTCCTCCCTCTTGACGACTTCATCGTCTGTGGAACATACAACAAAAGTTTGATCAATATTTATCAAACTACAGAGTAAAAAAGGTTAAATAATGGAAACTAACGCTGAAGAAATTAATTTTCGACCGAAAAGACAACAATTTAAGCTTTGTTTTGCTCCGAAATGTGCAATCGGACGTTCTTATGTGCAAGTAAATCGACCATTGCATACAGGTTGGTGTAGACTATGTAGAAATATGAATATTTATCAAAAATAATGATAAGACTAACATTAAACACAAAATATTTGTAGTTGTGCCTGTAGCTGCTAAATTTAATACCAACAACGATAAAAAACCGGATAACTTGCCGGAATTCATCGAGAAATTAACAGTAAAACTACCGAAAGAGAAATATAGAGATCCACAAACAGAAAATCAAGTGTAAGTAATAAAAAAATAACATTTTAAAGCAAAAATTCTAGTTTTTTGTTAAAAATTTCAGTTATGGTTGGTATAACGTTGAATTTAAGAAAAAAGACCCTCTCTTATACCATGGCAGAAAACTGGACTCAATGCTACATGAAAATCTAATGAACTTCGCAAAATTCGCTCTACATAGCTTAAAATCCTACATTTTACATGTAATTTTAATTCTAAACTTTACCTGTTCTGGAACCTTCCTTAGCAGCGCCCAAATCCATCTCCACTGTCTCAACTGTAGGCTCGCCATACTCGAGATCAGCAAAAGCCGAACCTAAGCAATAAACACATCAAAAACAATTAATTTCTATTGCTTTATATTCAAATAATCGCGTTTTTCTTGATGAAAAATCAAGAATAACCTCAAATAAAATCAGTAACGACTTACCGATGAGCAGGAACGCTCCCAACAGCAGCAATTGATAATGTTTCATTGTGTTTCTCACGATAATGATTTTATTTCTCTACTATGTGTTCAACGGTGCAAATGATGAGCCAGTGGCTTTACTACTTTTTACACGTTTGCACTTTTCATCACGTCAGCGAAGATTCTTGTCGTTGAATGAGCATAAAACGCAGCGAGTTTGCCTGCCACTTGTGAACGATAGACAAGCGCGACACGTCGACCAATCAGCGCGCTACACGAAACAACATGGCCGCTACAAATGGCCAACGCCGATTGGTCCAAATCATCGCTCATCGCTGACTACACACCGCATTCAAATATTCCGATTTTACAATTTATTATTACTTATAACACCTAAAGTATTCGAGACAGTAGATTGATTACAAGTGTGTCTTATTCCTAACAACATATTTGAGATATCAAGTTATCAAAATAAATCACTTTTGGCGTCTTACAACATAAATTTATCCTTGTTTTGACTCAAAATCCACGCGGATGACTTTGCATCTAGAAACAGAGAACTAACTTCTTCAATATCCTCTTTGATTATATTACTGCGGCCATTTGTCTTTGCTGTAAGTGAAGCTGGTGTTAACAATTGCACAGCATAACGCAGTGTTGATCTTGCGCCAACTTCAGCAAGAGTCGTCAAAGCATCTTCATCTAAATTTAGTCCTTCAGTAGTCGCGCGTAGTTTAAGAATCTGCTCAAGATCTGCTTTGTCATAGGGTAAAGTTCTGATTATTACAAGTCTATCAAGTAAATCAAGCGGGATACCATGCGCAGAAACAATATCATCTGTGCCACGAATAACACAACGACCGCGGTTTGTCGCAAAGATAACAATAGGCGCAATGGCGCTTTCTAGAGCACGATGTAAATACGTAAATGTTTCAATATCAAGCATGTGAACCTCATCAATAAAGAGCACGCCGGGTACCAGCTCAGCAATGCCCTGATCGATGTATTTATCGACGACTTTGTTGATTTCCTTGCGTAGTTTATCGGTGATTTCGGTTTTCTTCGGTTTGAGGAGTTGACTCATCATGGAGAGGACGTCCTGACCACCTTGTGGTTTTGAATTCGCAACGTCAAGGTCATGAAGTGTCACATCCTAATATATTTTATTAATAAATACGAAATTTTGATATATTTTGATGGAAAAGTGCGATTTTTACCTGAACAACTTCTTTTTTCTTGTGTACATCACCTTTGGGAATCGGCACGTATTCCTCAGCTTCCAAATCGAATTCAGTGGCGTATGTATCGCATCTGCCTTGACGTTTGACAGCGCCGCTGTTGGCTTCGATGTAAATCACATCGCCAACTTCGACTTTTTCCTTCTGCAGGGCTTCGAAGATGCTGGGGTCGAGTTTCAGCTGTTTGCTCCCTCTAGCGGTGCGTAAGCCAATGATTACATGACTGATTGTCTTTCCATATCCTTAAAAATATAAATTAAAACATTTTAAAATGTTTTTAAAGTAAATTTTGGTTAAAATTCAAAAAATTTACAAAAACTACCTCTAAAAACACACAATTATGATGTGTAATGATGAATATATGTAATTAAACTAAATTTTAACATAAAAATAATAAATTTCTTACCACCAGCAGGATTTTCAGTCTCGACAGGTGTCAATTCCACCACTTCTCCCTCATAAACCTCCTTGGTTTCACGAATTCGCAGCCCAATCGCCCTCCGGAAGTTCTCCATCAATACTTCAGTCTTTTTAATCTCAGAACTATAAACTTCCGAGCCCACCATTGGACAGAATGGCACTTTATTCCCCAATTCCTGTGCAATTGCTAAAGCTATAGCTGTTTTCCCTGTACCAGGTGGTCCAGCCAACAGAATAGCTCTACCAGCCATCTTCTTACTGCGAATCATATCCACCACGACTCCTCCGGCCTAAAAACATTTTCAAAAATACATTTTTAACCATTGAGGTTTGAAACCACGCTTTAAAACTAACCTCTCTCGCCTGTTCTTGCCCAACAAGCCCGGCGGCTTTCTGAATCGCAAAACCACGCTCATCGAGTCCCAGACCTTTGATGTGGCTGTGTGCGCTGATACGCTGAGTTTTCACGGTGCTTTTCACCTCTTCGACTTTCATCTTGAATGTGCGACTGTATTTTTCTCGAAGTGTGTTTAACCGTTTGATCAATTCGTAATACAGCGTTGTTTACGAGGTGTTGTTATGGTTATAACCGTGTAGAGGGCGCTAGTGTACAAACAAGTGACAAATTTAAAATCAATAAACAACATTATCGATAAAACAAGTAAATAAACATTGAAATAGTAAATTTATATCATGTAATCATCATTATGATCAAATATTATCATAATTATGTAAAAACATGCATTATTTTATTGATTTTTATTGATTTTGATGAAAATGTGAAATATTTTGGGTGATTAAATAAAAGTAGGCGGAGCAAAGTGCGTTACGCAGTCTCAGTTCGCAGATTTGCCCAATTTGTAACCGAGGGTGGTTCCAAATATAAAATGATGCAGTTTTTAGCCACTCCCCAAAATATCGCATCAAATTTACGCATGTAAACATTAAATTTAATGTTTAACAATTGAAAATGTGAAATTTCACCGCATAAATGATTGATTTTACGACTAAACATCTCAAATGACAAACTTTCGCTCATTGATTTTTTTTGTGAAGAAAATGGAAGTTATTTCGATGATAACCATCAAATAAATGGAAATAAACAGAATATCTAACGAGTGTTTATGAAAACAGAATAAATAATTTGACAGCTGTCAAAATCTAACCTATTTTGACATCTATCATCAATTTAACACTCAAACACTTAATTCTCTTTACCTTCTACTCACAACCACTTAAAATATGCAAGCGTTTAGAGTGAGCGTGAGTTTTTCGCCTGCTCGGCCTGCGATTCCTGCTAGTCGCGGCTCAGTCTCGCTCCGTCACGCTGCTCGGTCCGTGCGTGTGCGTGAACGCGGCGTGCGCGGTGAAATCAGCTGATTGCACTGCTACCATTCAATCGACGACGGCGCGCTCGCAGTAATCGCCGTTTCGATTCACGATCCACAATCGCCGATCAGTCCAGAGCCGCGAGTGCCGCGAGCGCGCGTTCACCAAGCCTCGCATCGCATCGCATCGCCATTTCGTGCATTCAACACGCGCGCAACTGCATGACCACACAAAAAAACAAAACATAAAAGTCACACATCACAAGAACAACACAATACAGGGTGAATTAAATCATCGACATGGCACCAAATTATAGCAAATATATGACAAAAGGCAACGCGGCCGCCGTAGCTGGACTTGCGACTGCGCTGTGGATCTACGCGCGGAGGAAACAATCTTCCACACAGATTTCAAGGTTAGTTTAATCACAATCACATAATAAAATTTAAAAATTAATAATTAATCATAACTAGCGTGGATAATAATAAAACAAACACGTTTTGTTTATTTCTACGTAAGTTTTTATGAATGAGCAGCTCGTGTATTTTTTTTCATTTAAATTTACGACGCTAATTATTTACCTGCGTTAAATAAACATAATTTGTTTTACGATCTGTAAATTGTTTCTGTATGAACAGAGAAAATGATTGTTTTATGAAGAAACTTCAATTCCAGTTTAACGACGTCGTCATTCCATTGACGATGGAAAATTTCACTTTTACTTCACGTTTCGCGGTTTCCGAACGAAAATTAACGACCTGCATGATTCGCGCGAGAGAGATTTTGTATACAGGGTGTTCTAGCTTTAACTCAAATGACGTAATAATTAATAATTTATTCGTTAATCGCCAGACGCAGACGCGCGATATCAGTTTGTAATTTTGTGCGCGCCGCGATGACTCGGAACTTTTTATATTTTTCTAATTACAAAGGTCAAAACGTACTCTACTTAAGTATACTTAATAATTAAATCCTTGAATATTTATTTTATAGATTAAATGGATCTGCGAATGGAAAAATTGATGAAGTGCAATATTTAATCGCGGAGAAAAAGCCTACGAAAGCCAAAGCACAAGTTGACAGGAAGTTTTTCCGTCAATTATGGTCACTCATCAGGATAATCGTCCCCGGATGGGCCAGCAAGGAATCAGGACTGCTTGTCCTTGTCGCTGCAAGTTTAGTTGCAAGATCCATGTGTGATCTTTGGCTTATAGCCAACTCTACCAAAATCGAAAGGTAAAATAAAATAAAATTTCAAAGAAAAAAACACTTCTTGACCTTGAAACACAAAAATTGTGTGAAATAATGTCAAGTTATGTAAATACTCTTCAAGTCCACTCACCTCGCCTGTGAAAATTGCTGAAAAACCGCGGATTCAATGAAGGTCAACGCGTTTGATGCATGTCTAGTTCAACGACACACGACCGTTGAATATTTAACTAATTATTCAATGGCGCGCGCGGAAGCATCGACCGGTTCTCGCATCAAAACGCAAATTTCAAATAAAATTATGAAGTGTAATGCCACCGGAAGCTTACGATTGTTTTATTAGATCAAAATCTAAATTCAAATATGGGTTATTGACATAACCTGCATCATCTAGGTAATAAAAGTTGCCTATCCAATGATTTTCCAAACTAGAAAATGCGTTTCACCGCAATGACGCGCATAATTACCAGCGAAACGTACGCTTTGTTGTTTTAATTAGCCTGCTTTGTGTTCGAAGTGCACTCCAGTCAAGGCCAAATTATTTTTACCATTAAAACTCATAACAACACCTTTTTTCTGATAATTTTAGTGCCATCGTGACAATGGATAAACCACTCTTCCAGAAACGTCTGTTGAAGTTCTTCCTGGCAATGCCGCTGATTTCCATCGTCAACAACGTATTGAAATATTCAATTGGAGATCTGAAGATCCGTCTGCGCACGAATATGACTCGCCGATTGTACGATGAATACCTAAAAAAGCATACGTATTATCGCATGTCGAATTTGGACACACGCATCACCAATGCCGATCAGCTGCTTACCACCGACGTGGATAAATTCTGCGAATGCGTCGCTGATTTATACACAAACCTAGCAAAACCTTCCCTGGACATAGGAATCTATGTGTATAAACTCACTACAACTCTCGGTGGCGGCACACCGATGATGATGTTAGGTTATCTCATTGTTTCGGGTGTTCTGTTGACACATTTGCGCAAACCCGTGAGTCGACTCACTGCGCAGGAGCAGAAACTCGAAGGAGAGTTTCGGCACATAAACGCGCGACTTATAACTTATTCAGAGGAAGTTGCGTTCTACAATGGTAACCAACGTGAAAAAACTACACTTTTATCGAGTTATACTAAACTCCTGAAGCATTTACGGAAGTTTTTGAAGTTTAGAGTCATCATGGGTATTGTTGATAACCTAGTAGCGAAATATTTCGCTAGTTGTGTTGGTTTCTGGGCTGTAAGCATACCATTTTTATCTACTACGCATGCTTTACTATCTAAAGCTGGTTATGAAGACCGTCAGATGTTGTATTACACTTATGGTCGTATGTTGGTTAAATTAGCTGAAGCTATTGGTAGAGTTGTACTTGCAGGAAGAGAATTAAGTCGTCTTGCTGGGTTTACATCAAGAGTAACAGAACTACGCACGGTTTTAGATGAAATCAACGCTGGGAAATATCATCGTACAATGGTAGCAGGGTCAGAAAACCTGCACCCCGGCGCAGGAAGATTAATATTTAAAGATAATTTGATCAAATTTGATCGGGTACCTTTGGTTACACCCAACGGTGATGTCCTGATCAAAGAATTAAGCTTTGAAATACATTCAGGGATGAATGTGTTGGTCTGTGGGCCAAATGGAGCTGGAAAATCATCACTCTTCAGATGTTTGGGTGAATTATGGCCTATTTTCGGTGGTGCGTTGACTAAACCTCCAACTGGTAAATTATTCTACATCCCACAGAAACCCTACATGATGTTAGGCTCGTTGAGAGATCAATTGACATATCCACACAGTGCAACTGAAGCTGCACGTCGTGGTGCTGTGGATAAAGATTTAGCGGATCATTTGGAGCGTGTACAACTTAGTTACCTGCTTGAACGTGAAGGTGGCCTGGATGCAGTTGCAGACTGGTTGGATGTGCTCTCTGGTGGTGAGAAGCAACGCATTGCAATGGCGAGGTTGTTTTATCATGCGCCACAGTTCGCCATTTTGGATGAGTGCACCAGCGCTGTGTCCGTGGACGTTGAGGGAAGCATGTATAGTTATTGTCGTGAGGTAGGCATCACACTACTCACGGTGTCACATCGTAAGTCACTCTGGCGTCATCATGAGTATGTTTTGCATTTGGATGGACGTGGTGCGTATGATTTTAAGAAGATTGACGCTGAAACAGTTGAGTTTGGTTCATAGTTAATATTATTACGAAACAAATCATTAAAATACAGGTTTAGGTACAAGTGAAATGAAACTAGGTAATAAATAAATAAATGATGAATTCGCACCTCTTCCACAGTGCGATTCAAGTGATAAAAGACATAATATAATGTGTTTTAAGGTTATTTGTTTGATTGATATATATTTTATGTAATTTGCATCGTATTTCTGTTTATTGTTGACGATAATTGTCAATTACAGTTGCAAAAAGACCAATCACATCACATTTTCAAATAAACTGTTGTATGTTGTTAGATTTTGAATGATTATTATTATAAAGACGTTTTTATGTGATGCAGATGAAGTGACGAAGAGAAATTACCTTTCGCCAGATGCCGCGATGAGTGGATGGCCAAACAATTGAAGAAAAACGTGGAAATTTCAATGATATGTGCACAGTTGCGGTCAGATGCAATTTGTGGCGATTTCTACTTTTCTACTACAAATTATTTTACGAATTTTAAGGTTATGTCTTAAAATGGCAGTGATTGAGGTTAATTTTGTCGCCATTTTGTGGATTTAAATTACAAGCATGAGAAAATCGTTTGAGTGGGTAATGAATGTTTCGTTTTCGTGTGTTTCAGTGATTGCTTCTTCTCTGTGAAGTGCTTAACGAGCACATTATGCACGAACATGTCTTGACGAAACCGCAAACACACGAAATCGGTTTCTTGCACTGTAATGCGGATTAATTACGATAATAACTTACATTTACCTTCGGAATATTTGGAAAATAAGTAGGCATGTGTTGTTTTTGAATGAGAAGTGCTTATTCACATTGAAACACAATCAAAACATCAATAATTATAAGTTGTGAGGAAGATTTTCCTTGTGGTGAAGATGTACGTTAAGCGAACTCGAAACTTTCCTTTAAAGTGTATTAATTTTATTGGAAAGTCGCTTATTAGTACGTACACTGGCGCAGAAAACGTTTTTTTGTCCTCGGCGTGTGTGCTTTACGAGATGCGATTGTGAATGATTGAGTGAATGCTCTTCGCGGCGAATTGAAAGTGAGAAAGGTCACTGCTAAATGTTGAAACATTAGAAAAGGGAAACGCTGCTAATTTCCAGCAGTCATGTTATCATTACAAGTATAGACAAACAATAAACATTGATAAATGTTTATAAACAATCTAAAAATGAGATTTTTATCGAAAATTTACTTTTTTTATGAATAAAAATTGAAAAAATTGAAGTAAACTTAAGAAAAACATTTAAAAAAAGAAACACTGACAATTTTCATCAGTCATTTTACCACAAAACGTACAAATATACAATAAATATTGATAAATCGTTGTGTATAACTTAAAATTAAAGTTTTATTCAATAAAATTTCAATTTTTATGAATAAAACCTGAAAAAACTGAAGAGAACTTAAAAAAACATTTAAAACAGGAAATGCGGCTAATTTCAAGCAGTATTGTTATCATTACTAGCATAAACAAACCATAAACATTGATAAATGTTTATAAAAAATCTAAAAATTAGATTTTTATAAACATTGATAAATGTTTATAAAAAATCTAAAAATTAGATTTTTATCGAAATTTTTCGTATTTTTCGAATAAAAATTGAAAAAATAGAAGAAAACTTAAGAAAAACATTTGAAACAGGAAATGCGGCTAATATCAAGCAGTATAGTTATCATTACAAGCATAAACAATCAATAAACATTGATAAATGTTTATAAAAAATCTAAAAATTCGATTTTTATCGAAAATTTTCGTATTTTTCGAATAAAAATTGAAGAAAATTGAAAAAACTTAAGAAAAACATTAAAAAAAGGAAAACGCGACTAATTTTCAACAAATATGTTTCAATAAACATTGAAAAATGTTTATAAATAACGTAAAAATAAAGTTTTTATAGAAAATTTCTTTTTTTATGAATAAAAACTTAAAAAAACATTTAGAAACGGAAATACAGCTATTTTCAAGCAGTTTTGTTATCGTTTGAAGCAATAAACAAACAATAAACATTAATAAACGTTTATAAACAATCAAAAAATACGATTTTTATCGAAAATTTTCTTTTTTTATGAATAAAAATTGGAAAAATTGAAGAAAACTTAAGAAAAACATTAAAAAGAGAAACAGTGACCATTTTTATCAATTATGTTATCACAAAACGTATAAACAAACAATAAACATTAATAAATAGTTGTATATAACCTAAAAATTAAGTTTTACTTAAAAAATTCATTTTTTCGTGAATAAACATTGAAATAATTGAAGAAAACTTAAAAAACTTCAAAAAAGCAAACATTGCTTCTTTCCAGTAGATATATTATCACTACAAGCAATAAACAAACAATAAACATTAATAAATGTTCATAAATAATAAAAACCTTCGTTTTTATGCAAAATTTTCATGTTTTTATGAATAAAACTAGAAAACCCCAAAGAAAACTTACAATATACGTTACCGGAAGTAAGGAAACACAACCGTCCGCCATTGTATGCGTAGTATAGATGCGCACCGTCGTGCGCCATTGTCATCCGCGTCCGAATGTTTCCGCCGCACGCGGCGCATTGTGTTGCAACACGTGAAAATGAAAACGAAACGCAATCGATGTGCGACGAGCACGAGACCCATCCAAACACAAACACTGCACAAAGAAAGCCGCCGCACAACACAACACAACACCAACAGTGGTGTAAGAAACATTCGTAAGTCGTGTCCGAATGCATATCGGTGAAAATGGCGAAACTTCCACATCCGGTTGATTGTTTCACACTTTTACATTCACAATTGTAGATTTTTAACGCACGCAAATGAAGATCTTTTAAATAAATCATCAGGATACAATAAATACACAAATAATTACAGTTATCAGACTTAACCTAAATTAACCTAAAAATTGTGTGTGTGTATGTTTGGTGGCCTACATTTATTCATTTGTTTTATTTTTAGTAAAAAAACTAAAAAAGTGTTATCTGTGTATTTTTAGTATAAATTAACGTAGGTTTAAGATTTAAATGAAACACGAGTATTTTAGGCGCGGTAAACTGGTAATCGTATGAATAGCGCTGATAAAATTCAATTTCAGCCGTGGAGTTGGCGCTGGCTTCCATTCAAATGCAGATTGCTTGAGTTATTGATGTAATACCACATCAAGCGTTGGTCGAAAACCCAACAGTTCTATTATAGCATGTAAATAAACATGCAGGTATACCCATAGAAATATACAGGGTGTTCATATGAAAATTTTAATAAATAAAATTAATTTATTGATTTTTTGATGATTTTTAACACTCTGTATTAAATAATGCGATGCAATATGGCGGATTATTGTAAATTGTTGACTTGTAACGTACAATGGCCAAGTGCGCCGCGCTGCGCGTTGCGTTGCGTCACCGCCATGTTTTATTCTAATTGTTTCAAGCTCTAATTGCCGCGCACAAAATTTCGATGTCGAATTGATATTGCTTCGAAATATGCACCTACAGATGGCAGTATTAATTTAGTATTAATTAAAAACTTTAAAAATTCACGTGAAATCTACGTTTTGCAATTTATCAATTAATTTAGAATTACGTTGTATTTTAATTATTATAATTAATAATTAAAAGTTGTAAGGAGTGCGGAGCACTGCGCTTGTTAGTTATAATTAATTTGTAAAGTTATGAAGATTGCGTAAGGCACGCTAACAGGAACAGAAATGCGCAAAGTAATGCTTCTTCATTGCACAAATGTATTGCATGTCATAACCTACAAACGAATCGTGCTAGAATTTATTTCATCATGGTACAATGTTTATGAATCAAGAGAGGAATGGATTTTTGATTTTTTGGGATTTATCGAAGGTTAAAATAGAAATTAAGCGGAAAAAGTCATTTTTGGAAGGTTATGTCGGTTTACAACGAATATACTATTAAAACAAGATGGCGAATGATAAAATAACATCAAAACAATTAAATTTTTGATTTTTTCTGGTATTTTTTATTAAAATACAAAAAAAGTTAAAATTTGATCAAAAAAATAAATTTTTGATGAGGTTATGTTGTTTTACAGCCAATCCCTATCCCTACTAATATTATAAATGCGCAAGTCCTGATGTTTGTTACACTTTCACGCAAAAACTACTTAATCGATCATCATGAAAATTTGTACACATATTCTTAGTGGTCCCCGAATGGTTATAGGCTACTTTTTATTTAATAAAAAATTATTTTTTAAATAAAATAAAGAAATTGTTTAGCCAATAATACCTCTGCATCTGGCTATTTGACTACTTTAACGCCATCTAGCATTCCAGCAATGAAGCTCAAACCTAAGTACTATAGTACCATCACACTGTATTATCACACTGTATTACCGACAGCTACGTCAACATCAAATCCAATTGACTACACTATGGAGACTGTACACTATACTTCCATAGACTATACTTTCAGCCATTTTAAACTTCCCGCCATTCTACTTCATTGTTACTTCTTCTGTGACTACAGACGCGTACGGAAGCAACTTCATTATTTTAGATATTCGCGAGCGAAGCCAAGGGTTAAAGCTAGTATACTATAAAAACAAGATGGCCGCTGTTAAAATGTCTTGATAGTAATTGAATTTTTTGATTTTTTGAGTAAATTTACGGTTAAAACAGAAGAAAAAGCCAAAAAACGTATTTTTGTTAAGTTTATGTCGTTTGACAGTTATTATACTATAAAAACAAGATGGCGGATGTTAAACTTCCTTCATATCGTTCAGATTTTTCAATATTTCAGGTTAAAAGTTTAAAAAATTAAAAATCCGAGCAGAAAACCTAATTTTTCGATGAATTTATATAATTTAACCCCAGTATACTAAAAAACAAGATGCCTAACATAAAATTATTGTTAAAATGACTTCATTGTGATGTATCAATAATAAAACTCAATAGCATCATGACAGGTCACTCTTCCGAACGAAATAATCGCCTCTTAACCTTGAATCGATCGATTCTCTTTTATTTATTTTTTAATTTGCAATTATCTACGATCTATTCATATTCAGTCCTCTGCAGCTAAGAATAGAAGGTTACGCAAAATCATCGCGGTCGCTATAAAGATTAATTTCGTTTTTATCGTCGTCATCATCACATATAATACAAAATAAGTATATATATCTTATAAAATATACTTTAGTTGATTTCGCAGGTTGTGATTTATGTCCGCTCTGCGTGTATGTAAGGTCACCTACCATAAAGCACAATGTAAAATGTAAACCCTGAGCATAACCACAAATAACCCACATTTACCACAGCGCCAAGGTCGTGCAACAAAGGGTAAGTCACAGTATACTTAAGTGTAAGTCATCCGAGTTGCATCACCCGCCATTTTGTCATCACTTGTTTTAGTTTTGAGTTTTACTGGTAAAACGTAAACAAGTTGAGTTTATTCGAACATAATTACGCCATGCACGTACTTACCAACAACTTAGACGACTTAAGTACGTTGCGCATGGTTATGTAAGGCTTTTTTTATTGTTTTCGCTGTTTAAAGACGATTTATCACCGGTTTTAATCTGGTTGCTGTGGAGTAAACAAGTTCATTGCTTTTTTTATTTAATTAAAAAAGAAATTAATTTAAGTTTGGTTTTCTTGCGGAAATGAAAAAAATATTGATAAAATTTCAAAGTACACATTAATTACAACTGAAAATATTAACCAGAGTGCAAATGTAAGCATAAGTATTAATATTATTGTAGTTAAGAAGTTTTCCATGGCGGCCATTTTGTTTTTTAACTTTGAAGGTATTACAGGAATCTGTAATGATAATTTTGATGTTTTGAAGGGTTTTTAGTGTAAATTAATGTTTTACTTACGTTTTTTATGTTTTTTCATTAATTTCTAATAATTTATGCTTGTTTTCGATTGTCACTTTCATCACAGCAGAAGTTACAATCAAGTAATCGCACAATGCGGGAGGTTTTCACTGTCGAAATGCAATTTTATGTCGAATGTGACATGTCATGGCTGTTACAACATGCGTCACACATGCGCCGTGTGCAATTGACATTGAGACAACGTTTACAATGGTAGCAATTGTAAAAATTCGCCTCAATAAAACCATTTGGAAGATTTACCAATGCGATATTCCCTGCATTTCGTTACAAACACAATGAAACGCGAAAAAGTTTTGTTTTTTCTTTACTTTTACGGAAGTGCTGTTCAAGAACAAGACATGCATCAACATAATTGAAGCAGACATTGCGAAACATGCGCGAAACACAATGCGAAAGTGTGTTTTTTTATACCAAAAAATTCTTTCGTGCGCGCGCGCACGCGATAATAGTGCATTCCGATGCGAAACAATTCCCGCAACTCTCATTATGATGATTTACTTACGCTTTTGTCTTTTCTGTCTGCTTCGCGAGTATTTTTTATGTTCCGCATTGTTTTCACGGCAAATGGCACATCTTAATCGCATTTTGTTTTAATTACCATCACGTTTTTATGGAAAAAGTAAGGTTTGACATCTTTTTTGACAGATTTTACGCCTATTGGCATGCAACCAAGTGTACATACTTTCTCATCTGTAGTAAAATAATGATTAATGACGCTTTCATAACCTTAAACCTCAAATCTGATTGTTAAGAATTTGTTTCACAGCGCTTTTGTCTTATAAAAGTATTCTAATAAAAAAGCGTGCAGAAATTTTGTACTTACCAGCTTCAGATGATTAAGTAATTAATGAAGTCGAAGAATTAAACGCAGCGTGCAGTCGTATGTTGGAACACAAAGAGGTTATTAGTGAACAAATGAATGTGACGAACAAACAATACGAACGGAACAACAATTCATCATTAACTAATTGATCAATGCTAATATACGCCGGGTGAAAGACGTCGAAACATTAACATTCCGACTTTGATGTGAATTTTTCGCCAACGCACAGCGTAAAAGAAAGTCGAATACTTATGAGATTAAACGCGAGAGGTCATTAACGTCAGTTACAGTTCACAGCATGTTTCACACCGGCTGTCACAAGTAAAGCCACCTTACTAGGGGTAATAAATCAATCATATTCCTATTAACTTACGATTTATTGTTGATCGCTCGCTCTAATATACAATATAAAGCCACTAATAAGGATTAAATATTTACACAGAAAACGTTTGAGGATATCGCGTTGCAAGATGAATATGTAGACAAATTCAATAGAATTAAGTACAAAAGCCACCACTGGTGGCGCTGTCACACGGAACAAATGCGTAGGGTTATTTAGTTAGTGACAGCGCCACCGCATGCCACTATCTGGCGCGAAATTTAAAAATTCATCTCTCTCGACACTCGTAACTATTCATATTTCTATTGTCTTATACTAGGAATGATTCCAGCCCTTGGTCAGTCGTTTCCAGAGACTCGGCTTGTCGATGTTGGCCGACGGCGGTTGATCCGTACGGATCTGCTCGAGGAAACCCATCGATTGTTGCGGCGCTGTCGGTTCGTTACCGTTGCCAGCGTCGCCAATTTCACGCAGATCCCGCATCATTTTCTTGCGTATCGTCTTCTTCATGCTGAGGTGACGCTCGAGCGTCTTGTATTTGTGCTTGGAGCGCGTGTCCAGCACCACTGCATCGCAGCAGATGCGTGGATTTTCTTTGTTTTCGTCTTTGCTCGGCGCGTGCCAGATGTCGCGCACGTCGCGGATTTTTCTATCGTTGATTGCGGACATTTTCAATTGCTTTCAATTCTTCTATTTGTTGAATTAATTCTGTAAACACACAAAAAACAATTTAAATAAATTAAACACTTTGTGTATAAATTAATTTTAGTGTATATTGGGTTGCATATAGTTAATCATGTGTTTTTATTGCTTTTGAAGTGAAATCAAGCAATTAAAGTAAGTTTATCACCGATTTGAAGTGATTTAAGTCAAAAAAATATCAAATCCGGCTCAAGTTCGTATGTTATGCGATAGATTTCGGTGAAACTGAAGTTTCACCTTCACCTGAGCTTCAAATAAGTCAATATTCATCAATCAAGTTGTCTTAGATATAGAAACATAAAAATCATAAGATATACAGGGTGTTTAAGGCTATAAACTTACAGAAAAGTAATAAAATAGTTATAAAACACATAATTTATGACAAAATTAATTTTGGCAATGATTATCGATAAAATGTGAACAACTTTTACGCTATAACAATAGATTTATCTATTTTTGCGTTGCGCGGGCGTTTTCGTAGGCGAATTGCACGTGTTTGTTTTCTCTAAATTTATTTTCTAAACCAGATGTCAATTTAGATCACAAATTGATATAATATAGCGTGATGTATGTAAATCTTGTTGTTTTGTGCTTCTTTCACTTGAGTTCACGCTGTTTATTGTTTCACACAGCATAAGCACGAGTTCAAGCACTTTGTGCACTTAAACTTCTCATATTCTCATCCTTTCTCAGTGTCATGCAACTGCAACCATACATACACACATATAAATATAATGACAGCCAAGTGTAATCTAAGAGGTTAGGTTTATAGGTTATGTGTCTACGCGCAGTAAACGTAGCGTTGTAGTGTAACAGCGTAGCGCACCGGACGAAAATCGCGCGTGGAAGGAAAAAATCATCGAAAACTGGAATTGTAACTGTAAACTCGCCGCCGGTTCGCGCTAGGACGATGGAAGGAACTCGCGTCTACGCCATACGGTCAGCCGGTCGAGCCGTTGTCTCTATTGAGCAATGAAATTAACAAAAGGCCGTCCGTCAAAACGCACTCGTTGGAAATATGTTCAATCAATTTAAATTCAAAGATTATATTTTATTACATGCTAAATATCTGGTTTTAAAAAGTTAACAGATGGCGCTGTTGTAGTTTTTGACACTTTTAATGTTATGACTAAAAAATGTGAAAATTACAGTTTTCTTCTTTACCATACTCACACCGATGGTAATTTTATACAAAAAACTTGAATTATCGTTGTTTTTGTTATTAAAGATCAATTTAAATATAATTACACGTTAAATATCAAGTTTTAATGAATAATTAAATAACCAGATGGCGCTCTTGCACTTTTTTGACAGATTTTATGTTTCAACTTCAAGAAGATGTCAAAAATTACCGTTTTCTTCTTTACCACACCCGCAAAATCAATTTAAATGTTATTACACGCTAAATATCTACTTTTAAAAAGTTAACAGATGGCGCTGTTGTAGTTTTTGACATTTTTAATGTTATGATTTAAAAAAAATGTGAATATTACAGTTTTCTTCCTTACCATACTCACACCGATGGCAATTTTATACAAAAAACTTGATTTTTTGTTGTTTTAGTTAAGAAAAATCAATTTAAATATAATTCCACCTCAAATATCAAGTTTTTTTTTAACAATTAAGTAACCAGATGGCGCTGTTGTACTTTTTGGCAGATTTTATGTTATAACTTCAAGAAGATGACACTATTTTATGTAATAACTTCAAAAATAAGAAAAATGTCACAATTAAGTAACCAGATGGCGCTGTTGTACTTTTTTGACACTATCTATGTAATAACTTCAAAAAAATGTCTAAAATTACAGTTTTCTTCTTTTCAACACCCGCAAAATCAATTTAAATGTTATTACAAGTAAAATATCAACTTAAAACGTAACCAGATGGCGCTGTTGTAGTTTTTGATGTTATGACTTTAAAAATGTGAATATTACAGTTTTCTTCCTTACCATACTCACACCCATAGTAATTTTATACAAAAAACATGTTTTTTCGTTGTTTTAGTTAAGAAAAATCAATTTAAATATAAAAACGCGTGAAATATTAAGTTTTATAATGATAATTAAGTAACCAGATGGCGCTGTTGCACTTTTTTGACAATTTCTATGTTATAACTACAAGAAAATGTAAAAATTACAGTTTTCTTCCTTACCACACATACACCGACTGTCATTTTATGTAATCAACATCATTTTTCGTTGTTTTTATCACGCAAATTCAATTTAAATGTTTTTACAAGCTCAATATCTACTTATAACCTAACAACGTAACCAGATGGCGTTGTTGTAATTTTTTTGACACTTTCCATACCAACTTAACCCCAACGGGATGCAAACATTACAGTTTCCTACCTTCCCACACACATTTATGAACACTAAACATCATTTTCGTCGTTTTGGTCGATTACAAACTCATTACCAACTGCTAAGTGTAAGCTAATGATTTAAATGACAGCAAGTTCAAGCACAGCGCTGTCATTAAGTTCGCGCCGGCGTTTTTCGTTAATTAGCCGCGGACCTTGGCAATGCGCCGCGATGAACTTCAACGCCACGACAGGTCTTCGACACCTTGACGACAACAAAAGCCACTAACATCACAAAGTTTACGAGTAAACTCAAAAAGGAAACCAAGATCTGAGAAAACTTCACATTACACAGCGGATGTGCAGAGTTGGAACAGTTTTTATAGCTTCTTCTTGTTTCCAAGCTTCGGAAAGCACTCAGCCGAGTGTAAACAGCAAACAGCAAACAGAAAACAGAAAACACACATGATGATGAGTTTTAATTACCTACACACGAGTTTTACTCATTGGAATACATAAAAATTAAATCATAGATATTATTAGATGATTATTTCATCAAAAAGTCGAGTGTGGAGTCAGTAAACCTTGGTTTTTTACTTTTGGTTCACAGATTAAGCATAACTTAGATTAGTTTTGCTTCAATCCGGTTGACGGATATATCGGCCGCGTGTTCGATGGAAGTCCACGAGCAGGAGAGCGCATTCAAGGCGAACAAGTCGGCTTCTTGACTTCTGCTCGTGCACTACGCGTAGAGTACATACATCCAACTGGCAACTTGGTGGTTTTGTCGAAACTCTAAACTTAATGCACCCATTGTCATGTTAATGTAATGTTATACAGGTATATACAGGATGATTCAGCGTGTTTTATGTCAGACCGCCATCTTGTTCATTAAGTACCATACAATACAATACAATGACATCAGTTGAGGTAGAAGAGGTTCATATGGAGACAAAGTAAACTAAAGTAAAGTAAAGTTAAAGAGTAAGGTGACTGAATGAGTCATAATTGTGTTCGTGGGCAAAACTTTCATTCTTGAGAACGTTTTGGTTTTAATAAAGTCGATTGTGATCTGAATTTTTTTTTTTGAAGTGAAATATTTTGTTTCTGTATAAAAAGTTGCATAAATATGTTTGTACATTTTAAGTGAACATTTCTATATGTAGATATTTATTTATTCACTTTCGTTTTTATTTCTTTGTGTGTTATTTCGACTGAGTTGTCTTGCCAAATGTGGAGAATCATGCGGAGTGTCATTTGGCAAGCGTGAATTACTTAAGTTCTTTGTGGAAGTGATTAGAATCAATAAAATCATAAAATGAAATTAAAAATTGGATTATGGTCATTAACACGTTGAGGACGGCGCGGTTTTTGGGTGTCTGTCGCATCGGGCGGCGTTTGAGCATTTTCAACTCCGTCTAATTAATTCAGCTGTGCGCCACTGGTGGTTATGCATTGCTGTATCAAAAAGCGATTGTTTTTGCAGTTGCGTCGCCATTTATTTATTTTCTTTGTAATGAATGCCTTTATCTTTAGAGTCCGACCGAAACTATGTGCGATCTGAGATGGCAAGTGACGACCACGACTTAGCCGCGAGTAAGCCGAACGACGCACGATAATTCACGAACACTGAGTTTCGGTTCTGCCAAAAGTTTCAGCCAATTTTTGGCCGAAACCAAATTTGAAGCCAAAACTGAAACTTTAGTCGGTCACTATTTATTATAATATGTAATCTGAGTGACACATTTGATGACAAAGATGCAAGGCCCTGATTGTATAGGTGAAACGAGGAGAAGATATAACCCAACCAGTGGCGTAGTCAAAAATGAATAAGTCTCATTTCAAATGAGCCGTGTACCACCGGTGGTACACGCCGTCCCACAGACCAGACGCGTGTGTACCACCGGTGGTACACGCCGTCCTTAACGTGTTAAAGTTGCATAATTATAAAAATATTAATTTTATATACAACGTAACTTTAAATATAAATAAGGTTATGTTGTCTAAATTCATTTTTTAGTCATTTTAACCTCAAATATGCCTAATTTTTGCATTTTAGGCAACTTAACCTATTAATTAATACTAAATTCATTAAAACAATTGATTTATAATTTGCATAACCTTAAACTAAGTCTATTTCATTGGTTATAACTGTTAAAATGCATTTCTAACCTATTTTAACCTCAAAAATGTCAAATTTTTGTACATTTGCTAACTTATCGTTTTGATAAATACTAAAATCGCTAAAACAAATGATTTATAAGTTGCATAACCTCAAATATAAGTTATTTTTTGAATTATAATAGTCAAAATACATTTATAACCTATTTTAACCTCAAAAATGTCAAATTTTCGCACTTTTATTAACTTATCTTATTGATTAATACGAAAAATCACTAAACCAGATGATTTATAAGTTTCATAACCTAAAATTAAGTCTATTTCATTGGTTATAACTGTCAAAATGCATTTTTAACTTATTTTAACCTCAAAAATGTCAAATTTTCGCACTTTTATTAACTTATCTTATTGATTAATACGAAAAATCACTAAACCAGAAGATTTATAATTTGCATAACCTAAAATAAAGTCTATTTCTCAGGTTATAACTGTCAAAATACATTAATAACCTATTTTAACCTCAAAATGTCAAATTTTTGCACCTTTATTAACTTATCTTATTGATTAATACGAAAAATCACTAAAACAAATGATTTATAAGTTGCATAACCTCAAATATAAGTTATTTTATGGGTTATGTATCCCAAATGCATTTCTAACCTATTTTAACCTCAATTTTGTTCATTTTTTGAACTTTTGTTAAAATAACTTATCGATTAGTATCTCCTGGGTTGGTTTCTTCACCCAAGGTGCAAAGTGTGACTCACCTTACGACTAAAACGTCTCAACTTAAACGTTCGACACGCGATCGTGTATTAATACACGATCATGCTTTCAGCGCGCGCGATATTCCAATCGATTACGCCTTCAAACGTGAATTACGATCATCGCACACACACACCGACTAAACCGCACAGAAGTTCATTAAGTTTATTAACTCGAAGGTTCTTTTTTCATTCACAAAACAAGCAAAACTCAACAAAATCACTTCCTAAACATACACAATTTTAATTTCACACAGAAGAGTTATAATTTTTAATCTGCAGAGTGATTGTTCTCTTTCACTGGATTTTTTGTTATTTGTTTGTGCTTTACAATCACTTTTCGAAGATTTAGCCGCGGCGAGTGAAAGGTCACGATGTAAAGTTTTCTATAATAGCGCAAAACCGCAGAATGATTTTCAACTGGTGTTATTGTTGTTGGTGTAGGTAATTCTGAAGAAAACACACTGCTGGTGTTCTCGTTTGCAACAAATCGAAGTGCAGTCTGTCACAAGTTGAACTCGCGTTAAGCTGACTTAAGTCGTGCGCCCGAAAGTATTTCAAAACCGTTTTTTATTTCTTCTGCGAGCCGCAGCCGATGCACTTTGTCGTCGTTCGCAGGAAGCAAACACAGCCAACGAAGCTGGATGATGAAGCGCACGTTTCGCCTTTTTTGTAATTCTAATTATGATTTTAATGAACGCTTGTATTTCTTTCACCGAAAACCGTTTGTGTGAACTCTCACACGCGTTTTTAATTTTAATTCTATATCCGAAAACTTCTTAATACACAAAATATGTATTTATTTATTTAATTATTTTTAGAAAATTTATCAAAACTAATTCGAATTATCAAAGCACTTAAAGGTTTTAAATATATTTTTATAGTGTTTAATGTTTAGATAAATGTATTTATCTTTGTTATTAATTAAATAGTTTGTATTGTTTGTGTTTTTGGTGAGGAAGACGATCGCGAACAGTGCTCGCCGAGTGCGGAGCGCTGACTGGATGGCCGATGATGGCAGGCCGACCGCAGACAAACAGTAGAAGCAGGAGAATTGTAGGAACTGGAGGAATCATACACCGTCTAGTCTAGTCGTGCACTCGTTGTACATTCAACAGTTATTAACCGCTTACAAAGTATTAAAACGTTTACTATACACCAAACTAACGCCATCTATCGTAAAATAGGTTTAAAAATTGGTATTCAAGCAATTTTAACCTCAAAATAATTGAATTTAGATGTATATTAGGTAAAAATGATATTTTTCACGCCATCTATAGAAAAATAGGTTTATAAATTGACATCCCTACTAATATTATAAATGCGAAAGTCCCAATGTTTGTTACACTTTCACGCAAAAACTACTTAACCGATCATCATGAAAATTTGTACACATATTCTTAGTGGTCCCCGAATGGTTATAGGCTACTTTTTATTTAATAAAAAAAATATTTTTCAAATAAAATAAAGAAATTGTTTAGCCAATAATACCTCTGCATCTGGCTATTTGACTACTTTAACGCCATCTAGCATTCCAGCAATGAAGCTCAAACCTAAGTACTATAGTACCATCACACTGTATTATCACACTGTATTACCGACAGCTACGTCAACATCAAATCCAATTGACTACACTATGGAGACTGTACACTATACTTCCATAGACTATACTTCCCGCCATTCTACTTCATTGTTACTTCTTCTGTGACTACAGACGCGTACGGAAGCAACTTCATTATTTTAGATATTCGCGAGAGAAGCCAAGGGTTAAAGCTAGTTTAACATAATTTAACCTCAAAATCGCAAAATTTGCGGGTTTTACGGAAGATAATTATGTTTTTACGCTATCTATAATTAAATAGGTTAAATAATATCAATAAGCTTGTTTTAGCCTTAAAATAACTAATCCTGCGTCTGTTTAAAGAAAAATGTATGTTTTTCCTGCGCCATCTATAGTTAAATAGATAAAAAGTGACATGAAACCTATTTTAACCTCAAAATAACAAAACCTACGCGTATATAACCTAAAAATACACGTTTTTCACCTTTAAATATAAAAATATATCAAAATTACCTTTTTCAGATGTTTTTTCTATATTTTTCTTCCTTAAAACACAATTTTTGCAAATAAATTCCACCGCACAAACACAATACCAGCGTGGAATGTCCCACCAAGCACTAAAATGTAATGCACCTCCCGAAAGCAATACAATATTCAATAATATGTTTATCGCAAATTGGACCCGATTAATATATCACTGATAAACAATTCGGCGACATTCCAGATAAGATATAATACACTCTAAAAATAGACCAAAGTAAAAACGGCAACAATCTGAACAATGTTCCCTCCTGCTCCATTGCTAATCCTCCACGCCATATTTAAATTCACAGGCGGATCGTAATTATCATCCGAATTATTCCTGATGTAATTTTCACAAACAAACGCCGAACCTGATTTTCTCGGCGTGCATGGGATTTTCTCATTGTCTATAGTATAAACCTTTTGACCTACAATGTTACCTTCAGGTCGATAATTACATAGGACTTCATACATGTCCCATTTTGTATCGCGTACGCTATGCATAATGGCGCACCCGACGAACAGAGTCTTCTCCCATACCATTTGCGTGAATGTCGCGGTGCGTTGTGGATAGAATACCGGCACATAGGAATCATGTATCTCGGAATATCTTGCTTCGGGTAGAAGAAGTCCTGGGTTGAACCATGAATGTATCGCAGCTGATATTAGTTGCAGGCGTAGTTCAGAGAGGGTTTTGGTGTGTTGGGAGCCGCGACGCATGGAGAATATGTAACGGTTTTGTCCGAGGCGTGTGGAATCCAAGGCGATGCGCATTTTATCCGGGTGGTTGGAGCATTGTTTCGCGAAGCAACCAGCGATGAATTCACATTCTTTGTCGTAGCTTACAGGGATGTATCGGGGGAGTTTTGGTGGGAGAAGGGAGATGCCATTTCCGGTTGCGAGGCGTGCACGTTTGAGGTTATGGAGATGGATGATTAGTTCACGTTCTTGGTTGTTGAGGTCCTGGTAACTGGTTCCGGTGTGGCCGCATTTGGATGATCGCACGCAGTGGTACATACAGGGTGTATTGCGTTCGTGTTGCGCGCAGTAATCGAACATATCCGCTTTCTGGGATGATGATATTAGTTGGAAAGGAAGTAGGAGGATGAGTGTAAGGGTGATCATTGTATTTTGATTTTATTTTTGATTTTTTTAAATGACAGGTGTTACAAATTGTGTGCAAACTGTAGGCAACCAAATGATATTGGGAGTTTTGTTTGTGTTTGAGTGCTTATTTTAAAATAATCGGTATTGAAAACATGTAAAACTAGTGTTAAAGTTGTTTTTAATGTCGATAAGTACCTCCTAGCGCCCTCTGTGAGAGAATTATAGAAGTTTATGGAACAAGATTGCTAGCCAAACAAAAATATGAATAAAACTGGATTTTCAGTTTATAAAACACAATATTATGTTATAAAACAACTAAAAACCCCAAAACAAACCATAATTTATCCATATTAGGCACTAAAAACACTCAAAACATAAAAATTATCGAATTATTCAACTTTAAATTCTCTAAAAACAGTTTGACATTCACTGCTTGAATTCCGTAGTCACCTAACCTGTAAACATATAAATCTGCTGATCTGTGTCCATGGATGTAGTACCCTTCACGTCGATGATCCGCAAATAATTCAAAACAAGTTTTGAAAATGGAGGTGCATGATGTGATAATAATCCTCCAGCGAGATCAAAACAAGCGCGCTCCTGATCTGGAATCCTACGATTTGATATGCCGCGTGTGTCTGGACCCTTGCAAACTCGACGAGAAGAAAAAGTGCCGGAATATTCACGAAGAGGAGGCGCAACTCGTCATCAGATCATTGATAGAAGTCTACACTTATGTGAAGGTACCATATCTTTTATCTATATGTTCAATATTCAAACCATTCAAACATATAACTAATTTTACTTTGAATTAATTTTTTATATGGAAATCATTACAGATTCCGGAATTTCCGGATAATTTACCACAGAATATTTGTCATCGATGTTTGGATTTCTTGATAAATGTACATACTTTCCGAAGTCGATGCAGATTAAATGAAGATTTACTCCTGAAAGTCCGTCAAAGGACTTTGGATAAAACTTCGTTTGAAAAAGGAATAACTACTGGCAGTAAAGATCCAGAAGATAGTTTATTCCCTGATCAAACACAAAAGTTGATAAATAAGATAAATGATGAACGAATGAATATTTTCCGATGTAAAGATTGTCATTTAATGTACGATACGAAGAAGGACCTCAACAAACATCGTTCTGAAGTGAAACATTCTCGTAGACCTGCCAGTCAGTGTCCACACTGTGGAAAAATGTTTAATACTTCTGCTCTGGTGCATCATCTACGTGTGCATACGAAAGAGAAGCCATTTTGTTGTGAAACATGCCATGCGTCGTTTGCAATCAAAGCAAATCTACGGCGACACATGAAAAGCCATCAAAATGAACGCGCTTACACTTGTGAAGTGTGTGGAAAATCATTTGTACGCTCAGAATCACTAACAACACATTTAAAAGTTCATGAAACGAAAAAAGAAAAAGATGAAGCGAATGATAACGATTCACTTACCTCAAAGAAACAATTTTCATGCACGCAGTGTGATAAGTCATACTCGACTAACGAACAGCTTAAAATTCACAAACGTTACCATCTACAGACGTTTTTATGCCCGGAATGCGGAAAAGTATTCTCGACAAAAGCGAATTTGATTACTCATCGACGCGTGAGTATAAATAAACATGTATATCTGGTTGCCTAACTAGTCTAACCTATGCTTGTTACTAACTAGGTACATACCGGTGAGCGGCCATTTGTCTGCACAGTATGCAACAAAGGATTCACCCAATCGTCGTCGTTGCGCACACATCAAGTCATCCACAGTGGTAGTAAAGATTATCAATGTAAAGTCTGTTATCGTCGATTCGGGGTGCGTGGTAATTTAATCGCGCATGAGCGTACACATACAGGAAACACACCGCATCGCTGCACGATTTGTAATAAAGGTTTCTGCACGTCAAGCACGTTACGTAAGCACATGCGCAAACATGAAAACACGAACGCAAACGAATCACAGGAAGTAGAATACGAGCAGGACGATGCCCAAGAAAACCAAAATGACGAAGCAGATTATGTTCACATCAAACAAGATGAACAAGACGAAGAAATAGTCTTCGAAGAATACGAACAAGATATAACTGGTGAATATGTCGATGAAATTGAAGTAATCTACGATGGAACAGAAGAGATAGAAACACAAGAAGTGATTTATGAAGATGAATATACAGATGAGCAACAAAATGGCGGCGAGGATGACATGTACATCACCGCTGACGATGCACTCATCCAATAATCGTAAGCATAATCATAACATGAAACTTTACTGCATTTATTGATTGATATTGAAATGAATACGTGTGGATATAAATAATGTGACATGATTAGATAATATTCTTTGGTGATGCTTTCACGCTGCTTCCCTGCCTTCTTAAGCAACAGATTCGCAAACAGAAACAACTACACAACAACCTGAGTAGTTTCGCAATGCCTAAACATTGTGTACAGCCTAGAATATTCACAACAAACTCAAACAGCAGAAGGAAACCGATTGCTGTGCCGTAGATTGCAGTCACAAACGGTAGGGCAATCGAAAAGGATTCGTAAACTTCTCCGCAATCTTCAGGTAACAACAGGGAATATCCTTTAAAAGGACGGAATGGATAACAAATAGTTGTAAGGTTTAAATTTGCGACGTATAACAAACACGCCGAGCATGTTATGGTCGCTAGTAGATAGAATTTGTAAGTTGAAGTTGTTACACAGGTGTCAATCCTGTAAAAAATCAATTTTAGGATTTAAATAATCAAAAAATGATGCAAATATCTTACCAGTACTTGTGTACGGTTCCATCGGTCTTGTAAATGTGACAAAACTGACAATAATATGAAGTTTTATCACTTGAAATGCCTTCTTGTAGACGTTTAACATCGCAGTGAATTTTCGCAACGCATATCATCGATGTTACTATGAGAGCTATCATTAAAATGTTCTCCCGTGGTAGGATTAGTAACCAAGGGACTACGTAGATCTCAAACACGCCGATTATTATTACAACTGAGATGGCCATCCACATGGCGAAGAATTTCGGTAGCATCATTGCGCTTTTGATGCTATCCACACGATTATCATGGCGATTGCGCCGGAGATGATCGTGCAAGTCAGGTTTAGAGTCGCGATGAGGATTAGGATGGGTACGTAGACGAAGGGCATGCCCATGGAGATTTGTTTCGCGCCGCCGTACCATGGTATTCGCATTCTGTCGCGTAGTGTCAGCAGAAGAGAGTGTTTCAGTTGGTTTGGGAGAGGGTTACATGTGATTAATCTGCAAATAATGAAATAAGTTAATATGGGAGCTCCGCCTACTTTTGTTGAGTCATGGGCGGGGCTTAGAAGGTAAAAGAGGAGTGTTTAAAGGTATATTTGATGAGTTTATGTTAATTTTGTGTTTGGTTAGAGTGGAATTTGTGGGAATTATTGGATTTAGTGGGTTTGGGGAGGTTTATGATTAAATTTACCTTTCAAAGGATTCGTCCAGTTGATAACAGTTGCAGCAGCAAGCTAACAGATGATTACGTTCACCTTCGAGATCATAATATTCACAGCAACAGAGATCTGGCATCTGGTTGTTTATTTCAAATGATTTTGCTTGTTTATAATTTTGTGGTCAAGGATTGTGTTGCTATGTAACCGAACGAACACAGACGAGAGGAGAAGAATCGAATTGAGAAAGTTGGGTTAGAATTCGACATACAGAGTAAAATATACAACATTTTCTTTTAAAATCTGCCAAAATCGTCCTAAAACGTGATTTATTTAATAATCAGTGTGTTAATATAACTAAATTTCTATTTATTATTTATTTAAAGTAAAAGAAAATAGTTCTAATGTAAAAGTATAATTTTTACATTTAACTTTAACACTTTGTATCTCAATAGTTATTCGACATTATTGAATGATAGCGCCATCTAGAGTAAAATATTGAAACGACGTTTGTTTGCCCCCCAAACATTTCGCGCTCATTCATTGCAACCGAGTCTCCAACGATTATCACAGTTTATTTCATCGTATTTTGCAATTATTTAGCGTTATATTAGCTAAAATCAGTGCGTTTTATACACTTTGACTATCTGTGTGCTTAATCGTATAAAAAGTGATTTGTGGTTTGTGTTATTCAGTGTATTCTGGAAACAAATGCAATCTCTATGCTTTGCCAACTGCTTAACCTGATCAACACTAAACTGAAATACGCATTATAACAATCACTCAAAATCTATTTTGTATTCTAAATTATTAATAACGAAAAACAAATAAAAATGCAAGCACAAACACGTCTCTCATTCAATACATCGTTGAAGAACGCACGCATCTTTGATGAGGTAATATTCAACACAATAAAAATTCATCAAAAAAATGTTAATAAAACACGTTATTTACAGAATTCCGACGATGAGAACGAACCATTAACATTCGACAAACTAATCCAAGAAAGTAAAGCACGAAAGTCTAAAACTGAGACTCCCACAGCGAAAATTAAACAAGAATCAAGTGAAGAATCTCCGAAAGGTGTCAAGTTTGATCTGTCCAATGTCAAATCAGAGAAAGATGATGATAATTTATGCATATCATCAGCAGTGTCTGAACTGCAACTGCTCACACCAGTCAAAAACGAAGACGATGATAAATCCAAGGTGAATCTCAAAAGTGCCAAGAGATCATTGCTGAAACAGCGAAATTCGCCATATGCCAAAGAAGCGACGCCAACGTATGCAACCCGTTCGACAAAACCGATGCAAACCGAAGGAAATCTCTACGAGCAGTTGGAAAACGCCAAGAAAAACTTGAATGGTGGAAATAAACGGAGTGTTGAGACTGATCCCGAAGTGTTAAAACGGAGGCAGAAACAGATTGACTTTGGAAAGAACACGATCGGTTATGATAATTATATCAAAACTGTACCAAGGTAAAGATTTATAACCTAAAATATTATACAGGGTGTTTATTTTATGTTTTTTTGCATTTGTTTAGACATGAAAGAAAACCTGATGATCCAATGACGCCAAACAAACGCCGCATCTACTCCCGCCGCGGTTTTGACGGTTTAATCAAACAATGGCGACTAAAGTTGCATAAATACGACCCTTCCGAGTAAAAAACCAAACAATTCTTCACAGTAGGCTATTTTTGTACATATATTATTCAATACTTGTTCAATTGCAGCACGGAAACGCTCAAACAATGCGGAAATGTCATTTTCTTCTGATGTTTTACAAAAAATGACATTTTTGCAATTTGTTTCCCGTGCTTCAATTCAAAACATTCTTTTATTTATCTAACCTCCAACTTATTTTTACAAAGTTGTAACTTTTAATATTTAGCCGTAAATAATGTTCAAATTTAACATAGTGATTAAAGTTAAGAAATAATTTTAAGCGACACTGCGCATGCGCAGCTCAATTATTCTCATCGAACGTCAATCCGGTTCCATGCAGATGCTTCTCAATGAACACATCAAAACGATGGCTGAGTTCATCATCCATGTAGTTCTTCCAATCACCAACGATACCTTTACGCACCAGATTAGTACCCATTAATAACTCAAAATTACACCCAGGATTATTCCTCATGTTATCAATGGTAAGAAAAGCGCAAATGCGATTTACATCATCAGTACTCAACGGACGTTCCATAAAATCTGACAATCTTTCAATTCCTTCCTTAGGATCACGTACGAAATCCTCATATTTAAGGAATAAGAGATTCATATCATCGCGGTGTTGCCAATATGGAAGATAATGGTCGAAAACGTTGCCAATTGGCACGTTACCAGCGAGAAACATCTCTGCAAAGTCTGCGAAGGTCACATTCACGTTGTACATCATCCTACAGTGGTGGTAATATGAAACACAAAGGTCTTTTGGATGACGAGCCATGTAAATCACCTAAAAATAAGTTTTATTGGTTGAAATAAGGTTATTTTGACATAAAAAGTGATATAACCTTGGGTTTGACCTTGTGGAATTGACGTGGGAGAAATTTGTAAGTTAGGTGACTCTTTACACACCGTGGTGATGGCCAATTGTTGCAGATCTCAACGGAATTGCCGAATTTCTGCACGAAATCTTCATATTCAGCGAAATAAATCCCCAATCTAGTAAGTTTAATGTTTTAATATACAAATTAATTAATATTTTATTAATTACTCAATCATAGGTGCTCGTAATTGTTGAATTGTTCCTTTTGCTTTGTCAAAATCCAAATCATTCGCGATTAACCACACCATTTCTTGTAACCATGTTGAACCTATATAAAAATCAAGTTTTAAAGTTGGTACGTTGACATATGACAGACATAACCTAAAAGTTTTCATGTTTGTGTGTTTAGTGTGCAGCAGTTGTATGTTTGTGTGTGGTGAAGTGCAAATGAAGAACAACCGGAAATGCAATGACCAAATACACGCGGCGATCGCGGCCGGTCATAAATATCACTTTCTCGTGGCCGTGTCCGTTGCAGTCCGACGACATTCTGCCTCGCAAGGTAAGCAAACCAAAAGATCAATTAGAAATTGGAAAATTTTCTGTCACAGCCAATCGATTTTATAATTAAATCACCACGAAATTGAATTTATTACTATTTATATCATGATTTAGGGCGTGAATGTTACGAGGTGATAAAATTTTTCAACGCGTGAAAGTGCTCGTAAATTTACACCTTACTTAAGTGCACTTGTAGTGCAAAAAGTAGAAAAACCACGCAGCGTCAACTTTTCAACTCTGTGGCACACAAATTTAGTCATTTGCAATTTGAGATTATAATTTACGAAATTACGCGCGTTGCACAACATCCACTCGGAATTTAATGCAATAAAAACAAACAAAATGGCGGCGGTGTTAGGAAACATACAGTATAATCAGGAAATGGTAGTGTTGCAAAGGCAAAGTTTTAGTTTGTGAGTTAAGTTAAGTTAAAGTTAACTTAGTGACAATATCTGGACATGGTTAGAGATTTGAGGACGCGGAGTGCACCTGCGCAAGTCAGCGTGACTTTCAAATGTCGCGGTGCATTAGTTGCATTAGTTATTGCAAATCGCAGAATAAATAATGTGTATGTTGAGCAAGTGTGGGCCAAGCCACAATTTCATCAACTTTTACATAATCTGCGCATTATTCAACTACTTAAAAATATTTACTTAGTATTTTGCGCATGCGCAATAAAAAATATTTTTTTTGTATTTTTGTATTCTTACCTGTTTTCGGGTAGCTGATGACCCAGACATCATCCTCGCGTACTTCAGCGTCGAGAATCTCTTTTGCCATATTGTGAAAATTCTCTGGTAGCAATAATCTGCCCGGTTTGTACTCCCAGAAACTATCAGCGTACCCGAAAGCTTCGTCTAACATCTGCGCATGCGGACCTTTCAGCAAACTTTTACTTATCTCTTCGTCACCCATTTTAAGATTAACACAAAATTTTCTATAAAATTTCTAAAGAGTTTTATTAGATGTACTGGTACTTGAGAGTCGCGCTCTAATCAAGCGCGAGTGCGCGCGCGTCGAAATTTAAAGAAAATCCACGCCGTGTTTAGAAAAAGTGGGGAAAATGCATAAAATGCATCAACCGCATCAACTTTCGTCTCCGCGCGTGTTTGTTTCCTTGTTTACGCTGCGCTGCGCATGCGCACAATATCTGTCACGTTAGATGGGTTGCCTATGAGTATAATAATTACACTGGGAAGAAAAGCAAACAAACATTCACAATCATTGTGATTTTCTTTTCTTTTCTCATTGTTATTGTTATATTTTTTAAACATTTCCTCATGTAGTCTACTTCCTCAACTCAATTCACAAACAAACATTTTAAACAATCACTTATATCTAAAGTACCAAGGCGTGTGTTTATGTTTGTATAGCTTAAAAATCGCATAGAAAAACGTATAATTTAATGACGCAGAGTGTTTAAGTAGAGATTAATTTTATCATCGCAATAAGTTTCACTTGGCGCCATATTTCTTAAAGAAAAACAGTCGATTGCTCTCATCTTTTCGAAACTCATCATTCGGATCATGATGCGCTATCCATCTATCAAAGATATCAATAACATCCGCACACATTTGCGCGCGATAATTCCCCACGATTCCTGCGCGCGTGAAATGACCTTTATCGTTTTGACAGAGGCCGAATTGCTTGAGGAAACTCGTCACTGATTCAAAATGGCGCTCGTTGACCTTGCGCACTGTGTCATAATTCAGATGGCGCACCAGTTGCTCCAATTCGTTGTCATTCACTGGTTTATCGAAGAATTTGCAAAAACGACGCAGACTCGCACCGAGATCTTTCTTCATTTCTTCATAAGTGATGTAGAACATGTTTGGCGCGTTGCGTTTCGACCAATAACTCATGACATTCGTCCAATATGGCGTGTAATTTACTGTTGGGTAAAAATTAAGGTTAGGTTTGTGTATATTTGGTTGTAGGAAGTGAATTATTATAATTTTTGCATTACATTGGCAAAATATGATATATAATTTAATGTTGAATAAAATTTAAGGTTAGATTAGTGTATATTTGGTTGCAGGAAGTAAATTTAAATTTTTTTGCATTTCCGCGTTGCTTTCTGATAATTATCGTGAATTATGATAATTGTTTGGATGTGAAAGCGTTATAATTACGTTTGTTGGTGGTGAACAGCTGCCAGAACGTTTCGAAATTGCCTTGGTAGCCCTCGACGATCGAGGAGTGATGAAAGTAGGCAACACACGTGTCTTTAGGATTACGCGCAACGTGAATAATCTAAAATTAAAGAAAAAAACAATAAAAAATTATATTTTACATTATAAATCAGTTGCATACCTTTGGTGTCCGTTGAAACGTCCGAATTTGCCTTGGTAGCTTTTCCCATGGTAAATGGGTCTTGATAAACCTCGGACGTCGCGCTTCTTTTACCAACTGTATCGATTTACAGATTGGATTATTCGCCATTGGACTATCACTACGTACGTGTCGACGAAAATCAAAAACCGTGCAATATCTAAACATTTTAAACATTTTGAGGTTAGGTTATTAAAATTTACATTATGCTTACTCTAGATATGGTACACGTATAGGTAAGGGCTCTTCTATACCGGCATAATCGAAATTGTTGGCGATGCACCACGCTATCTCGCTTGTCCATGTGCTGCCTTCGGAAAAAGTCGGTAAGTCAGGTTTCTAACCTCAAATAGTACATACCTGTTGATATTACGACGTTTTTATCAAACATAACCTTATTTCGTGACTATTATATGACAATACCTGTTTTGGGAAAGCTGGTAATCCACACATCGTCGTCATAAACTTCAAAGTCATCGATCGCGGGCCAAAACTCGGCGAAACTTTGCGGTAGCGTGCAGCCTCCGTAGTCCTTGCTCGGTGAGCGGTAATTATGTGCGTAGTATTTATTCTGTAGCATATCCAATGATTCTTCGCTCAAGAACGCATAGCGTTCTTGCTCCGCTTCCGCCATTTTTTTGTTATTTTTGAGACTTTTTAAGTTTTTAAGTTTTAAAGTGTCGCGCAGGTGATTTGAACGCGTTTAAGATCAAAGTGTTACTTGATGAAAATTGCGGTAATAAAGAAAAGCGCGACGGGTTCGATTAGCGCGTTGTGCGATGTGTGTTGTGTGTTGACTGTGTGAAAAGCCTGCGAGATTGTGTCAAAAGTGCGGCGTTATCTAAGTTCACCGCGTTTGACGACTTCGTGACTGAGATTCGAGCGCGCGGTTTGTGCGTCGCACGCGTTCATGTACACACAACCGTCGGAGGTGTGTGTGAGCGCGCCAGCCTTGAGCTGATATTAGAGACGAGACGATTTATTAATGTTTACGTACTTCACACATTCACACATGCACTTGGCGCGCATGCGCGTGCAAAAACAAACAAAATGGCAACTTATTTTACGCTAGGAAGGGGGGAATTTTTCATTTAATACCGGTATTTTTTAGACTCAAAATATATCGGTATTAGAAAATATTACAAAATACCGGTATTTGAAAATTAAAATACCGGTTTTTCGGTATACCGGTATTTTTAAAAACCAGAATATTTATACCGGGAGTAATATTGTATTAAAAATAAAAATACCGGTATTTTAAACCAAAAAAATAACCGGTTAACCGAAATACCGGTATTTTTTACACGTAAAATGCTAAAAAATGAGTATATTTGTGACATCAAACAATAATTATTTATTAATCGCCTCTTTGTGTGGTCGTACATTAATTTTTGGATTAGATAAACATGCGTCGGAGGTCGAAAGAACATAACCTCGATATGGTATTGTTTCGACACTCATTCACACAACCATTATTAGAGTTATAAACGTGAAATCGTAAGTAAGTACATACATGTTACAGCTGAATGGTAACATAACCATACAAAGTGTGTGTTCTGTGTGTGTGTGGACATGGATCCGTGTCATATTTATGCGTGTGTGTGGGGTTTAAAGTTACACTTTGATATGCAAAAATAATACTGTACAGAGACATGTGTATAGTCAGTGGATATGTACAGAGTCACATCGTCACATCTCCTCACATCAATCCTCACAGTAGTTATAATATTGTATCATAAATCTTATCATATGCATGTCAAAAAAGCTCACTTTTTTCCTCTGTTAGCTTTGTTTGTACATTGAAAACCTCAAAAACAAAAAATATAATCGTAAAGTTAGGTTAGGTGCGCCTGTAATAGGCGTTGTCCCCCTCTTCTGCTGTCAACGCAGAGCAACTCGTATTAGGATCATATATATCCCTGATGTTGCAAAATGTGCAAAAACCAGACCTGTGGTGTGTTTTATGATTTTACCAAACACTGCATTTGTTGGTCGGGTTCATCGGCGAGCCCAGAGAGCAATTGTATGCTTTTGCAAAGTCCCATGAGTTTGATAATGGGCCCAGGACCCGGATGGGGCCTGGGGAGTGCACGCTAGAGCGGATTTTTGTCAGTGCGTCCTCGGGACGCATTGATCCGCACCATATCTGCGCGTAATTTAGGAAAAAGAGTTGGTCATGCGTTAGGTTCAACCCGGGGAGGTCGGGTTCTTCACCATGTTGCGAAACCCATTTTCTGTATGCCTAAAAGTGAAAATATTGAGTTTTAGGGTTAAAAAAAGTAATTTTAAAGAGGTTATGTTAAAGTTAGGTTATATTTTAGGTTAGGGTATGTTATAATTTAGGTTGGGTTAGGTTAAGTTATGGTACATTATATTCTAGGTTAAATTTAGTTAGATTAGGATATATTTTAGGTTATGTTGTATTTTAGGTTAGGTCAAGTTAGGTTAGGTTATATTTTAGGTTAAGTTAGGTTATGTTACATTGATTTTTAACATTTTTCAATTATTTTTGTAATTTTGCTTACCCTGAATGATTGTTTAAGTCCCCGTTATCAGCAATATTCTCCCCCTGCGTCATACGTCCGTTAACATAAAGCCCCACCTCGTCAATAAGATATCGCGAGTACTGATCGATGATGCACTGCGCACGATCGCGAAATGCACGTATCGTCGCATTATTCCACCATTGCATCATATTGCCGTCTTTGTCAAATTGCCTTCCTGGAAAGAAATAAATGTCACCTCACCTCGTAAAACAATTGCAACACAGTAGTGTACGAGTAAGTTGTTTAATGGGGTAATAAATAACATTTTATTATTACCCTTATCGTCGAAGCCGTGTGTAATCTCGTGGCCGATGACGACGCCAATGCCGCCGTAGTTGAGCGATTTCGGAAAGTGTTGGCTGTAGAAGAGCGGCTGCAGAATGCCGGCCGGAAATACAATGTCGTTTTTATTCGGGTTGTAGAACGCGTTTACAACTGCCGGTTCGGTGGACCACTTATCTTTATCCACTGGCTGGCGTAGTTTGTTCAGGTTCTGCTCGGCGTCGAATTTTAGGACGTGGAGGATGTTTTCCATGAATGTTTCTTTTGTTATGTTTAACTAGAAGGGAATAAAATGAGTTTAGTAGGGTATATTATAGGTTATGTTGAGTTAGGTTATGTTGGGATGTTTTGATTGTCAAAAATTTGAGTGGAATAGGTTATATTTTAGGTTATGATAGTTTATATTGTGTTAGGTTATGTTGAACGTCCATAACATCAGTATAATAGGTTATATTTGAGGTTATGTCATGATAGGTTATGTTGAAATGTTTTGATTGTCAATAATTTGAGTGTAATAGATGATATTTTAGGTTATGTCAAGTTATATTAGGTTAGGTTATGATAAATGAGTTTAATAGATGATATTTGAGGTTATGTTGACTTACACTGGCGTATTCCAGAACGAGCGCATCCTTATCAGTGATGAGTTGCGGATATCCGATACGTTCGTTCATGGCGTCGGCTTTTTCCTTGGCGACAGCTCGGGTTTCATCATCCATCCAATCGTTGTCCGCTAATAAATCATTGAATGCCTCACGAATTGTATGAATCATCGTCAGAGCAGTTTCCTATACACACAAAATAAAAAGAAAAAACATTTTCACATCTCCGACATTTTAAACGTAAGTAAGTAAAATTACTTTGCTCTCATGATTGAAGTTGTCCTTAATAAACAGCGCCCCGACCGCCATTCCTAGCTTTTTATTCGTCCATTCAACGCACTGCGACCATCGATGCCGTTCACTGAGGATCCCGAGAAGAATTTTCCGGAATTCAATACGTTCGCGTTGATAGTCATCAATCATATGCGGAACCAGTGCCATTATTAACCTCCAAAGCACGTAATTGTGGATAATCCTTCAGAATTAAAATAATTTAAGGTAAGTAAATAATATTTTGATTTTTTTTGTGAATGTTTACACCTTCGATCTGTCTTGGCGATAATCTTGCCCATTTCGATGAAATAGGATAAACCGTAGGCAACCACCGGTTCATTATCCGTGATTTCTGCTTTCAAAAATGTCCGGAGATACAACGCCCAGTTAATTTGCGGTACTATGCTTTGAAGTTTTAAGAGTGTCACTTTTTTATAGATGGCGCTGGTATCATGACGATCAGCTTCCGGTAACGATGCCTAAACACATCACATAACCTATTATTACATCCATATACATTTTTTCAATATTTTTCGACTTCCACTTTTAAAATGTCACTTTTTCTACGGTTTTGAGGCACGAAAAGTGCATTTAAATACTTTAGTCACGGGGTTGAACTTGCGCCTGCGCGTATGCTTACGGTAGATTTCGAAGTTTTAAAATAAAAAGTTCAAATACAAAAACTAAGCGTGGTTAAAGTACCATTTAGCGCACTTGATACTTATTCTACCATTTAAATATTTATAAGACTTACATTAGCCATTTCTTTCTCAAACTCAACAATCTGCAGCAACTCCTCAGCGGCTGTAGTCTTATTAGCTCCAAGAAGCAGAGCAATATTCGTCATGTATTTGTGATACGCTTGTAGATCACCTTCACTGCTCCCCTTCAAGTAGTAATCCCTACTCGGCAGGCCCAATTGCATCTGATCCAGCTGGAAAACCCAAATTAATTCATGCACACACATAAATAATGTTTTTCTTTAAATTGTTTATGCTTATGAAAAGGATTCGAACGTAAAACGGCATGCGAACGTGTGTTGTGGGCTACTTCTTACTTTGTGCGCACCTGGATGATGTTAATTGAGCTGTTTTTGTCGTCCGGGCCCACCCACTGCTCGATGAGGATGCCCTCATTGTGTATCCCGCGTATCCGACCCAGGAGTTCTTCGATACTGAACGTGGGCGCTTGCCAATCTGGTTCTGCCACTGGCCATCCACCCAAACTTTTCAACACCGCACGGAGAGGTTCATCACCGATTTTATGTATCTGATCTGTAAGTATACAAAACCTAACCTTATTCTAAAGCTTTTAAAATGTTTTTGGGGACTTACGTGTATCCATACATGAATTGTAAAAAGTTTTAGCTTTAACAGCTGCTTCATGATCGTCGCTTGCGATTGGTTCTTCCAAAACACCTGGAGGGGGATTAATAGATGGTAAGTTAGGTTATGTGTGTTTTGTATGCGGGTAGATGGTTATACCTTTGAGTATAACTTGTAGTTGGTCGGCCATTACTTCGAATGTGCTTATCGAACTGCGGTCCTCGGGGATAATGTGTTTTTTATTCCACGTGCCGCACGCGTATTGAAAGAAGTCGTCGCATGGGTCGGCGTCGTGATTCATTGCCGACATTAGAGAGGCCGCTACAGGTGGTGGGAGTAAATTAGAATTTATTCGGAAACACTTGGTATTAAATGTTGGTATACCGGTATTTTTTATTTTCAAATTTAGATATTTTTAATATATTTAAAATTTAAAAAATACCGGTATTTTGAAAACCGGTATTTTTAAAATTCAAATACCGGTATTTTTTATTTTCAAATTTAGTATTTTTTGATATAATATTACTTCTGATATATAGCGAAATACCGGTATTTCAAACATAAAATACCGGTTTTACTATCGGTATACCGGTATTCATGATATACTCGTGCTCATCACTTTACGCAATTATTTTTCAATCTCCAACGCAAATAGTTTACGCAGATTGCCAACCACTTTAATCGAAACTTGCCGCAGTCCTTGCCGCACTGGGGACGACCACCGGAAATCTCATTAACATTGCAATTTGTGCAACTGCGACGCACGTCGTTAACCGCAAATATATTGCAAGTGCAACATAACCCCATTACCGCGTGTATTTGAATCTTATAAAAGCACTATTAATTTCCTGCGGTCGGAAACGCCGAAATGAAAAATTTATTTAATCTCTTAATTGCTTTTTTTTGTCTTCTGTGCTTTGATGGTGGAAACCTGACCAGAGACATTTTCAATTGACTTGATGCCATCGAGTGATAAAATGTGGTCGAGTCCGAAAGGTCAAAGTGTAAGCTATCGAACGTCAAAAGACAATGGCGCGGTGACATCGCCACTGGTCCGAGAGTTCAATTTACTTTGAAAGCCGGAAATTGCATTCCCCCCAACCCCCAGTGCGTTCAATAGTAAAGATTTCATTTGATAGAAACAACTGTGGACCAAAATAAAATGTCACAGAGTCACCGAATGTCTTCCTGCGGCCATTTTATTCTTTTTCTTGTCATGAGATTAAATTGAAGATTTTTTTTTGATTTTTGAGGGGAAACTTACCTGTCCGTACGCATTCTTCTGTGAGGCAGACTTTTCTTTGTTTTTCTGTAAAAACGAAAAATATACAGAGTGTTTTTACCATAAAAAAGGTAAAATTTATAAAAACTGCGCAGTTTAATTCGTGTTTTTTGTGTTTTCTACTTGAAAAACTTGTTTGAAGCGCGGTCAATAACAGATTGACGATTAATCACACGCGGCGTGATTTGTGGCGTTGTTAATTAGCCTAAATAGCGATGCGTAGGAATGTCAATGATAATATACGATGTGTGAACACGCGTAAATCAGTCGTTTTGCAATTGTCGGCCGGCGTTCGAAAGTGGTTCGGCCCAAAATCGGCGCAGCGCGACGCAATTAATTTGAGGAATTGCGCGCCTTATTAAAGCATATTTAATGGGCGCACGCACGACTTTCGGCACTGGACCACACCGCACCTTGACACGCATGACCGAATTTCCCTTTTTCGAGGTGCGCGCCATAATTGCAGCTAAATGAAAACATTCATCACGAAATCAATATCAAAAGTGATATGAAAGCAGCGATACAAATCGAAGATGATTAAATATTTACTGGTATAAATTTATATACAGGGTGTTTGAAGCAATTTATAATAAAATTATGTTTTGGGCTACTGCGCATGCGCAATATCAACAGTGATATTAAAGTATCAAGATAATTAAATATTTACTGGTGCAAAAATATATACAGGGTGTTTTTTAATGATATAATTATGTTCTGGGCTATTGCGCATGCGCAGTAAAAATATAACTTACGTGTATTTGAACAAGGTGTATTCTGCGCAGTGTTTACAAGCAGCAGAAGAGCAACACCAGCAGAAAAGAGTAGAACAACGAGGGCGGCGAGCAGACACCTCTCCTTGGCACGTTCAGCGCGTCCAGGCAGGACCATCGTCCGAGTACCGGCTGAAGATACCTGCACCACTGTGTTCACCGTGGGCGCGCCGGCAAGCAGCGGCCCACCGGCCGCCTCCTGCAGATAGCCGTTGTTCGCCGCCGCCACCGCCGCCGCGTCCTTCCACCCGTCGCAGACGGTCGCGACGCGATCGTTGAGCGGTATCGGGATGGGGATGTCGCGCGTCGGCGACGACCGCCGATTGTTTTTCATTGCTGTTCTTCACTCGACGGCGGGCGGAGGCGGCTCAGGACATAACCTCCGCGCATCGCCAGACGGCATGTGGGCCGAATCAGTGTGCGAATATTTCGTCTGCAGAGCGAGTGTGCGAGGTGCGCGCTGCGGCGGCGGACGCGGTGCGACTGCGGGCCGGCGGCGTAAACACGCGGATCGATGCGCGGCGGCAGGATGCGAGTGCGGTGGGCGGTGTGGCGGCTGCTTCGAGCTACGTCGAGTGCTGCCGTTGCGCGACTGAGCGTCTACCGCCGCACTGAGCGGCTTTTATTCGCGGGCGCGATGAGAGCGAAAGCGCGGACGCGACAAAGACGTTTCGGGGCTGTCCAACGGGGAGATTATCTCAAAGGAAACAAATATTTAATTTGGTTTTACTTGGGATTATATTTTAGAAGGTAAAAAGAGAAGATTTCTTCAATTATTTTTCGAAAAATTTTAATATTTTAACCAAAAAATTTGATTTTTCAGATTTTTTTCGGATCCAACAGGAAGAACATCTCCAACAATGCAAATATTTAAGGTAAATTTACTTAAAATTGAATTTTACAAGGCAAAAAGATGAAATTTTGGGTTTTTTTCAACAATTTTTCGAAAAAATTTAATTTTTTAACAAAAAAAATCGATTTTTTGATATTTTTTCTTGCACAGAACGAAGAATATCTTCAACAAAACTAAAATTTAATCTAGTTTAATTTAAAATTGCATTTTATAAGACAAAAAGATAAAATTTTAGGTTTTTTTTTAATTATTTTGCCAAAATAATAATAATTGAATTTTTCAACAAAAAACTTAATTTTTTTCAATTTATTTTTGCTGAAAATAATTTTTCCATTTTTCGTAGTATTTACTCTGGATTTCTACATTTAGCCATCTGCTTTTGTTGATGGTGAGCATCCGCAGCAACACAATTCTGCGCCTTGGCGTCCGTGACGCTGATAGCGTGTGATAAAATCAGTTCATCATTTGTGCACAAAACTCCCACTTTGTTGTTCTTTCGCCGTTGTCCTCGGCGCAGTCGCTGAATTGAAATTCACAAAGGAGGCATGCGAGCGTAAGTTTCTGGTTGAATTTGCGCGCAGCGAGGCGCGCCGTAATCCTGTGAAAAGTTTTATCGGCGAATCGCAGCCGTGCCGAATATGGAATATCAATTCGAAAGCCATTCCGGCGCGCGCGCTGCGAAAATCTTTCCACGATTGCGATGCGATGGGCCGGACGTGATCGTGTCGCATCCAAGCGCAAGAGCGCAAAAAAATGCAAACACGCGCGCGGAGAGGAGGCTCTTCAAAATTGGAATTCGCAGCGAGGCGGACGCATTCGCCAATTGAAATTTGAGTTCGATCGATTGAGCATACACTCATGCACATATATTTGTGTTTGTGGATAAACAATTCCGGTAGTAAATCAGTCAAAATCTTGTTTTCTTTAAGGATTTGCAAGTAAAAAGTCTAAACTTTAATATTTTTTGTTTGTATTCTTCCGAAATACTTTAAAACACTTCCCAAAAGTTGAATTTGTTCTTTAATTACCTCAAATTAGTATGGATACACATTTTATTATGAATTAAATGTAAAAATACTTTACTTTTTGCTTAGAACAAGAAATTAAATTATTTTGGTGGAGGCGCCTAGCATTTTGTATACAACTGCTGATGACACTAATATGCAGGGAAGAAAATGTGATTTAGAATACTTTATTTTAATAAAATTTTGTTCTAAGATGCATCGTTTTAATAATAATCCCCATAATTGAATTCCTTTCTGTGCAAGTTCAATTTTTCTTTAAAATTGTCAATAGGGCCTAAACGATCAGTGCTACAATGAAATTGTTCTTAAATAATTGAATTAGGACATTATTCCGTTAATATTGGTTTTGGTCAACAGAGGGCGCTCATCAAAGCCACAAAATAATTTATGCTGAAAGACAGGGTCGAACTTTTTTTAATGAAAATATTACCTGCTGAAGAACAGGGTCGAACTTTATTCTTAAATTTTTTCAGGTCGAAATCTTTAGGTGTGTCAAAATTTTTGTTAAAATTGCCAATAGGGCCTAAACGGTGAGTGCTAGAGAAAAATAAATAAAGTAATCAGAATTCAACAAGCTATCAGAATCTCGAAATTGAAAAATCCAACTTTTAATTTCTGACATAAAAAGGTTTTTATAACGAAATCTTTTCGAGTGTTTTCGACCTCAAAAAAATGAAATGCTATTGAAAAATTTTAAACACTTGTTCTAAGAAATAAATTAATTAGAATTCAACAAACTATCCGAATCCGCAATCAGATTTGCAAAATTCCTATTTTTAATTCTGCATAAAAAAATGAAAAAGTTTTGCCTTTTTTATGACGAAATCTTTTCACGGTTTATGTTTTTTATAGCATAAATTTAAAAGTTGGAATTTTGAAATTTTTTCTTCGGATTATGATAAAACAGGCCATTATAAATCATTTATTTTAGTAAAGTTTTTCCCTACAACCCTTATTTAAGGCCCTATTGACAAAATTGTATTCAATAGTTTTATGCGAATATCTTCTAAACTAAACGTCTAATTAAAATAATACATTAAAATATTTTATTCATATAATTGTCCTCTTTCATAATCAGCAATAAAAACTTTCTTTTTTAATTTATAAAAACCAAGCAAAAAATTAACTAAAATATGGTGGAGGCGCATGACATTTTATTACATAATTCTAATTATTCTTAAAAATCAACAATATCCTTGTGTAGAGGGGCTCTTAATACACTTATAAATGAAAAGTCTTACTCATTAGTATTTGCCGTTGACCCTGAAGACGCATTTAAGTGAAACGTGTACTTCCAGCAATACTTAATTACCGATTATCTCCGAAACTAATAGAGATATACAAAAACGGAAAACTGCATTGCGTTCAGCAAACAATTCTACATATGATAAGCTTTTAAAATTTCTACTTTTGAAAAGTGAAAAGTGAATTTTCCGACGCGATTTCCTCGGAAACTATAAGAGTTGCAGAAAAACTTTTTGCATTTTCCTCATGCCATGATAAGGATCTATGAAACGGCAGATTCAGTTTTTTGATTTTAAGAAGTTGACCTAACACCACTTGAAAAGTATCAAGAGGTTACACTTAAGTATTTTGTGGCCTAAAAATTGAACTTTAAGCTACAGGAAAATGGAAAACGCCATTCGATAGACAATTGCAATGTGATGAAAGATATCCAGTCAGTTTTCTGATAACATCAATATTTCCCAAATTACCTGTGAAAATCGAAACGGACCAAAAAGAACCACAACTCAGATTTTCTTCAAATTTTCCAATCTGATGCAGAATGATGCCTAGAATCCATTAACCTTTGTTTTGTTCCGATATCTTAATTAGTTTTTGAGTTAATGACCATTTTCACTTATTACATAATAGTTGAAATTTTAATATTTTTAAGTGCTATCTAATGTAGAATTATCCCCTGTATATGAATCTGAAAACCATTTTTTGTTAGCCCCAGTGGTTTCCGAGAAAAGTGCGATAAACTAGATTTTCAGTTTTCTCCATCATTTTATATGTAAAAAGTGAAAATGGAAAATTCTAATTTTTTATGACGGAAAATGGATGGAACCGTAATTCTGGTTATTTTATCTTAGTGAAATTTTGTTATCAGACTGATCATTTTTATAATAATCAGTGTTTTAATTAGTGTAACAAAATTGCCAATAGGGCCTTAAATAAGGGTTGTAGGTAAAAACTTTACTAAAATAAATGATTTATAATGTCCTGTTTTATCATAATCCGAAGAAAAAATTTCAAAATTCCAACTTTTAAATTTATGCTATAAAAAACATAAACCGTGAAAAGATTTCGTCATAAAAAAGGCAAAACTTTTTCATTTTTTTATGCATTATTAAAAATAGGAATTTTTCAAATCTGATTTCGGATTCGGATAGCTTATTGAAGTATAATTAATTTATTTAAGAACAATTTTCCAATAGCACTCACCGTTTATGCCCTATTGGCAATTTTAACAAAAATTTTGACTTCGCACGAAAACGAAATTTATTATGATGATTATTACCTAAACAATGCATCTTAGAACAAAAAATTACTAAGATAAAATGTTTAAAATCACGTTTTCTTTAATATTCTGCAATAAAAAAATTTCAATTTTTTTTTGAGGTCGAAAACACTCGGAAAAGATTTCATCATAAAAAAGGCAAAACTTTTCCATTTTTTATGTTAGAAATTAAAAGTTGGAATTTTTCAATTTCGATTTCGGATTCTGATAGCTTGATGAATTCTGATTACTTTATTTAAGAACAATTTTCTCTAGCACTGACCGTTTAGGCCCTATTGACAATTTTAAAGAAAAGTTTGACTTCGCACAGAAACGAATTTAAGTATGGTGATTATTATCAAAACTATACAACTTAGAGTAAAATTTTATTAAAATAAAGTATTTCCAATCACATTTTCTTCAACATTCTACAATAAAAAATTAAAATTTAAGTAAAAGTGCGGCCCTGTCTTTCAGCACAAAATAATTTTAACCAAATAAGTCCGACCCTGTTCTTCGAGCAAACTTACCTTAGAAAACACTCTAGGCCCCACCTCTCACCTGAAATATAAACAAATTCGTAGGAATTTTCAAGGATTTAGAAGGAAAACAATAAAATAACCACAAAATCATGTATCTTCTAAAGTTTTATTTCTAAAATATATGTATAAACGTTCATATCATTATAAATCATTGAATGAATGTATAATAATACAATTTTCTTCTTTAATAATAAGAGCGATAGACTATTTATACAAGAAACGTATTATTATAATATTAATCAATGCATTAATCGAAGTAGTTAAATGTAATGTGTGTTCATGTCTGCGCGGGAGATGAAATGCAACGTCGGACGACAAAATGGCGGCCCGGAATCAACAAATGGCCGCGAAACGAACCGGTGAACAATGGCGGATGAGCGAGAGAGAGGAGGAAATGACCGCGTGCGATAAACGACGATTCGATGCAAATTAGTTTTTGGTTTCGATGGGCCTCCGGCGAGTGTACTGACATTAACAAACCAAAAATATAAAACAAAAAAAGACATTGCGTTTTATTAGTTTTCTTATAAAATTTCAACTGCGTGCGATTGTTTAGCCTCGCTGAATCGAAAGACAAACAAAAATCAACTCCGTGTTTGTATGAATAGTAAAAAAATGCCCGCCAGATACAATTTCCGGTTACATCTCGCCGCGACCAAAATGGAACACTATGTACAAACAGAACGTTAATTAAATGCAACGCTACGATTACACCTTAATCGAGAATTCGAAGTCACATTTTGCGTCTCTCTAGACAACCTGCGCATCATTGCAATTACAAAACATACGTTTGGCGGGGGTTGCACCAGCATCATTATCAATCAAATCATTAAGTACCGGAGCGAAAAACGACGACACATCTCACCATTCTCACCCTCACAGTGCGCGCGAGCCTAACTTAGAAACAATTACAAAATAATATCAGGAAACAAAAACGTAATCACTTTCATATACAATTTCTATACTTATGCAATTAGTAATTAACATTCAACATGACATGTATAATCCGATTCACACACCGACAATCAAACGTATCAGGCATATCCATCACTAGTTAACAATTTTGTGGTTTTGTCGCGTTGATTCTTATTCTCGTTCATTGTATATACTCGTCCTAGCTTGCATAAATCAGTTCTCGGTAAAAACGACACACGCCGTCAATTTCCAGGCGATTAGTTACTTACAAATGTGTGTGGGTGTGAGTGTGTGTTAAGTTAATGAGGGAAAACAAACAGAGAGAGATCGCGTAATCATTTTTTTGGTGCTTCTAATCTCCTTACGTTACGCATAACAACCAAATATATAATAATAATTAAAAAAAAAGAAACTGAAAAACACCAGTGCACTGGGCTAAACAAAGCGCAATGCCTTGCGCGTCGAGGAAATGAAACAACCGTAAGCGCAAACATGTATCTCCCCGAACAGTGTTCAATAATAATTACTGGCTGAATTAATTACATTAGAAAAACGAAACGCTCATTCGCGCACACCGGCTGAGACTGTGTTTTGATTCGCTACAAAATACAAATATAAAAATATCAGAATCTCTCGCGCTGCTGATCTGTAGGAGTGTGAATGCGTGTTGTAGATGTGTGTGTTTGTGTGAGGAAGGTGCTGGCAAAAACGTCGGGGATGGGCTGGGGGAGGAGGGCGTACGAGGTGGCTGTGTTCTTCCTGCGTTTTTATCACTACGAGGGCTAATCCTCCATCTCTTCGGGCACCTCGTGCGGGTTGAGAATGCCCGGAACTGCCATGTGAATCTTCATCTTGGTCGCCTGCGCCTCCTGCAGCGCCTTCTCTCGCTCCTCCAGGAACAAGTCGGTATCATCTTCACCGGTATATTCCTAAAAAACAATAAAATATATATAATTTTAAAGAATAAAGTTGTGAATATAATCTACTAACTCTAATTTGTACGAGAAAATCTCGCAGATGCTCCTTGAAGCCAGTGGTGTCACGATTGAGATTGAACATGCCCTGCACGGTGATCTTGATCTGATTGTCGGTCAGATGCGGAAAGGCGCTCTTGAGCAACGAGGCGGTGAACTCCTGGATGTAGAGAATGTTGTCAGTGCCGGGCCGCAGCTGGCAGCCGAGCTGGTCCATCTCCACGAGCGAGAAGATGTAAGCAAGAATGGAAGCGTGCATCGCTAGGCCGGCCGTGTGCGACGTATCCGTCACCACGGAGAAAACATGCTGCAGGATATCAGTCAGATAAGTCTGATAAAACCCTGGCGCCGCCTGTTTATTCTCTTCGATATTACGCAACAATTTAAAAAGAATCTGCAGTCCTGTATCGGCTACATTGCGCATTGTATGTTTAAACGCCCAGATCACACTATCCAGCACCAGTTTAAACTGCGCCGGTGGGATGGTCAGAAACGCCGGGAAGCAGTAGTTATTCACCGCTTGCAACAACAAGAAGAAGTTTGTTCGATGCTCCGGATACTCCTCGAAATCTTTATTGATCATATCAAGCGTGCATTCGAAGACGGCGTCGAATATCGTGGGTATCTGTGAGGTGATGTGGCTCTCCAATCGATTAACAATGGTCGCCATGGCGCTGAGCACCTCTGGCTCCCTTGCAGCCGGCAAATGCGTCCGTTGGTAATCCAACAACACCGCATCCAATAGATGCGGTATGAAATTCTGCAAGACCATCACGTGATCACTCGAACGCGATATCCAATCAGCGATCAGCTTGAGCGTTTCCTTCTTCACAACGCGCATGCCCTTAATCAATGGCTGCCGAGTCACCGCCTCGCCATGAATGGCAATCGCCTGCGTGATGTTCTCCGACATAACTTTATAAACGTTCAACATATCGAGATATATCCGTCCGAGCTGAACTACATACGGGTGATTTAACGCTTTACAAGCACGAACATTTGTCTTCAGAATACTTGCAAGCTGTTTAACCACTTCGACTTCTTTCAGCACATCAACATTCTTACTCGCTTGACAAATGATATCGTCCCACACCTGATTAGGCAACATCATGTACTTCTCAATCAGCGCCTCCTGAATCTGTGAGTCGCCTTGTGCCGAAATCATGTAACCTACAGCTTCGTAAAAAGTATGAACCTGCTGCGCGGACAAGTCGCAGATAATCGTCGAGATCGTCGCGAGGATCTCCTCGATGAACGGACACGCCTCCCCAACCTGCGACGTGACAAAATGTCGCCGGCATTTCAACGCGATCTTGATGAACGTATCGCAGGCCATGTCCTGCACGCCATCGTGCGTCTCATGCATGAACTCAAACAGTTTGTTGACGACTGTCTTGAGAAACTTCCAATGCGCGCGCAGGAAGCGCGGATACTGCCCGACGACGTACATAATATTAGAAGCGATTATCGCCTTATTGTCTTTACCACGTTTCTGCTCGCAGAGACCAAGCAGATCCTTGATCACCGTCACAAGGAAACGCTTCTCGTCTTCCTCGTACATCGCGCCCGAAATACTCCCAATGGCCCAACACAACGTGTTTAGATTTTTCCAGGACCACTCAGTACCATTCACTTGATTCTGCAGTTTTTCTGTCATAATACGCTCTGTGTCCGCATAATCCAGATGCGTGAGATACACGAGCGTCTCGCGCATATTCTTGTACAAATTGATCGAGTCCGTGTCCTTCATGAACTCCCGCACGACTTCGCCATTGTCGTTCTCCACCACGAGCACCTCCTCGGGTTTCGCCATGCGGGAAATCATAATATATCGGACTTTGTGTAGGACATCTTGGTATAGTGCACGGCGTACAATTGGGCTGTACTTTGAGTTGCATACCTTGTACAAATCCGACGCGAGACTATTCCAGTACTCAAGGCAGATCTTGAATATCTCGATCTCGTCAACTTCGGAAATCAACACGAGATACTGCAGCGAGTTGGTCAGCGCACCGTGCTGCTCCTCGGCGGTGCAGCTGTGCACCTTGAGGTATGTGCAGAGGAAGAGTGCGAGATTCTGAATAAAGTTCTGTTCCTGATCCTGTCCGCATGCGTACGAGCTGCGGATGTCAGTTGTCAGCGGCAGCATGATCTCCAGCTGCTTCATGGTATCATTGAACATCTCGACAATCACCTGGTCGTAATCCCCGAGGCCGGCGATCTCCGTGAGGCACTTGAGCGTCACATTGCGAAATAGCGGCACCGGCAAAAATTTACCGATTAAAGTCGCTACCAGTTTTGTTTCAAAGATGTAACCCAGCGGAATCCAGTTGAGGAAGCGTAATAACGTCTCCAATGTGACATTTACCAACAGAGGGCTCTGTGAGTTCTCCAGCACGAACTGACACAACTGGAAAATCGCCGAGAATTCCGCACACATGATATTCTTCAAGTGTTTTGCCTTCGCTTGCGTGAGATGCCCCGACGAGAAGTCAAACAACTCCTCACTGAGCAGTTGTAGGATAATCATGTTATTCTGACAGAGCGACTCGTTTGTTTTACTCGCGCCGACGATGTCTGGTATGAAACTCTCCCAGTTCTTCGGCCATTCGCGTTTTAAGACCTGAACAAGAATCATATTCAATTTATTGATGTATGTCTTGTTCTCTTCGAGCGATTGCGGCTCGGAGCTGATTTTGATGATCAACGCGACGATGTATTTCTTGATTCCTTCGCATTGGTTACGCGGCAGGACTTTCCATCGGGTTTTGATCACCTGTTCGAGGATCTGCAGCGCGTAGTACTTGGTTTGCTGGTTGGTGGAATATTCAAGGATGGTGTCGACGCGCGTCCACGCATCCGGGTGCTCTTTCAGCGAGGTGAGCACATCTTGCGCGACGCGCTGTGTCTCACCCTTGCCGGCATACATACTGACCACGATGCTGTCCAGAAGGCCAATATCAAGCTTCTGGTTGAAATCGAGCAGCGCCGCTGCCTGGTTAGCCAGCGCCGTCATTTTCGCCAAATGGATCTCTTTCACCTTGCTTGCACTCTGGGGGAATCACTCACACTCTCACTCACTCTCTGTTGATGGTGTGTTACAGGTCCAAATACATCACAGCTCCCTTTGGCGTGATGCTAAAACAGAACCAGAGTGAAATTACATTTGTTTCGGGGATTTCAGGGTGAAAATAACAACGACGCAATTAGCAACCAAAGAGCATACACATAACAACCTAACCTGCAGCGCGGTGGAAATGATTTCGAAGTGGTGAGACAACGGCGAGGTGAATTCGTACAGCGGGCAGAAAGCGGGAAGCAAAGCAAAGTCGGGAATTGCATTAACCCCGAAACGCAATGCGAATCATCGCGTAGGGGGGCAATGAAAACGGATACGAATTCACCCGCCGTGCGGTTTGCCGCGGGATTATTGCGCGCGGCCAAAGGTGAGCTACTTACTTGTAAGTTACGTCCGCCGCTCCAATCACTCACTCGGTTGCACTGTTTTCTCTATTAATCTATCACAAAAAGCGCAAAACCGAAAGAAGAATGCGTGCGCTGCCGTTGATGCACTCTACGAAATGTACAAAATGTCAATTTGAGCGGCGCGCAGATGTCTACATTATCGGGCTGCACACTTCCGAACGCCGTGTGAAACGAGCTTGGCGCGAGTGACAGCAGCACCACTGCACAAAATGGCGGCCAGTTTAAATATTTGCCATTCTCAGATTTTTAACCGACTTTTCTCGACCGGGAAAATATATTCTTTATTAAAATAGTTAATAAAATAAACTATAATTAATATTCTCAAAGAAAAAGGCGATTATACCTTGCGCAACAACGGATTAGATAACTTGAAAGACAAAAAATGTCATGGATGTCATTAAACTTTGCCCGCTTTTGTTCCTGTTAAATATAGGCAACCGCAGAATCTAAATCTGCATTTTAAAACAATAATTATAAATATTTAATTTATTTATACGTTACGGATACAAATGGTTTTTCTTGATATTGATATTTGCCTCTCTTAACTTTTTTGTAACTGAAAACTTCCGCTTTGGATCTATTACTCCAATATTTCACATCTTTTTTACTCAAAATGTCTTGGCCATCGACAGCAACCATTTTGCACAGCTCTTCATGTGCTTCTTCATCAAAATCATGCAGTTTTTTATTTACTTTTGCATTGTGTATGCTTACTTCATAAACATCTGAATCATTACACTTAGGAACTTTTAATTTATGCAGTGAGGAATGTAATAATTTGATTCCTTTTGCCTTTCTTTTTGGTTTTGTTTCCTGGATTGTAGGCACAGCAACTTCTAAATGTTTAAGATCTTTCTCAAGTTTATCAGCCAAATGTTTAGCAACATAATTCTGAAACTCTGGTGTTACATGAAACAGATTTAATGCTTCATCTTCTGCATCAACATTGCGTCTTAATGATGCTGGTGGTTGTGATGATGATGTTTTTGTTGTTTCATTGCCTAAAATTATAAATTTAAGTAAAATTTCATTTCATTAGGTTATAATTACTAACATGTTGTGGAATTCTTGTCATACAAGTCAGCTTTGAGAAAGTGTTGATCCACAGACTCTTTTAACTTTGACAAATCATCTTCTGAGGAAGTTTCTGCATCTGAAGAAGTCATTTTGGTATAGATAACATAAACTATTGAATAACAACAATCGTTGTCATGACAACACGTGTTTTTCAGGGTTACAACAGCTGAGTGTCGCTACAAATTGTAACGGTCATTAGACTATTATTTATTTAGTTTTATTAATAAAATGGATAAGCTACGTGTGAGATCTAAACGCAAAATATATGAAATATCATCGTCTGAAGATGAAACACCAGTTACACCAAAAACAGAAAGTTAAGAAGGAAAACAGCAAAATAAAGACTCCAAAAACTGAAAGAGCGAAACCCAATATAAAAAGTCATCTAAAGAAGAGAATAAAACTAAAACACAAACGAAATCTCATGGAAAACATGCGAAAGTTGAACCTTTATGGCAGGAATATGAAATTATTGCACAGGAACACACTGTTAATTCAAAAATAGCTAAAAATATTGTTGAATTGTTCAAAGAAGGCAACACAATTCCTTTCATTGCACGATATAGAAAAGATGCTGTTGGGCAAATGTCTGCTGATGATTTGAGAAACGTTAAAAACACCTATGACAATACTTTAGATTTAAAACAGAAAATTGTCAGTGCATACAATAAAATCAAAGATTTGGGAAAGATGGATGACATATTGGAACAAACTTTATTGAATGCACAAAGTTTTGACACTTTCGAAGAGATTGTAAGTATAAAGTTATATATTTATACAATAATATGATAATAATTGATTATATTTAGTATGCACCATATAAACCTGTTGCTGGTGAAGCATCTATCAAAGGACAAATTCACACTGCACTTGATGAGCCAGCGAATGCAATTCTAAAAGGAAAATCTGTCAATTTTGCTTCATATATTGACAGTGCCAAAACTTTAGATGATGTGAACAGCGTCCGGAAACATATTATTGCTGTTGTGGCCAAGAAAATATCTACAAGTCGGCCATGTTTAGAATATATACAAAAATTGTATGTTTTTGATGTTTTCAAATATATTTGTACATTATTTACACAATTTTGTGATTTATTTATTAATTAAAGGAAAAAGGAGTCTCGTTGCACTCTACAAACAAAGAAAATCAACAAACGCAACACCACAACAAAGGAAAACAAGGATAAAACAAGTGGAAAAGCCAAAATGAATAAAGAAGCATCAAATTTTGCGGATTATTTTGACAGAAGTTTCCTTACAGATAGATTAAAGCCACATCAAGTAAGTTTATAACATTTTAATGCAATTTTTATTGTATTTACTTCTTTATATTCAGATTATGGCAATAAATCGTGCTGAACATTTGAAATACATCAATGTAACACTATCATTCAATGATTTTTCCAAGAATTTTTGTTATGAAATGCGCAAACACTTCGAAGAAGCTTCCCGAGGCCTGTCGTCATCATTGTTTGAAAGTGCCATGCTTGAATGTTGCAATAACATAGGTAATATTAATATTATGTCTAACTTACAATCAATATTTACTAAACATGTATTCATTTCAGTCGTGCCACTTTTAAAGCGTATTAAACGCACGGAGTTGAAATCATACGCTGAGAAATCATCACTGGATATTTTTAACAACAATTTAAAGCAGATGTTGTTAGCGGCACCAACAAAACACAAAACCATTCTTGGTGTGGATCCTGGGTTTACACACGGATGTAAACTAGGCATGATTTCACAAAATGGCGACGTGCTAGCTACTAAAGTTGTCTATCCGCATAATACAAAGAAAAAAGAAGTGCAAGAAGAGATTTTTAGGGATTTGATGCTGGAACATGAGTATGTTTAGTGTTTTCATTGTTTTGATCGATGGAGATTTATATTTTTGTGTTTAAGATGCTCATTAATTGCTCTTGGAAATGGCACTGCGTGTAGAGAGACAGAATCATGGATAACTGATATGATTTCCCGTGGAATTTTCACACCATTGCAAGTTTCCTATACAATTGTCAATGAAAGCGGTGCCTCGATTTATTCATGCAGTAAAGAAGCAACAAAAGAGTTTCAAAACTTAGATCCTAACCTAATAAGCGCTGGTAATTGACAAACAGACAAAAATTTAAAATTTATTCATTGATTTATGCAAATTTCAGTATCCCTGGCTCGTAGGATTCAAGATCCACTTTCGGAGTTGGTAAAAGTCGAACCAAAGCACCTGGGCATCGGCATGTACCAACACGACGTCAATCAGAAGCGTCTCGAAGAAGTCCTCGCTGATGTCGTCTCAGAATGCGTCAGTTTCGTCGGCGTTGACGTGAATACCGCCTCGCAGTGTCTATTAAAACACGTTGCTGGTTTATCTGATCGCCGCGCGGATGAAATCATCGCGCAGCGGCCATTTTGTACACGCGATCAACTTTTAACCGTTAAAGGTGTCGGACCTCTTACATACAAACAATGCGCCGGTTTTCTTAAGATTATCAACGGTAACAACAAACTGGATGCTACCATCATTCATCCAGAGTCATATCACATCGCTAAGATGATAATAAAACGCTTAAAACTTCAAATGAATCAAATCGGCACCGATGAATTCATTAAGAAGATAAAATCGGAAGAATCTGCTTTATTATCGGATTTCGCAGCGTTTGAAACAAGTTTAGAGAATTTGCAACTTGTTTTGGAAGGACTTTCCAAGCCGTTGGAGTATGATCTGCGTGAAGATGGCGCCAGTCGTCCTTTGTTCCGCCAAGGCGTTACCAATATGGCGACGCTAAGCGTGGGAATGGCTCTGACCGGCGCCGTTAATAATTGCACTTCGTTCGGGTATTTTGTTGACATTGGCGTGGGCGTCAATGGTTTGTTGCATGTGAAGCAAGCTCGCGGTGTCAGCTTGCATGTGGGCGATCGCGTCGAGGTGAAAATTTCAAATATTGAATTGGAGCGGAAACGCATCGGCCTTGAACTTGTCCTGAAGTTGTGAACACGCGATATTTTAACAAAACATGTAACTTAATAATATTATTATTATTATCGTTATAATCTAAAACAATTCCTGTAATTCATGACTGTTGGTATTGAAAATGTTTTGAAACGTATGGTGTATCGTATTATATCAATATGGGTTTGTTTATGTAAAGGCATTTATCAAAGGTTGGATTACAAACATTTTCTGCTCAGCGGTTCATTGTGTGATAAGTTGTTGTCGTTTTCGCAGTTGGAGTGCGTTGCTGTGAACTGATTTATTACGTTATTAGAAATGGGTGGTTGTTGGTGTTGTGATGAGGATAATAGTAGTGATGAACTACTTGATGATTATTCCAGTCCTAAATCGTCGCTGGGTTTAGGCTCGCAACCTAACCGCAATTGGGAACCAGTCATCCAACAACCAAGGTCAACTCGTTCTGCCAATAATAACAGAAATGGCACGAATTCAACAAGAGGTAGAAACCGTCGGAGATCACCGGCAGCTAGACGCAATCGCAGGCGATCATCTCAACGGGATACTGCATGGCATACTTCCCAGCATTTGGCGCCAATTCATCAATCGATTAATCACAATTCATTTGCAAGTGCTTCTAACCCTAATTCAAATACAAATGGATCAAGTCCTAGTGAAGAACGCCATTTGATTGTTTCTAACCTCAATTCTGAACCCACTTGGAAAATAAGCACTTTATTGCATAAGGAACATAATATAGGTTTAAATGCTGCACAGCAGTTGGAGACACTCTTCAATGAAGGCAACACAATACCTTTTATTGCAAGACATCGCAAAGACATCATTGGTCAAATGACAACAGAAAAATTACGTAATATTAAATGTACCTACAATAAACTACTACAATTAAGACAAGATATTGCAAAGGTTTGTGCTGATATCAGCGCAATGGGAATAATGAATGAAGGGTTGCATAGCACATTAATGAATGCAACAAGTCAAGTAACACTGGATGAAATTGTAAGTAAAATGTCTAAAACATCTAAATTAATTCTACTTTATAATGTGTGTTGTAGCATGCGCCATACAAGGCGGTTGCTGATCAGCTGGCTTCAATGGAGCGCGAAGAACTCGCCATATATGAACAGAGTGCAAACCTGGTTCTGCAAGGACAGTCCCCATTTATCGAACCTACTGATACTGTTCAAGTAATGCGACATCTTGCGGCGAAAATCGGCAGTTGTCCTGCGTCTGGAGAGTATTTAGAGAGTTTATGCATGGAGGCTAACTGTACTTTACGCTGTGATCGAATTGGTGACGATGATGAAAGTCCTGACAGAGAAGGACATACATTTGACTTGTACTACGATCGCAGTTTTAATACCAGAGACTTGAGAGAACATCAGGTAAGTGTTTGCAATCTTTATAAACATAATATCAACATAAAGATTAATTGTTTAAAGATTCTGGCGATTAATCGAGGTGAAAAGTTGAAATACATCAACGTTACGCTGGAATTCGACGACTTTTCGCATTTATACCGTAATCGTATACGTAATTATTTCCCACTGGCTTCAGAAGGACCGTTTAGGAATATTTTCGGACAGGCAATTGGGTTTTGTTATGAAAATATAGGTAATCACACATAGGCAACCAATAATACGTTATAACTTTTAATGTAATATTGGTTGCCTACATTTTAGCGGTGCCTCGATTGAAACGCATGAAACGTGCGGCACTCACCGACGTCGCTCATCAGGCAGCTCTGGATGTGTTCACCAGTAATGTGAAGCAATTATTACTGACAACTCCAGTGCGAAACAAACGCATTTTGGGCGTTGACCCAGGGACGAGTCTTGGATGTAAACTGGGATTGATTTCGGAAACTGGGGAAGATTTAGCAACAGGCGTAGTTTTCCCCAAGTCAAAGAATCAAGAATTAGAAAAACGAAAGTTTAAAAGACTACTAATCAAATTCAGTTGTTCGTTGATTGCGATTGGTAATGGTAAAGGATGTCGAGATGCGGAGGAGTGGATTGCCGATATGATTTCCAAAGATTATTTTGCTCCATTGCGGGTTGCATATACCATCGTCAACGAAAGTGGTGTGTCTATTTATTCCTGCAGCGAAGAAGCAATTCGTGAGTTTACGCAAATGCATCCCACTCGAATTAGTGCCAGTAAGTCTCCATTTGGTTCATATACGCAACATAACCTTATTCTATGACTTTTTTAGTCTCGCTGGCGCGTCGAGTTCAGGACCCGCTTTCGGAGTTGGTAAAAGTTGAACCCCAGCACCTGGGCATCGGCATGTACCAACACGATGTGAATCCCGAGGATCTTAATCGTGCGCTTGCCGAAGTCGTCACTGAATGTGTCAGTTTCGTCGGCGTGGACGTGAATACCGCCTCGCAGTGTCTATTGCGATACGTTGCGGGTTTATCTGATTCTCTCGCCGATGAAATCATTTTGCATCGCAACCGTCATGGCGACTTTGCACAACGTAAAGATATCTATGATGTACGCGGCGTCAATACGCTTACATATAAACAATGCGCCGGGTTTTTGAAGATTCGAAACGGTGTGAATAAACTGGATGAAACGTGCGTTCATCCAGAGTCTTATGAAGTGGTGGGACGTATTCTGCAGTATATGAGTATGCAACCAGCGCAAGTGGGTACCGATGAGTTCCGCGCGATGCTGCTTGAACAGCGCGACGCGTTGATTAGGCACAACGCGTTACACACCAGCAAGGATAAACTGTTGTGTATATTGGATCAGTTGAGTAAGGAGGAAGATGTGCGTGAGATAGCGAATTGTGAACGATGGTTTCGCACCGATGTGAAAAGCATGAATGATTTGAGCGTGGGTATTGAACTCACTGGTGATGTGGTCAATGTTACCACGTTTGGGAGTTTTATTGATGTAGGTGTTGGGACTGATGGATTATTGCATGTTGACAATGCGAGGGGCAGGACATTGCGAATTGGTAATCGAGTTAAGGTTTCAGTCTGCGATTTGAACGTTGAGAGGGGGCGTATTGGTCTGAAATTGATTGCAGTGCAATGAATTTCATTCAGATTTTGTGTATTTTGAATATTTACAAAATGGCTGCCAGAATAGAAGTTGATTCACGTTTGTGCAACTTTTATAACACGATTTCTAAATTGTGTGTTGTTCAATACGTTATATCGTGTGTAAATTTTATTAAAGTTGCCTTTGAAAGTTGTGCAAAATTGTGCAAAAACATTATTTTTAGTTAGACATTTCTTCCGAGCGCCATCTAGTTTAGTTTTGAGAAAGTACAACCGCAGACGGCTTATAATTAAACATGTTTTTAAAATGATATAAAATAGTTTTTTTTTATAAAACGGGAAATACTGTGTTCTAAACCTGTAGTTATTATATTATGCAATAATTTTATATACAATCGATATTCCGTGATAAATTGTTATCGCTTACACAATGCACAAATCACCAAGTTCGAGAGCGTTACTTTATCAGTACAGTCTCATCTCTAGTTCAAATCATTTGCGAAATTGTTGTTAAAAATGTGTAAATATATATTCTGTTGCTGCTGTTGTAGCAACGGAGTAGAAAAACTCGTAGAAGAAAGTGACACTTCAACAGTGGTAACAGAACAGCCCCATCTATCGGAACCCATTTCAAACTTACAACCTAACCTCAACTCAGAGCCATCTAGTCCTGTTTTAGAACCACCAACAAAACAAAAATCAGAACCCCCACAACTGAATAATCAAAACACAGTGAAACCTAACCCAATTCAACGTATTCCCAAAGTCACACGAGTGATATCTAACCTCAACTCAGAGCCATCTAGTCCTGTTTTAGAACCACCAACAAAACAAAACTCTGAACCCCCACAACTGAATAATAAAACCACAGTGAAACCTAACCCAATTCAACGTATTCCCAAAGTCCACCAGTGATATCTAACCTCAAAGCAGAGCCATCTTGGCAAACATATCAACTTCTACAAAAGAACACAATTTAAGTGTAAATACAGCACAGCAACTTGTGCAACTTTTCGCTGAAGGTAACACTTTACCATTTATCGCACGACATCGCAAAGACATCATTGGTGCAATGACAACTGAAGAGCTACGCAACATAAAAGCAACCTATGATAAACTTCTACAATTGAGACGTGATCTCGTACGAATTCATTCCGTGATTGTGTCAATGGAAATGATGAGTAAAGAGTTGCATACCACGTTGATGAATGTCAAAAGTCGTGAAGCTCTTGACGAAATGGTAAAAATTAAATTACACACATGAATATTTAATTAATTTTTACTTAATTTTAGTATGCGCCATATGAAACCGTTGCAGAGAAGAAAGCGTCAGCAGAAAGGCAAAAACTAGCGGTTTGCGAAGAATACGCAAACATGATTCTTCAAGGTGCGTCACCAATAATCAATTCGGTGGATAAAACAACAATTATACAACTTGTCGCAGCGAAAATTTGTAGTTCCCAACCATCTTTGGAGTATTTACAATCGTTGTGCAAACAAGCACATTGTTCTTTAAGTTGTAATCGATTAAACTATCAAAAATTTAATCATAAATATCATGGTTACTACAATCGGACATTTATAACCAAAGATTTGAAAGCACATCAGGTGGGTTTTAGGTTATGTTCTGTTATAATCACCATTTTGATGATTTAACCTAAAAACATTTTTTGTAGATTTTAGCTATAAATCGCGCTGAAAACTTGAAATTAATCAACGTCACGCTTGGTTTCGCTGATTTTTCCTTTGCGTATTACAATCACATTCGAAAACATTTCCCGAAAGCATTATCAGCGAATGTTTTTGTTGAATCGATGAAGTTTTGTTACAAAAATAAAGGTAATAAGCAATTAATTTTATTTAAAGTATTAATTTGATGATATTTCAGCTGTGCCGTTGTTAAAACGTATGAAACGCGCAGCTTTGACTGATTTTGCGCAAAAATCAGCTCTGGATGTGTATACAAGTAATGTAAAGCAATTATTATTGACAACTCCGGTGAAAAACAAGCGAATTTTGGGTGTTGATCCAGGGACAAGTCTTGGATGTAAACTGGGATTGATTTCGGAGACTGGGGAAGTTTTAGCGACTGGTGTAGTCTTCCCGAATGCACATAATCGTGAACAACAGAAACAAAAGTTTAGGAATATGCTAAAACAACATCAGTACGTTTTTTTTTGTTAAAATATTAATTTTTTGATGTGGAAAACATATTTTTTGTTTTCAGTTGTTCCTTAATAGCGATTGGTAATGGCACTGGATGTCGCGAAGCGGAAGCATGGATCTCCGCCATGATTTCCTGTAATTATTTTGCTCCCCTGCAAGTTTCCTATACAATTGTCAATGAAAACGGCGCATCGATTTATTCTTGCAGTCCTGAAGCCATTAGAGAGTTCAAAAACATGGATCCCATTCTTATTGGTGCTAGTAAGTCACATAACATAACCTAACATAACCTCACATAACCTATTATACCCCAAACACAAACATAACCTTATTCTATGACTTTTAAAACGTTTTCTAGTCTCCCTGGCGCGTAGAGTACAAAACCCTCTCTCGGAATTGGTAAAAGTTGAACCCCGGCACATGGGTGTCGGTATGTACCAACATGATCTGGACCCTGATCGTCTCAAACACGCTTTGGACGAAGTCATCTCTGAATGTGTCAGTTTTGTTGGTGTTGATGTAAACACCGCCTCACAGTGTTTATTGCGCCACGTAGCGGGTTTATCTGATTCCTTAGCTGATGAAATCATTTTGCATCGCAACCGTCATGGCGACTTTACCCAACGTAAAGATATCTACAAAGTGCGTGGTATTAACACGCTCACATACAAACAATGCGTTGGTTTCTTGAAGGTTTTAAACGGTGCTAATAAACTGGATGAGACTTCTGTTCATCCAGAGTCTTATGAAGTGGTGAGACGTATTATGAAGACGTTAAAAATGCGTCAGGATCAAGTGGGGACTGGTACATTCCGTGTGAAGGTGATTGAACATCGTGGTGTGTTTATGATTGGGTATAAGAAGTTGGGCACGAGTAGAGAGCGTTTGGAATGTATTTTGGACGGGTTAACTGAGAAGGAGGAAGTGCGCGAGACGCCATTTTGTGAGCGGATGTTCCGGAGTGATGTTAGGAACGTGCATCAACTCTATGTAGGTATTGAGCTTACTGGCGCAGTGACTAATGTGACAACATTTGGTAGTTTTATCGATGTAGGAGTTGGGATTAAAGGATTAGTGCATGTAAACAACGCAAAGGGTGTAAATTTGCAGATTGGTAATCGTGTTAAGGTTATGGTTTGCAATTTGAACAAAAACCGACAGCGGATTGGTTTAAAACTTATAAAAGTTTTGTAAATAAGTTGGGTATTTAAATTTTGTTGAGTTTTACACGTTTTGTACATAAACCCCTACTAATATTATAAATGCGAAAGTCCTGATGTTTGTTACACTTTCACGCAAAAACTACTTAACCGATCATCATGAAAATTTGTACACATATTCATAGTGGTCCCCGAATGGTTATAGGCTACTTTTTATTTAATAAAAACAATTACTTTTGAAATAAAATAAAGATATTGTTTAGCCAATAATACCCCTGCATCGGGCTATTTGACTACTTTAACGCCATCTAGCATTCCAGCAATGAAGCTCAAACCAAAGTACTATAGTACCATCACACTGTATTATCACACTGTATTACCGACAGCTACGTCAACATCAAATCCAATTGACTACACTATGGAGACTGTACACTATACTTCCATAGACTATACTTTCAGCCATTTTAAACTTCCCGCCATTCTACTTCATTATTACTTCTTCTGTGACTACAGACGCGTACGGAAGCAACTTCATTATTTTAGATATTCGCGAGCGAAGCCCCGGTTAAAGCTAGTATTTCTATAAAAAGGCAAAAATAAATAAAAAAAATTAATTATGACATACAGTGATACCAACCGTAGCGAAATATATCAAAATACGTTAATTTAAGCGTTTTAACTGATCACAAATGCTTTGTATTGTTATTTATTACAAAAACAACTAAAAAGCAACACTACAACACGCATACAGCTGTAATAAGTTTTAAATTAAATTTGCAACGAATGTTTCGTTTCGTATCCGTCAAAAAAGAGTTTTCTAGCGTTGTTGTCGCGCCGAGTACAGTTGCGCGCCTTTTTCGCTGTCAAAGCGAAACCATCTGCACTCGACGAAAGTGTAACGAATGCAACAAAGTTACACTGTTTTAAGAAGTGCTTTCCGCAGCAAATCGCGTTAATTGCACTCACATCACTAAAAACCTTTAAAAAATCAATCAGAAGAGTGTTAAAAAGACTTAATCTCAGCGTTTGCACCTAACGTGTTTTGTTTGGCACACTGACGCCACACACACAAACAAACCAACGCTTACTTCAGGCAATCATGCAACAACAATCCTAGGACGCGACAAAGTGAATCAATCTTGTAACATTGTCAACATTTATCAAATAGTTTATCCCTGTGGAAACCCGGAATCGATTCCATCGTAAGTTATGGTTTTATTTTCACGCATACCAACATTACCCAATTGAATACCTTTCTAACCTAACCTGCTATGACAATTGTTAGCAATCAATGAATATTTTAATATTTATTATGTTAATATAATGGTTTTGTTTGCAGATGGGTAGAAAAGCGAAAGTGGAAGCAGATACACGTCTAACACTGTCAACAACAAGCGATTTCTTCTCAGTGACACCTCCAGAGAGGCATAAACGATTGACAGAGTTCTTGAAAACACTGCAGAGTTTCAAAGTTGATGAGAATCGTGAATCCTATCAGAAAATCAAGGATGTTTGGGCGGATTTTCATATGAGGTTGTGTGAGCATGAGCCCTGGGGAGAGTATCTATTCTGTTTTATGGATTCTGTGCTGAAATGTAATGAGGCTTTCTCGAGATACAATTTGTGTGTGTACAAGACTATCATGGAGCAAAATTCGTCGGGGAATGATGTATTTGTTGCTTTGGAGAGTGAAATTGCACAGACTGAGGTAAGTTCTAAATTTGTATTAAAGGTTTTTGCGTTTATTTAAAGATATTGGTATATTTATGCTAATATTGCTGTTTAACGCCATCTGGAGTCAGATTATGTAACTGAATTTTTATGTAATTAGTTATCGCTTATTTAACACCTTCCGAGCAATATTTTTGCTGTAAAAAGTATCATATTTGATTTTCTTTGATTAAAACTATCTCTATACTAAAATTTATCTAAATTGGATGAGTAGTTTACTCGTAAAAGCAAAACAAATAAACAAACCAACATTTTGAGGTTATTAGTTTGTTTTTCTGCCACCAGGGGTAAACTTGCGCAACGGTTGCATTTTTATTCATCTTATCTCCATTATTTTTAGTGTTTTGCTTAATAAAAAATGCAATTCGTTGTAATATGATACCAATCTGTATGATACATCTTACATGATGACAATCAGATTTAAATTCCTGCAAAACAAACTGCTAGTGTCAGTAAAATGCATTTTTCTGTGATTTTATTGTCTAAACATAAAATTTTGAGCTTTAAACTTATGCATTTTACTAATTTTTAACCTAAAAACCAAAAAACGGTTATTTTAAAAGGTTTTCTACTTATATTCGTTTCGATATTGTATTATTCAAATATTTAAATTACGAAAACAAACAAACACGCTAATCGCGATGAGAAAATGACGAAATGACGACAAAAAAGTGAAAATTTACATTGTGTGTGTTTACAATCCACTGATACCACTGATGACACATGCTTATCATGGGCATTGCATGAGGGTTATATTTCATTATGCAAGAATTCGAACATTTAAAGTGCAAGAAACACGAAAATCTCGAAAATAAACGTTATTCTACGCATTTCTAGTATATAAATATAAACAGGTTGTAGACATTTGAAATTTAAACGTAAATTAATGCGTGTAATGAATATTCCGGTGAGATAATGTATGATGGGCATGGTAGTTGAAAATTTAAGGCGGCAGGTAGACGGAAACACAAATTGAAATCACCCCTTATGAGGAGACGGACGGCTCGGACGGTTTTCGGCAGTGGACGAATAAATTAATAATGCGCATTTTAAATTGGGAGCTATTTCCGCTCACGTTCGAGTTTTGAGTTTGATTATGTTTAATTTGACCTTGATTACGATTTTTTAATAGTAAAAATTTTGTTACGCTGTTTATAACCTAAAATGTAAGAAAAACATTTTTAAAGTAAAGTTATGTCAAATGACAGAAATTTGACAGATTTTTGACAGAAATTAGTGCAGCAGGTAATAAATATGAGTTTTTTTCAAAGAATTTTTGCTTTATATTAATTTAAATAAAGCAAAACATGAATATTTATATAATAACTTTTATTTTGAATGTTATTTAGGCCTAATATTGCGTAAATTTAATAATTCGATTATATTTTGTTTGTTTGCATACAACAGCAAAATATTTAGAGGTTTTTTCGAGGTTATTCGCTCAAAAAGTTTTAAAATATGTAAAAACATAGGAAAAAAAGCATTTTTTAAGTATGGTTATGTCTTCTGACATAATTTTGACAGATGACACAATGAATTTTTGCTGAATATTTAAATAAAACCACATTTTTCCTCATATTTTTAACCTAGCGAGAAATTGTTGAACTACATTTTGCATCATCTGTCAAAATGATGTCAAAATTATGTCAATTAACCAAACATTACTTAGAAAACACTTTATTCTCATCTCTTTACATTTTTTACAACTTTTTATCGAATAACCAATAAATATTTTGCTACTGTGTGCAAACAAACAAAATATAATCGTATGATTGAAATTTACGCAACGTCAGCATCAAAATACACACAAATCACTTGTAAATGATACTTTTAGCAACAACATTAGCTACTCAGGTAGTAATATTAGTCAAATACTCAATACTCATTAGTATCTTGCCATATTATACATTTTATGATTCAATATGTACTTTGATTCCTGATTCTCTACCAAGTTAGGAAGAAATATTTGTTCACTGACTGAAACCAACCGAAATTTATGTTTATGTTATTTATGCTTATTACATTTCACGTTGTAAGCTCGCCAGCGCTTTCATTGTGTAAAGGTACTACCGGTGCGTTTGCTTATCACTGCAGTTCGCTTAATTAGCGTGACCTGCGCACACAATGGCAGAGTAAAAGTTTAGCCATGCCTGCGCGCCGCGCTCAGTCGCGCTCCAACCGCGCAACATGAAGTTTCTACGCGTGGATGTTGAGGTAAACACTCATATCGTGATTACAAATATTTGTCGATGTAATTATCGTATATGCGTCGGCTTAAAACGCGCGGGAAAATGGTTTTCGGTTTTTTTCTTAGAAAATTTTAGTGTTTATTGTTAATTATTGATTTTTTTGTTGTTATAGTTGATAAGAGCTTTAAAGGAAAACTGCCAGAATGTCCCGTCGAAGGTGACTTACAAATATATGCACGTGCGTGTGATACCCGCCATTTTCTCGCCGGTTACCACAGATGAGGAACGCCAGGAGTTGTGTTCGCTTGCTGTGGCACTGCCGATGGGATTCGCGGTGCAATTTATGCATAAGGATACACAACACAAGTACAAACAGGAAGTGATTCAAAAGTAAGTCATTTTTAAGTTAAAATTTAGGAATTTAAGTCAATAACCTTTATATGACTGGTAATATTGGTGTTTTGCGCCCTCTGGAGTCGAAATATGTAACTAAAACTTATTGGATTTCAAATTAACTTATTTTGCTTATTTTACACACTTTTAGTAATATTTTTGCGACAAAAGTATCACATTTTATTTTTCTTGGTTAAAACTATCTCTGTACCAAAATTTATCAATATTGGTTCAGTAGTTTATCACGTAAAAGCAAAATAAATAAACAAACAAACATTTTGAGGTTATTAGTAACTATTTATGTCACCAGGGGGCGTATCTATGCAACAAAAGATCAAATTCACTTAATAACCGCTGTTTTAACTATATAACCAACATATTTAAGTCAACGACCTCTTTTTGATAGCTAATCGTAAAGATAAACAAACATTTTACCACTCTATTGTTTGCAGGTATATACCTTTTATCTACGAGCGTGCAAACGCCACCTTCCGGCGAGATTGGATGCTAATGTGCCAGACGCTCATACATTACTCCGGCAAAATGCTGCATAGCGACACACTTCTACAAAACTCCATCTTGAAAGTGTGCGAGGACGCGTTCAAAAACGCATCGGTTGAGAATCGATGCGCGGCGTTCGATTGCTGGCGCGCGCTTATCGATAACTACTCATTGGAGCGCAAATATATCATGCATCCGAAACAGACAGCGCTGCTTTTAAAACCGCTGCTTGCGAGAATCTCAAGCAATCGTATTGTGGCCGCGAAGAAATTTGATACGCATGTGCATTTGCTGATGACGATTGGGTTTGAAAAGGATTTACTTGCGAATTTTTTGTTGGAAGCATTCGGGCCGATTGATGAAGAGCTGCCGGAGGTGCCACGCGGTGATGTTATACACTGCGTGCGGGATTTGACTGTTTCATATCCGAGGAGTACGGAGATTTTACTCAAAGTATTGCGGCATGAGAAGGAAACGTGTGGATGCGCGAATAAAACGCTGCCGATTGCGGATTCTTGCGGGCAGATCAAAACTGAGGTTGCAAAATGGGAGCTGTTGGTGCATTCCGTGCGCATGTGCTCACAATTGAATTATGTGAGTCTTGCAAAAGCACGGAGTGATATCATTGAACAGGTTAGTTTTAAAATGGCGTCTTTTTTTATTTTAAAGTGTTTTATTTTATATAATATTTTAGATTACTAAATGTTTGTGGTCTTCAATGTTTAAATATTTCCGGCATGAGAAATTTAATGATAACCGCGTACAAGTTATGAAATTAATCCAGTCGGCGATAACAAAAGTGTTGAATTCCTCGATGATGAACATAACCTATTACAACATATTCTTCAAACACATTTTGACATGTCTCGTAGATTTTCTGGCAGATGAAGCATTCGATGCTGATATTTACAAGGAACTTGTGTTGCCTACCATCAAGGAGTTGATGACGTATCAAACCAAATTCAACGATAAATTACCCGCGACTATTTATGACGACTGCGTGAAGGATATTTTTATGTATTGCAAACAGGATCCGCAGTTTTTGGACACCATCATTTCGTCCTTGAATTATCCTTTGCTGCAATGTCAACTTGCTGGCAATGCTTATGCTTTCGCACTGCATGAATACACAAAAATCATGGATAAGTCCCCGAATAAATATCAGGACGAGACGCTGACGAATTTATTCACACGTGTGGTGTCTATCAATTGCAACGAGGTAATTTTTTTTAAATCATAAATATCCAGGATTAAAAATAACAAATGAGGTTATGTTTTTACAGAAAATATTAGCGACTGATTTCAAGGAGGATAGTCAATTATTGGAAAGTAAATCAATTGTGTTGATGAAAGTATTAACACAGTTGATGAAAGACAGCGCCATGTGTTTTGGGTTGCTGAAAACCAGCGCGGCCATGTTGAGCAACATTGTCACACTGAAGAATATTTCAGATCATGTTTTCTACGTGTTTCTATTGAATGTGATCACAAATTCACTTTCGATGATTGCGGAGGACCCAACTGATCATACTACACATTTGATTGAATGCACAAATGTTTTCATTACAGCTCTACAACAAATTATATCCGCACGAGAGCATCACAACAAGTTGAAAATTGATAGTATGCAACTCATTGGGATTTGCACGCATCTATTGAAGCTGAAAATGTATCACGTGATGGAATTCCTTCCGGATCTCTTGCGTTACATTGACAAGCAGAGACTACCGCGTGATTTGTACAATATTTTCCTGAATATGACAGATGCACAGGATACGGATGTCTCGCAAAAGGCTGTTAGTGTTTTCGAAGAGATTTGCGCGTCTGGGGTGAAGTTTGTTAGCCCGTTGAAAGGCAAAACTTCACCAGTCATGAAGAGTGATAATACTAATGGGATTGTAAGTCCAAAGGTGGTGGTTCTACCGCAAACTATTCTTCCTGCTATGTCGAATAATGCGAATTCTGTGCGTTTGTTTGGAAAGTACTTTGATTCACCGTCACCGAAGCGCTGTAGAGGTAGTATTCTACAACGCACGAAAAACATGGTGGCGGAGGCAAGGAATTTATCTTTAGCGTTGGATAGTAGTCCCACTTCGACGAAGTCAAATGCAAACGTGCGCGCGATTGAAGATATAAGTTCAAATGCATTTGTACCGGTTGATAAAGAAGTAGTGTTTGATAAAGAAAAAATGACTGAACAACAACGGGAAAAGACTACGAAAAGAAGAGATGATATTCCTGCTTTGTATCAGGATCTCTCACAATCACAATCTCAATCTAATTCTACACCAGTGAATAATGATCTAGTTGAAATGCGTGTTACACGTTCAAGTGATACCGGGTTGAATTTAAATGGTCTTCAAGAAGTAACTGAAGAAAATGGTGTAACAAAAGTTGTTATTCCATCGAAACCTGGTGCGAAACGTGGTAGAAAACCCAAAAGGACAAAATCCGCTAGTCCTGCAAAAGCAAGACCATCAACTTTTGTCCCTATAGAGGAATACGCTCATGATGGACCACTCCCCACCCCTGAAGTCAAAAATGAAATGAATGATTTGGTTCCAAGTGAAAATAACAGCGATGACATAGCAAGACAGAAAATCGAAAAGTCTCTGAAGATGAATATTGTCGGCAGTGAGGAGTTCTTCAATCTGCCAAAGTCACGCACGCGCAAATCACGCTGTTTTGATCTCGGCACTGTGACTTATCAAGACTTTCCAGTGTTGAAAAAACGCCGTCGCAGGAGTAAGATTGAAATGAACCAGAAATCACCGGAGAATTTAAATTTAATCAAAACAGACGCGTCTCCTGAGGTAAATACTCATGAAAACAAAATGGAGACAACACCTAATAAAGATAATAACATCCCAGAAACACCTACGATTGATAATGTAATACCAGAGACTGAAAAACAAGATGATACTGAAGTGAATCAAGATGAATCAACGCCAAAGATGGATGCAACGCCGGAAAGTCAGGTTATGGCTACGGTTACACAGGCTTTGGGTAAAGATTGTGAAAGTGTTACGGTGAATCTCTATCGCCTGCCGCATTATTCGCCAACGAAAAAGAGTTGGAGGATGCAAAGATGCTCAACAAAAAAGTCGTGCTGAATTTCAACTCGTCGATTGTATCGAAAATTGATTTCTCTGTTTTGGATAACAACGAAGATAGGCAAAAGAATGATGAGACTTTGACGTTGGAGGTGGCGCCACAGGTGCCGCAAGATGCAATCTCCGACATGGAAACTGAATCTTTTATTAGTAATGATAGATCAATGCATTTGGTGACTGAAAATGATGAATCTGAAGTTGTAACTCCAGGCAAAGCTCATGCATCATCTATTTCCAGTCTGGAGGCGAGTCCTATCACTAAAGATACTCCTTCAAGGACAAAAGAGTTGCTTGATAATACGCTGGATATTTCTCCGATTAAAACAACGCAAACAACGCAGGATGTTGCTCGGTTGTCTCCGGATTTGTTCGGGTCTCAAGCGAGTCAGGAGGTTGGGTTGCCTACCACACTGACAAATGGCGTTTGTGATGTGGAGAGTAATGATTTTAAAACGGAGGAGACTACGGCTAAGCTGAAACAACCCAGTTCTAGATCAGCGAAGTTGTTGACTTTGATTGGGCATTCGGCGAAGATGACTGCGAATGCGAAACGGACAGTGCTGGAAAATAATATGAAAACGGCAGCTTGTTCATCGCCTAGTACTGATCGCGTCCGCAAGATGATGCTGTCATGCGCAGATTCTAAAACTGTGGAGGAGCAGGAGTTGCAAACGGTGCAGCTTGGAGATGTGTTGGAGTTTGAACGCGCTGTGCCGAGTCCTCTAGCACTGCCGAAGATGAGTATTCTTAAAAGGAAGCTGCCTGATAATCCGGATGAAAGTTTATCACCTTTACCAAAGGTTTGTGGAGTTTTTGTCGATTTAACCTCAATTCTAATGTAATTTGGGGGTAAAAAATAGTCTATGGACTTTTCCAATTCATAACCTATAATATTACAAAAGTTCATCAAACTTCATTCACTGGTTTTTATGTTATCGAGTCACAAACATACAAAAACTTATTTTTATATATATTTTTTATTCTTACAGAGGAAGCGTGTAAACTTTCCCGATCCACCAACAACCTGTGAAAAAGTCTACTTCAAGGTGATCGAAGAAACTGAAAAACCCATTGCTCTGCGCAAGAAAAAGCGAGTTGTTGCGCGTTTGCTCACACAAGAACCGGAACCTACTGTGGAGGATGCGGAATCTCCTCCGGAAGACGCAAGCGATGCTATACAATCAATGCAGAATCAAATTGACGGCTTGGAAGAGTTGGAAGGCGTGACGCCGTTGGATTCTTCGCCAACTAAAGAACAACCGGAGGAAAATGGCCGCCTGTCGCCATTGCCCAGCAATCCGGCGCCGGAACTGCTCGGCGGGTGCTTGCCAACGTCGTATTCAGCTCTGTTCAGTGACAGCGATGATAAAAGTTTCATCAAAGGAGTTTTTCGGGTAAAATCAACGAAATGTTTGCAAATTTTAAGGTTAATTGTGTTTTTGTGTGTTTTACAGCTGGCAAGAGACATCTATCCTACAGAAATGTATTTAAATTTAACTCTAGGTGATATTCCAAACAATGTGATCAAAAAGTGGATGAAGGAACGAGAGGTAAGCGAATCACATGTTATTAATAGTATATTAAGTATCAAGTGCGCTAAATGTCATTTTAATAACGTTTAGTGGTATTTTTTCTACTTCCACTTTATTTCCACGTTTAGTTTTTGTATTTTAACTTCTTCTTTTAAAACTTTGAAATCTAACGTAGGCTAATGCGCAGGCGCAAGCTCCAGCCCGTGATTAAAGTACTTTAGTCACGACTTTGACCATTTGTGATTAAATTGCCACTTTTTGTGTCTCAAAATCATGGAAAAAGTGGTGGAAGTAGAAAAAATTTCATTTTCATTTCATTCATATCTTAGTTTAACAATTTTTAAGTTTCTCTTTTTTGTTTTTTTTTTGTTTGCAAAAATTTATACCACTTTCAGGACAAAGAAGAAATGGACACATAATTCATCAGACATTCCATCGCGTTCACATTTCACGTTTCATTATTAATTTTCCTGTTAGTTTTTTATATATCTTGATATCAAACATCAAATTGATGATTGACAAAAATATTCTTGTTTGCATCCGATTAGTCGAAGCAACGCAGAGCGAAACGACGCCTCCGTATACTCTACTAGTACAGCAATGGAGACGCCTAACACCGCGAAAAAAATATGTTTCGAGTTGTATTTATCGTTGAATAGTTATTGCCTCTCCGAATGAGGAACGCTTTGTTCATTTTATATTTACGGACATTATTGCATTATTATTATCTTTATTATCATTACAACGTAAAGTTTACTCTCTTTAATTTGTTTATACGATTTAAACTATGCAACCAGTTTTGATTTTATTGCGAATTAATAAAATAACAAGATAAAACAATAGTTAACAATATAACAGGAGGTGAATTGGTGGATGCACTGCTGACAAGACCCAAGACTGTGAATTAGAACAAAGAATATGTATTAGTTTTAATATTAATGTTTAGATTATTATTTTGTTAATAACTTACGACTTTTACGTCTGCCACTCTTTTGCTTTTCGTTGGGATCACGCACGCCGCATAATTTGTACGAGATCTTTGGTTTGCGTTTGCTGTTATAGTATCCGGGAATATACAAAGATGGCGACTCTAATCGGCCGACAGTAAGTAACTTTGTAAAGTCCAGTTCCAATTGGCTTGCGATTGGTCCCTTGAAGTGCAGTAGGATCTGCACGCATGAATTACCGTGTAAATTCTTTGTTTTTCTTGAGTCTACAGTAAGAAACCATTCGGGGATACCCATAACTTCACGTATATCTTCTATGAATTGCGCCCTGTGTAAAAAATACATCAATATTTGATTTTATGATTGTATAAAGATAAAATCTTACAGGACAAATCGTGGTGGACGTTCGATATTAGCGTATTTGATGATATCATTATCTGGTTCTATGTTTGCGCATGCGTAGCGTTCCGGACGGCGATTCGGACTTTTTATAACAATAGATCTACCCATTGCAGTAACAGCGCCCTCTAGTGGTGTATTAGAATCAGAGAAAACTTTACGTTTCAAGCCTATATCAATCGTTCCCAGTCGGCCGGACAAGTCACCGACGTAACAACGCAGAGGATTCTCCGGACCGCATTCTTTATTGTATAAATCCTCCTGTTAAATATTAAAATTTAAGGTTTATATAACTTTAAAGCAACAGTAGGTTAACTTGCGTTTAGTGGATCAGCTAGTTGAGTGTAAAACGGGTTCCATACATAACCGCCAGCGACACAACGGGTTGCCTGCGTTTGTACAGCAGCGTCCACTCCGACCGGGTTGACAAAAATGGCAAAGTTGTGATCACGCGTCTAGTTCAAAAAAAAGTAAGTAAATTTATATTCATAGATATTTAAATGTGTGTTAATACATACAACGTTTCTGTCGTGTTTGCCAGGATGTCTCAACTTAACCTCTATAATCGTATCACTCATGCTGCCATCATTATAAACCAATTGTGTCTACAACATAACAAAACATAACCTCACAAAACAGAAAGGTAAGAATTTTAACTTTAAAACTTTACCAATCTCATATAACCATATGCGAATCCTGATGGATGATGAAACGATGCAATTGCTCGTAATTCACGTGCCTCCGACGGAGAATAACCGCGTTCTATAGTTGAACATGCCCAACGTTCATTGTTTTTCTACAAAACATTCAAACAACCAACAAAAAAAAATGGCGGATATACAACGTACTTTTTTATGTATAATAACTGATCTCCCAAGTATACTCTGACGTCCAAACAGAGGTAAAAGTGTATCATTATACACATCCGTATAGATGGTGCTGTTGTCAAGCGTGCCGAATTTACCACTTAGATCTCCCAATTCATACTGGTCAGTTGTACCCTGATAGAGTGTTGGTGAAGTGTCGGGATCAACCTTCCTGGGGTTAAAGTGATCATAAAGTGAGCTGGATTCACAAGGAAACTCCAGATTTTCTTCAACTGAAGTCTTAAAACAAAACAAAACAAAAGTAAGTATAAATCAATCAAATTTTTAGGTTATGTCAGTTTATATAGTACCATATGAATGTGGTAACCACTGTTAGCACTCAGATCCTCCAAGGACACCTCTACATTAGTGATATCATACTCTGTCTGTTGAATAAACTCAATTTTACCCTTGGCTGTTGCCATCCCACCATTGGGGAACCAATCCCGGACAACTGCTTTCCTTCTATACAATCCTCCAATACTAAAATTTAATATTTTTAGGTTAGATATATAAATAATTTAGGGTTTTGTTTACTTACATTGAACAAGCAAGCCTTTCCCCACGTGCAACCGGCCCAAAATCATCATACATCACAAACGACTTCCCAATGATACTATACTTCCCACTCAAAGGTAGAAACCCATCAGTTAACACTTTCCGTGAAACATGATCACTATCCACCCTACGACCTGCAATATCCAACCTTGAAAGCCTATTAGACATATCCCCAAGTCTACAAACTCCAACTGCATCCTTGTTACAATCCTCATGGAACGTCAAATTATCATAATCTATTTTATACGGGTTGTAAATATTCCCTGCGCTTACACATCGCGCTGTCCAGTTGTAAAAGTCCTTCCCCGGTGGGTTCTCATGAATGGCCCATCGATGGTCCATGGAATTATTCACAGCACTACCATCCGCATGAACTAAATACTCCACCAAAACGGTTGTATCCGTCCAGGGTTCATCTTTAATCTGTCGGAATAATATCCTTCCTACTAGAGGATATCGGAAGATGACCTGGGCGGTAGCGATTTGCTTCTGGTGCTCAAAATTTGGTTCATAAAGGGAAACAGAGCCACATATCCATGGTTCCACTCCATTATTAGATGTTTTTGTTAATTGGGCGTTTTTATAGATTACTAGGGATCTGTGAATGATGGAATCACGTCCCATGAGTGGTAGGAAGATATCCCAGTAGGTCCCGCTTAGATCCCGACTTCCCTCCACTAATAAAGTGAGGTTATTGCGTTTGTAGAGCTTTCCGGAGATGTCTCCGATTTTGTATTGGTCCTGGGTTCCAAAACCATCCGGTGGGGGGTTGTCTAAGTTAAGTTTCAAAGGGTCATAGGTTGTTTTGGTGGTGAGACATGGATTCTCCATGGGTTCTACTGTTGTGGAAGGAATCATGGGTAATTCATGGATTTTCATAGCACCTACAGTGGAGCTGTAGATTAGTTTAGTTTCTAAGTCCCCGCGGGCAGTGGAGATGTTGAAATTGAGAAATGTGGGTTCAAAACGATTACGTTGGGATAACCTGACATCTCCGGTGATCCCACTTGATTGGATGACCACCCTAGAAGGATAAATATGTTTTAGAGGTTTTAGGACTTAGATTCTGAGTTAGACTTACTTTGCTGTGACTGGATGATCATATTGAATTTTCGCACATCCTAGGAAGCTATCCTCATGATGGCTTTCGTAAATCACCAGGAATAACCTCCTTTGAGGTCCTGTCAAATCCCCTGGGAGCAATTCTAACCCTACATCTCGATAGACAGTCTTATACTTTCTCTTGTTGTAATCCGTTGATATTTTTACCATTCCAATTCGGTTATCTATGTCTCCGATACCTTTTCCGTCTCCTAACCCAGCTGGGTCGAAGACACTCTGTAGGATATTACAGTTTATCTCGTTTTTTTCTACGTCTGAATCTAGGATATCCGTTGTGAGGATTTTCCACTTGTGTTGTGTAAACGGGGTCAAAGTTTTATTAAATTTCTCCACGTTTTTCACATGGAACAGATCCGCCATGATCATCATATCTTTCTGGTGATCTTTTGTAGAAAACCATCGGAAATGCACTCTTCCCGAAACAGGCGAGTTGAATTTCGCAGTCGCTGTTTTTTCTAACTTATCACCTGTGAGTGATAATGTAGAGCATATTTTTTCCCGAATTCGTTAACCAGGAGTAGAGAACGACTGTAGATTTGTAGGTTTTTATGAGGTATAGTGTATTCTGCGGTACCATTTTCGGGGATGTAGAGATTACCAAAATGGTCGTCGAGGCGGTAAATTGTGTGGCCTAGGTTGGCGCAGCGATCGGTGAGGAGGGTATAGTCCACAGGATATTCTGTGATTGACCATTGCCATACTTGATTGGGGAATTGTAGAGTTGGTTCAAGTTGATTGCGGATTGTGAGAGATCCTTGTAAGTCTTGGGTGAAGGTGACTGTGCCATGGAGGCCATGTTGGGAGAGATACGCTTTGTATTCTAGGGCGGATGATGAGGTAGCTAAGATTACTAAGAGAAGACATTAATTGGTAACATAACATAAACATCCTTTGTAGACAACCTAAGTAGAGAAAGGAGAGGGGAGGGGAGTTAGGGGAGATCTAGGGAGCTACGATTGGACTGCTGGAGAACTCAGGCACGACTGAACGCTAAGCGGTTTTGCGCACGACCCGCAAAAAGTGGTGGGGGTAGGCGGGAAGACACCTGATTGGTCGTGTATGAGTGACCGCGCTGCGGGTATCAGTATTCGACTCGTACCGCTTCCCCCACCACTTTTTGCGGGTCGTCCGCAGGTATAAAACACCGCGCTCAGCAAACACAGTTCTCAGTCGTGCCTAAGACCTCCAAGTGACCTGTCCCTTAAACTTCTCCATAATATTCATCAAATACCACAAATTCCCTCAGGAAAATCCAATAATATTCAATCAATATATTAAATTAATATTTACTTCCAATACCTATATCTTACTAAAATATTGACAATGATTTCTGCGAGATTATCACTTTGCTAACTCTCAGATAAACACGAAAAAATTACTCATGTGAATATCTATCTTTCCTTTTATCCTGAATATACGTGTGAATCATATTCAACAATGGTGCGCAAATGTAAAGTGGTACTTACAGAGCGCTAGGGTAATCAGCAAGTCGGGCATGCGTAATGACTGCTGCATGTTGTGTAGGCTTGGTTGTCTTTTTGGTATCGTTGAGATGACTTTGTCAATGGCGTCGGATTGATTAGGATATCGACATGATGTCGTCGCGAATTCAGCGCGGCAAAAGCGTTAGTCATCCAGCTGTTGACTAACAGCGACTAACATTAACACGGCGGACGCAAGTTGAATGCGAATGCGAGAAAGTTGGACAAGAAGTCGTACAAGAACTTTCAAGGTCAAATAATACCAGCTATTATAATAAAAATAGTAAAATTCAATTATTTCAATTAAGTTTTGATAATAATTTATGTTTTTTTAGTGTATTTATTTATATTTTTAATTTATTTATGTTTTTTTGTAAATTATTTACCGCATAAACAAACGCCATTTGTATTTGTATTTATTTGACACATTAGACACAGTGTATAATAAAAATTAAGCATGTCCCCCATATCGTGCATGATCGGGCGTCATCGTAACACCCGAGGCAGCTGCAAGCTGCACTGCGCACAAGTTTCACTACACGTTCAAGCCAGTTTATTCCCAACCGCCGCGTTGTGATGTTCGTGTGTGTAACGATGGCGTCACTTGTGCGTCCGCGACGGTAGACTGATGATGTGAGGATTGTCTCTCTGTGCACAATGACGGCGTGTGCGATGCCCCCCAACGGGCTCTACGGCATAGGTAAGTCATTGTGTTATCAATCCATCACATTTCAACACCCTCCTGCATTTTATAAGTTTGCATTGAGGCAAAGCACACAAACAAAACGATAACCTCACATTCGGCGTGCCTTCCTGTTGGTAAACAAAACAGGGCACTTGTTGCGCTGACGCGCCCTTGAATACCGACCGAACTCGCGAATTACGAGATTGTGCACGGTGCGTGTAATTCGTATTACGTAAAAACCTAGTAGTTTTTCTCCGTGTGTGAGCACGAGAATGTCACAAGTGGGAGGGGCACTTTGTTATCATGGAAAGATGGAAACAAATGAACAACGCCTAAAACACGAAAAAAACAATCGCCATTTGTTTCCGTTTTTGTTTTCACTTCATTTACGTATGTTGTGGTTAATGTGGTTCTTTTCATCCTTAAATTCAATTTTTTTTTTAGTACATACGTGCACCGAGCGAAATAATTATGGAAATGTTTATAGTGTGAATAATGCGCAATGCAGGCGTCATTCATCGACTAGACGCACGATAATCTTGAGTCATGAACCATTGCTCATTGCAATCGCCAATAGAGCTTGTGTTATATGTCTCAGTTTATTGTTTTATACTCTTAAACAAAGTCTACAAATACACACATTCAACGTGCGAGTATGAATGGCGTACATTTACTACTGCATCAATATTATTGCAGAAGTGAAACATTATTATCGTGCGCCCAACTTCCGGAAATCTAAACATAGTAGCTAATCGACAATTAAAAGCGCCAAATATACATTTACCAGATGCACAGCTACTCGAGTGGCAGGATAAAAATATCCTTATTAATTTTAACCATGAATAAGTGCAGATTATGGCATTATACAATTTTTTACTTTATTTTGCTTGAGTTAGATTAATGATTGGTGCATTACTAGTATAATAATATTATACAGGGTGTTTATTTGTAATTTTTGTTTTTGTTGATTTTCTCAAACACCCTGTATTATTTGGTTTTGATCAATCAATCAAATTGATATTTACAAATGATAACAACGTGTAAGTATACTCTAATAACAATATACAGGGTGTTTCTATTTTATTTTTAGTTATAGTTGATAATTAAACATCCTGTATTGTTAATTTTTATCCAATTTCTCTAATTGATATTTGCAGAGAAAAGAATAGTAGTTATACGCCGAGTATATAACTATTACGGTTATACAGGGTGTTAACTTTTTAATTATTTATTGATTTAGAGTTTTATACACCCTGTATACTTATTTTTGGCCAATTGCTCAAATGGGAATTTATAAAATAATGAAAATTCTTATATGCCGAGTAAAAACATCTAGTATTGTTATACAGGGTGTTTTTAATTTAAATTTTTGTTGATTTTTATTTTTTAATCACCCTATATGATTGCTCTTTGTCAATCACCTAAATTACTATTTACAAAATAATAAAAATACTTATAGGCTGAGTAGAAAACGCGGAAAGTGTCAGTAACGTGTAGATGGGCCGTGTGCGTACGACAATTGGACCCAATCAAACAATGAAACGTTGATATTAATTTCGTTTGACCTTTCCCAGCAAAGCGACGTGAGATCACGATGTATCTTACCGCATCTTGACATTACTTCATTAAAAGTAACTGCAACTCTTTCCCTTTCTCTCCCTTTTTGTCCCTGAGAAATTCACTTAGTTATTTATATTTGTATATTTTTAAGCGATAAATATGAATAATTAAGCAGTTTCTATGTTGGTGATCGTTTGGTTGCGTTTCCGGCCGCAATTTGCGGTGAAATCATTAAATATTATATAAGGTGTCATTGGAAATTTGTTTTAAGGTTTTAAATGTTTATTACGAGTAATAATAAATAAATCGGGGTTTTTATCGTTAAAATACCATTTTTACCGATAAACTAATTGAAATTTGTTGATTTTTTAAATATTTGTCTGTGTATATTTGCATTAGTAATTTGTATTTGAAAAGCAATCAATGCCTAAGCAGGAAAATCCGCATTTATCTCCGTAACCCTATTTTGCTGCGCGCGCACATCGTAATTATCTCGCGGTGCGCATAATCAGAATCAGCCTGTAATTTCTACCTATTAACTTTTCGGTTTTTGTTGCCAGTTAAACCATTGCGTAACTCTACAAGTGCTCACATGCAATATAAAACAAACAGGAGTAATGACATACAAAAACCACACGAAACAAAATTAACTATAAATTGTAAATAAATTGAAGCAAAAAATAGATTTCAAGTATGTTATTCGTGTTGAACCAAATCCCAATCAACTAAAATTTAATTTTTTGTAGAAATTTTATCTTATCTCATATATACTTTTAAGATAAGATATTTATTAAGATATTTTGATTTTTTCAGCAATATACAACTTCAAGCCGCAAAAACCCGATGAAGATTTAATCCGCGTGAATGTCGGCGAAGCGCTGCATCTGCGCCAAGATGCCGGCGAATGGTACTACGCATCGCTGGTGCATCGCGGCCGAGCATGCGGATTTGTCCCGAAAAGTTACGTCAAAGTGGTGGATGGATGTCGGGTGGAACGCGAGGATGACACTTCCACACCGACGTTTGTCTTCGCTGACCAACCACCCATCGTACATGAGATTACGCTTGTCCTACGCGAATGGAGCACGCTATGGCAGAATTTGTATATAGTACGTATGCAACACACCGAACATTACAATAATTTAATGTATAACAGGTTGCATACTTTATTTTATTGCTTTTATTGTTTAAATTTTAGTTGAATCGTGCGAAATTCGACGATCTACGTAAACATATATCAGAATTAATAAATTATCGTAGTAAAATTATCAGCGGGACACTACCAGTGGACGAATTGAAGGAGGTGACATGCGAGGCGACGAAAGAAATCGCGCTGGGTAATAAACTAGTCGGGTTGGATCTTGTCGTGCGTGATGTGCACGGTAATACGATCAATTCGGACCTGACGAGTACAACTGACTTGTTTAGTTTTCATCAGAACGCAACAGAATCGATCAATAATAAGGATAAGAAGGTAGATTATATTACATATAAATACATATAAAATCATAAACATAACCTTGTATATGATCTATTTACTAATAATTCAATATCCGTGTGTTTAGACTGAACTTAAAGAAACACGATCGCAGGTCGCTCATATTTTCGTTGTGAGCGTGCGAAATTTCACGTACAAAATGACAGAGGACGCTGAGTTGTTGATGTTTCTCTACGATTGTAAAGAAGGTCGTGCTATTACCGAAAACTACGTGGTGCAGTGGTCCAAAGAGGGTCTTATGGCTGATCTGGATAAAATTAACAACTTAAAAGTCATGTTTACGGATCTTGGCAAAAAGACCTGGAACGTGAGCGGGTTTATTTGGTTTGTAATGTAGTAAGAGTAGGTGCAATGGAAGCAAAGGATTTGGACCATCGACGAAGTTCCAATGCGACTGCGTCACACACTCCGAAAAAGTCACCGACAGTGATACCAATTCGACGACCTTGCGGTGTTGCGGCGAAGGATGTCACCGCTTACCTCAACGGCACATCGGAATCAGAACTCGATAAAGATTTCCCCGTGCCTTTTTATAATTGCGAAAAAGATAACCTAGAACAAACGCTCAAACGTATTTTTGGTAAGGAAGAGAGTAAAAGTGAGAGTCAAGCGAAAAGTTCTCTTTATATCGGTGTTAAACTACTCCATGGCGATATTAAACAAGTCCGCGATGAAAACCCGCATCTAGTGCTGGGTAATGTAAACATTGCGCGGAAGATGGGGTTTCCGGAAGTGATACTTCCGGGAGAAATCCGTAATGATTTGTATTTAACTCTACAACAGGGTGAATTCCCCAAAGGTAATAAAAAATCAGATAAAAATATAGAGGTTTGTGTTACGGTGTGTGACGCAAAGGGAACTACTGTCCCGGATGTTATCTTCATTGGTGATAGTAAGAATCCAATGCAAAGTTATAAAAGTGTTGTGTATTATCACGATGCGAAACCGCAATGGAGTGAAACATTTAAGGTGGCGATGCCGATTGAAGAGTTCAAGCGCAGCCATGTTAAATTCACGTTCAAACATCGGTCTTCCAATGAAGCGAAGGATAAAAGTGAGAAGCCATTTGCATTCGCGTATGTTGCGTTGATGCAGAAGGATGATACTACGTTGATGGATAAGAAACACGTTTTAAATGTTTATAAATATGATTATAAGAAGTATGATGAAAGTAGTGCAGGGGCGGAGTATATGCGGTTGCCTAGTTTGGCATCGCAGGCAACACGAGAGATGGCGGCCATTAATGGGGTGACTTTGAGCACGAAAGACAGCTTTATCATTTCTAGTAATGTTTGTTCAACAAAACTCACACAAAATGGTTGGTGTATTAATTTTTTTATGTTTTATTGATGTTTTTAATTGTTTATTTTATGAATTTAGTTAATATTTTGGATTTGTTGAATTGGACAACGAAGAGAGACGTCCTTGATGAGACTTTGCTTAAGTTAATGAAGGTCGAAGGTGAGGAAATAGTCAAGTTTTTGACAGATATCCTCGATACGCTCTTTAACATCCTGATGGAAGAAGACAAGCAGCAACCGAAGCCTCGGAATGGTCTAGAATCCATGCCGTATGTAGATTATGATCTGCTGGTTTTCGATTGTCTTCTCTACATTACTGGAATTGTGACGCATGATTGGCGTTATCAACACTTTGAACCGGTGCTCAATCTCTACATCAAAGAGAATTACAGTGCTACATTGGCATATAAGTACGTTTTTATTCCTTTCGCCGCCATTTTGAAAATATTTTTTATTTTATGTTGTTTTTAGTAAAATGTTAACCGTGCTGAGTAACTTAATCGAGAATCCACGCAGTGACAACACCATGAAAGTCTTCCGCACGATGAAATCCTTCCAGTACATTATGCGTTTCATCACACAGTCTCGTCGGTTGCATAGTTCAATGAAGTTGCCTAACGAGGAAGCCGCCATGATGGAATTCAAAGCCGGAATGGATCAGCTCTTCGATGCTTTTATTCAATTAATGGCGGAAACTGCTGATTCTTTTCTTCGGGAACAAGGCGCATGTCTTAAGTACCTTCCAGGTGCGATTCCCGATATTTTAAACGTCTACAACGCCAAAGAACTCAGGTTTGTCAACAAAAACAAAATATAACTTAAAAATTAACTTAATTTAATTTTTTAGTCTAAAATTATGTCAATTATTCGATGAAATGCCTTCCAATCGCCTGACGAAACAAAAAGTGATGACAATGAATGAAATTGTCCAAGGGCAACTCTTCAAGGACACCGAATGTCGCAAAATTTTACTCCCGCACATCCTGGAACAACTTCGCATACTGCTAGAAGAGAACCAAGAGGTATGTTTGCTTTTTCTGCTATGCGCGCACACGCAAAATATTAAACAGACGTACTATGCTTACGTGCAATTGTAAATAAGTTTTGTTCTGGCATGAGGAGCGATGAAAGCCCGCGAGTGAGGTTAGGCGTCACCTAACCTCTGCGTCTTAATGTTATGCGTTGTTTTCCGCGCATTTTGTGCTTTCTGTGGTGACATCAACTTTTGTCCATGTACATATTTAATTCGAATCGGAACGTGTGTGCTTTTCTTGTTAGTCACCCTGTTTTTTTTTATTTGTTTTCAATTTTGTTTGTCGGCCGATTTGTTTCGATGATGCACAATGAGTGTTGCTCTTGGCCACCGACCGCATATGTCTGTTCTTCAGTCCGTTACACATACACCAAACACGTTGTCTTGCCTAGTTGTAGATGAATGCATTCAGAGTTAACTAAACATGGTGTCTGGTAATGTTTTCTTGAATGTTTGCATGGGTTTTGTTAGTTTTAATTGTTTTTTTTGCACGTTTTGTCTTGCATTTTGTTTATATTTTGCATGAATTGTTGAAAATCTGATTGCTTGCTCAATTTTTTTATAGTTTTTTTATGGTGGGTACATTTTTTTTGATTAATTGATTGTTGTTGTAGTTATTGTAACAACAATAACGATCTCTGATTTATTTGACCAAGTTTGGAGTATAATAATACTTTTTTTGAGTTGTTGTTGTTGTTGTTGTTGTGGTAAATGTGGGCTGTTATACAATTCATACAGGACACAAATCACACCGGCAGTCAGACTGGACGACGTATTAAGCCCAAGTCAGTGGCCAAGGTGGCACTTGTGCTCGGCATTTCTAAGCAAAGTATAACCGATCATACGGGCAGCTCGAGCACCGATGAGGTGATGAACGTCATTACTGAGGTTCTTATACTAACCGCATGTTATTTATCATTAATATTCACATGGTGGTAGCCCTCTGCGGTATGATTTCCGTCTTCAAAACCTTAAAAATATGATTTCATGCGCAGAGTGCTACCGATTCCTTCGAAATATTTGTATTTTTCAACCTACGACGCCATTTTAATAGCTATTAAATTTACAAAATGGTGGGGGTTTTGATATGAATATTTTCGAAGATACACATTACTCATGGCTTTATTTAAAACACCACATCGCCGCACATTTCTGTACATTCGCACAAATCGCGTCACCGCTTCTTTCATTCGATATCATTCGATTTCATTCATAATGTTCCTGAAGCACTAGCCATGGTGCCGATAAACATTTAGTAACGATTATTATCTGTTTTGTTTGCGTCCATGGCTAGCTACTCGAAGGACAAATAACGTAAGTGGCAAAACTCACAACAATCAGGATTCTGCAATTTCGCGCATATCTTTACTTTAAACTTGTTCCAAACAGATGGATTTGTGTCTGAAAACACTCGGCGACATTCTCACCATGTTGTTCCACATCGATAAAACGGAGAGCTACGATAGCATCGCCGAAATAATTCGTATTCTTCTGCGGACTGTGAGCGTCTGCTACATTAAAAGTGATAAAGATAGTACAGCAACACAAGCGGTAAGTTAATAAACCTATTTAGTAGCATTTATTTGAGGTTAAGTACGAATTTGATATTATAGAAGCAATTAGCGGCCATCTTGATTGATATCTTCCGCCAAATGTCCGAGAGTCATTATAATGAGTTAATGGCAAGTCCATCGTTAGTTCCACGCGATGAAAAACTCGCGTTTATCATCGAAATGATGACGATTTTCAAAGAATTCGTCAATTCCAACATGAAAATCTTCCCGGATGATTGGTGCGACATGAAAATGCTGCAGAATCAAGTGATACTCAAAACCCTGCGCTTCTTTTCGCACACGATTCGCGATTCCTTCTCGCAGGACTTCCACCATCAGGTCTGGAATAATTTCTTTCAATGTGCCATTAGTTACATGAGCCAGCCGGCGCTGCAACTGGAGACCTTCACCGCAAACAAACAGGTGCGCATCATCAAGCGGTACAAGGATATGCGGCGTGAGATGGGTTTCGAGGTGCGGCAAATGTGGTTTAATCTTGGATCCCATAAACGGCGCTTTGTACCCAGTCTTATAGAAAACATTCTCGAGATGACTTTACTTCCTGAAGTAGAATTACGTAAAGCTACTATTCCGATATTTTTGATATGATGCAGTGTGAATTTTACTCATCAAGTCTGGAATTCGAAAGCTTTGGGGACACTTTACGGAATTCCCAGCATGTAAAAGGGAATTTTAACGAATTCGAACGTGAGATGATTATTAAATTAGATACTTTATTGGAGGGTGGCAGGGGTGATGAGGAATACCGGCAACTTTTTCTGGATATCATGGGTGAACATTGTAGAAATCACGCGAGATTACATGAATCCGGAACCATGTTTGTGCAGACACTTGCAAGTCTCATGGACAGATTACTCACCTATCGCATGACGATGCATAATGACAATAAAGAAAACAAAATGGCGTGTATTGTCAACCTTTTAGATTTCTACGCGGAGATATCCAGAAAGGAGATGTATATTCGATATGTATATAAATTGTATGATTTACATTTGGAGTTAGGCAACCATACGGAAGCTGGGTTTACTCTGGAACTTCACAGTGACCTTTTAAGGTGGTCCAATGATCCTTTACAACCACAGTTGCGCAGCAATAAATACGAACATGCCACTACACATATGGAACTCAAGGAGTTATTATATACAGATATTATAGAAAATCTTAATCAGGGTTCAATGTGGGAATGTGCTATTGCGAAGACCAAGGAGTTGATAAGTCAATACGAACAGCTTTATTACTATGATCTCCTGGGTCCACTTCAGACGAAAATCGCTGGGTATTATAATAAAATTATGAACTCAGAACGGTTTGAGTCTGAATACTTTAGAGTTGGATATTATGGGCTTGGATTCCCGAAATTCCTCCAGAATAAAGTTTTTGTATATCGTGGTACACCTTTGGAGAGACTGGTTGATTTCCAAGCGCGGATATCACGGCAATTTCCCAAGGCAGAACTATGTTCGAAATTAAAATTAGACGAATCAGTAAAAACTTCCTACAATCAGTATCTCCTCATCAATAATGTGGTACCCATCGAGGAGGAAACAGATCGCTTCAATGGACAAATGGTATCCGATCAAATTGCCAAGTATTACAAATGGAACAACGTGAATCGTTTCTGTTTCTCACGCCAGTTCAAGAAAAAGGATCCTCTGTTAGAGACACCGAATGATTTCGGCGAAATGTGGATTGAGAAGATGTTCCTCACTACCGAGCACACTTTCCCGCATATTTTGTGTTGGTACCCTGTGAAGCATGAAGAAACAGTGCAACTTACACCTGTGCAGAACGCGATAGAAACAATGGAACAAAGTAATGAGACTTTGAAGCATTTGTATAAGCGTTACAAGGAGCAAATGAGACTTACGGCTCATGAACTCAGCTTGAAGCTTAAGGGTATCCTTGATCCAAAGGTGCAAGGCGGTATTAGTAACTATGAACAGTACTTTTTTACTCCGGAGTATTTGGAAGCGCATCCAGAGGAAGCTGGGCATATTAGGAAGTTGAAGGAACTCATCGCCGAACAGAATCCGCTGTTGGAGTTGTGTGTGGAGGTGCATCGGACGTTATCGGGTAGTGAGCTGCAAGGGTTGCATCAGTTGCTGGAGGAGTGCTATTTGAAGCATAAGAGTGAAGTTCATGAGAAGTACGGTGTAAAGGTAATATTTTAACACTAAAAATAAAATATTTTATTTTTTGATTTATTCGTTGTAGGATTGTGAAGATTTCAAAGCTGAAGTGGAGGTACGACTTCGCAGAGCTAATAAATTGAGTAACATACCTAAAGTTACTCTGAATAATAACACTCAACAAGCTGAGTAAGTTTATTTTTTATTATATTTAGTTTCTGTAAGAAAATTTTTAGCTTTTGCGTAGTTATCAATGTATTTCTCGTGCTTTAGTGTATTTTACTCGACGCTTTTAATGATTGGACATTTTGGCTGCTCGATGTGGTGAGCTTGAGTGGCTTGCGGGTGGTTTTTATATGGAGTAGTTTGATTTGAAGTTGTTTTGGGTTTCTGTTGTTGATTTTGTTTTGTTTTTCTGTAGTAATCTTGGTAATAGAAGTCGTGTGTCGAGCATAACACGGGCGCAAGTCCAGTCGTTCAAAAACCTAACGTCGAGCTTTAACTTTAGCGCTTCGTCGGTCAACCAAGGCGAACTAAACATTTTCAGGTTTGTAGAGCGTCAATTTTTCTATGAATGCTCGGTGCATGTCTCGTGCGTACGTCCAGTCGTGTGTATTGTTTTCTGTTTGTATGGGTCCCCAATGAACTTGCACCAGAAATTAATAATTTTTAATATTTATGGATTTTTCCAGACGACCTGCACGAAATGGGCTATCATTACTAACTTAGGTTTTACACATTAGGTATACACAGATTAATTTAAGTATGTCGATGACACACACACTAACTGTAAGCACTTTAATATTTATTTATTAAATTTATCTCGTTGCACCCTCTTGTGTGTGGAACTGCTAAATTCCCAAAGGTGAATTAAATAATTAAATAATTCCACGGGTTGAATTGATTGATTTCATGGTGGGGTTCCTTACAGCAAGCCGGGGATGTCGGGTACAAAGAGTCTACTGTTGTCGCCATCTCGCAGTCTCACCGGAACTCCAGGTACGCTTAAGAAGAACAAAAATAAGGAGAAACGACGCGCGAGTAAGACAGAGTCGACGATGAGCAGCGCTTCTTCGGTGACAACGCAATGGTATACTTCAGATGTGGAGAACACCATCACAGCTGCACCTACACCTACTAATGGAATGCCTATTTTTGAATTGCGGCAAGAGGTTTGTGGAAATTTATTTCATTTTTAAATTTTTCCATCTAAATACTTTATTGTTTCAGTTGACTCCCAAAAGACCCTTGCGATCCGAAGTGGAAAAAGAGAAAAGACTGAGTCGTCCCTCCAGCGGTCAGTTTTCATCCAGACCATCGAGTTTATCGTTAACCCTGCGAGCAACATCGAGTTCTGGGACATCCAGCAATCGCGACTCAATTGGTATTATTCTTATAATACAATTTATTTCGATTTGTTTAAGATAAATTAATTGTTTTTGTTTGATAATAGGTACTACTGATTCTTCAGTTAGTGAAGAAGACCTGCCACCTCCTCTACCGGTCAAACTACGAGAATTGGATGTCTCTTCACGTGGGGAATCTCTGTCGGCCGCCCCTGGAATCAATTCAATGATGATGATCAATAACCATCCCCTAAATTATGACATTGCACCGCTACTCAATGAGAAAATGGCTTCGGTGAACACATGTGGCAGTAACAAGGAGAAGCCACCTACTCCGCCGCCCAAACCTCCAAAGAAGAACAAGCAATCCGCTTGATCCACACACCCATGACGATTTTTAACGCAAGCAATCATTTTTAGATGACGAAATTAGTTACCAGTATCACAAGTGCCATTATGTAGTGTTCATTTTGTTCGACAGGCTTGTGAATCTACCTGCAACTTCTACTAACGCTACGTTAGTGCTGTTTTTAGAAGTATTATAGGATAGTGTAAATTATGATTAGTGTATTTTCATGTTTAGCGCGTAACTTAACCAAAGATATTGTATTTTACGATGAAGATATGTTATAACTATATAAATGCATTTTGTAGAACAGAATGTTTGTGTTACATCCTGGGAGAACCATTCTTGCATCAGATTGTAAGTATTGAAGTTCTTTATCATCTCCATTAATAACGTTTGTGATTAGCTCATTAATTAGTGACAAAAATTGAATTTTTTAGCAGTTTCAGTCGTGTTTTTAGACATTTTACCCCATTAAATTAATTTATTTTGAATTTCCATCTGATAGAGAATTTTTCAATCTTCCATAATCTACAACTTTCTAAAATAATCACTAAAATAATTTCTGTAAAATAGGGCAATCTTTCAGTATAAATAATCTTCGGATTTTAAATTTTTATTAATTTTTTAAATCCAAATTCCGGGACTACTATTTGCATTGATTATAGATGTCACTAGCATTAACAAAAATTGTAAAATAGACATGTATTGTTTATTTCTATAGTTATCAGCAAGCGCGAGCATTCGACACGAGGTTTGTGTTTGTTTTGAACACAACTTACACTTTCTTATCGCATTCGTCGCGTGGAATGCAACGCATGAGATCCCCTCACGCCGCATTTTGGCGCATCTTAGTTTAGTTTTGATCGCAGGTAACGTGCCAAATGCAACTCGCGCACAAAGTCGCGTGATATCGACGCGCCGCCGGGTTTGCGCATCTACTGCAATTCACGCACAAGGTCGCGTGCCATCGACGCACAGGCTATGCGCATCTTTTGCTTCCTTATCATAAACTGTCGCGTCGTTGCTTGCACAGTTTGCAGCCAGTTTCGTGCCGGTCTCTGGTTGATCCAATATTTTACGCGACTCGTATTGTTTGTCCGGACATCTACTTTCCAAATTCGCAGTATATTCGATCATCAATCGACTATATAATTTCGACTATAGTAATGTTATTTACTGTTTGCGCGTTTATTGTCCATAAATGCCGGTTAAGTTTATCGCCTCCATGTTGATTTGATATTCATCATTAGAATGACCCATCGTGCTGGTGTAAGTACTTTTAAGTAAACAGCACAGATTGTTTGTTTTTCTCCACTGTGTGATTAATAAATTTAATATTACCAAGTCGTATGAAATATTTTTGTTTAACTTATGTTTTCTTTTTTTATTTACAGTATTTGCCGTGTTTTGGAGTCCATGAGATGTGCAATGGTAAGTTTATAATTCAATTATATTTTTAATTTTAATTTCTGCGTCCTCTATCAGTTTGTAGTTACGTTGTTTTGATTTATTGCGTACTCGGCTGATACATCTCGAATTAACTGTTTAGTTTGTCTTTCGTTCACAAAAGCGCAAGAGTTGTACTTGCAAAACCGCAGAGTTGCAATTCAGCGGAATCCCGCCTTAACCATCCCTATCCTATTTTTGTTTCCGTTTTTTAATTCCAATTATTTCGGATTGAAGATTCTAAATCTTTGGAAAATTCTCTATAAGATAAGGTATTCTAATTGGGAAAATACGAGAGGTAGAGAATAATTCATGACTCGTATTCAGGGCACCGTACGAGGCTAGCGGTAAAAGTGACTCATATTCGGGGCACCGTACGAGACTAGCGGTAGAAGTGACTCGTGTTCAGGGCACCGTACGAGGCTAGCGGTAAAAGTGACTCGTATTCAGGGCACCGTACAAGGGCAGTGGTAGAAGTGACTCGTGTTCAGGGCACCGTACGTGGATGATTGTATAGCTGTCTCCCATTTGCCCATTTAATTTCTTAAAAATTTAAATTTCATCTCTTAAATTTCCAATTCAACTGTCTTATTTTATAGGGAGTTGTGCGTAGATTAAGACTGTGCGATTCGTTCCTTTCTATCTCCTTTAGTTTACGAGATATTCGCGATTGAAGAAAATCATCAAAAATTGCAAAATGTCACTTTTTAGCACTTTTAGTGGCGTTTTTTGACCTTTAACTGTTGAAAACATAATTATTTTATAATTTTATCTGACAGAGAATTTTCCAATCTTTCATAATCAGCAATTCGTTGGTCGCTAGCCGTTTTAGTTTAAGAGATATCAATTATCGAAAATCGTCGAAAAAAAGTATCAAGCACCCCCCCTTCGCAATTTTTCTTAAGAATTAAAATTTCATCTCTCAGATTTTCGTTTTAACTATCCTATCTCTGCCCTTTTTGTGTTTTTATTTGTCTCATTTTGGCTGTTTTAGGTGTCTAGCGGCCGAAGCTGATGTCGTATGACAACCGTTCTTTCACCAGATTGTAGGTACTAAAATTCTCTATCATTTTCGTATATAAGCTGTGGGTTTATCCTTTGGGAAACCTACGAAATTGCCCTTTTTGTGTTTTTGTTTGTCTCATTTTTGCTGTTTTAGGTGTCTAGCGGTCGAACCTGATGTCGTACGACAACCGTTCTTTCACCAGATTGTAGGTACTAAAATTCTCTATCATTTTCGTATATAAGCTGTGGGTTTATCCTTTGGGAAACCTACGAAATTACCCTTTTTGTGTTATAGTTTGTCTCATTTTTGCTGTTTTAGGTGTCTAGCGGTCGAACCTGATGTCGTACGACAACCGTTCTTTCACCAGATTGTAGGTACTAAAATTCTCTATCATTTTCGTATATAAGCTGTGGGTTTATCCTTTGGGAAACCTACGAAATTACCCTTTTTGTGTTTTTGTTTGTCTCATTTTTGCTGTTTTAGGTGTCTAGCGGTCGAACCTGATGTCGTACGACAACCGTTCTTTCACCAGATTGTAGGTACTAAAATTCTCTATCATTTTCGTATATAAGCTGTGGGTTTATCCTTTGGGAAACCTACGAAATTACCCTTTTTGTGTTATAGTTTGTCTCATTTTTGCTGTTTTAGGTGTCTAGCGGCCGAACCTGATGTCGTACGACAACCGTTCTTTCACCAGATTGTAGGTACTAAAATTCTCTATCATTTTCGTATATAACTTGTGATTTTTTCCTTTGGGAAAGCTACGAAATTGCCCTTTTTGTGTTTTTGTTTGTCTCATATTTGCTGTTTTAGGTGTCTAGCGGCCGAACCTGATGTCGTACGACAACCGTTCTTTCACCAGATTTTGAGCCGCTTATTTTGAAAGTGACCTAACTCCGTTTTTCAATTTTTTGCCGGTTACCATGGTTACATGTACAACTTCATGTTATTTATCAGTGACGCACTTCAGATTGCTTATATTCAGAGAAAATACGGTACATTTTTTACACATAGGTTTTCCGAATTAATTGAATAACTGACCCGTGTGGTTTGAAAGTGGCCTAACTCCATTTATAGTTACATCAAGGTATTTACTATTGATAATGTCGGAAAGCAGCGATGAAGGTAATTTCAATTAATTAGTATTTACAAGTCCACCTCATTTTTGGGACAATTGCGTTAGTTAATTAACCTGTACGTTTAATTAATATAAAACTTAAAATTTAATATTAAATTATAGAAATTATTGCAAGCATGAGGAAGAACCGAAGAAGACCACTTAGTTCAGATAGTGAAAAAGAAATAGTAATTAATAATTTAAAAAAAGCGAATAAGAAAAAGAGTTATAAAATAATATTCCTCGTCAGAGGATGAAGATTCAAATAACAATGGAGAAAAGATTGATGCACCATATATCCAAAAAGTGCGAAAGATAAAACGGAATTCAGGAAAAAGATATTGCAGTTAAACCGGAAGTATTGTTCATGAAAAAAATTTCGAACCAAAGATTGTGGTTGTCGGAATGCGTGCACAAAAAATTATAATGAAGAAGAAAGAAAGAATATTTTTGAGAAGTTTTGGGGTTTGGCAGATTTTAACAAACAAAATGTATTACTTCACGAAGCTGCCTGTGAAACGAAGACGTTTTTTTTCTTCAATTTGAAACATCTTAAATTATGTTGAATGGACTTGGGCATCTTCAAATTTTATAATGAATCTGGCTGTTAATTTTGAAAGTGGCCCAACTCCATTCTTGATAAGGAAACGCACGTTATTTACTTAATAATTGCCACTACTTTAACAGGAACAGTAAATTTAACATCCTAAGATACGCTTAAGCAGTATGACTCCTTTGTATCTTATACGTATATTTTTAAATTCATTGAAACGCAAAACTTTCAATATCTCGATTTGAAGATAAATGGAGTTAGGCCACTTTCAAAATAAGCGGCTCATTTAGTAATAACACACCAGTGTGGTAGTTATTTGTGGGACGTGCGTGGTGGCCGTCGGATAAGTATGCACGGTGCTGTGTTTATCAATCGTGGATTAATTTTTGGTTTACCTATGCGCGCGTGTCCGTTGGCAATCAGTTATTGTTTCGCACATAAGAATAACTTGAACTTATAATTAATTCCTGCAAATGGACAACTTTGATGCTCAGACAGAATGTTTGTGAGTGCACGAATGGAGTTAGCAATATCTATAGGTATAGTGTTGGAGACGCGCGTATTGTAAGGCAAGTTTTTACTACTCCAAAATGTTCTAACTGTTGATTATTTTTATTTAAAAAAATGTATCTATTATTATTGTTCTCAGTAAAACACAATGTAAAATTACAATCTTATTCATATTACTTTATGTTATCCTATTTGTCGTTTTCAGTATTGACATCTCATGTTGCATATAAATCTTATGCGTGTGGAGCTAGTGCAACATAGTTGAGTTGTGTTGTTGTTTTTAAAAAGTTGAATGAAGTAGAAACATAAATAGAAGAATCAAATATTAATAACAAAAACACTCGGTGGTCGAGTGGGTACGTGCACCTGCTAGCATGCTAGTAGACACGGATCGAATCTCAGGTGTAGAAGGCATTTTTCTCAAATATAAAAATAACAGGTGAAATTTGGGTTGCATATATAAATTGCAACGAAATAAAAGAGAAATTGAAATACAAGTGAAGGCAATAAGAAAAGTAAGAAAGTAAGTAGAGAAACGGAGAACATAGAAATAGAAATAGAAGAAGAAGGAGGAGCAGTAGAGAAGAGAAGGTAGAAGGAAGAGTAGAGAAGAGGAGAAGATAGGAGAAAGAGAACAGGAGTGGATGAGATTTTTAAATTTTTTGGCACGTGTCGTTATAAGACAGTCACAGGTCGATCTCCCAGAGCGCCTCCGGCGCTCTGGTCGATCGCCCACTGCTTCGATGCGTCCATTGCTCCCGGCCCAACCTACAGCTACGATGTCTCTGCGCTTCATCCCCGAAATTATCAGGCATATCAACAATTTTTATGGTGGGGGATCACCCCCAGAGAGAGGGAACTCCTTATAAGGACAATCCTTATAAGGTCTTGTAAAAATATTTCTAAGTTTTAAGTCGCCTCAAGAGAGGTGACACTTAAAAATATTCTTACAAGTTCTGACCTGTAGCTGAAATGAAAGAAGGAGCACACAAATCACACAGGATACCTTAACAATTTTTATAGTGGGGATCATCCCCTGAGAGAGGGAACTCTCTTAGAGACCTGTTCCTGAAATGATAGAAGAGGTACACAAATCAAAGAAGTCAATATATTTTACTATTTCTTTATTAACAATAGAATACAAGTTTATATTTTACAAGTCAACAGAATACATGTCGCCATATTGAAACAGGACTTACGACCTGCATAGCCGCGCACATGCAAGCAAGTTACACTTCGCAAAGTACTACCGGGATAAAGAAATTAGGAAATAGACCATTTTCTGCGTGAGTGAAAATGGAAACAAATATACAGGGTGTTACAAATAGAAAATTCAAAGTGGAAAGAAGAAAACCCTAAAACAACAACTAAAGCTAAATTTTCACGGACAACAAGAAAAACAAATATACAGGGTGCTACAAAAAGGAAATTACAACATCACAAAAAGAAAATCAATAGTACAAAAAAGAAAATAGTCGGGAATTCAAATTTAGAAAACTTATAATAGGAAATCAAGAAAAACAAACATACAGGGTGATACAAACAGGAAATTCCTAAATTTAAAAATAAAATACAAAGTTTAAGTAGAAAACGACCCAGAACCGACAAATTTAGTCAGTTTTACACGAGAACGCAAGGTAAAGTAGAACATAGGGTGATACAAGAAGAAAATTGCTACATTATACAAATATATTACAAATATTTTACAAATATATTACTCTCAATAATTAATTGCCAAACTACGAAAATACGTTAAAGAGCTGGCAGATTTATGAAATAAAAATAAAAATGCGAGCAAGGAAAATTTCACGTTATTAAATCGATAATTGACATGACCTTACTCTGCGGGTAAATCCAAGTCGCATCCGACGGCACGCATCAATTTTGTGTTGTTACGGTATTCACGTTACATGCAATTTTAGATAAATATGAAAGTATAATGTAATAACGTTTACAAACTTACCAGTGCATCAGGTAATCATAGAAAGTACTGAAACAAAAAAACAACACGTGTGTGAGAACTCGCACTATGATGCACACTTAATTAAATTTGTTTTGAGGGATAATGAACCTGTACTATTTTAACTCACAATTTTCCCGGAATATCCTGCCAAGGACAGTTAATTAAGTTAATTAAACAAAAACAATCTACAGGTCTGTTGTCATTAGATGCCGCTAGAAATACTCATTTTTAATCAATAATAAAACGTAATGTAATCGGAATGAATGAAAGAATGATGCTGAGCCGCGTGCAGGTAAGAACAGACTGAAGCGGTCGAACGATCGTAGCATGAGAGGCAGCATTGCGCACGTTTATAGCGAGATAAAAACTTGTTTATACACAAACCCCGATATGCGTGTAGAATTGAAATAGCACATTTTTGAAGTGCACTAAAATAAAATAAAATATAATAATTCAATACATCAGTTGTTAATTTCAGCATTCGGTTCGCCCGTTATACTAACGAAACTACGAGTACTATTGCGTATATGCGTATACATACAACTATCATTATAACTCGCGTTACGGAATTTTCTCGCAATAAATTTCGATACAGGGAAATAAAGAATTAAATCCCGCATCTGGGAAAATTAATCCGAACTAAGTTTGAGACCGCGTTCGCGTGTTATAATATTAAGAAAGTACAATTCCTAGCGCAACGAGTACTATTGCGTATATGCGTATACACACAACTATCATTATAACTCGCGTTACGGAATTTTCTCGCAATAAATTTCCATACAGGAAAATAAAGAATTAAATCCCGCATCTGGGAAAATAAATCCGAACTAAGTTTGAGACCGCGTTCGCGTGTTATAATATTAAGAAAGTACAATTCCTAGCGCAACGAGTACTATTGCGTATATGCGTATACACACAACTATCATTATAACTCGCGTTACGGAATTTTCTCGCACCATATTTCCATACAGGAAAATAAAGAATTAAATTCCGCATCTGGGAAAATAAATCCGAACTAAGTTTGAGACCGCGTTCGCGTGTTATAATATTAAGAAAGTACAATTCCTAGCGCAACGAGTACTATTGCGTATATGCGTATACACACAACTATCATTATAACTCGCGTTACGGAATTTTCTCGCAATAAATTTCGATACAGGGAAATAAAGAATTAAATTCCGCATCTGGGAAAATTAATCCGAACTAAGTTTGAGACCGCGTTCGCGTGTTATAATATTAAGAAAGTACAATTCCTAGCGCAACGAGTACTATTGCGTATATGCGTATACACACAACTATCATTATAACTCGCGTTACGGAATTTTCTCGCACCATATTTCCATACAGGGAAATAAAGAATTAAATTCCGCATCTGGGAAAATAAATCCGAACTAAGTTTGAGACCGCGTTCGCGTGTTATAATATTAAGAAAGTTCAATTCCTAGCGCAACGAGTACTATTGCGTATATGCGTATACACACAACTATCATTATAACTCGCGTTACGGAATTTTCTCGCAATAAATTTCCATACAGGAAATAAAGAATTAAATTCCGCATCTGGGAAAATTAATCCGAACTAAGTTTGAGACCGCGTTCGCGTGTTATAATATTAAGAAAGTACAATTCCTAGCGCAACGAGTACTATTGCGTATATGCGTATACACACAACTATCATTATAACTCGCGTTACGGAATTTTCTCGCAATAAATTTCCATACAGGGAAATAAAGAATTAAATTCCGCATCTGGGAAAATTAATCCGAACTAAGTTTGAGACCGCGTTCGCGTGTTATAATATTAAGAAAGTACAATTCCTAGCGCAACGAGTACTATTGCGTATATGCGTATACACACAACTATCATTATAACTCGCGTTACGGAATTTTCTCGCAATAAATTTCGATACAGGAAATAAAGAATTAAATTCCGCATCTGGGAAAATTAATCCGAACTAAGTTTGAGACCGCGTTCGCGTGTTATAATATTAAGAAAGTACAATTCCTAGCGCAACGAGTACTATTGCGTATATGCGTATACACACAACTATCATTATAACTCGCGTTACGGAATTTTCTCGCACCATATTTCCATACAGGGAAATAAAGAATTAAATTCCGCATCTGGGAAAATTAATCCGAACTAAGTTTGAGACCGCGTTCGCGTGTTATAATATTAAGAAAGTACAATTCCTAGCGCAACGAGTACTATTGCGTATATGCGTATACACACAACTATCATTATAACTCGCGTTACGGAATTTTCTCGCACCATATTTCCATACAGGGAAATAAAGAATTAAATTCCGCATCTGGGAAAATAAATCCGAACTAAGTTTGAGACCGCGTTCGCGTGTTATAATATTAAGAAAGTACAATTCCTAGCGCAACGAGTACTATTGCGTATATGCGTATACACACAACTATCATTATAACTCGCGTTACGGAATTTTCTCGCACCATATTTCCATACAGGGAAATAAAGAATTAAATTCCGCATCTGGGAAAATAAATCCGAACTAAGTTTGAGACCGCGTTCGCGTGTTATAATATTAAGAAAGTACAATTCCTAGCGCAACGAGTACTATTACGTATATGCGTATACACACAACTATCATTATAACTCGCGTTACGGAATTTTCTCGCACCATATTTCCATACAGGGAAATAAAGAATTAAATTCCGCATCTGGGAAAATAAATCCGAACTAAGTTTGAGACCGCGTTCGCGTGTTATAATATTAAGAAAGTACAATTCCTAGCGCAACGAGTACTATTGCGTATATGCGTATACACACAACTATCATTATAACTCGCGTTACGGAATTTTCTCGCACCATATTTCCATACAGGGAAATAAAGAATTAAATTCCGCATCTGGGAAAATAAATCCGAACTAAGTTTGAGACCGCGTTCGCGTGTTATAATATTAAGAAAGTACAATTCCTAGCGCAACGAGTACTATTGCGTATATGCGTATACACACAACTATCATTATAACTCGCGTTACGGAATTTTCTCGCACCATATTTCCATACAGGGAAATAAAGAATTAAATTCCGCATCTGGGAAAATAAATCCGAACTAAGTTTGAGACCGCGTTCGCGTGTTATAATATTAAGAAAGTACAATTCCTAGCGCAACGAGTACTATTGCGTATATGCGTATACACACAACTATCATTATAACTCGCGTTACGGAATTTTCTCGCACCATATTTCCATACAGGAAATAAAGAATTAAATTCCGCATCTGGGAAAATAAATCCGAACTAAGTTTGAGACCGCGTTCGCGTGTTATAATATTAAGAAAGTACAATTCCTAGCGCAACGAGTACTATTGCGTATATGCGTATACACACAACTATCATTATAACTCGCGTTACGGAATTTTCTCGCACCATATTTCCATACAGGGAAATAAAGAATTAAATTCCGCATCTGGGAAAATAAATCCGAACTAAGTTTGAGACCGCGTTCGCGTGTTATAATATTAAGAAAGTACAATTCCTAGCGCAACGAGTACTATTGCGTATATGCGTATACACACAACTATCATTATAACTCGCGTTACGGAATTTTCTCGCACCATATTTCCATACAGGGAAATAAAGAATTAAATTCCGCATCTGGGAAAATAAATCCGAACTAAGTTTGAGACCGCGTTCGCGTGTTATAATATTAAGAAAGTACAATTCCTAGCGCAACGAGTACTATTGCGTATATGCGTATACACACAACTATCATTATAACTCGCGTTACGGAATTTTCTCGCAATAAATTTCGATACAGGGAAATAAAGAATTAAATTCCGCATCTGGGAAAATTAATCCGAACTAAGTTTGAGACCGCGTTCGCGTGTTATAATATTAAGAAAGTACAATTCCTAGCGCAACGAGTACTATTGCGTATATGCGTATACACACAACTATCATTATAACTCGCGTTACGGAATTTTCTCGCACCATATTTCCATACAGGAAATAAAGAATTAAATTCCGCATCTGGGAAAATAAATCCGAACTAAGTTTGAGACCGCGTTCGCGTGTTATAATATTAAGAAAGTACAATTCCTAGCGCAACGAGTACTATTGCGTATATGCGTATACACACAACTATCATTATAACTCGCGTTACGGAATTTTCTCGCAATAAATTTCGATACAGGGAAATAAAGAATTAAATTCCGCATCTGGGAAAATTAATCCGAACTAAGTTTGAGACCGCGTTCGCGTGTTATAATATTAAGAAAGTACAATTCCTAGCGCAACGAGTACTATTGCGTATATGCGTATACACACAACTATCATTATAACTCGCGTTACGGAATTTTCTCGCAATAAATTTCGATACAGGGAAATAAAGAATTAAATTCCGCATCTGGGAAAATTAATCCGAACTAAGTTTGAGACCGCGTTCGCGTGTTATAATATTAAGAAAGTACAATTCCTAGCGCAACGAGTACTATTGCGTATATGCGTATACACACAACTATCATTATAACTCGCGTTACGGAATTTTCTCGCACCATATTTCCATACAGGGAAATAAAGAATTAAATTCCGCATCTGGGAAAATAAATCCGAACTAAGTTTGAGACCGCGTTCGCATGTTATAATATTAAGAAAGTACAATTCCTAGCGCAACGAGTACTATTGCGTATATGCGTATACACACAACTATCATTATAACTCGCGTTACGGAATTTTCTCGCACCATATTTCCATACAGGGAAATAAAGAATTAAATTCCGCATCTGGGAAAATAAATCCGAACTAAGTTTGAGACCGCGTTCGCATGTTATAATATTAAGAAAGTTCAATTCCTAGCGCAACGAGTACTATTGCGTATACACACAACTATCATTATAACTCGCGTTACGGAATTTTCTCGCACCATATTTCCATACAGGGAAATAAAGAATTAAATTCCGCATCTGGGAAAATAAATCCGAACTAAGTTTGAGACCGCGTTCGCGTGTTATAATATTAAGAAAGTACAATTCCTAGCGCAACGAGTACTATTGCGTATATGCGTATACACACAACTATCATTATAACTCGCGTTACGGAATTTTCTCGCACCATATTTCCATACAGGGAAATAAAGAATTAAATTCCGCATCTGGGAAAATAAATCCGAACTAAGTTTGAGACCGCGTTCGCATGTTATAATATTAAGAAAGTTCAATTCCTAGCGCAACGAGTACTATTGCGTATATGCGTATACACACAATTATCATTATAACTCGCGTTACGGAATTTTCTCGCAATAAATTTCGATACAGGGAAATAAAGAATTAAATTCCGCATCTGGGAAAATTAATCCGAACTAAGTTTAAGACCGCGTTCGCGTGTTATAATATTAAGAAAGTACAATTCCTAGCGCAACGAGTACTATTGCGTATATGCGTATACACACAATTATCATTATAACTCGCGTTACGGAATTTTCTCGCAATAAATTTCGATACAGGGAAATAAAGAATTAAATTCCGCATCTGGGAAAATAAATCCGAACTAAGTTTGAGACCGCGTTCGCGTGTTATAATATTAAGAAAGTACAATTCCTAGCGCAACGAGTACTATTGCGTATACACACAACTATCATTATAACTCGCGTTACGGAATTTTCTCGCACCATATTTCCATACAGGGAAATAAAGAATTAAATTCCGCATCTGGGAAAATAAATCCGAACTAAGTTTGAGACCGCGTTCGCATGTTATAATATTAAGAAAGTTCAATTCCTAGCGCAACGAGTACTATTGCGTATATGCGTATACACACAACTATCATTATAACTCGCGTTACGGAATTTTCTCGCACCATATTTCCATACAGGGAAATAAAGAATTAAATTCCGCATCTGGGAAAATAAATCCGAACTAAGTTTGAGACCGCGTTCGCGTGTTATAATATTAAGAAAGTACAATTCCTAGCGCAACGAGTACTATTGCGTATATGCGTATACACACAACTATCATTATAACTCGCGTTACGGAATTTTCTCGCACCATATTTCCATACAGGGAAATAAAGAATTAAATTCCGCATCTGGGAAAATAAATCCGAACTAAGTTTGAGACCGCGTTCGCATGTTATAATATTAAGAAAGTTCAATTCCTAGCGCAACGAGTACTATTGCGTATATGCGTATACACAACTATCATTATAACTCGCGTTACGGAATTTTCTCGCACCATATTTCCATACAGGGAAATAAAGAATTAAATTCCGCATCTGGGAAAATAAATCCGAACTAAGTTTGAGACCGCGTTCGCATGTTATAATATTAAGAAAGTTCAATTCCTAGCGCAACGAGTACTATTGCGTATATGCGTATACACACAACTATCATTATAACTCGCGTTACGGAATTTTCTCGCACCATATTTCCATACAGGGAAATAAAGAATTAAATTCCGCATCTGGGAAAATAAATCCGAACTAAGTTTGAGACCGCGTTCGCATGTTATAATATTAAGAAAGTTCAATTCCTAGCGCAACGAGTACTATTGCGTATATGCGTATACACACAACTATCATTATAACTCGCGTTACGGAATTTTCTCGCACCATATTTCCATACAGGGAAATAAAGAATTAAATTCCGCATCTGGGAAAATAAATCCGAACTAAGTTTGAGACCGCGTTCGCGTGTTATAATATTAAGAAAGTACAATTCCTAGCGCAACGAGTACTATTGCGTATATGCGTATACACACAACTATCATTATAACTCGCGTTACGGAATTTTCTCGCACCATATTTCCATACAGGAAATAAAGAATTAAATTCCGCATCTGGGAAAATAAATCCGAACTAAGTTTGAGACCGCGTTCGCGTGTTATAATATTAAGAAAGTACAATTCCTAGCGCAACGAGTACTATTGCGTATATGCGTATACACACAACTATCATTATAACTCGCGTTACGGAATTTTCTCGCACCATATTTCCATACAGGAAATAAAGAATTAAATTCCGCATCTGGGAAAATAAATCCGAACTAAGTTTGAGACCGCGTTCGCGTGTTATAATATTAAGAAAGTACAATTCCTAGCGCAACGAGTACTATTGCGTATATGCGTATACACACAACTATCATTATAACTCGCGTTACGGAATTTTCTCGCACCATATTTCCATACAGGGAAATAAAGAATTAAATTCCGCATCTGGGAAAATAAATCCGAACTAAGTTTGAGACCGCGTTCGCATGTTATAATATTAAGAAAGTTCAATTCCTAGCGCAACGAGTACTATTGCGTATATGCGTATACACACAACTATCATTATAACTCGCGTTACGGAATTTTCTCGCACCATATTTCCATACAGGGAAATAAAGAATTAAATTCCGCATCTGGGAAAATAAATCCGAACTAAGTTTGAGACCGCGTTCGCGTGTTATAATATTAAGAAAGTACAATTCCTAGCGCAACGAGTACTATTGCGTATATGCGTATACACACAACTATCATTATAACTCGCGTTACGGAATTTTCTCGCACCATATTTCCATACAGGGAAATAAAGAATTAAATTCCGCATCTGGGAAAATAAATCCGAACTAAGTTTGAGACCGCGTTCGCGTGTTATAATATTAAGAAAGTACAATTCCTAGCGCAACGAGTACTATTGCGTATATGCGTATACACACAACTATCATTATAACTCGCGTTACGGAATTTTCTCGCACCATATTTCCATACAGGGAAATAAAGAATTAAATTCCGCATCTGGGAAAATAAATCCGAACTAAGTTTGAGACCGCGTTCGCGTGTTATAATATTAAGAAAGTACAATTCCTAGCGCAACGAGTACTATTGCGTATATGCGTATACACACAACTATCATTATAACTCGCGTTACGGAATTTTCTCGCACCATATTTCCATACAGGGAAATAAAGAATTAAATTCCGCATCTGGGAAAATAAATCCGAACTAAGTTTGAGACCGCGTTCGCGTGTTATAATATTAAGAAAGTTCAATTCCTAGCGCAACGAGTACTATTGCGTATATGCGTATACACACAATTATCATTATAACTCGCGTTACGGAATTTTCTCGCAATAAATTTCGATACAGGGAAATAAAGAATTAAATTCCGCATCTGGGAAAATTAATCCGAACTAAGTTTGAGACCGCGTTCGCGTGTTATAATATTAAGAAAGTACAATTCCTAGCGCAACGAGTACTATTGCGTATATGCGTATACACACAACTATCATTATAACTCGCGTTACGGAATTTTCTCGCACCATATTTCCATACAGGGAAATAAAGAATTAAATTCCGCATCTGGGAAAATAAATCCGAACTTAGGGTTTTATTCCTAGGTGACAAATGGAAAACTTTTTTATAAACAGCGAATGTAAATTTGACCGGAAAATATAATTAAATTTTAAACTTACCAGTTTACAGCTTATCGGACTGCCAGACACAACCTGTGCTGTAACTAAACGAAAACATACGTAAATTATAATATAATATATATTATATTATATTCGATTAATTTAGAAACCGAGACCAAACACAATGCCGAGTGAACATTGAACAAATTACTATAGTCGCAAAGTAGAAATAAATAGTCGATAGCCGATATAAGTCAGTTTTTAGAACTTATAGTCACGTTTTTCGCCCTTTTACCCTACAATATTTAATTATTTTAATCTGCAATTCGTTAGGTTCTAGCGCTTTTAGTTTAAGAGATATTCACTACCAAAACAAGTCGAAAAAAATTATCCTTCCTTGCCCATGTTTTCTTAAAATTAAAATTTCATCACTTAGATTTCCAATGTAACTATTGTATCTTATAGAGAATTGTCCGTAGATTAAAACTCTGCAATTCGTTCCTTTCTATCTCTTTTAGTTTAAGAGACATTCGCAATTGACAAAAATCATCAAAATTTGACTACACTATTTTAACAGATAATATTCCCGCAATATCTTGACAAAGACAGACGTTAAATACACTTACTCAAAACTATCCATAGGATACATATTTCTAATTTCAATTCTCACCATCACAATAATCCAATAGCCACCGGACCACTTACGCATAGATAAAGCGCAAGTTATATTATCATTATATCCGGTCCTCATCTTTCGCAAATCACTATACACGTCTATTGTTATTAAGTGCCGATATTTATGCCGATTTTTAATTGTAATGTAGTTAATGTATTCGAAATGAATAAACGAAAGGTAACGAGCCGCGTGCACGTAGGAACAGACTGAAACGGTCGAACGTTCGTAGCGCGAGCGCTGCATGAGTCTGGTTCAAAGCGATAAAAAAGTTGTTTGTACCCGTACACCAACACCAACAAACATGTAGAGTTGGAAACAAAACATTCAGATATGAAGTTGTATGGCACTTGCAGTATAAAAATTATAATATTTCAATAGTTTCAATTATAATATGTATCAATTAAAACCAATTTTTTTCTTTTTGGCCAAAAATATTTTCCCGATTTAAATTTTATATCTTATACAGAATTTCGTGTAGATTTAAAATCTAAAATCCGTTCATCTCAATCATTTTTTATTTACGCTAATTTATTGTTGCTATTTATTCCCTAATGCCAAAATATCATTACTATTCATATCTGAAGTTGACACTATGAAAATATAAATGAAAATTGTGACGTTAAAATTCAGATCTATAAATTTAAATATATAAATTTTTAAATTTAATCTTGAGTACTTTTATGTTTACATTATGGGACACGTATTGACTTTATTAGTCATTCTACTATTTCCAACACTTTGTAAAGTGGTAAATATCCGAGAAACGAATTATTAATTTACATATTAATTTTTAGGCATGGCCATTAGATGCGAAACTTGTTTTTTTTGCGACGGATCAGATTATCGCGTTACTGACCACTGTGATGTAACTATTTCAAATCATAAATAATTCACGCCAAAATTACTGTATTATTTATTATAGGTATGCACCTACGTAGGATATGTGGGACATGACAATAAAGAATATAGTATTAAAAAACTATGTGATCAAAAATGTGATTTCCTTCCCGCACTTACAGAACAACGTCTCATCGAAACAAATGGATATTGTTACGATTGTTATACTCACCTTTGCAACACAGGTCCCCGCAGAAGTAACGTTCTACAAATCACCAATAGTCGTCTTATTATAGTTATTTTCGTATTCATCCTATTCTGTTTATGAAATGGAAATGTAGGTATATGAACAAAAATTGAACAGTTTAAATAAATTTAATGTATAAATTTAATAAACATGTTAAAGTAATTTAACTAATCCATTTAGCAATTAATCTGCAGAAAACATGAAAATATCACAGAGTTCGCGAGATTTGACCCAATTTCCACGATAAAACTGGGAAAATGTTGAAAATTACAACCAACCTAAAACACAATATTTTATATCACTTTTCGCATGATTTTTTGGGGCGGCGCCAGCGTAGCTTTAAGATCGATTCTTGCAGTATCAGAATTATAGTACTTCAATAGTTTTAACCTTGATATGTATCAATGAAAACCACAAATGTTTCTTTATGGCCAAAAATATTTTCTCAATTTAAATTCTTTATCTTATACAGAATTTTCTGAAGATTAAAAATCCAGAATTCATTCATCTCGATCGTTAATTATTTACGCTATTTAATTGTTGCTATTTATTCCCTAATGCCAAACTATTATTACTTTAAATCTGAAGTTGACACTATGAAAATATAAATAAAAATTGTGATTGATAATAACGTTCAAATTCAGATCTATAAATTTAAATATATAAATTACAAAAGTTAATCTTGAGTATTTTTACTTTTACATTATGGGACATGTGTTGACTTTAGTAATTATCCTACTATTTCCAACAATTTGTAAAATGGTAAATATCCGAGGAATGAATTATTAATTTACATATTAATTTTTAGGTATGGCCATTAGATGCGAAACTTGTTTTTTGCGAGGGCGAAGATAATACCGTTACTCCAAACTGTGAAGTAACTATTTCAAATCATAAATAATTCGCGCCAAAATTACAATATTATTTATTATAGGTTTGCACCTACGTAGGATATGTGGGACGTGACGGTACTGAACATGTCATTGATAAACTATGTGATCATACATGTGATCACATTCCTTCAATTTCTGAAAAAGTACGCAGGGAAAAAAATGGACATTGTTACGATTGTTTTACTGACCTTTGCAACCTAAGTGCCCGCCAAAGTAACGTTCCAAAAATCAACGGTTGTCGTCTTATTATCGTTATTTTCGTACTCATATCATTCTTTTTATAAAATGGAATTGTATATGAACAAAAATTGAACAGTTTAAATAAATTTAATGTTAAAATTTAATAAACATCATGTTAAAGTCATTTTACTAATCCATTTAGCAATTAAGTCTTTAGCGGTTTGCTATCAGAATCTAAAGAAAATATAAGAATATCCCGAAAGACTCTCAAGATATTAAATATTTCATTATTTGCAGCGCGATTTTAAGGCACTGCGCAAAATTGCTGGGGGCGTATCGTTGAATTCAAATCTCGCGCTATCAGAATCCGAAAAAAAAAATACTTTTCAAATCTGAAGTTGACACTATCAAAACATAAGTGAAAATTTTGAATGACAGATAATAATGTTAAAATTCAAATCTATAAATTAAAATATATAAATTTTGTAATTTAATCTAGAGTATTTTTTACGTTTACATTATGAGCCATGTATTGACTTTATTAATTATCCTACTCTTTCCATCAATTTGTAAAATGGTAATTATCCGAAAACGAATTATTAATTTACATATTAATTTTTAGGTATGTCCATTAGTTGCAAAGTTTGTACATTATGCGACGGATCAGATGAATACCTTGTTGAACACTGTGAAGTAACTATTTCGAATTATAAATAATGCAAGCCTATGTTACAATATTTTTTGTTATAGTTATGCACCTATATGCGATTTGTAGACGAACATGACATGACTGAATATAGCATTGGCAAATTATGTGATCGAGCATGTGATAACCTTCCTATAGATTTAGAAAAACGTCTCATCGAGAAAAATGGACGATGTTACAGTTGTTATACTGACCTTTGCAACAAAAGTAACCTGCCAAAAATCAACAGTAATCTTCTAATCATAGTTATTTTCGTATTTATCGCATTCTCTTCATGTAAATGTAAATGTATATAAACAAAAATTAAGCAGTGTAAATAAATTTAATGTATAAATTTAATAAACATGTTAAAGTAATTTAACTAATCCATTTTGCAATTAAGTCTTTAGCAGTTTGTTTGGCATTGCGCATGGCTTCCGAATCACTAGAGCTGATTGAAGACAAATCAGCACAATGGGAATACCCGGGAACAAGAATTGCAGGTGCCTCCTCATGCAAATCCTCCAATAAACCAATTGCGTGCCATGGATCTACGGATCCATGGATGGAAATAACTTTGGTAACGTTGGGTTTCAAAGCTCCCCAATTTCTGTTTGTATTATCAATGCTAGCCAAAATATTTTCCTTGTTAAACTGCGATCCGAAAGCATCAGCGCACATGGAATGACTCACAGTAGAGAACCAGTTAACACCAAATGGTTGCTCTGTAGAGTTTCCGGTTTGGAAGAAACCAAACTCGGAGCAAGTCTGGTAGAACCAAGTGCGATCTAGAAAGATTTTACAATTATACCAACCCTGCATTAATGGTTCTAAATTTACTTACAACTTGATTCAGACAAGCCAGTTTGAGCATACCAATAGAGCAAATCTTCATAATCACCAATACATCCTCCGTAAGTGTCACGAACATACGCAGCTAATTTAGCTAATGAATCACCCGATTTGTTAAGCATCTTTTGACATTCAGCCTTAATTTGACCAGGCTGGGCATATTGGACGGTACCAGCAAAAAGATTAGCAATCTGGTTGAAGAAGTGATCTTTGTATGGGAAATATGATTTAAGACGTTTGCAGGAACTGAATAAAAGTATAAAAATTTCAATATAACTAATATCAAATTGGTGGAATGATATTACGTACTTGATCAAGGAAGACAACTCAGTGATACCTGCATCAGTCTGGTAAAGTTCATTCATTCGCGTGGTACCTTCACTGATGACGTCCCAACATTCAGGAGATTCTAACTGAATATTCAAACCCACAACTTCGAAATATTCTAAAAGAACGAAAATATATCAGTAAATGTTCTAATATTAATGAGTACTAATTACGTTTGTAATCATCAAGAGCCAATAATGGAGCACTGGAAGCATAGGCAGCATCAATAAGATCAGGGTATTTGGAACGAGCCCATGTGGCCATTGTAGCAGAATAAGAACCACCAACAACAACAACCTACCCGGAAAGATCCCTCAATTAAAATAATCCACACCAAAAATATGATTAATTATCTATACCTTGGAATCAATGAAAATAGGATTGTTCTTCAACCCACGAATGAAAGCAGCAAGATCAGCAAGAGCCTGTTCCACACTAAGATACTTCAAGTTAGCAGTGGTGAAATCATTGGTAGGATAACTATAGCCATAGTAACGATGTTCAGTGTAAAGCAAATAACCACCATGCTCAGCGGCCATGTCGTAAATCTGACCACCCATGAGAGAACCAGGAGAAATGGTCCATTCACCACCCAGGTAGATAAAGATAGGTCCACCACTGACAAAGTGTTGATCATTGCCGTAGTACCTCATTGACCATTGCCTGGTATCAGCTGAATTGAAATGATCTACTGGCATGGAGATGCTGTACAGAACTGGAGACTTGGCACGTGGGTTGCGTGCAACTTCCGGAGGCGGTGCATGGCGGTTAATAAGAACTTTAGCCTATGTAATTTATTTATAAATAATAAATATTAATAACTAAAAATTTTATTTGGTTTATTTACCGAAACATTTCCTACGGCGACGAATGCCGCAATGGCAACAAACAAAATGGCTACCTTCATGATGAAACACGACTAATTCGAAAACAATTATTTCCTGCCTTAAATATGTTTCTTTATCTTATCAAGTACACTTGATTGCTATTTTCATTATAAAAATCGCACAAAAGTACAGTTTCTCAACGAGTAAATAAATAACATCGATAACAGCACTTACAAACGGTCCATAGGACGATTTGTAATTGAACTTTTATATTTCAGCGGGTAAGTGTTGTTTTCATGTGTAGATAAACACCCGGATGAATTATTTTCATGTCAAGTGCAACCAATTTGGAAATATGATTGCACGCGCCACTCAAAAACCCAGAAATAGCGCATCACGTTATATTTATGAGTGGTTATTGAAAAACCCATTAAAATAATTCTCTTTTTTTAATTTTTAATTTAAAATTTTAAATCCCTAATGTATTAACGACCAGAACAATGTAATATAATACATTGAATATAGTTGCCCACTTAGAAATTGTCGTTTTACAGAGTTGAAGTTTCATTGCAGTCTAAATCATTCTATCGAAATGTGCAGAGTGTAAAAATATTCATCATGCGACAAAACATTTATTTGTTTGTGTTTGCAATTATATTGAATACAATTTATTGTTTGGATAATAGGTAATTATTTTTTTAAAGTAAAAAATGTTTTCTAAACTTAAATATTTGTTTTTTGTAGACCTGTTATTATAGCAAGAGCTGGAAATTTAGAAATTGCTGCTGCTCCAGGTGGAGATATAAAGCTAAATGTCAGATTCGGAGGAAAAATACTCGTTCAGGATACGGATATATCCGCAATGATCAAAGACGTATTTTTTAACAAAAAGTGATAAAATTTTAGTGTAAAATATTAATTTTGTTTTTAGATGAGTAGTTCATTAGAAACCCTGCAGCAATGCAGTGTGGATTCAAAAAACGCCCTTTCAAAAATATCAAAATTCGAGGGTGATGTTGACAGTACAAGTCTGATGAGTCGTTTGAGCAACTTGGAAAGATTCACGAATAACACTAATAGACTTGTGTTCCTAATATCGGTATAAATATCTTTTCATTACTAAAAATGTCAATTTATTCCAATAATTTTGATTAAATTATAGAGACCTATGAGAAGACGTATAAATGTCATCCAAAAACGCCTCTCTGCATTGATGCAAAGTCTAAACTTGAACGAATGTAACAGTAATCCATGCCAACATGGCGGGACCTGTCAAGATTTGTACAACGCCTACAATTGCCTATGTCCACCAAACTGGGAGGTACTAATTGGTGTATCAGATAACAAAAGAAACAAATTTTTAAATTTAAATTTCCAGGGACCCAACTGTGAAAACGATGTGAATGAATGTGATAAGTTTAGAGGAACTGAACTCGGATGTCAAAACGATGCAAAATGTGTTAATACACCCGGAAGTTATGAGTAATTCTTAAAAATTAGCTTAATATTAATAAAACTTGAATAAATGTTATTTTTAACAGATGTAAATGTACTGATGGGTGGTTTGGTATTCATTGCACAAAACGAACACAGGATTGTAATAACAGCGTTGAAGTTTGTGGGCATGGAACATGCATACCTCTAGCAACAGGATACAAATGTCTTTGTGACCAGGTAATATCTCCATTCCCGAATTTTGTACTAATTTTAAAATTTATAAATAAATATATTTAGGGATGGAAAACTGATGGTACCAAACTAGCTTGCACTGTGGATGTTAATGAATGTGAAGCATACCATCCACCATGCTCCTCTAACCCACCAGTAAAATGCATAAATCTCCCCGGTTCATTCTATTGCGGTCACTGCCCAGCTGGTTACACCGGAAATGGTTTCTACTGTTCAGATATCAACGAGTGTGAGATTCTTAATGGCGGATGCAGTATGTACCCAATGGTACAATGTGTCAACGTGCCAGGTTCTAGAATCTGCGGACGTTGTCCACCTGGTTACAACGGAAACGGAATAACCTGCACTTTCCAAGGTGTTTGTGGAGTTGCCAATGGTGGATGTCATCCAATGGCACAATGTCGCGACAATCCAAGTAAATAATTACATATTACTATTATTTTCTGATATATAAACTAAGGAACTTATTATTATTATTATTATTACTAGGAATTAGTAGTACTTATGTTGAATGCGCCTGCCCTCCGGGTTACGGCGGAAATGGTTACGGTCCCAACGGATGTGTAAAAGGTGGATACGTTGACGCATGCGCATCGAATCCGTGCCAATACGGGACATGCACAACAGTAGGAAATGATTACAAATGCAATTGTACATCAAAGTACACAGGCACAAACTGTAACGTTCGCAAAGATGGCTGCAATTCAAACCCATGTCAAAATGGCGGACAGTGCATTGTACTCATAGGTCAAATATCATACGCTTGCTTGTGCCTAGCTGGTTATACGGGATCCAACTGTGAAAAAAGCGATATGCAATGTGGGCAAGCATTGGGACCCACTGGGAAAATGATTTATCCACCAGCTGAGATGACGTTCAATCGACAATCACAGATTAGCTGTGCGGTGCGCATCAAAGCACCATCAGCAAAAGTTCTTAACGTTACCATACACAGTGTTTATATACCAGTTTGCAGTCATAATTACTTACAGGTTCAACATATCAACTCATTTAAATATTATTGCAATAATATAGTTAATATTATTATAGATTCATGATGGTAAAGATACCGGATCACCTTTAATTGGAAGATTTTGTGACAACAAGTTAAAAAACGCTAGTACAATTATTTCTACAACTGATATTTTGTATTTATGGTTGAAAGGGGATGCTTTAGCGCCTAAACCATTCATGAACATCTCATGGACTTCAATAGCACCAGGCAAGTTTTAAAAAAATAAATTTTGAAGTAAAATTAATATTTCTTTGTTCTAAATTAGTTTGTGGATCTGCTTTTGATGTAAATGAACCTGGGACATTTAAATCACCTGGATCACCTCAAGCTTATCCCCCGAAACGTGATTGTTACTGGAAATTGAAAGCTCCACTTAACAAACGAATAAAATTCACGTTTTATCACCTGGATATCGGAAACAACACAGATTGCTCCAAAGATTATATTTCTGTCAGTATAAAGTATAAAATAATAATTAATTTATTACTATTGTAATATATGTTGATAGTTTAACGAAGGATTGGAAGCAAAAGATAAATTTTTCTTCCAAAGATGCAGATCCGGTATTATTGAACCGGTGTTATCACCATCAAACGAAGTAACTGTTCACTTACACACAGTTGGAAGTTATACTGGATTTCTTATTCATTATGCTTTAATCGATGGTAATTTTAATAAAAAATTAAAAGTTTATATCAAACTAAAGTGATATTGAAATGTTTTAGGTGTGACTGGCTGTGGAGGAATTTATACACATTCAACAGGTGTAATTTCAAGCCCACAAATTCCAGCCTCTGTTGATTATGAAGACGATGATATCACTTGTGAATATAAAATTCAACTAGGTTTCAAGTCTCGGATGACAATTCACTTCAATATGTTTAACGGCATTGGATCTTCTAGTTCCTGTACTAGTGATAGCTACACATTAGCTGTAAGTAAAATCAAGTTGATTTTCTCTTAAAATAATTGAAAATATTTAAAAATATTTAGATTTATGCAAAAGATACTTCACTTATCGGTCGATATTGTGGTAAAACCAAACCACCAGATATAACTCTGGTTGATTCGCAAGCATTGATTGTTTTTAAAGTCGAAGAAAATGTCGGGTTTGAACTTGAATACAAAACAGGTAACTCCTAATCGAAATAAGATTATAATTTTATTAATCTAAGTATTCATATTTAGTCTGTGGTGGGACTTATACGGCGGAAAGCGCAATAATCCAATCAGATGGTTATCCAGACGTGATAAGCAGTGATGAGACTAAAGAATGCATCTATAACATTATCAGGCCAAGCAATACAAGAATTCAAATTACTTTTAACAATTTACAATTGGATAACACACGGGGCTGTGATAATGGTTCTTTAGAAGTAACTATTCATTAAATAAATAAATTTTAAAAATATTAATTAATATTTTTTGTAGATCATAGATGGTGCAAAAAAGAACCTACAGTTAGGTCTATACTGTAGTGAAAAGCCAGATGATATTTATGCCCAAACAAATATAATCGAAATAAAATTCAAAACTAGAATTGGAGCTAAAAACGCATTCAGTTTAAATTATAAAACCCTTGAAAATTCAGGTAAGTTATAGTAAATAATTTTAACAAATAAAAACATTTTTAAAAATGATTGCAGAATGCGGGGGAGTTAAAACTGAGAAATTCGGCTCAATTGAATCACCACGTAATCTCAACACCTATGAAAATGGTCTTAACTGTACCTGGCTCTTATCAGCCCCAGCTGGATATCTTATTGAAATTAACTGGCTTTCATTCAACTTGGAAGACAGTTATCACTGTACCTATGATTACGTTCAAATCTTTGATAATACCACTCTTGATGATCCTAGCAAATCCACCGAAATGGGCAAGTTCTGTGGTAATCGGTTACCGCCAACAATGACAACCACCTCAAATGTAGCTACGGTGTATTTCGAAATTGATTCACTCAATAATTACGATGGTTTTTATTTGACATATCGGTTTATATCAGTTTCAAACGGTAAATTTTTCTTAAGACTTAAAAATGATTTTGTTGTTTTAAATTAATATTAATATTATTTTCAGTTTGTGGTGGTCATTATTTCTCCCCCAGTGGAATAATCAGATCACCAATGTTCCCACTTCCGTACCCAAACAATAGAAACTGTATCTGGATCATTACAATCCCATCAGGAAAACAAATACAATTAAACTTCACCAGCTTCAATATAGAAATGTCAACTAACTGCAGATATGACTATCTACAGATTCTTAATGGTGGGTCAATGACGTCGCCATTAATAGGAAAATATTGCGGATACACGCGACCTAAACAACTCTCTTCACATACCAATCAGTTGTACCTGCAATTTGTTTCTGATAAAACAAAAAGTGCGCCTGGGTTTGAAATTCAATGGACCACAACTGCGACAGGCTGTGGTGGGTCGTTAACTTCCCCAAGCGGGACCATTATTTCACCAAACTATCCGGAACCTTACGGAAGAAACGCGGAATGTTTTTGGAAAATTGCTGTTTCGGGCGGATCTAAAATACAGGCAGTTTTCGCTGATTTAGATTTAGAATATCTCAATGGATGCTTCATGGATTATGTCAATGTAAGTTATTATTATCATAATTTAAATATAAAAAATTTTAAAATTTCAATTTTAGTTTTACGATGGTCCTGACACAACGAGTAAAAATCTAGGATCATTCTGTAAGATAGATTCCCATAGCCCATTGGTTTTATCTTCTGGTAATCACTTATCGCTAAAGTTCCATTCGGATATCAATTATCAAGGCCGCGGTTTCCAACTACAATATTCTACAATGTGTAAAACGAATGTATCTGGTTTTGGAGGTGTCATAGAGAATCCAAATTTCCCCGACAGTGTAAGCAAGGACCAAGAATGCGAATGGCAGATAAATGTTCCCATGGGGAATAAAATCAACATAACTTTCTCGCATTTTAAATTAGACAATATACCAAGAACCAGTGGTATCCAATGTGAATACGCATATTTAGAGGTAAATTATTTTCATCAAAATGTTTTTCATTTAATTTTTAAGTGAATTTTAAGATTGGATACAAAGAAGAATACGTGGAAGAAATTACAACCATTGGTAAATACTGCGATGATAATCCACCTGACGATGAAATGACCATAAAACAAAACGTAGCGATTATAAAATTCCGCCAGAGTAATCCCTACCTCAAAGCAATATTCAGACTAGAATGGGCATCATCAGGCTGTGGAGGATTACTAACCCGACCAGATGGTATAATACAAACACCAAACTACCCTGATTCATACCCGTTGAATACCCGGTGTGACTGGCACATTCAAACTGAATTCGGTAAAAGTGTTGAAGTCACTTTTGACCACATCGACATGGAAATACATAGAAACTGTGATTTGGACTATATCCGAATCATTAATGGTCCGGATGACACCTACGCGGAAGTAGCAAGATTCTGCCATCCTAGTGATAAGCCTGTAGTGTTCACAAGCACTGGTCGTGATATGTTTATCACTTTCCACAGTGATATCAGCAATATCGGAAAAGGATTTCATGCGAAATACAAATGGGTGGATACCAAATGTGGTGGTAAACTTACAACAGCCTCGGGATCATTCCACAGTCCGAATTATCCAAACAACTATGATAAAAACGATACTTGCGAGTGGTTGATCGATGTCCAAGAGAATCATCTAATAGAACTGACGTTTGATAGTGTAGATTTACTCAACATATGCGAAGCTACTTTTATTAAAGTGTATGATGGACCTACAGCAGCGTATCCAGTGTTGAAGAAAATCTGTGGATCTGAAAAGTCTGTGGTTCTTGTTTCGCGAACAAATCATTTGTATATTGAATTGGTAACACATGCGCTTCTTACCACGAAGGGTTTCATAGCACATTATTCAACAGCGTGTGGTGCTAGAATAAAAACACAGGGATCCGGGTTGATTGATTTCAATATGTCAACAGTTGTTACTACAAAAGTGACTAATTGTTCTTGGACTATTATTGCTGAACCTCCGGATGAACATATTACACTGACTTTCTCAAAATTCCAAAATCAAATGTGTTATTACGGTGCAGAAAGCTCAATAGCGATTTATGATGGAGAAAATCACAATGCATCGTTGATTGGGTCATATTGTGAGAAAATGCCTGGTGTTATACGTAGCACCGGAAATGTACTGCATTTAGAAATACCGGAAAGTGCTAATCAACAGTTTAAATTCACTGCGGAATATACTGTTGTTGCATCGGGTAATTTTTACTTAAAAAAATATTCTATTATAAATTTTTAATTTTTTGAAATTTTAGGTTGTGGTAGTACATTCTCTGCAGAATCCGGTGAGTTTTCCACTCCAGATTATCCCAAAAGTTACCCCGTAGATATCCAATGTGAATGGATAGTTAACGCTGGTGAAGGCAACGAAGTAGAATTGAATTTCAAAGATTTTGATCTTGTACAATCAGATAACTGCAATGAAGACTATCTGGAACTACGCGAAACAAATCGTAGTGGTCGTTTGATCGGACATTTCTGTGGTAATAATAAACCTACAAATGTGACTGCAAAGCAAAGTCTTTGGATTTACTTCAAAAGTGAGCGTCCTGTAATAGGAGCAGGGAGTACAACAGCGAAAGGATTTCTAGCTGATTTTGTAATTTCTACTTCTGTCGAAATCAAAAGAGCTTCAAATGGTACCATTGTATCTCCATTGTACCCAGACTTATACCTCTCTAGCTCAACTTATAAATACTTTATAACTGTGCCTGTTGGGTATAACATCTACTTTGATTTCGACGAAATGATGTTTGAATATGGCCATGCTGAATACTGCTATGGGAGTACCTTGATGATTATTGATGGTTCATTGGAGACTGATCAAATGTTAGAATTATTATGCAGGCCAAGTCAACCGATGAAAACAACCGGAAATGTTGCATTGCTAATCTTTCAAAGCTCTTCGGGAGTTCGTGGCAGCAAGTTTAAACTGCGATGGAAACAAATTCATTCCAGTAATGGCACGAATACAACCTGTGGTTCCGATGAGAGTGTCCTAGTACAGAATACAACTGTTTCATTAACGCATGAATTTACACCGGGTGTATACGGAAGGAAAAAATGTGGATGGATTTATAATACAGTACCAGGACGACATTTACACGTTGAGTTTGAAGAAGTTATATCATCGAGTTTATTCTGTATCGTTGATTCAATCTCATTGTATGATGGTAATGGTTATGGTATTGGGGAGGTGCTTTCATCACCGTTTAGAGCCAAAACTGTGGTTTGTAATGCATCGCAAAGTCTAAGCACGAATAAATCTTTTGATACGAACGGGGATTCGATGATGATTGAACATTCGGCGTACTTTTATGGTCAGGCACGAAATAAAACTTCGAAATTTTCATTGAATATAACTGATGGTGAGATATTTAAATATTAAAAAATAATATTTTTAAAATTATTGTTTTAGTTTGTGGTGGGATGATTAAAAAATCGAATGGTGTTATAAATGTTGATGGGCCTCACGAACCAAAAATTGGAAAATTCTTAAAGGTAATCTTAAATATTTTAAAACATTTTAAATAAAAATTGATTTTTTCCTTAGTGTGAGTGGGAAATAACTGTCCCAACAGGCAAACGCATTTCCGTAAACATAATAGGTAGCTTTCCCATAAATAATAACTGTGATACGAGAGCAGTAGTACAAAATGGACATAGCCGTGATTCACCGATAATTGTAAGACATTGTGGTATAGTATCACCAAAATCAAGTACAACGTCTACAGGAAATAAAGTTTACATCACTTTCAAAGGAAATTACACAGATGTAAGTATTATTAATAATTTATACACAAAAATAAAGAAAACCATAAAAATTTCCAGTCGTTAAAAATAAAATTCAAAGCAGTATCAACCACTGAATGTGGTGGAACAATCCAACTAACAAACGCTGATAATTCAGCAATAATTACATCACCGAATTATCCAAACGCACCAAAACTATACGCCGAGTGTATCTGGGTAATATCGGTACCAAATGGTGAAGCAATCCGTGTGGATTTCCTAGAAAGATTCGATTTACAACCGTCTATAACATGTAAAACCGACGGTGTTGAAATACGAGATGGTGCGACAGCTAATTCACGATTAATCGGAACCTATTGTAAAGAAATGCCAGGAACAGTTAGATCTTTACTGAATACAATGTATCTACGGTATTATACCAATTCAGTTGACCCTAGCAATGGTTTCAAAGCGAATATATCAATTGCGTTCTGTGGGGGTACCATCAGAGGACAACGAGGAATTGTCACCTCACCAGGTTTCAAACACAAAAACAGCTACCCTACGAATGTAACCTGTGAATGGGAACTATTGGCACCACAAGGTCACAATATGAATATCACTTTCGATGTTTTCGATATGCCTATTTATGCTGAGTTGAGAATTGTTGACAGTATTGGATTTAATAACACAGGTAAACATAAAATTTTAAAAATAAAAATATAACTTAAAATTTAAAACAATTATTTTAGAAGTGGAATTATATAGTTACAACGGACAAAAACCAAGAAATATGATACGTTCAGCTGGTAACAAAGTCCTAGTGAAACTTTCAACCGGAAAATCAGCAATAAAAGAAGGTTTTAAACTAAGTTTCGTTTCATCCGCCGAACGTTGTGGTGGAGAATTAACCACGCCAAGTGGTGTGATCACCTCACCTAATTATCCCTCACCATTAAAATCAAAACAAAGTTGTGAATGGACAATCATCGTGCCAAAAGGCCGCAGAGTGCGATTAATCTTCAATGACATGGATCTAAATCGTGCGTTGGGTAATAGTCAAGGAATTGCATGTTTCAGCGGTGATAGTTTTGCATCCAATGTGGTTTTCCTAACTGATCAAGAAGAACCGAATAGTATTATACGTTCCAGTGATAACATTATGAAAGTATACTTTTGGTCCTTCGGTGAGCAACAAAATCGAGGCTTCAAAGCAAGTTACACCTCTAATGAGCCATCAATTTGTGCGAATTCGTTGACTGAATCAAATGGTACCATCAATCGACCCGCAGAGAAGACATTCACTTGTACCTGGGAACCGAAACCATCTTTATCCTCAACGCAAACATTAGCATTTACTATCACTACGAAATTAACTGGGGCTGAACCAGCGTCTTGCTCATTTGCGTTCAGTGCTGTTTTCGTGATGCAGCGCGACGCGAACAAAGATGGCTTCTCGTTTTACTCAGATGTATTACAACAGTATTGTAAGGCTACAACGGAACCAGATATTGTTCGGACATTACTACCACATGCAAGAATCGCCGCGAATCAAAAGAGTAATAAAACTCAGCTTGATTTCACGATAAAATACAAAGTGTATGATTGTGGCGGTGAGATATTAATGTCTGATGGTGTTATAGTCTCACCACCAGGTGACGCTGAATGTGCCTGGCGGTTAACCGGCCAGGAAGGTGAACAATTCACAATCACCTTCACAGATTTTCATATAGATGATTGTGATGCTAGTTATTTACTGGTTTATAATGGTAAAAACATTAAAAGTCCTCTGGTTGGAATGTATTGTGGTAGTATGACACCTACAACAATACAATCACAACGTCACTTCCTCTGGTTGGAATACCACGGAGTCAACGGAAGTAGTTTTAATATAACCTATAAAAAACAGAGCAAAATCTGTGGCGGTATACATCATAACCAACAATCAACACTACAAACACCTTCATATCCTAGTAACTACGATAATAACGAAGAATGCCTCTGGGAATTACGAGCAAAGAATGGTTATCACATTGAATTAAATTTCATAGACAGATTCCAACTGGAAGAAGCAGATAATTGCGCGAATGATTTTGTTTCGGTTTATGAACGCGAGAGTGATGAAAAGATAGCGACCAAGTATTGTGGCAGAACAACACCGCCATCTTTCAAATCAAATGGTAATCTACTCTATGTGTTGTTTCGTACTAATGAATATGTTACCGGAACTGGTTTCTCTGCATCGTGGAAATGGGCATGCGGAGGGAAATATAATGCTACAGATACTGTACAATATATTGAAAGTCCTGGATATCCAGATACGTATAGTAAAAACTTGAGATGTGAATATATTATTTCTGCGCCAGGAAAATTCATTAAAGTTGCATTCGATGATTTTGATTTGGAGAAAAGTTCATCGTGTACGTATGATAGACTTTTAACTGGTGCCAGTATGCGATCATCGATATGGGTACATATAAAAACAACGTTTTGTGGAGATACTAAACCGAATGGTATGCGGTTCTATGGAATGGCAAATTTAACTTTCATTACGGATAGATGGGTGAATAAACGCGGGTTTAAACTTAACTACCAGCTGGATAGTAAGATTATTCTCAGAAAATTTAGATTTATTTTGGTGATTATTAATTTTTTTCTTTTTTAGCTTGTGGTGGAAATATTTCTGCACCTACGATTTTATCAGATAGTTCTCCAAAAAGTATGGGATCACCGCTAGTTTATTATTCACCAATGAGAAAATGCAGTTGGAATATTCTAGCGCCAAGTAACAAGCGAATAACTGTCAAGTAAGCAAATAATTAGTTTTAAAAACATTATAATATCCTTCGTAATACTCTTGAGAGTATTTTTGCAAAATTTTATGCTAATGGCTTGAGTAGTTTTCAAGTTAAAGTGTAACACACAAACAAAAATGCATTTCCCGTTAATATTACCAAAAATAACTGAATATAAATACATTTCAGATTCCTAAAAGTTAATGTTACGTACAACATTTACTGCTATTCACAATTTGTCGCTGCTTTTGACAATCAAGGAAACAAAATGGCGGTGTTATGCGGAGATCTAACCAGTGAATCATTACCAACCATACATTCAAACAACAATAATGTAACACTAAAATTCCAATACTACAACTATGGGAGATCATCCTCTTTCGAAGCAATGATTGATTTTGTCTACGGACCTGAAGTAGGCTGTGGTGGTTTAATAAATCTCACAAACACAGCTTCAAAAACGATTGATTTTAAACCACCAGGGGATAATTACGATTGTATCTGGCACGTGCAGACTAGCAGTGATTACACAATCAAAATAAACTTTGATGTTGATAAAACAATTACAAAGTGTAAAGCAAATGATAATAATATATTCGCAACAAAAAGAAAAGATTGTTGCGTGTTTTATGAAATGCGAGATGGTAATACTTCATTATCGGATGAAATATTCAGTGGATGTGATTTACAGGGTACCAATCCTGTTAGTTATACAAGTTCGAATGGTTTTGCACAGTTACGCATCGTGGGCAAGAATAAGGCAATAAAAATACCTAAAATTATTATTTCTAGAGAGTTATGTAAGTATTTTATCAAATTAATGATGAAAAATGTTATAATTTATTTATTTTAGCTGTTTGTGGTCATTTAAATCTGTCACCGACGAATCAATCACAATATATATTAACTCCAAACTTCCCGAATAAATATCCAGCGAATTTACGCTGTGTTTGGAGGATTAAAACGAAATTTATCAATTCTATACATTTAAAATTCGAAGAATTCAATTTAAATTCAGATCGGAAAAATGTTACTGAATGTAATGCTTTAGATCGACTTGAAATGGTTGATCGTGCTGTAAGTAATCTTTATCAGACTAAAATTTATATTTTTAACTTAATAATATTTCAGAATAAAGCGTTTTATTTAAATTATGACTTGGTCTGGAAGCGTAAAACAACAAAATGGGAAATCTCAAAGTTAGACAGTCTTTTTGGCCAACACACATTCTGCAGTCCACTGGACAAAGGCTACGAATTCGTCTCAAGTGAAAATTCCTTACAGTTAACTTTCCACAGTGATTCTAAACTACCGAAAAGTGGTAACGGATTTAAAATCGAATACAAAATCGCTGAATGTAATCGTAATTACACTGGTTTATCTGGACGTATTGCACGTATTTGGCAACCGGCAAATTGCACTGCATATATCACCGCCCCGCAGAATTACACAATCGCGTTATTCTTCTCAAATAAACACCAAATCCAAGTGAGTTGCGCAATTCGTTGGTTTGATATCTACGACGGAAGTAAATCAACTACACCGGTTGTGAAACTCTGTGGCGTTCAACAAGTTCAGCCTGTGTTTTCAACAACAAATGAATTGGTTATTAAATTGACAAATACAAAGCGTTATGGCATGTACACTTCGGAAATGACTTATATAGCTACAGATAAAGGTCGTGGATGCGGTGGAGAATTATACATGTACAAAGGAACATTTACAAGTCCTTTATATCCAAATCTATCACCGAATAATATTTTATGTCGGTGGAATATACGTGTACCGATGGGATTACAAGTTGCTTTCAATTTGAAGTGTAAGTTTTTAGTTAAAAATTAATTATTTTTGTTATTAATATTAAAATAATTTTCAGGGTTTGATATACAAGGTAATTGCGTTGATAATTACCTAAAAATATCAGATCTTAATCAACCGGAAGCAGCGTCACAGATTTATTGCTCAAAAGACACACCGGCTGTTTTTATTGGAACTAGTGGCGCCTTGTCAATTGAATATAAGTCAAGCCCAAGTAATACCGGAACAGGATGGCGTGCGGCATTTATGGCAATTACTTCCGGTTTGTATATTAATTTTTAATACTAAAACTAATTTATTATTAATATTTTTGTTTTGTTCTAGATTTTGATCTTGAAAAGTTTAAAACATAATAACTCACATAAAAATCGATTATTTTGACATTGAATCGATATAGAAATTAACCAATATAACCAAATATGTAAGTGTATTGCTAATAACCTACAATAAAATTAATATTAATAATTATTTAGTTAAATATTAAAAACTTGTACTCACAGTTGTTAAAAGTGATCGATTGACGTCAAACATGTTGCACGGAGAGAAAAACGACGAAGGTGCAAGCAACAATTTGTTTGAAAACGTCTCAATCTAATAATATAATAATTTTAAATAAAGTATTATGTTTATTATGTGAAAATACTAAGAATAAAGTACTAACTTGTGTTTCTGCATCACTTTCAGCTTCGTGCATCATTAATTTACAAATTTTCAAACGAATCACTTCAATTTCAGCACTCAATCTATGCGAAGGCTCAACAATCATAATTAATCTTATAAGATGATAAACTGTCCATATTAACTCTTTGAATACACGCGCCATTTGCACATTCGTCAATAAATAAATAATCACAAAATACGATGAGATTATAAAGTTTAAAACTATCACCATCATAATAACCTGTAAAATATTTATAAATTTACTTGATTTTACTTGTTACATATTGATTTGATACCAAAATGCCAGGTCCATAAACAAAACAAATATTCCTCATCGAATCTTGCACGTTTTCGTAAACATCCAACATATTATTCAAGTATTGTGAAGTTAGGAGACATCTCCCGGATGAATTCGGATTATTTTTACCTGCTGCGACGTGAGATTCAATATATTCGTCGGATAGTAAACAAATCGCATGAAGTTGTTTCTTTCTAGATCTTTTTACGAGTGCATCGTTGTTATTGCCTGATATCACCAAGTTATCTACGTCCAGTCGACGCGATAAAGATTTCACACGAAATCTTACACTACAAAATGCACAGTATTCGCACAATAACAAAACGTGTTTTAAAACATTTAAGAAATAAATATTATACCTATCATTGACGACGTAATATTGTAATATAATTATTACTGTTGATACATTGCCAAAACTCAACGCAGCGTAGTAAAAATATGAAAATGTTCCTTCAATAAATGGCGGCTCAACAAAATACCAAATGTATGAACTGTAGATGATTAAAATTGATAAAACTATAAACATGAATACAATTTGTCTGATTGCATGACTACGAAGTGTCGACGCGTTTTTTAAGTTTAATATTCCATCAATCTAAAATTTACAATTAAACAATACCTATAAATTAGAAATATTGAACTTACTTTGGTAAAATCACGCATTAAATCCAAGAATGCATTTCGACGAAGCATTAAACTAGCAATACCGATGAATACACAAAGACCAATTGGCGCAACATCCAAGTAAAGCACATATTGATTTATCGAGATTGCTGGATCAAGCGAATACTGATGGTTTAGTCCTTCAAGGACTAATCCAGTTAGAATTATTGTAGCTGCAGTTAATATTGTTATATTTAACTACCCATGCGTTAAGAATATAAATAAAATGTGTACTCACGTATGAGAAACCCAATAAAGCAGCTGTATAAAGCGTAGAAGCCGCAGAAGTTGATTTTGTAAACTCGCGAATCGCCATATTCGATAATTGCGAATGGAGATAGTCCAAAAACACGAGACGGTAATAAAATAACACTCAAAGATTCTTTGCACAATGTGCTGATAAAAACACCTTTCGATTTCATATTGTTTGTGTTCACTTTGTATTTTAAAACAAATATGATTTATTTCTCACTGTTTGTTCGCGTTTTGATTTTTATGCCGTTAATAAATAATGAATTGTTTGTTCTGTTGTAAATTTAAACACAATATCGGTGCATGTTGTGTTGATTTATTTATTTACAAGCGATCCGCGTCGATACCGCACGCGAAATTATCTCACGTCGTCGCAGGTGTCCGATATTCACTGACTAAACAAACAAGTTCTAACAAGTCTCAACTCAACGTGAATTTAAGTTGACTTAGTGCATTGCAGCGCCATCTTACGTTGAAATTTATAACTAAAACTATCAACAAATGTGTTTACATAAAATAACTTAATTTAGGAAAACAAAGAAGAAATATAATGTTACAAACAATTTATGTATGATATTTATGAAAACATCAACGCCAAACATTACTCATTCATGCTTTCTAACGTTTGTTGCAAAGCAATATTAATATTCGCAACAATTGCATCAATTTGTTCCCGAATAGGACCTTCCACAACTGAAATAATCACATCACCAAAGATGGTGACCACAAACGATGTAAACATGTTCATCAAATAAGATTCATAGTTGTCATAGAATGATAACTCCATGTACTCATCATTTTTACTCAGTTTAAACCCTGTTAGTTCCAATGTCATTGTATTGAAGTCCAAATCAACTGAAAACGCAATATTCACTCCGGGTAATCTACCCTTTACTTTACCAACGGATGTCACCATCCAACTCGACGCTTTATAATCAGAGAATATCTGCAATTCATCGAAACCAATCGATATGTTAATACCGACTACTTTTGTTGGCTCGTTGTCAAAGACAGCAACATCCCCGGTGCGTTTAATTGTACTTAAGTTGCAAACACGCATGTTATGTAAATCCAGTGTACCAACACTGAAACTCTGAGAAATATTCGGTGTTTGGAATGGATCCATGTTAAATGACATGAGTATTAATCCGATTTCACGCATGTAGACATCCACCATTTCATTAATAGTTGTTACATTTTTCCTATAAATTATTAATTGAGTGAATAAAGTTGTTAGATAAGGAAATAATTACAGATGGTTGAGAATATCGTTGGGTTTTTGCCCGCTGCCCCAAAATGGAAACGCTTGCACATCGCAAACCAAAACGACAAGCACAGAAGACAAAACACGTTTCGTAACATTGTCGCACAAGTGAAGATAAAACTAACTACGCGAGTATTTATATACATAGTCTATGTAACAGTGTCAAATTTTACCATTAGGTAAATTGGTGTTATCTTAATTATGCACGAAAAGACCCAACAGCAAAAATATTAAAATGACGCGCGAAACAGATAAAACATTTTTAATTTGTTTTAATGTATGTATAAGTATAACAGAATTGGTTTTTGTTTATTCTGAATTATTATGTTAAGTAATTACTTTAGTGCATTGTTTATTTATTTGAAATTAAATGAATGACCAGATTATCATATCCCACGTATATCAAATAATTACTTACACATCTAGGAATGTTTAAATCATCCGCAACATATCCTATCATAACAAAACACACGCCATTTTTTGTATCTTCAAAGATAGGTTAGGTGCTTACTTTAAATTGGACTTAACCTAAAACAATCTCAATATATCTGTCTACAACAACTGCGTGATATAAGCTACCATAAATTAAAGATTTAATAAACGTAAAAAACAATCATTCAAAAGAATTAAAATCATGGCAAACACATTACGTTGACAAGGTGTTACTTCCGTTAGAAAATATTGGTATTGATAGTGCGTTATTAGAATATTCCTGTAAGAGATGCGCTTATACGTCATCGAATATGCCGCGCGGTGCGCCCACACGGTTTCTGTAATCCAAAGAATCCAATTGATTAAACGCGTCCAATTCGTTGGCGCTGTCATACCGTTCGTTGATGATGCCATGCGTACTGATTCCGAAACGCGCGTCAATATCATCCGCGAGATCGCCCGTGGGCGGAAATCGTGTGTCCACTTCATTGACGTAGCGCGTGCCACTTCCGATTTCGGTCTCTGCGCCGTCGTGTTTCAACAGGTTTGTTCGGGTTGACTCTAGCCCATCGTCATTACGTATAGAACGTACTAAAATGTAAACAATTTAAAATTTTCAAATAAAAAACTCAAAAAATGCATTTTTATGAAATATTACTTGTATCTGTACTTCCACGTTCCGGTCTGAATCTTCCAGTCGTTTGAAATCGTTCATTAAAATCCCTGCGTCGACTTATTGACTCTTCCGTACGCTGTCGCTTGCGTTTTTCACGTTTAACAAACTCTCTACCTTCATTCACTAAATCAGTGGTGATTTCATCATCGCCAATGAATTGATGAAAACCCACAGCGGATAAAATCCGCGCACCGAGACTGAAATACGTCGCCAGACAAAAGAATAGAATCGCCATCGGGAAATAGATATTAAAACCATCCGAGATGATTTTAATCACATCCATGTGCCCCATTATCTGCGTATAGTCAGTTTCCAGTATTTGTTTCTTAATAATATGGCTATCCATGTGAATTACGCCCAGAAAGTTTAAGCAGAGCGGCGGTGTGAGACGACTCAACATCATCCCGGAAAATATCAAACTGTATTCGTTGGTTTGATGATGCGGTGCGAGATAGTACAGATTCAAGACGCGGATTTTAAGTACAGTTGAATAAGCGCAATAACAAAGATATAATATGACTGCAGTTGATAAAATCTACAAATATTTCAATTAAATTGATTAATTTCTTAATATAAATAAAAATATTACCTCAATAGTTGAATAATCGTAGTTTTTCTTTGCAACATTGACGATATTTGCAAAAATTGACAATACAGGTTGTTTGTTAAAGAATGTCACTTCGGACCAAACAACCGCAGTGGATAAAAACGCGGCCAAAACAGCCAAAACTTTCTTCAAATACATTGAAAACTTACACTTCCAATACCATTCTTAAAACAATAAGAAAATATTAAATTTACTTCTGTAAATTAACAATGAATCATGATATTTATGAAAAAATCATATTACGTTGACGATTTGAAGTCAAAAAAGTAAACAAACCGTAATACTACCTACATTTCACGATTAGTAAGTAGTTTTATGTTCAAGATAAGAAATAAAAACGTTAAACGATGAATCAGTGGATTAAATGGTTATAAAAACATTTGTGGCGATAAATAATCGGTGCACAAACCTATTTTTGCGTTGTAAATGATCCTCGCAAGTTGCCCTTTGGGTTTGTCAAATGTATGCTTGTAAATTCTGTCACGTGAGTTCATATTTCTCAGCGTGTCTTCCAAAGAGAAGATTTCTTCGATCAATATATTCCATTGCGTTTCAGTTCTCTGCAGAACTTGTAATGATTTTATCACCTGATTAATAACAAAATATTTAAATATTTGCTCATAAAAGTTAAACAAGTAAACAAGTAAAAATTACCTGTTTGTGTAATCGAACAAGTGATTTTTCACCAGGCGAATCCGCATGATTATCATCTGGAAGTTGTCGGCGATTCATGCGATCGCGCAACTCCGATGGCACTTTCTGTAAAATCGTCTCCAACTGCTGATACATCGGATGACTAGCATTCACTACTTTCGAAATAGCTTGAAGTGACTATAAAAACATTAAAATAATAACGTTTTCTTTAAAAATTTTAAACTTTTTCATTCACACACCTCTAAAACATCATCAACAGTTTCCTCCGCTTCAGCTTTATCACTGCTCAACTTCGCAGCTTTAAAATACGCATGATTAAGCACGTACGAATGACTTGAGTTGTTCCACAAACTGCGTGGAACAGCGACCAACGCATAGCCCAATAACAACACCAAAAGAAACAAACCCCACGTGTTACTCGCCGAAGAAGCGATCGCTTTCAACTTGGCCCACTCGAAAATATCAATCCCGGGCCGCGTGGCGAGGTAAATCAACAACACGCCGCAAATAAACAAATACGAGCCGTAATAAATGGCGTTATCAATTAAAGCCGATTTAAGCTTGCCCTTGACGGTGAAATCGCCGGCTTTTATGTACGATTGCATCATTGGCATAAACAGCCAAGTGAGACACTGCGTCGACCAATAAACTGTGCGCCATAAATTGGGAAACACCTCTTCTGGTACACTGTTCCATGGAATCTTACACGAAACAGGTGGTTCTATTGTAGTAGAATTACCTTCTTGGATTTCATCATGTACAGGATGTTCAGCTAGACAATTTCTATAAACAGTCTAAAAATATGCATTTTTAATTAAAAACATTGTGTTTTTAAAGAAAATATTTACTTACTGATATGATATCAAGAGGTAGAGCAAAAATTATAAGAAAACTGAAAAACCATGCCAGTAACACAACAAGTGTGACCACAATTCTATGCCTATACCAATTTCCATATCTGTATAAGACACTGGAAGATATCAAAAAGGATAGCACCACCTTCGAGATCAGTGGACCATAATGCATCATCTTGAATGTTTTAGTTGTTAGCGTATGTTTTGAAATCACTCATTGAGTTGTGCAAGTTTTTGTTCTTGAAGTGTAGCCTGTGCAGCTTGTTGCATCTTCTCTAACTTTTCCAAAGTGAAGCTCTTCAAGGGAATAAGACGAGGTTTGCACAGCACTAGTTCGTCCAATTCTTCGATGATCAACTGCCCGCCTTTTGGTAGAACTGGTTTGTACTGGTCGCTGTTCTCGGACATTTTAACGCATTTTTTGCGTGTGACAAACGCTAGATTGTCTTGAAATTGATTGCGAAGGTTACATTCAATACGTAAATTAATTTAAAAGTTGTATAACGTGTGTTGTTGAGTTTTTTGTTCTTCACGAGAGCGCAAAAGTGCATCGGTGTAACAATTTGCACGTTGACAGCCGACCAGCCGCACGCTACTAATCGATCTGTCACGATGATGTTTGTATTGTCACAAACAACTGTCAGAAAGCAATGTTGCCAACTATAGTAACAAAAACATCACTATATATTACCAGATTTTCCATGTTATTTAAAATACTAGGGGAGGTATTATATTGGCAAGTCAGACTTTGTGTGGGTGTTTTTACACTTGGATGAATACAGGTTATTCTCGCATCTGACTGTCAGTTGTGATTGTATCTTCAAAGGTTGCGTTACATAGATAAGCAACACAAGAGACATTTGTTGAGTTTGTGTTATGAAAAATGTGTTAGTTTAAGAACAAAGTGTACACGACATGAGTGAGCTGTTCAAATCCGCTTTCGGCTATTTCAGCACGCCGAACGCGTCCGCAGGAGCGAGCGACAATAGTTTCGTTGGGCAAACGATCGAAATCTCGAACGTTAAGTTAAGAATAAAGAAGGTGATCGCTGAAGGTAACGCAAATCGATAACACCATAAAGACTTACAACATTATTTCATAAACTATTGGATTTTATAGGCGGTTTTGCGGTTGTATTCGTCGCGCAGGATGTCGCCACAGGCAAAGACTATGCACTCAAGGTAATTCAATTTCATTGCATTATTATTACATTTATTAATGTAATTTATCCCCACAGAGGCTGCTGGCAGCTGATGAAGAAGCCAAAAGAAACATCATCAATGAAATAAACGTGTTTAAGAAACTTTCTGGACATCCAAATGTGGTGCAGTACTTAACAGCTTCCTACATTGACCAGACACAGACAACTCATGGTCAACATGAGTTCCTACTGGTAACAGAATTGTGCAATGGTGGGTCATTGATGGAAATCCTTCAGACTAGGACGACTGCTTTTGATCCAGAGACTGTTTGTAAGATTATCTATCAGGCTAGCAAGGCAATCGCGCATATGCACGGGCAGAATCCGGCTGTTTTGCATCGAGACATTAAAATTGAAAACTTCCTGATTGGCACTGATGGCAATATTAAACTATGCGACTTTGGCTCGGCGACTATGGAGATATATCGGCCGGATATTTCATGGAGTGCTAATAAACGCACTACACTTGAAGAAAATGTAAAGAAATCCAACATAAATGTGTTTAAAAACTTGATTATTAATAAAATAATTTTTATAGTTAGCGAAATTTACTACACCGATGTACCGGGCACCGGAAATGCTTGACACGTGGAGTAATTATTACGTTGGTACACCGGTGGATGTGTGGGCGTTAGGGTGTATTTTATACACGCTCTGCTACATGAAACATCCCTATGAAGACAGCGCCAAGTTGCGCATCATCAATGCCAATTATACACTACCGCCAGATCCAAAGTACGCCTGCTTTCACGACGTGATTCGTAAGTAGACAAAATGTTTGCGCTTCAATTGAATAACAAGCGCACGTTTCAAATTCCAACGTGCATTGTATGTTGATGTAACAATTGTTGCACATCAGATTCAATTACCGTGGTCGATAAACAATTATGCATGCAATTATAAACATTATAGGCGGTTGCTTCCAAGTGAATCCCGAGCAACGTTTCACAATCTCAACGGTATTGGACCGCATCGCCGCCATTGCTGAAACGAAAGGTTTCAACCTGCGCGCGCCGATTGAAAATCTCAAACCGAAATTGTTAGATGGTGATAATGATTCCGGGTTTGGCGAGGCGACAAATGGCACAAAAGTTCCACCGCCCAGACCCACACCGCCTTCCGCTGTTAATAACAATCACCCACAGAATAATCCACCGCCACGTCCCAATCCACCTCCGTCTAGACCTCCACCAATGCAGAATAATACTCCTATGGTGCAAAGACAGCCTCCAACTCCTGCAAATGCACCGGTTGCAGGCGGTGGAAGTTTGTTTTCATCGATTAAAGGCGGCGCGGGGAGTTTTTTCAAAGGTTTGAAGGATACCAGCACGAAGGTTATGGCAACGATGCAACAGTACGGCCATTTTGTTTTCTATTTCATTTACGCTTAAAAATAATGAAAATAATTTTAGATCAATCGCAAGAACCGATCTGGATATAAGCTATATCACATCGAGAATAATTGTTATGCCGTATCCGTCCGAGGGTATCGAATCGGCCTATCGCACGAATCACGTGGAAGACGTGAAGGTGTTTCTGGAGACGCGTCACCCCAACTCAAAGTACTCCGTGTACAATCTCTCTGGGCGTTCGTACCACTCGAAATTCGGTAGTGGCGTACGCGTTGTCGATTGCAGCTTCGCATATCCCGAACATTACAAAGCGCCGTTGCTGAACTCAATGTATCAGTTATGCGAAGATATTTATCAATATTTAGCTGGTGATAGTAGGAATCTATGTGTTATTCACTGTATGGTAAGTGAAATCAAGAAATACCTCGTTAATTCAAGTTTTTAGATAATTTTGACTCAAAAATGAATAAATTACACGATTTTTTGCCTAAATCTTCATTATTATTATCTGGAATACTATAATATTTACTATTTAGGATGGTAAAGCTACTTCTGCAACAATGGTCTGTGCATTAATGCTCTACGCGCAAGTTTTCCGTATGCCCGAAGACGCAATGCAATTATTCGCTGTGAAACGCTGTCCGCCGCAGATGCGCGCCTCCGAATCACGCTATCTGTACTACATGGCCGATATACTTAACAATCCGCCGGTTTATCCGCATTATAAACCGATTACACTGGTTTCGCTTCAAATGCAGCCGGTGCCGTTGTTTACCAAGGTGCGTGATGGCTGCCGGCCGTACATTGAAGTCTACAGTGAAAACCGATGTATTTTATCCACGCTGCAAGAATATGAATCTATGCGACTGTTTAATATTGCCGAAGGAAAGGTTTGTATTAGTTTTTTTTGTTTTGTGTTTGTTTAAAACAATTTTTTTGTTTGTTTATAGTGTACGCTTCAAATTAACGCTACAGTTTGCGGTGATGTGTGCGTAACAGTCTATCACGCTCGGAATATACTGGGTGGTGTGATGACGCAGGGTAAGGCGACAGGACTGAAAATATGCCAGTTTCAATTTCATACTGGATTCATCCAGGAGGAGGACACGAGCATGCGTTTTACTAAGTAATATTTACTTATTTTAACTTTTTTAATGAAAATTTTTGATTGTTATGATTTTTTTCATCACAGAGGTGATCTTGATTCGATCTCAGAGAGTCCTGAACATTATCAGGAGAATTTCAATGTGACTGTGAGTATTTTCGTGTCGGACGCGGAAAGAAAACCCTCACAGCCCGCGCCGTGGTATAGAGATCACACCGAACGGAGTATCGACTCAGTTTTTGGCTCGCAACTTGAAAAGGAAGAAGTTTTGGACAATTTTCTCACAAAAGCCAAACCTGCACCTCCTCCGAGACCTCAAGCGAAACCTGCTAGACCCGCACCGCCTGCAGTTGTCAACCAGATGAAAGACAGTAGTGATTCTGAAGGAGAATACACTGTATGTTATTTTTACTAAGTTTAAATTTAACAAATGATGTTTTAATTCGATGATTCTAGTTTGTTGACACAGGTCCCAAGCAAAACCAACAACAACATGAGGTCACAGAAGCTGTGGACTTGTTAAACCTAAACTCTTCACCGCTTCCGCCGCAAGCCACAACGACGCACACGTCGCCGAGTTCGAATTTCGATCTACTCTCCGGCACTGATCCGGTCTTTGGCGACTTCACATCGGCAACTAACACTAACAGCACCAACAACAAGGATATCTTTGATCCTTTCGGTTGGGCTACCGCGGATATACAAGCGACGCCTCAGCCTGCGACAGTTAAAACAAATCCACCACAAAAATCGGACGATTTGTTCGCTGACTTGGGCATGGATTTCGGCGCCATGCCGAAACCTGCCAACACTCCACAATCCACACAGCCGACCACACCGCAGCATCAAGCTAAATCGCCCATGAATCCGGATTACAGCCGGTCTCATTTTGATACTGCGTTTGGCAAGAAACCGACACCGCCGAATGCGGGCGCTGGCGCGCAAAGCACCGCTGAGAATAAACCGACGATGGATATCTTTGGGGATCTGCTCGGATCACAAGGATATCAGTTCACAGCGAAGAAGGATCAAGGCCCGCGTACGATGAATGACATGCGTAAAGAGGAGCTGGTGCGTGAGATGGATCCAGAGAAGTTGAAGATCATGGAGTGGCTGGAGGGCAAGAAGCATAACATTCGTGCGCTGTTGTGTTCGATGCACACGATTCTATGGGAGGGCGCCAAGTGGAATAAGTGTGAGATGCATCAGTTGGTTACGCCTGCTGATGTGAAGAAGACTTATCGAAGGGCTTGTCTAGCTGTACATCCAGATAAGGTAATTGTTTATCAATTATAAATAAATTAAACAAATTAATTTATTTTTGTGGGTTTTGTGATTGCAGCAAGCAGGGACTGATAACGAGAATCTAGCAAAGATGATTTTTATGGAGCTGAACAACGCTTGGACGGACTTTGAGAACGACGCCGCACAACAGAACATGTTCTCCAGTTAGGAGACGATATATTAATCCAGTAATCCTGCAATCCCAATTCTTGCAATCATTATTTAGGCGACGAGAGATTTACTTGCAAACCACCGTGTTTAAATATATAGATATTGTTAACTTGAAATTTGCCCTCTAAAAAACAAACCCTGGCTGGTTGCTGAAGACATTCCAATATCTCTCATAGTAACATGTTACAATATGTATACATATTTATTGAATTTAAAGAGTGTATATAAATATAATGGAGATATATAGTTGAAAAACAATGGAATTATCCTTTAAACTTAAATTGAATGATTTAAAAAAGCAGAAAACTAAGTTGTGTTGATGTGAAAGTTTGGTTGCCTATCTTAATACAAGGTAAGTAGAAATATAACAGAAGAATACGAAGTTTTTAAGAGTAATTAACTTTCAAAGAGTGAATAAATAAATATAATGGAGATAGATAAATGAAAAATAAAGAAGATATTCTTTAAACACAATTTGAAAGTTAAAAAAAAGTTACTTATACCGCCATGTTGATGTGTAGGTTTGGTTGCCTATCTTAATACCAAGTAGAAGTATGAAAGAAGAATGCAAAGTTTTTAGACTAATAACTTTCGAAAAGTTAAATTAATACGTACGCCGTGCACAGACTTACGCACAGGAAGCGAATGATACCAGCAGGCGTTGGTTGGCGGGTTCATCAGCAATAAGTCGCCGTGTTCTAATTGGATCTTGACTGTAAAGTGCGCGTCGCTCGTCGCACGTGATAAAACTTAATACAATTTTATAATAACGCACCCTTGGGGACTGCACGTCGCCGCCTAACGACGTCGGCGTGCCGCAAGACAAAATCCCTCCCAGCCCCGAACGACACCGACGCAATCGGCGCCTGTGGATCGAGTTCCGGTTCCGAGTCGCGATGCTCGCCGATGTAATCGTCGCCATTTCTATATCTATCGAAATAATTGCGCATAATTTATATAAACATGCAGCGTCGTAATACTTGTGATTACGATTATCATACGAAACGAGCATAATTTGCATGAATGCATGAAATTCACGCGGTAAACAATCATTTAGCAATACACACCTACAAAAATGTTAGGAAAATCGAAGATAATTACTAATTATAGACTAACCTGTTAATCAAGACGAAATTATATCTCACACCGCCCGTCAGATGTTGAACACGATCCCGGATGGCTGCTAGTAATGGCGTCCATGGTTTACCAGGTACCACACTGCCGGAAAACCGGTAAACTAGGTCCGGGTCGCTGTGCGCGACTTGTTTACGCGGAATGTTGTGATATTTGCCGAATACACGCACCTATAATTGGAAACATATTAAATATGCAGATATTTTTACGAGTCTCAAGATAAACAACATAAAGTTTAAGTTAAATGGCGTGTTTACAACGTACAACAACACATTTTTCAACAATTACAGGCCTGACTCTGCATGATACACGTGCAAATGTGATTGTCATTCGCATCGTTTCGTTTAGTTTACCTTGCACATATCCGCATCGTAGTATTCTGTCGAAGTTTCCAGTTCGGTGAATATGCGATCGGCGAGATCTTTGTGGAATAGCGAAGCGTAGCTTAGGTTTAATTGCTCACCGTCAATGGTGTGCCATTTGATGGCGTCGATTTTTTCTATTTCCTGTAGTAGACTCGCGGACATTCTGAAAATATAACCAAACAATATTATGGTAACGGTTATACAGCATTTAAGGTTGCCTAACTAGCAAAATCTCAAACGTACAGAAAATGTAACCAAACAAGAGTATGCAACCTTTTATACAGCTTTTAAGGTTGCCTAACTGTTTTTTTCCACTAGACATTCTGAAAATGTAACTAAACAGTGGTATGCAACCACTTACACAGTTTTTAAGGTTGCCTAACCAGCAAAGTTTCAGACACAGTGAAAATGAAGTCAAAGAAGAGTATGCAACCAATTGAACAGCATAAAAGGTTTCCTATTCAGTTTCCTGCAGTAGACTTTGCAAATACATCCCAATAAGAGTATGCAACCACCTATACACCAAATAAGGTTGCCTAACTACTATTTAATCTTATTTCCAATTTGATTAATGCTTGTGAAAGCGATAAACCAAATTAAAGTGTAATATATCATCGCGTCGTTCGTGCGAAGATAAAAATTACCTAATGGCTTCTCGAGAAGCATGACGAAGATTTTTTTCGACCGAAAAAAGCGGGTGGATGCTTTCACGGGCGTTTGCGTTTCGAGTATTTCGACACTCGCCTTGCCCCAATGCTCGAATTCGCTGGAATTTCTCCAAGGCGAAACCGCGAAGATGTAATGGAAATTTGCAAATATGGCAAAGTGGGTTTTTTCGCATTCGCGTGCGCACGTAGCGCGTAATCATGCATAATTAAATATGGGTCGAGTTCACATCGAAACGAAAACTGAAGCGATGATATTTTATCGAGATATGCGCTGAGACGTGAGGAAAATATCAATTTAATGAAGACTATAAAAACGTTATCTGGAAACACATCATTTACGCGTAAACAAAGCAACTAAATATGACCTTTAACAAACTTTTAGTTATAAATAAATAAAAAGCATATTTTAAATCAAAAAATTCACAAATTATGCTTTATTCACTTATTTTTCAACCAAAAACATTCTATTTCCGGGATATAATTTTATGATCATAATTAGACGACGAAATAAAATAAAATTCGCGATAGTTCTCGTGTTACGCCGACTTTCATATGTTTGCAGAACATTTCATGGTCGTGGGCCGACAATAAATTCAATTTATTAATGCACACAGCAGGCAAACAAGCGCTTTAAAGCATGTTTACACTTAAAAGTTTGTTAATTAATTAAATTAACGAATTAACTTAATTGCAACTGCGCCGTAATTGTTTCGATTCTTTCCGATACGATATTCTGTGCGACACAGGCGCAACGCACTTGTAAGTAATCGTGAAGAAATTAACGTGAAAGCTTACTTTGTTGTTGTTATTGTTTGTCTTTTATTACTTTTATCATTTAAGTGGCAGGCAATTAACTTCGGAAATACAGATATATAGAAATATCACTACCACGAGTATTATATTACCAATGTTTTTTTATTAAATGTTAAATTGTTTAAAATATAAATATATTTATCTAGCAAAACAATTTTTGCTGTTGAAATCTTTTGAAAAGATTTTTTACGAAAAAAATTGAAAAAACACCTATAATTTAGCAGAAAATAGGCAAACATTGAAAAAAAGAAGAAGTAGAGCTGCGACTCGACTGCTGGACAACTCAGGCACGACTGAGTAGTGTGTGCACTGCGCGCTGCCTTTATGCCTGCGTACAACCGGCAAAAAGTAGTGGGGGAAGGTACGCAGCGGGTATAGTGAGCGCAAGTTGCGCGCTTCACGCGCGCTCAGGCGTGACCAATCAGGAGTCTTCCCGCCTTCCCCACCACACTGCGGACGACCCGCAAAAATGGTGGGGCGTATGAAGCTGCTAGTTATTAATTAGTTATAAAACAATTAAAACTCAAAATTGTATTTTTCACATGTCTAATGCCAAAATAAAATCAATTCTGAATTTTTACGTAATTATTTGATAAAAACCGTAAAAATTCAATTTTTATCCAATGAATATTTTAACTTACAAAGTAATAAATATACAAGAGATATTACTATGTAATAAACTTAATGCATTTTAATAGTGCCCATTTTTCATCCCATTTCCAACATTTTACCAAAAAGCACTCCATTAATACGCTTTTACTACCATCGTGCCAATATAATTCGCACAAGATAAAAATTGCAACGCCAGCAACAAAAACTTTATTCTCCCCTGAAGACTTCTTCATCTCCAGCCTGCCGGCCTGAAGACTTTACGTTTACGACTTTTTCGGAGCGAATTAAGATCAAACTTCGATATAACGCTGGCGCCGCCGCTCGAGTGCCCGTCTCAACGCGCGTTAAATGCAACTTTACTGTTACTTCCATTCGTTCCGTTCGAAAAATGAAATTACGTGATAATTGCCAAATATTTTAACAATAATTCAACATATCTACACCATCTGCACAATTCAATACACATTCGTATTATATTTAATTCCTCCGATGTGGAATTGTAGTCGTAGGTAAAGAATAAAAAAATAAATAAAAGAAATAGAAGCGAAACTATCATCGACAGAGTCTAAGTATAGAGGAATTCCATGTTGGAAGGAATTCCGTTCGGCCGAGCGTGCGTAATCGCCGATCGCGTTGCAAGCCACACAGAAGACACAGAAGAAGAAGACGCACACATACACATACAGATGGATATATACAGCATGGGTCATCGGAGAGAACTCCGAAGAGCGTCCTCCGCTTCCCCAATGTGGGTTTGTGTGAGTGTGCGCGCGCACGAACGTGATGATCGGTGTGGAATTCGAAAAATGCTCCGTTTTTGCCGTGCGCTTCTTTTTTGTTCGGATTGTTTGGAATTTAACCAGTAGTCAGAAGTTTTATGCACGCAATCTCTACTCAAATGTAACATTTTTTCAAAAAGGTAAAAATTTACTAAATAATGACGTCAGAAAGGTAATTTTTTTTGTTGAAATTGAAATTTTTAGGAATAATGTAATTTTTTTATATTTTAGAGTTTTTCTTACATTAAATCTTTGTTATTTTGTAAGAAAAATTAAAAAATAGAAATTTTGAAGGTAAATTTTGCAGTTTTTGAGTTTTTGAGTTTTTGCGACTTTTTCACCTTTTTTCCCACATTTTCAAGGGAATTATTTAATATTTTGATAGTTTAAAACAATACTAGTACAAAATATTCTCTTTATAACCATCTGGGCATTTTATCATGTTATAGCAAGGTGACGTTTTATCGAGAAACAAAAAATAACCAAATATTGAAATTTTACGAGGATAGGCAACTCATTAATCTTTATTGCGCTGGTTATAAACTCATTTACTCTTGTAAAAATGCCGGTAAATATTTCCTGAATCTAAATATGAATTCCGCGTTGCTCAGTTGTATTCACTTGTGTTATGTTTAAATAATTTTGTTGTAACTGCTTGTGCATCCCAACAAATTAGCTGAAAAATCGTGCTTAAGTTATAAAAGTTTGCATTGCAATTTTCCGGGATGTTGGGATCATAATTACAACAATATTTCAAATGTTACCATCGATGTCATGTCTTTAAAAAATATTCTGGCTCATAATTGCTAGAAATTAGAATATTTTTCGTTGTTACACAGAAGAAATTAATATCTAGCTTTAATTTAGTATATATTTCGTCGTTATATGGAGGATATCGTTGTATTTTGATTGTATTTTTTGCTCTGTGTGGATTTGTGGAAGTCGATTACGTGCATCTCGCGCACGGCGACCGCGCCGCACGCAGTCCACCGGAGTTTTCACGTTCCGGCGCGGCGCTCCGGCGACGCAGTCTATCGCCGAACTTCATAACAGCGCGGACGCCGCCGCTCTTCAAACTGCTCAACATTCAGCATTAAACACGCGCGAATTTTGCCCAAAATTTCAATCATACTTCCAAAAATACCACAAAACTTCTCTTTTAAATACAAAAACAAATAAAATTTATAAAAAAAAAACTTAAAATTTAAAAGTGTTGCGCGACAAGTTTTTATTTACTCATAGACGCACGTGTGGTAATTAAAAACTAGAAATATAATTAAAGTGAAATGTAATTATTCGAAAAATGTGTATTAATAATTTTTGAGTAAAGTGTGTGTTGGACTGTGTGTTGATTCGAAATGTTGTGCTGAAGAGTTTTAGTTGTTGAAGAGTTGTGGAAAAATCTTTAGTTTGTGTGCATTGTGCGCGGCCGAGTTTTGTTTGGTCGAAACTTTGCGTTGTGTTCTTGCTTGGTTACCGAAAGGAAATTAAAACACGCGCTGAAAATCGCAATGGTACGTAACGGCACAGCGCAAAACAATTGTTTACACGTTGATGTCATCATAAATCTCTTAATATTATTCGTTTAATCCTCAAAATATTAAAATTTTTATTTTTATTTAATTTTAGCCCAAAATGTAGTTGATATAATTGTTTTTAATTGAGTAATTCATTGTTATTGATGTTGATTGCAATAGATATCCAATTAGCAAACCGGATTGATTGAAAATAGTTTCCCAATTTAAATCCTGTTTTCTAATCAAACATGAATCAAGTAAAAAGAGAATGGTTTCCTCTATGATATGTGAAAACAAATTAACTCGTTTCGGAAACGCACTAACTTTGGTTGTATAGTCGTGGCGCCTGTATTTTGATAAATAATTGTATTAATTAATTCATTACTCGTAAACTAATCAACATATTTTCATAATTCTTTTAAAAATCTCTTCAGAATTAATTTCTTAATTTGATTTGCTATAAACTTTATTTATAACAAATTTTTATCAAAAGTTACAAGACAATTTTCACAAAAAATGAACTTTTTTTAAATTTTCAATTTAATTAATCATAACTTTTAATTAAAAAATATTATTACCTAAAAAATTAGAGAAATAAATGTAGAATTTAATTCCGAATCTAATTATGAAAGAACAAGTTAAATATCGCAAATATTTTAAAAGTTATAAATAAATTACTAAAACCTTTTAGTATTCCAGCACTACGCTCGTAAAAAGGAAACGAAAATTATTATATAAATTCAATATTTAATGCAATATTTTAGCTTTAAATGTAAAAGTTTGCTTCTTCCGGTTTGAGGCGCACTTCGCCCCTAATGAACATAAAATTCGCGTGCTTGGCGGTGTGTAATTGGTTGGTTTGCATTAAATTGCAAAGTTTCAATCGCTACACAAACACAAACATCTCTACACATACACAAAATACTCGCTACATATAAATAGCGGCGCCATATGAGTATGGCACATATTTGGAGCGTGTAAACTTCATTGCCTGCCGTTGACGATGCGCAACCGTGCAACCGACTATTACTTATCGACTGCCACTTACCCATTACTTATTGTCAGTCAAAGCAAGAACTCAAAATCATTTACACATAAAATATAATAAAACCAAGAAATTATTTATCTTTTTGTTGAAATAGCTTCAATTTAACAATAAAAACTCTTTATAACGATGAAATTTGTATAATTTGGTTAGTTTTTATTAATTTCTTCTGTGTAACGACGAAAAATATTTTAATTTCTAGCAATTATGAGCTAGAATATTTTTTAAAGACATGACATCGATGGTAACATTTGAAATATTGTTGTAATTATGATCCCAACATCCCTACAAATTGCAATGCAAACTTTTATAACTTAAGCACGATTTTTCAGCTAATTTGTTGGGGTGCACAAGCAGTTACAACAAAATCATTTAAACATAACACAAGTGAATACAACTTAGCGACGCGGAATTCATATTTAGACTTCAGGAAATATTTACCGGCATTTTTACAAGAGTAATTGAGTTTATAACCAGCGCAATAAAGATTAATGAGTTGCCTATCCACGTAAAATCTCAATATTTAATTATTTTTCCTCGTTCCTCGATGTATAAGATACACTATTCTAAGAGTACTATTATCTTAAGCTATCAAAACATTAAATAATTATAATTTAATTTTCGTACGAGTATAATATCTACTCGAATACCCAGTGGTTATTAAAATATTTACACAAACCGTGCGAAGATGTATTAAATTCATCCGATGCTGAACGCGGCGCTATAAAAGCAGACGATGAAAAATTTACGAATTTCCTCGGCCAGGCTCCAATGTTTAAAACAACAGCAAATACTCACTCGCCAGGCAGGTACTATATAAATAGCGCCCGGGGTTATTTTAGCGAAATTTTCAATAAAGTGTACATAATACGAAACGTAACAATGCCGCATGAATATAATTAACTTTGTCAATCATGATTAGCGAGATCAAAGTGAGTGTAAAGCATAAAGTAAAAAGAGTATCACCAGTACCCTACGGGGAATTATTAGCTCAACCACGTGTATAGCCACGTGTAAAACCGAATTTACTTCCGGTCGATAAACGAAGTGATCGTGTTGAATTTTTTAATTTTAAGTTTTTCTTTTTAATTTTTGTGAAGTTGTGCACGTAATAATTATTCGCCCATCGTATACACATTATAAATGTTAAGCACCATCGCAGTGTGTGGTTTTAACTGTGTTTAACTATGTATATGTCATTACATCCCCTGATCGCGGCAAGTTTCGGGGTGTTTTGGGCCCGACCCGTTTATGATCGCCGCACCGGTAGCCCAGCCTCGTTAATAAGTTAGATACCTTGTTAGATAGTGTAATGCCAAAAGGGCGAAGCACGAATTTCGCCTCCAAAACACTCAAATGAATATTGATTAGGAATTAACCGACCGCGGAGGTACGAGGTATCTATGACGATGGCAAATTGGGAAATTTATGACCTATAAGTTAGGTTATGTTATGGTGTATATTGGGTTGCAGAATAAAAATAAAATAAAATTAAAAATACGTAGTAATTATTAGTGATATCCAGTTGTATGTGGTGTTTATTGCAACAGTTGTGAATCGAAAGCGGATAAATGCAAGAAAAAGTGATGCATACACAACAGAAAACGACAGAAAGAAAATTTTATTACACGTAATTATTGCTGGGAATACACAATGCACAACACACTCACTTGTAGCAGTGCGATGAGTACAAACAAGTAGCAATAAGCGACTGAAAGTTGGAATGAAATTATATATTTCGCTTTTATGCTTTATTCTGTGTAAATTGACATTGACAATGAAAATTTTCAATTTTTACCAGCAATAAAAACAAGTGTCTCATATTTGTAAATTTATGTTGATTTTTCGTCAAAATATGTATTTTTTTTATAAATTTGTCACTAGCGCCATCTGTATTTACTTTTTCGTGATTATTTTCAAGTATAAACCTTTTCTAAGGTACAATAAACAAATTGAAACAAAAATCAGAAAAATCGGTTCAGCCATTCTTTAGTTATAACGACACAAACAAACATTTTTGTGTTTTTCATCTGTAACTCAAAAACGACTAAACCGATTTTTATGATTTAAACTTTATTCGATTTCTCTTAATTTTAAATCACATAATATCAATTAAAAAACTAAAAAATTTCCAAAAATAAGCAATTAAAAAGGAAAATCCGTCAATAATTAATACAAAATGACATTTCTTGATGCGACTCTCAACAAAATGAATAATATTTACTGCTTAAAGTGAAAGTGGCATGAATTTTTCGCACGCTGCGGTTAAATAACCGTTCCAAAGTGACGTTTTCGTTTGTTTGCATCTTGTGAATGAATCAACTACAAACTGCAGCAAACGCATTATGCTTCCTGCATAATTAGCTAATGAGCAGCGCACGCACCGCACAATTTATTACATAATAACGATTGCGCAATCGTGATTAATTAGCAATATCTCATGCGCATTTAATCGCCGGCGTTTAGTCGTTAATTTAACATTTCGGTGTGGTCGCTGTGCAATTTGCGCAGAAATTAAACGATATTAGTCGAATTGTATGCATAATTCGACGACGACGACGACGAGTAACTTTCGCAGCTTTCACACCGCGAATGCAATTCTGTACCTAGTTGCATAACATTATTAATTTGATATTACTTCCTGTAGGTGTAAAATTACGCGCACTATTGTTTTATTTAAAACAGTGTGTAATTGCGATTTTCGACGAATAAAAAATTTTACGCTGACAACCTCCGCAATCAATCGCATCTCTATCATTGCCTGCGTCGGTGACCCAATTATCCACAATAAAACCGTATTGTGTAAATGTAGCGCGATGTGAATTGACGCCATTGATGATGATTACATTACGTATTTAGCATGTATGACAAAAATAAAATTCAATTCCAAGGTTGTTGGTGTTTGCGACACGCGATTTGCAAAGAGATAAAACGCGGAAACAAATAAAATCGTTTTCGCGTAAAGATGCCGGGAGAGGAGAATGGTAAATACCCGGTATCTATCCGATCGGCACACCGAATCCGATTCAGATTCATAAGATTGAAGGCGGCGGCATGGTGGCGGCGGAGGCGGGGGTGAGAGAGGATCAATAAAATATATATGCTCTCGTCTCGATGATGATGATGCTGCACTCACTCTGACACCAAACTCACACATAGAATTTGATTTTGAACGCTGTACGTTCGGAAATCACTTTTAACAATAATATAATTAATATACAGGGTAACTCAACCATCAAGGAACAAAAAATAAGCAAATATTAAGATTTTTTTCAGAAAAAGGTAAAAATTTACTAAATAGTGACGTCACAGAGGTAAACTTTTTGCTTCTTTCAGAAATTGTGAAGATTTTTGATATTTTAATGTTTTTTATCTCTAAATATTTGTTATTTTACAACAAAAATTGAAAATAAAAATTTTGAAAGTAAATTTTGCATTTTTTACGTTTTTTTCGTAATATTTTACTTGAATTATTCAATATTTTGATAGTTTAAGATAAGAGTAGTACAAAACGTTATAACAAAGTGTCGTTACATCGAGGAACAAAAAATGATATATAATGAAATTTTACGAGGTTTGGCACCTGTTTAATCTTCCAAAACTGGTTATAAACTCAATAAATCTTGTAAAAATGCCGGTAAATATTTCCTGAAGTCTAAATATGAATTCCGCGTCGCTCAGTTGTATTCACTTGTGTTATGTTTAAATGATTTTGTTGTAACGCAACGTGCACCCCAACAAATTAGCTGAAAAATCGTGCATAAGTTATAGAAATTTGCATTGCAATTTTCCGGGATGTTGGGATCATAATTACAACAATATTTCAAATGTTACCATCGATGTCATGTCTTTAAAAAATATTCTAGCTCATAATTGCTTGAAATTAAAATATTTTTCGTCGTTACACAGAGGAAATTAATAAAAACTAACTAAATTGTATACATTTCGTCGTTTTATAGAGTTTATCGTAAAATCGACGCTAATTTCAGTGAATTTAATTAAAAGATAATTCCTAATTTCACCATAGAAGTGTACGAGTACAAGTAGAAGTTTTGTACTTAAGGATGGCAGTATTCCAGCCAAGCTATATGTATGTAAATTCGTAATTTGACGAATTAAGGTTTTCGCATCGCAGCGGAAACACAAAATTTACGATTGCGAAGATGTCAACGCGAAGAGATTGTTATCTATTGCCTGGCGCGCAGCGCGCACACCACCCAAGAAGTTAGAATAACTCGAAACTCGCAAACCGTCTCGGGAAGCAAGCAAGGAAGGAAGAGATGTTCGACGCCCTTGCTTAATAGACACTTGCATGTCTTGAAAATAGGGAAATTGCCGACTTCACCGGCGAAATCCGCTCGGAATTGAAAACGTTTTCTTCCATCAGCGACGTTTCAATTTTCAATGCCGATCCGCCAACCCGACCGACTCAACTAAATACTATTCCTTTCCTATCCCGCTCGCCGCTTGGGTCCGGATGGCTTCTAATATAAATCGTGAGCGGTGGCAGCTGCGAGGCAATTAACCAAAAACTTTCCACGGCGCGCGCCCGGGAATGAATCATGGTGGAAATTATGTCGAATGTTTTACCCTCTTGGCGCTGCCACAAAAGTGTTACGAGCGCGCACGCCGCAATTAATTCCGGTTACAGCGCGTGCTATTGAATCACACCGCGAATTGCGCAAGCGGCGAAAGTCGGAACAAAGATGGCAGTTGATTTAATTCACTTTCCAGTGAGCGAAAAGTTGATTTTAACGGATTAAATCAGTTTTAAGAAATTTTAGGTTAGGATTACTATAGGCAACCCAAAATACACAAAAAATATGTATTACAGAAAACGAATTTTTTTGTTTTTAGAGAAAAAGAAGATATTTTAGAAGATATATTAAAAATAGCTTTTAATAAAATTTAAGGTTATGTTTACTATAGGCAACCCAAGTTACATGTAAATATTTATTGCAAAACATGTATTTTTTTACTTTACAGAAGAAAAAAATTGATATTCAAAGCAAAAATCGTAAAAAAATGCTTTTAAAGAAATCTAAGGTTAAATCTATTGTATGCAACCCAACATACATACAGATACGTATTGCAGAACACGTATTTTTTACTTTCCTGTGAGAAAAAGTTGATATTTTAGGTTAAAATTCATTAAAAATAGCTTTTAATGAAATTTAAGGTTAGATTAACTATAGGCTACCCAAAACACGTATTTTTTACTTCCCAGAAAGAGAAAGCAAAAATTTGAAACAAAAATCATAAAAATTTGCTTTTAAAGAAATCTAAGGTTAAATCTATTGTATGCAACCCAACATACATACAAATAGGTATTGCAGAACACGTATTTTTTCAAGATGCACATTCAAGGGAATAAATCGACGTGATACGATGCGAAGGTTTACAAAACGAACATGTCAAGTACGAACGTGCTCAATAATCATTAGTAAAGCAGAAGTTAATGTTGCGCACACGGGTATAAATCGTAAACGCCCGTGGCACTCGAAAACATAAATCAAAAACATCGGATATTGCGGAAAGATTTAAAGTGTACCTTTTGATAAAAAAAAAAAACACAAAAAATACTTTTCTACCTTTTCCTGCATTTATTCGCGTTTTGTTTCCTCCGCAGCAGGATTTTCGTTTTCGGCGTTCATAATTAATGAACCTAGCAAGACGCGGGCGCGTAGCTGTGCGCTAACGAATACCTAAACGAATTCGCGAAGAATAAATTACGTCGATCCGTCAGTCGCCTTCAAAACTCTCCACCACTCGCCAACTGCGCCCCCAAGTTGGATTCGCACTACCACAACAGCGCACGTTTTTCGTTTTGCGCTATTCTCGCCGTCGCTCTGGTATAGATTTAACGAAGGCGTTCGTTCGCTTTTGTATGGTAAAGTCCTTAAGTGAGTCTTTGCTCCTCTCGCATAGAAATTCATAGCGCCCACAGGGCGAAAAACGGAAATCTTTTCTTTTGTGCACTTTGCGCGTGTATAGTGGTGCAGTTGTGCGACGGGAACACGTGGCGCGCATATTTGTGTCCCAGTTTTTCTTTTGCATTACGCTTTTTTTCCTCGGTTCGCATTCGCTGTCGTCGCGAAATAGGGGTCTACTGCTTTTAAAAACAGCACGTTCTTTCACCCGGCGTGTGGAGGCGGTTATATCGTTTGGACCTTTGAATAATTCATTCTCGACCGCGTATTTTTCTGAAGCGGATAGCGATAGAAATACACTTAAGTTTTTTTTTTAACTTATGTCAGAAGGGGAAAAATTTAATCGAACGTCATGAACGCCATCTATTTTTCAAGGGTTCTTGGACATTTTCCTTCATTTAAACCTTTTTTATTTTATTTTTATTTTTATTTCTATTTCTATTTAAGAATAGAAAACAAAATTATGAAAATAAATTCAGCAGTTTTCAACTTTTAGCTAACTTTTTTTTAGTTTAATAGTATATTAAATGTCTAGTGCGCTAAATGGCACTTTATCCACGTTTAGTGACGTGATGCTTGGATTATTTTTTCTACTTCCACTTAATTTCCACGTTTTGTATTGTAAATCATCGAAATTACTTACAACTAATCGTAAACGCCAACTCGTGACTAAAGCCCGTGACTAAAGTACTTTAGCCACACCCTTATAACATTTTTCGATTTTTTTCTACTTTTAAACCTTTCTTATTTCATACCAAAGAATTAAAAACCAAAATTATAAAAATATCTTCAACCGTTTTTTATTTTTTTAGTTTTTGCAAGTTTTTGCAATTATTTTTGAAAAAACAAACTTTTTTCTTGAATACCTAATGTAAAACAACTAAAATTTTAATACAAATGGAAAAATACAATAAACCTGCGCTTATGCAACATCTATTTTTGAATTGTTTCAGATGAACAACCTCGTAATCGTCACGTCGATCGTCGCATTCGTGTCGGTATTGTCCGTCTCGAATCCAATTGCACAAGCAGGTAGGCAATGAGGCAACAATAATAACACCAACATTAGCGTCGTTGTTAAAGATGAGCACACTTTTTTTCCAACCGCCTGCCGCCTCCATTAAAACCGGATATCACATTTGAACCACTCTAATACTAATGTCGGTATTTTCCACTGCTAATCGAACCCAACATCAAACAACACGCAATAATGACAAAAACGATGTTTTTCTGATCAGAAAAAAAATCAGGAAACAAACAAATATCCGCCATTTTAATCCGACGTGCCAAAAATATATTCTCTTCGCATCAGGCAAGCGACATGTTGCAACAAACAACACATAATACAACGTGCGCTGGAAGCAATATTAAATTGATTTATGCATGAGTGACCGAGCTGAACTGCTGAACCTCAATGTACAAAGCGTACAATGCGAAAATCTGGTACAAATTCGAATCGGCTGACATGAATACAACCCACACACACAACGTGTAGTTAACTCTGCCATTAATTACATAGACATAGAGGAGCATTATTTATTTACCAACCGGGGATTAACGTTTTTTTCCTATCTGTGGCCCCCCGGTAAACATCGTAATTAAAGGATGGGACGGAGTGATATGTGTCAATTTCCTGCGCCACCTTGAAGCATGCAATATTTCAATCTGTGATAATCTGTGTGTTTTACAGGACCATTACATAATAGCAAAACAATAATCACAACAATGGAGGAGCCATTGAACGCTATCAGAAAGAAACGTGAAATTTATCCGGAAATCATGGATGACCAACCTGGGTCCTTAGAGAAAGTCACTGAAGACCAATCTCAACAAGGTTGAAGAAAAAAATTTTTTTTTTGGAAAAAATTAAAATTTTTGTTTTTAGTTTGTGTAGTAGGTGATCTAGTCTACGAGGCAGATGAAGCAGTCCCGGCTGAACAACCCTGCCTAAAATGCAAATGCCAACCACCCGGTGTGCATTGTGAGACCACACGATGCGAAAAGAAGCCCGGATGCAGGGCGATCCACAAACCAAACACGTGCTGCCCCGAATACCAATGCGGTAGGTTTTAAACGCCGTGCGCGCTAATCGCGATCGTTAACGAGTTTATTGTTTGTGCACGTCCAGAATGCGAATACGAGGGCAGGACCTACGCAAATGGGGAGCGCCTGGAACAGAAGCCGGGCACCGAATGCAAAGTGTGCTATTGCCGCGGCGGGGAGGTGCAGTGTGCGGAGGTCTCCTGTTACATACGCAATGATTGCGAGGGTCGACAGGTGCCAGGGAAATGTTGTCCTAAATACGATCATTGCCCACCCAAAGGTAAACATTCAAAACCCTAATAAAACCCTTAGAAATAAATTATTTAACGGGATTTGATTCTAGAACCTTCAAATGTCTTCTTTGCTAATGAAATAAACGAAACCACGAAACAAACGAGCAAAATCCTCGAGAATATCCTCCCACATAATCCAGATGACCATCAGGAGATTACCATACATGAAATCATCCCGGAAATTAAGGAGATACCGATTACTAACTCCCCAAAACGTGAAATCAATGAAGTTGTACATAAACAATTGATTAAAGAAGATGATGATCAACATGATGAAAGTAATGACCTACCACCAGACTCAGAATCTGATGGGAGTGAAGTTGCTGAGGTCTATCAACATCCTCCATCAGTTCTACGTATAGGGGACAAGTTATTATTCTTGAAAAAAGATGGAGAATTGGTTAATGAAAAGGGTGTTAGTACTCCAGCTACGGTGATTACCATCATAGGAGCTGAGGGATTACAAAGAGGTGGAGTTGAGGTGGAAGCTGAAGAAACGCTGAAGACTACCCTGGATGATATCCCAGAGGTCCCTGAAGATGAGGAAGATATTCAAACAGTTGCAGAATCTACGTATATTTTATCGCTGGTAAAGAGGCCGGTTTCTACAACTACAACAACTACAGAATCTGCGTTGGAATATTCTTCATCTGTATCTTCTTTGGGAGAAGAAGAAGGGGAAGATTTTAATTCTACGGATAGCAGTTTTGATGACTTAGAATTAGATGTTGGTAATTTTACTGATTTAAGCACTACAAGTGATGAAGATTCTACAACTGAAGGATTAGGCGTTAATATTAACACTACTACAACAGACTTAGAAAATGAAGAAGATGAGTTTAACAGGTTGGTAAATCGATTGATTTGATGTAGAAAAAATTATTTTTTTTCTTTTTTTTTCTGTAGTACTTCCGAAGCAACTACAATTTCTTCTCCAACTGTTTCTCCAACTCCAACACCTCCCACGTCTTCTATAAGTACATCTCCCCCTCATGAAAAAGAAGAAGTCTTAGAATCAAACCCCGAATACCCTCCGATTCCCGATGTTATGACGCAGCAAGTAGAAGAACCCGAACCTCAACCTCAACCCCAACCCCAACCTCAATCACCACAACTCGAAGCAAAAATACTTCCGGAAGTTTTCGAATTACAAGCAATCAGCGCGAATTCTTCCCAAAACGCCACGAATTCATCCTGGCTGAAGAAAACTTTATTAAATCCTGCCGCCACGTTGCCCGAGAGTATCCTGACCAGCGTAGCGGAAAGTGATGCAAGCACCACCGAGGAACCGGAAGCGACCACGACCACAACAATAACAACCGAAGCAACTTTCGCCACGAGCACAAGATCAAAGGAAACGATGGAGAGTCTAGAGCAGAACGCAGATAGCGGCGAGAACGTGACTGAAAGCCCCGATCACGCTTCGATACTCAACGATGATGAAAGCAGCAACGCAAGCGTCGAGGGTGAAGCCACCGCGGATACACCCAGGTCGGTGTCATCCGAAGGCGAGCAAAACACAGCGGAATTAGTGGAAATGCTGCCTGGGTATGAAAATATCACAGCCGCACCTGTGGAACCAGAGATCAAACGTCCTGATGATGTTGAAATGGTCGATGTGGATCTCATGCGTGGGCATAATTCAGATGAAGATGCAAAAAACGCAACACACGAAGGAAAAATTGAAAAAACGCATAAAATTTTAGGAAAACGTGAATCAAATGAAGACGAATCCATATTCGAAGAATTAAACCGTGAAATAGGGTTAGATTCAGGCACAATTAATGAAGATCCACCCGTGGAACAGTCCGAAGATGAAGCTAAACAAATATTCAAAGAGTTGCTGGATGAGGCAACCAGTAATACAACACCGAAGCCGGTGAATCTGCAAGGTACGGCAACGCCGCAGACACGCGAGCAACACCAGCAGGCTGTCGCCCTCGCGCGGATTGGCGACGCACTAGCCAAACTCCAACTGCGGGATTCGAAAAAGGAGGGGAGTTGACACGAACGTTCTCGGCATTCTACGTGATTTCTTCACGGCACAATATCGCGCGTACAATTAATCCCTAACCTCTAAAAATTCAAGAGAAGAAAACCTACAGTGATTTAATTTTAATTTTCGTGTTCGTTTGGTTGTCTAAACAAATTCCATTTCATGTATTGACCAAAGTTGAGACTGCGTACGCGATGCAAGCATAAGGCTATTGTAAATTCTCCATTATTATTATTATAAACGTAGATAAATCGCCATAAAAACAAAAATAAGTATTCCGTAATCAAACAGTTAAAAATTTTAATATTATTGTTGATATCATCAAAGTTTTAGCGTATTAATCTTACTAGTAGACGAGAATGAGCATAAATATGAACAAATATTGTTATATTATCATCTAAGTGTAATTGTGTAACGTAGGTGTGTTCCTGTATCATTTCTGCGCATGACAAAGAGACTTCCAAGCGAGATTGAGCTGACATCAAAACGTTAGCGGCTGATAATATGTGGCTAAACATTTTTCTAGCGTTAAGATAAATTATTTATTACATTATGACATTTATTACTATTGCATCCCATTTTAAATTTTAATAACTATGATAAGGTAATGAGATAGTTGCGTTTTAGGTTATTGAATTATGTAAAAAAAGTAAAAATGTACCAAATATACTCTTATTGTACTTATTATAAGTCATTGATGGGTTTTTTCTTTATATTTCAGTCAAATTCAAAGATAAAATTCTAAAAATTGTTTATAAACATTAAGAAATTAATTATCTACAGGGTGAAGAAAGAATTTTTCAAATCGGTTCAGTAGATTTTGAGTTATCGTGTTTTTAACCTCAAAAAAATAGAAAAAAAAAGTGAAAAATTTAAGAAAAATGGTTAAAAATCCAATTTTTAATATTTCTGTATTCTACAAAGATAAAATTCGAAAAATTACGTAGAAACACCCAAAATCTAAGAATCTACAGGGTGAACCAAATTTTTTTCTTATCGATTAAGAAATTTTTTTATTTTTTGCGTTTTTTAACTTCAAATAGCAGAAAACATATTTAAATAATCGAAATTTGAAAAAAAAAGCAATACAAACACTAGAAAAACTAATAATCTACAGGGTGATACCAAAAATTTTAATTTAATTTAATTATAACGTCTCTAAACCCCAAAAAACAAAACAAAAATTTGAAATTTTTAAGAAAAAACTCTAAAACTCTTATTTTTAAACTCAATAAATCCAAAAACTAAAATAATTATGAAATATATGTTGTCTAGGATTATGTAAACAATGTACATGACCTTTCCACCATCTTCGACAGCTCAGAACTGCTCAGAACTGCAAAAGTGAAAACCGAGACCATAAAACAACAACGCACACACAACAAACGTGTTCAATTTTGCAATCGCCCGAAACTGGCGGGCAGAAAGTTGTGGTCGTTTGCGCTGCCATCGGTGAAATATTGATTTAATGCAATAGCCAGCTATTAGCGCTGGCGGTAATGAACAAATGAACAAACCACGAGCATGTTATGCGTGTTCAAATGTATGCGTTCGGTGCGCAAATTGCGTGAATTGACCAATGCTAGAGTAAACAACGCCTTTGTTTATTGTTATTCGATGCTGGGCACGAGATGTACACCATTGCGGTGGAGGTTAGCGTGCAATTAGCTAAATGTACACATTGACTATTCTATACTCGGGTATTTGCTCAAATAACACACAATCAAGTGTTATATAGCAATAACTCAATATTATTGCGGTTGGTTTTTAATTTTTGGGGAAATTTTAGTTAAAAACGCGAAAATGTATTGGGGACAATGGTATGAGTTGCGGTATAAGTTCCGAACATAGCAATTCAATGTAATTTTGCTTATTTTTGAAATTTTTGATATTTTTGCCAATTTTCTGAATTTTAGCTTTAAAAAACACAGAAAATCAATTAAGGCCAATGCTATGACTTGCGGTATAACTTTCGAACATAGTAATTCATCGTAACATTTATTTTTCGTTAACTTTTTATATATTTTGCCCATTTCTGCTAATTTTTGACATAATTCACGTAAAAAACACAGAAAATATAAAATGGACAACGTTATGAGTTGCGGTATAACTTCCGAACATACGTAATTATTCATTCCTAATTATTCCTAATTTTTTTCATGTTTTTTTTGCCAATTTTCTGAATTTTAGCTTTAAAAAACACAGAAAATAAATTATGGCTAATGATATGAGTTGCGGTATAACTTTCGAACATAGTAATTCATCGTAACAATTATTTTTCCTTAATTTTTTATATTTTTTGCCCATTTCTGCCAATTTTACACATAATTCGCGTAAAAAACACAAAAAACAAAAAATGGCCAATGTCAAAACCTTAATTTCTAATTTCTTTCATGTTTTTTGCCCATTTTCTGAATTTTATCTTGAAAAATCCACAAAAATTATATATGGCTAATGTTATGACTTGCCGTATATCTTTCGAACATACCAATCCCCCATACTTCATAACCTAATTCTCCTCATCTCCTCATCATAATAATTTTCTGTGAATACTCGTACTTTGTGATCTGGTTCTGTTTGCGAGCTGAACATCTCAAAGTAATATCTGTATAATTCGTGACAAAAGTGAAAGGCTGATGAACGCAACGAGTCCATCGCGTTTTCCGTTGCGTTGCGGTGCATTGTGCGCATGCGCCCGCTTCTTCTCGCGCGCGAGCAAAGTAATAATCATCCACTCACGCGGCGATGCACACGCACACGCATGTAGAAGATACATGGCAGCACATTCACATGGTGCAGTGAAGAGTAAGTGAAGAGTGAATAGTAGTGACAGACCGAATTATAGCCACTTGGAGCGGTGAAATGTTGAAAACGCAAACGAGATTTTAAGCGACATGTGTAATCATTTGTAAAATAAAATTACGCTCAGTTCAACTGCATACACGTATGAAGTATAATGGAGATAATATACAGGGTGTTAGATATGAAAATTATGATTTTTTTTAGTGTAAATTAAGTTTTTTTGAAAAAAAAAAGGCAAAATGTTTAATGGACAATGTTATGAGTTGCGGTATAACATCCGAACATAGTTATTCATCATAACCACACTTTTTTCTTATTTTTTTTTTCATGTTATTTGCGCATTTTTCGTATTTTAAATAAAATTCCCTTAAAAATCGTAAAAATTTATATTGGACAATGTTGTGAGTTGCGGTATAAGTATCGAACATAGCAATTCCTAGTAAAACATAAATAATCTACGCTGTATAAATGTAAAAACCGTTATAAATTTCAATTTTGTTGATTTAGACTTGACTTAGATTAATATCAAGATAGAAATAAAAAACTAGAAACCCAAATGCATAAATTTTGAAGATTTTACATTGAAGTAAAATTGAGTCGAAATTTTTACCAACTTTCTCTCGATCAAGGATGCAAACAGCGGAAAATGCATTTCGTGATGGTCGAAAATTTAACACACGCATTGTGTCAAGTAAAAGTAATCCTGCACTTTCTCAATTAGTACCTAATAAATAACAACAAATAATAATAATTAAACTTTAAAACTCAAAAAACAAATAAAATTTAAAGATTCCGCCATAAAAATGATGAATTTATAGTAAAAATAAATTAAATAAATGAGTTTAAAGCGTTTAAACGTTTGGTTCAGCTTGAACGCAACTTAAGCCATGACTTAAGTGGGAGAAAAATCGACAAGTATATAAGCAAACCTGGAAACGGTGAAACGTTTGTTTCGCTTTAAGCAAAAGACTGTTCGCTGGTTCGCAAAACACAAACTAAACTTAATACTTAACTTAAGTCACTTTTAACACGCAGTAAGTGAAAGTTTAACTCATTTCCAATCAAAAATTTTAATAAATTCAATAAATTAATTAATTTTTAAAGTTTTAAATAGAAAAACAACAAAAACACAAACAAAACAATGAAATTATTCATTGGTTTGTTAGTTTGCGTCGTCGCAGTGGCGGCAGCACCCCAAAAAGAAGGCGGCGCATACACGAATGAAGCAATTCGTCAGGCGCAGAACACGTTACTCATACCAAAAGATGCGCAAATCCAAAAGGTTAGTAATTTATTACTCAACGTACTTAACTTAAGTCAAGTTAAATTAAAGTTGTTTTTCTGCGTGTTACATAACACAACATGTTTATATTTTATTTTTATTTATAGAAATTATAATTATAAACACGTTATGTTTTTGTTTGTGTTGGTGTTGTGTAGGTGCAAGAAGGAATAGAAATCGGCGCTTATGAAAGCATTCCGGGCAATCAACGCATCAATCTCTTCGAGATTCTTGGAGATCAGTTCCCTCCAGAGGTAGTGAACAATCTTCAACAACAAGTTGACCAAGTTGGCCGAAATTAAGTCGTTTTTTATGTGAATTTTCTGTTTTTCCTTCAACTTTTACATTTCTTGAGATTTCTTTATGTTTTCTTCATCCTTTCCGCAAATTTTCTTCAATTATTTCGTGTGTAGTTTGTGGTGCATTTATTTTTTTACTTTTATTTTAATTTTTGATGAATTATTATTTATTAAAACTGTATACTAACGTTTTATTCTAGTCGAGTACACAACTGTTTACTTTTATTTTATTTTTTTACTTTTCATTCGCTATTCCTATGCTATTCCTTCAATTTTAAATAAATATCTTGATATTCTTCCCTTCCAAGTGCCAACTTATCTCTTATCTCTTATCAAAATGTCATATATATTATTTTTTCAATCGATATGTACATATAAATCTTTGTTTTCTTATAAAAAGTTAGAAACTTGAATAAAAAATGTTTTTGCACGATGTGGGTTTGTATTTTCTTGTATTTGTATTTAATGTGTTGGAGACACTCAAGACGCTTAGAGAGAAAGTTCTGAAATCGTGTTCTGAATCGATAAACGATCGCAGTGCGCTCAAACGTGATGATAAAGCGAAGAAATTGAAGGAATCCTACGGCCTTCTCGACTTTCACTTGTTTACAACTTCCAAATCGCAACTTGTTCGCAACTCGCATCTTGTACGAGTATCTTGTTGTTTTCAAGTTAATTAAGAAATAAACATCAAATACTGTTTATATCCCTAGTATTCTTTTGTTTTATGGCTTTGTAGATTATGTTAACTTTATTATTTATTTTCTGTGAGTAAATTTTATTTTAAGAACTAACACGACTATATGCAACCCAAATTGACGTTGAACTCAACCGTTATTATATTAAAACGAAGTAAAAAGCGTAAAACATCGCGTAATCAATCATCTCGCACCAAAAAGTTGAAAAATGTAAACACTTACGTTTTGTGTTGCTTGTTGACGTCGCAGATAAGATTGTTTTCGGTGCGCATTCGCGCCACAACAGCAAGTAACCTCTTTAGCCGAGCCGCACGCCGGTACAATGAAAATCGTGAATATCGCAGCGAACACACTCAGTTTGCACGATCAATATTGTTTGGAGTAAAGAGTAACAGTCTTAGCTAATGATTGTACCGGAATAGAGTTTGATTTGTTGTTTATTTGTGCACAATTGTTTGTTGAAACACTGCAGTTCTAACGGTTGTTATCGCGATAAAAACGTTGAAAACACTGCGAAGGTTGAAGAGTTGCGCGAAATTAATTTTGTTTTTCGTACATGCAGCGCCATCTGCCATGAATATGTGGTACTGAAATAGGCTGTTGTGTTGCATATACACTACGAAATTATATTCAAAATTATTGAATTTGCGCAACAATAAGTCTTGTTATATTAATTATTTAACTGTTATAACTATAATAACAATAATATAATGTTAAATAAAGTTTATTTTAATGCACTTAAATGATTTTTAAGCGTAAAAAGTACTTACACATGTTTTATCACTTATTATTAGTTATTATTAATTAAACGTAATCACTTAATTAACTTATTTCCATTTTTGAATTTAATGTGTTGTGTTACACATGGTTTAAAATATCAACATATTCAACCGTAGCGCGATATTAAACTGATTTATTATTTACCTCGCTCGTAGAGTCTTCAAAGCGACTACAATAACAAACAGTGAACTGATAACACAAAACAAGTTTTTGTAAGATTCTTGCTTGTAATTAAATACAAAAATGTACATCGTAGTGACCTCTAGAGCTGAGTTATTGCAATATATTCTAAATATACTACGCATCCTACTAGGGTGCTGCGAGAATTTATCAGTATCGGTGTGAAGTGGTCACCTTACACCGACACGGGTGTCTCTCACCTTTGATTGCGGATAAACTCACTGCTACATGTGCAACCTTACAGACTCAAAGAAAGGCGTGACAAGTTTTACGCAAACACTTTTATAAGTGCAGTTTCTAAAACAATACTGGATGGCGCTCGGATGCACTTTACAACTAAAAATATTTATTGCATTCATTCAACAATATTTACTACGTATTTTCGCTCACACATAAACAAATTAAATCTAATTTAACATTAAAAAATTAATAAATATGCAAAATCCCTACTAATATTATAAATGCGAAAGTCCTGATGTTTGTTACACTTTCACGCAAAAACTACTTAACCAATCATCATGAAAATTTGTACACATATTCTTAGTGGTCCCCGAATGGTTATAGGCTACTTTTTATTTAATAAAAAAATTATTTTTTAAATAAAATAAAGAAATTGTTTAGCCAATAATACCTCTGCTTCTGGCTATTTGACTACTTTAACGCCATCTAGCATTCCAGCAATGAAGCTCAAACCTAAGTACCATAGTACCATCACACTGTATTATCACACTGTATTACCGACAGCTACGTCAACATCCAATCCAATTGACTACACTATGGAGACTGTACACTATACTTCCATAGACTATACTTTCAGCCATTTTAAACTTCCCGCCATTCTACTTCATTGTTACTTCTTCTGTGACTACAGACGCGTTCGGAAGCAATTTCATTATTTTAGATATTCGTGAGCAAAGCCGCGGGTTAAAGCTAGTATAATATAATTTAACATAAAAAATAAATTAAAACACATACGAGTAAAATCAAATAAAATTCAATTATTAATAAAATAAACATTTTTACCCTTCTTACAATATAAATAAATTCATTCTCCAACAAGAGGGCTAACCACCCTAATTTATAGCACTATTTCTACTTTTCCCAATCAAAAAAAAAAAAAAAACTACCTGGTCTCTCTACCTGGTAAGTACTCACTTACCTCAATCATGAGCACTTGTACACCTATGAATGCATGTAGACTGTAGACTAAACTCATATGTGTAAAAATGAAATGGAATACAACACGTATGCGATGTGTTTGTTGGGTTGGGAGTGCGGTAAGCTCGTGTGCTTTGTATCATTGGTTGCTGTCTGCTCCGGTTCCTCCGGTTCGTTCAGTTCGACTTTGTGCGCCGGTGCGGTAGGTCACACACCGGCAACGAACCGAAGAACTAAACAACTCGCGAACGAGCGCATTCACCAAACGAACTTTTAACTTACGAACTTTACAAACTCAATACACAGTACTTAAGTACAAGTTTTAGTTTTAATTTTAAAAGTGAATAATAAAATTAAATTAAGTTTAATTAATCTAAGTTAAATTGTGTGAGGATTTTTAATTATTTGGAGATAAATTTAAAGGTAAGCATAAATTTTCTTTAAAAATTGCAAATATTTATAAAACTATTAGCAATAAATGATAAATTAATATAATATGCAGGTATCATACTCCTTTTCTGAATTTTCTACGCATTAGCAACATTACTTTCCACAATTTATCACAAAAAGTATTCTATCGCATTAGATATTGAATTCCTCACAAAGAATCCAAAACGATGTCACTAGTCCTCGATTTAAGCAAACAGAAAAGCGTAAAATTCAAGAAAATGAAGTGTTCCATATCTCCTATTCACATTTGATTTCAAATCATTAATGAATCCGCATCACAATCACCACAACCATCCACAGCTGTTATACTCGTATGAAATCATTACAATTCACAAATTGCGCCTGTGCAATGATGATGATTAATCGCCGATTGCACACTTGACCAAGTGACCTTGTCGTCCATTTATCGCTGCCGGTATGTGTCGTAGGTAATCGAATAAAATCAGCAGCAATCATTGGAAAAGAATTTAAATAGCTTTTTAGATGTCTCCACACTCTCCGCAGGTTTTAATTATGTGTAATTATCGACAGGCGAACAAAATAATTAATTCAGACCTACGCATTGCTTTAAAATATTGTTTTATAAACAATTAAGTGGTAATAAAAATTAGTTACAGAGAAACATCTTGTTAAATTGTAATTTATTGCAGTTTAACAAGCAATAATATAATATTTATATTTTATTTAAGTTTGGTTATGTTAAACTGGTTGCCAATTTCTATGATAACCATTATGTATACAAATTTTCATGATGATCGATGCAACCAAGTATTTACATCAATTTTTTAAAGTTTATGTTAAACTGGTTGCCTATAAAATATTTACAGATTGTCTGTGGTACAATCACAATAAACGCATTATATCTTATTATTGATACGGATATTATTCATGATTCATGATTTATAGAAGAATGGAAACCGGCTTATCTACAATTCAATTTTATTCATCATTTCAGCCACAATCGGATAATCGCAATCGTAGGATTGTAGGAGTAGAATATAATGCGTAATTTAAACTTTCGATCACATTCCAGCTACGATCGTAAAAAAAATACGAACAATAACGTTGCGCAATAATAAATCGCTGCTTATTTATCATCTCGATTGGTGAAATAAAAATAATAACAATAAGTGATATTAAATATTACCATTCATAGCTTGTTATTACTTGTAACCAATTTTTAAATCAAAATATCAGTAAATAATGCATGAAAACAGGTATTGCAAAATTTAAAAAAAGAATTGCAGGGGGTGAATACCTGTTTAAGGTGGTATTATTGAGTGGTACTTTACCGTTACACCAGCATCTCATCAACCCTTCTTCATATGACTGCACAAAATAAGAAACAAGTGTTTTGAATAGTAAAACCCCTCACTAAAGTTCTCAAGAGTTTAAATAGAAGAAAAAAGGGTGAAATTTGAGGTTAGAACACGCAAAATTCACAATTCTTTACTTTAAAGACTCCCCTTGGTTTCCTAACACCATAAGGGTTGATTTTTGATAAACTTCACCACAGGATACTGAGTGTGTCAACATGTGCTAATCTATTTACATTAATTTGCATTTTATTTACATTAGACGCGTTTAACGAACGTTTTTTACCGTTATTTCAGCCCCTAAATATATAATAAGACCTGTCTTATACATTTCAACACATTACATGAAAGCAATAAACTTTAATCAATCTTAAAGGCAGAGTAATTAATTAAAAATCAATAAATGTCAGTTATGCACGTGTTTCTCATTTAATTGCGATGATTGTAAATTAGTAACACACTTTGGTCTTGAAACATCTGCTATAGATACCTTATGTTTTAATATTATGGTTTATATCTTAGCTATGCATAAATTAGCAATTATTTATAATTACACTAGTTTTGAAATTATTTATTTTATGGTTTTTAGATGATGCATGATTGATTTTACGACGAGTCAAGGTTTAGTATTTGGTATTCGTTATTTCACTAATTGAAATACTGTTAAAGTTGTCTATCTGTCAGGAGATTTTCGACAGAGATAAATCTCTGGATAAGCTAATTAAATCCTCCAAAGCAGATGTAAAAATGTTAGAATACTCGTATGTAGCTCGAGGCATTTAGTTTGGTTAATGATTAATTACTTATAAACGTCAAAATTTTGAACTTTTGACTTTTTGAGGTTTAATTTGTAATTAATTTCGTATTACATACGCGTAGCGGGTTTGCAATCACGGAACACAAAATGTACACAAAGTTGTAACCTGGGAGTGGCATAAAGAGGCATATCTGCTGTGGAAAATGCAGAAAATACAAGAAGATGCAAAATTATAGATAAATCGTGCTTAAGTCAAATTCTAAGAACACTAAGATGCAGCAAGCGTTCTTAACCTCTAACCTGGAGTGGAAAATAAATAAAAATCACAAATTTAGTGCGTTTTGTTGCATTTTTCTAATTTTAAAAGAAAAATGTTTAAAAATACAACTTGTGAGTGGCAAAACTACTGTGAAAAATGCAGAAAACACGAAAAGATGCAAGATTTCTAGATAAATCGTGCTTAAGTCAACTTCTAAGAACACTAAGTCACAGTAAGAGTTCTTAACCTCTAACCTTCAATAGAAAATAAGTCATAATCACAAAAATTGTATTTTTTATATTTTGTAGGTGAAAAATATAAAATAAAAAAACCAGAAAAATTAAGCAACAATATTTACGCCGCCGCGGCTCTTTAAAGTCTCGTGTTTATTACTATCATAAAGAATAATAATGCTTAGTGACTCCAGTCTCGAAATTCCATCTGAAATTCCAATCTAATGGAAACCAGCTTAGGATAACGCAACACACAACAATAAAATATTCATATGACTACGCATTTATGCCTCCTATTAAACTCATACTCATACATACAATTATAATATGTAAATTTTTGTCATATCATATGCTTATAGTTATAATCAAGTTTAGATGATCACAGTTCACAATTCATGATTGATTGGTTCATCAATTTTACAATATATATTAGTCTCGTATATTCTACTACTGTATAGTTTTATTTTGTTAAAAGAGGTTAGGTTAGGTTATGTGGGGTTAGGTATGTCGACGGTCGTATGTCGAGCGCCCAGCGGGAGGTATTACCCGGCAGATGTTTGCCTGCCAGCTATTCACAGTAAAATTGCTCTATTTTAAGGCATTGAATGCATTGAAATTATCAAAGGATGCGCACACGCACAGTCTAACCACAATCAACTAACTAGTAATAGCAATAGTCGGTTTAACACAGCCACGTTTAGTTTAATTTGACCAATGGGAGCAAGAAGTTAACAAAACGTGATTATCACGGATTACAACTTGTTATTCACTTCGATTAACTTGAATAGTGGGTATTGACGCGTTTGTATATTGGTAATTGCCGATGGAAATTACGAGGGAACTAGGGTGTGAAATACCGGTATTCAAATCGGTATACCGGTAATTTTTATTGCACGCAAGCTTTTTGTTAAATTTGCGTCCTAAAAATAAATAAATAGACGTACGCAGTGATTGAAGATAATTACTGGAACACTATGGACGGAAATATTAAAAATTTTGAATTAAAATTGAAGAAAATTGCGATTTTTGTTTGTTAGAACACGATAATCTTTGTTATTTCGAAGTTGCTGGTAAAAATTTTATTTTTGCGATTTTAAATGTTATTTACATGGTGATTTAATATACAATTTTGGATGTGTAAACGTTTTTTGCAAATTATACATTACAAAATTACAAAAAAAAATTAAATAGTTTAAGATACACACTAAGAATATAAATAAATACACATTCAAAGTGAGTGCAGATAATTACTTGAACACTATGGACGGAAATATTAAAAATTTACAAGTAAAATGAAAGAAAATTGCGATTCACGTTGATTACAACACGCACATTGATAATACCTTCGTAAATCTTTATTATCTCAACGTTGCATCTAAAAATTCTACTTTTGCGACTAACTACACTTCAAAGGTATTATACAGAGTGATACACAATACAATTTTTGATTTTTTAAACACTTTTTGCTTATTCAACAGCAAAAATTGCAAAAAATATCAAAAATATTTTAAAAATTAATTTTTTTCATGCAAAATATTAACATTTTGTCATTTTAAAGCTTTATTTTCTTATGTAAAGCCTTTGTATATTTCTAGGAACAAAGCTAGACTCTTGAGATGTTTTCCCACAGTGGAAAATTATCATTTTTTTCTTACGAGCGAAATCAACATTCGCTGAATGCTGATTACTCGGGTTAGTACAATATTATACATTATACATTCTTACGCTAACCGCTAACGCACTGCAAATCCCACTGCAATACAAGCTCTAACATTGAAACACGAAACAAAACAAGTCAACAATTATCCATGATTGCAATGGCAACATTATAATCACCGCGCTGCCGCGTCAGCCAAGATTCACTACTACTTGAAAATGTGATTATTATTTTTATTTTTATTCACATTTTTCCCAACGATGATAAATGATTATGTAAATGATGTAAACGCCTAATAATTTAAAAATCTGCTGGATTTTGACTCTCCAACTCTGGCAGTTTAGCACTAAATAAATTAATTTCTCAATGGCGGAAGTCGCTTGTAAACTTACGTTTACAATATCCAATTTGCTTTAATTTGTCTGCTTAATTGGAAATGCACAAGACGAGTATTATAATTATTATATGAATACAGTGGGTGCTTATTTAGTATGTGTGAATTATTTTTAGTGCAAAGGTTAGGCTGCGGCTGAACTTCTGCGAAATCTAAACGTTGTGTTTGAGTCTCAGCTGCGCGGAGCTGCGCTTGAGACTTGGAATAAAAGGTGTTTAGTACACGCACACAAAAAGAGGAAGAAAATGGGAGTAGACTCAAATTACAATGATGGTTATCTTACTTCCTGTTGTGCACAACGCAAAAGAAGAGTTGAAATCTCTAGTTTCAAGTTTAGGTTGGAAGAAAATTTTACACAATGTACAATGCATAATCATTCTACAAGAATTTTTATTTTATAACAAAAGTTTTGTTCAATACCGGTATTTCGGTACACCGGTATTAAAAAAAAATTATTTTTGAACATTTTTGTGCTTTTTGCACAATTTTTGTTTCAAAATTAGTAAAAAATGATTAAAAACCAAATATATATCCTATATCACCCTATATAAGACCTTTAAAAACTCAAAAATAAATTTTTCAGCTACAACTTCAAAGTAACAAAGAATAACGTGTTGTAACTAACAAAAATCACAATTTTCTTCTATTTTACTTCAAAATTTTCAACATTTCCGTCCATACAGCTCTAATAATTGCCCACAATCTCAACCTACGTCTATTTATTTATATTTTGGGAGCGTATCTACCGTCTGGAGTGCCTGGTCATGCATGGTTGGGAACAACCGGGGCGTCCAAAGGGCACGTCCCAACTCCGATGCACTACAGTAGCTTACGAGTACAATATCCTGACTATATTAATTTGGCTGTGGTCGAGATAAATCGTAGCCTCGACCGTTACAAATATAGTTCAGCCGCACCACGCACCCCACAACTGTTTGACATGCTGTCGCCGTAATCCATTATGTTCATTATGTTCATCAAAATCATTGCACCGCAACGGAATGGCCGCCATATCTCCACACATAAACACAAAAACTAAACTATAAAAAAAGCGAAAGGAAGGAAAACAATGCACATCAAAGTTTTTATACTTTTTCCATGGCTTGACTGACAAATGTCAAATGCGTTGTCGCCTCGTCAGAGGGTGCGACGACAATTGTCATTGTCGAGGTACAACTGCTGGGGATTTTGATGAACCAGGGAACAGGGATGACGTGCATGTTGTTCGGATTAAGCAATTGAAGGGCAATACAAATTTATGTATTCAAACGGAAATAAAGTCGTTTGTTAATCGTGAAACGATTGAGTTTGATCATAAATCGATCAATTTTCGTCCATAACGTGGAAAAACGACATAGAAAAAAAATTAGATCATAAAATTAATGATTGCGTTTTATATCCGGAACAAAAGCTGCATTTTTGGCTCTGATCGTAAAAATAAAGCGATAAAACCAATTAAGGCGTATGGTAACATCTGTTGCGGAAATTTTCAACAAAGTTTAAATTTATAAAATCTCCCGAACAAAAAAAGTGACTACCTGAGGTACCTGGCAACACTTGAACGAGAATAAAAGCTTTTCACACGCCGGGCGCCCCTTTTCAGCCCTCGATATAAATCTAAAGTGTTACAAGCGAAAATACCTACGCAGTGCACAAAAAGTTGCATAATTCTCCGCAGCTGTCAAGTAGCATAACCTCAAAACATAAAATTACAACGTTGCCATGTCTAACTGTCATTATTATCAACGGCAACAATGAATAAACTCAGAAATTCACTCTCAAACCATTAATTAACTAAGTAAACATAAATATCTCATCGACAATGACAGATCAAATGCATTTATATTGTGTAGGATGAGTAGGAAGTCTCTCAGTGTAATCATCATCAACAAGAACTGGTTGTAGTAGAATTAAATCTAATAATATCTTGTTGGGACAAGAGTTTAGACATTTGTTTAATGTTTCTAGTTTAGTTTCATAACAGCATATGTTGGGTTGCATAACATTCTAATCCTTTAGAATCCCTACTAATATTATAAATGCGAAAGTCCTGATGTTTGTTACACTTTCACGCAAAAACTACTTAACCGATCATCATGAAAATTTGTACACATATTCTTAGTGGTCCCCGAATGGTTATAGGCTACTTTTTATTTAATAAAAAAATATTTTTTAAATAAAATAAAGAAATTGTTTAGCCAATAATACCTCTGCATCTGGCTATTTGACTACTTTAACGCCATCTAGCATTCCAGCAATGAAGCTCAAACCTAAGTACTATAGTACCATCACACTGTATTATCACACTGTATTACCGACAGCTACGTCAACATCAAATCCAATTGACTACACTATGGAGACTGTACACTATACTTCCATAGACTATACTTTCAGCCATTTTAAACTTCCCGCCATTCTACTTCATTGTTACTTCTTCTGTGACTACAGACGCGTACGGAAGCAACTTCATTATTTTAGATATTCGCGAGGTTTTTAAAACTAGTAATCTTATAAAGTGGACATGCAAATTCAATAAAATAGACACTATCTCCCGCAATGAATTGGTATTAAGTTACTTTATGTACGGTTGACAATTAAATTACTTTGTTTCAGGTAATTTATGATCGTGCATAGTGTGGTGAAGAAGCAGACGATCAAGCGAAGAACACGAAGGTTCTAAGGTCGAGTCCGAGAGTTCTCGCCTTGAAGATTCAAAGAGTTGCTTGAGACCTCCTGGCGGGTGGCGTGGCAAACGAAAAACCCGCACACTAGGCTCGAGCTGCGAGCACCAAACAAACCAGTACCAGCACACCAGCACACCAGCAGGTCTTCTATCTTAACATATCCCGTGGTATTGTTGCACTCCGCCGGCGAGATGTGGGTGTGGAGGCACGCACGGATGTTGGCGGCTGCGAAGAACGGCCAGCGACGATGAACGCCAACTCTTCAGCGAGGCTATATTCCACTACCAAACAAAATTCAGGTCTAGATATACACGAAAATCAACTGCAGACACCGTTAATTGTCAAAAAATCGTCGTCTTTGGTAAGATTTATGTGTTAAAAATAAGAACATTTTGGTTTTTAATATTTTTATTAACAAGTTGTTGGTTGTTGGGTAATTTGTACGTAGTTTGTTTGACGAGTACTAATTCGCAGCTCCGTTTGCTGTTTTTGTTTGGTTCTTTGTCTGCGAGCACTCGAGCTGAACTTATCAACGCGACAAACAATAGACTCGGTCGTAAACTAAAGTTTTTTTTACACAAAACGAGACAAAATAAAATTAAAGCAAAAAATAGAACAAAGAGTAAAAATTATTTGTTAATATAGATGTAAAATACCGGTATATCGGTATTTTAATATTTAAATTCAGATATTTTTTCCAATATATACCGGTTAACCGGTTTTTAGTAAAAAAAATACCGGTATACCGAAATACCTGTATTAATATTTAATTTTATTTTCAATTTCTGATATTTTTCAATATAATATTGCCTCCGATATATACCGGTATACCGGTTATTTAATTTTAATTTTAAAAATACCGGTATTTAACTAAATATTCACATTTCTCCATGTTAATGACTTTTTTTGCATTGCTTAGTGATCAATTTCATTATACGCGATCGTGTTGATTGCAAAATTGCTGAGATAATTAACAGTCGGTTTCGCAAGCAGTTAATACCTTTTCCGGAAATTATCATCTCCAGAAACAGTTATAATTTATAACCGATATCTATCTTCGACAGCTTAACGAACTGCCAATGCTCTCTGAAGCTTAAAACTATGATTATTGATACAGAATTTCCTCCAACTTGAATTTTATTGCAAAAAACACTAAAAACTCAACAAACGCGCAATGCTCTGCACATAAACGTATAAAAATGCGTTTTTAGTCTTCTTACAAAACCAGAAATGGACTTCCAACGTGATATCTTTATATTCTTTATAAAGTCTATTTTTTCGACGCACGTCTTTGATCTGTGAGTGAAATATCACATTCGAGACACGTAATTTGCTCTTTTTCAACGTTTTGCCTTCACACGAGGAAAAACATTCCGGCAGTTGTAAATAATTGCAAGAAACTGCTGCGTGGACAGTCATACCACACTGTGCGTTGTGCAAATCGTATAAAAATACAATAATTCAACACTATTTGGAATTCTACAGACGTGGAGTACATTTTTATAGTGCAGCTGGTGTGTGATTACTTAACGATCGATTACTGAGCCAATTAGCACATCGAAATAGCCAGATGACGAATTGCAGAAAACTGAAACGCGAAACTGAACAAAACAGGAATATACGACATAGCGCATGCTACTTTGAGAAGTTGTCGTTGCACGCTCGATTAATTAAAGACTTTTTTATCACCTAATAGTTTTTTTTATTAGGAAATTAATGTTTTTAAAGCAAAGAAATGTTTTAGATTAATTTTTAGTACAAAATTCTTTGGATATTTTCATTTTATAAGTGCTTAGGGTCACAAAACAATGAATAAGAGTATTCCGAAGGAGTATTTTCTATAATTGCTGGTTTGAGTTAAAAGTTAAAAGTTTTACCAGCGCTGGAGGCCTTTTTGGACGGTTATAGAAGATGCGATGCACTGGCATGCAATATTCTTTACTAAGAAACACTTTTCTTCAACACAATTTATCTTCGGTAATTTTAAATGAAAAATTAGAAAATTATTTCATATTTCTTATACTCTTAATAATGTTGTTAATTTATATGCTGAATAATGAATATTTATTATAGATTATTATTGGATTAGATTTATTGAGAGATAATAAATCAATATTGTAATTTACGAGCGCGATTAATTTAAATTAAAGCAAGTTTTGCTTTTATTTTACTTGAATTGGATTAAGTAAGATGTGAATTATTAAATTATTTAAATTCAATCAATGTTTTCAACAGTTCAACAAGATAAGAATATTTACATTTGAGCTGTGAACATAATACAATGTTGTGGTGTGGTTTTCTTGCGGTGTAGAAATAAGATGCGTGTAGAGGTAAGGTGAAGACGAGAGGAATTCCGTGGAGATTTTGAGTGATTTAAATATTTCAAACCAGTTTTATTTCGTGCGTGCCTCTCAAAGTTTTTATTCTTTTATTCTTGTCTATTATATTGAATAATCCAGTAGAAAAATAATTTTTTAGTTGTTTTTGGTATTACTGGTTATTATTTTCTAGAAAAATGTAATTCTGTAGTCACAATGAAGTAGAATGGCAGGAAGTTTAAAATGGCTGAAAGTATAGTCTATGGAAGTATAGTGTACAGTCTCCATAGTGTAGTCAATTGGATTTGATATAGACGTAGCTGTCGGTAATACAGTGTGATAATACAGTGTGATGCTACTATAGTACTTAGGTTTGAGCTTCATTGCTGGAATGCTAGATGGCGTTAAAGTAGTCAAATAGCCAGATGCAGAGGTATTATTGGCTAAACTATTTCTTTATTTTATTTAAAAAATAATTTTTTTATTAAATAAAAAGTAGCCTATAACCATTCGGGGACCACTAAGACTATGTGTACAAATTTTCATGATGATCGATTAAGTAGTTTTTGCGTGAAAATGTAACAAACATCAGGACTTTCGCATTTATAATATTTGTAGGGATATTTGGTTAAAAATTATTCAAAAGCACCTTCTAGCGCTATCTAGTGCTGAGTTATAGAGAATGCACTAAAAATACTACTCATTCAACTAGGGTGACGCGTAAATTTATCCCCATCGGTGTGAGCTGTCCCCTTCACACCGACACGTCTGCCTCCCCCATTTATCTCCATATAAACTCACAGAGTCATATGAACGCCTCACTCCTACTCTAACACACAACCCACTTTAACAATCACCCAGTTCACCACATATCCTTTCTAAATCAATACTGGATGGCGCTCAGATGCACTTTTCAACCAAAAATAAAACAAAAATCCATGTTTTTTGCGGCTAAAACCCAAAGATAAAAATACAAAACAAAACAAACCACATCCATAATAACAAAACATTCAATATTTATCTATTATTATACTTGTTGAATGTTTTCATTATGTTTGCATTAGTCATCAACCCATTAAAATTGAATAATGCACTTTTTTTCATACAATTTCTTACAAAACACACACTCGGGGCCCTGGGTAATATTCAAGTTTCAGCACAGCGAATAATAACAGTTATTTGGTGCGCGCTCGCTCGCATGTTCACTTTGTTCGCCTGCACACGTGCATTTTGGCGGATAAAATGTAATTTGCTTCGTTATTACTCACACCCGTAATGAGACATTACATTACGTGCAGCATACTGATCAACAATGCAGTTAGGCTTCCACAATTAAATCATTGGTACTACATGCATGTATATACAATAATGGCTTCATTTCTTTGCTCAAAATTAACTTATTAATTTAATAATAAAGACATTAATATAAAAATTTAATAAATGAAAAAATAAATTGAATATGTAATTGGAGTATGCAAATAATATTGTTTGAGAGTAATATGCAATATGCAATTTTATGTTTGGTCATCGATTATTAGTATTATTAGTATTAAATATCGATATTGTTGTTCTACCCACACACCTGGCGCCAAATCGCCTCTGACCGCATTCTATTACTTAATCCAAAGTGTCTTAAGTGTTTCCAATGTATCGAGTTGACACTGAACAGTTTGAAACATTGTAACATCGAGTAATTTATTCTAGAGAATGAATACTAAGAATATTTTGCAATAATATTATGTTTAAATTGATTTTTTATGTGTTTATTATTAAATTTTATTAGATAAACAAATATTTTCTTAGAAAAATCAAGAAATGTCTACCAAAAAGTCTAAAAAAGTACAAAAATTTAAAATAATTTAAATTTTTCTTAAAAATTATGTGGAATTTTACATGTTTCTTCGTGCAAAAATAAGAAAAATTTAATTTTCACCTCAAAAATGCTCTAATTTCAGTTTTAATTAAATATTTTCACAGAAAAACACACATTTTTCAAAAAAAAAACCGAAATACGACCAAAAATTTAACGAATTAAAAAATATTTTCGAAATTATGTTGCCTAATATGTCCAAAGTCAAATTTGACATGTTTTTCATATTAAAATAACAACTATTGCATAAACATCTCAAAAATGCTGTAATAACGTCAAGATGTAATTTTCTCACAATCAAAACACGATGACAACACGCGACATGTGTGATTGTCGCATTAATAAATCTCGCTTGTTCCATGAATGTTAATCTCCGCGGACTGTTGGTTAATTTATGTCTTTATACGCCTTGCATGAGCTTGATTTACACACCGCCGCAAGGAATCCATTTCGTGGTGAAATACACGCGTAAATAATAGATAATAAGCGTGTACAATTTAAATTAATCTCTATACTCAACTAAATAACTAAATAAAACTAATTAAATTATAAAAATTTATGTTTTATATTTTTTTTTGTATTTTGCAGTTATCATTGAACCAGTCGCAAATATTCGAACCCAGAATGGCCCAATTAGAAACCCTCGAGGCGAGAGTAAGTAAACATAACCTCTTTTGAATAATCTTCTTAAAGTTATGCAAAACCCACGCATTTGTACATCGAGAAATCCATTTTACTCTTATTTTTCATTCTTGTAAAGCAAACCAACATAAAAACTGATGTGTATGCGTACTATGAGCACTTACAGAACAAGAAAACACTCTCGCTGCTTCCCAATCGCAGCCAGCGTCATAATACAACAATAATAAAATTTTAAGTCCTTCGTGAACCGGTTAGGTTATGCCCAAGTCATATAAGTCGTATAGATTTCTCAAAAAGCCATTTAATTGGGGCGCAAGGGCCGTGGGTGCCAACTGCCAACCTCCCTTCACGTGGTGCGCCCTGATTTCGACAAACGAGGCTCTGGCGACCGAATATGAGGCGGTATAACCTCACTTTCACCACGTCAAGTGCGGGACATCAACAACATCGTCAAACATCCAGGTACACTGAGGCGGGTTTGGACGCTCCAGCTGGCAGCCCCAGCACCAAACTCGGGTGCAGAAGGCTAATAACCTACTCACCCTAAATCAAACCTATTACTGAAACTTCAACTAAGCAAACCCGGACGGATAATACGAGGACGACCCTGGCTAATACTAAACACAAGATACGTTTCGGCTGCTGGAACGTGCAAACGTTATACGAGAGCTCCAAATTGCAGCAGGTAACTAAGGAATTTCTCAAATATAATCTACATATTTTAGGTATATCAGAAGTACGTTGGTTGGGGAAAGGAGAACATCCCACACAAGGTGGAGAACGACTACTTTTTAGTGGTAATGAATCTGGAAAACACGAAAGCGGTGTAGGATTTCTACTCAGTAAACATGCTAAAAAGAGTCTAATCTCATGGACACCAATAAACGAAAGAGTAATAACAGCAAGATTCTACACCAGGTTCAGAAAAGTAACTTTTATCCAATGTTACGCCCCAACCAATAACGCTTCTAAAGAGGATAAAGATGAATTCTATGACATCCTCGAGAAAACTATAAAAGACGTAAACAGCGGTGACATAAAAATTCTCATGGGCGACCTTAATGCGAAAGTAGGCGCTCAAAACGAGAATTTGGAAGAAATTATGGGAAAAAACGGCGTTGGGCAGATTAACGAAAACGGCACATACTTCACACAGTTCTGCTCCAACGCGAACCTGGTAATAGGGTACGCTGTTCCCCCACAAACAGATTCACAAGACAACGTGGGTCTCGCCAGACAAAAAAACCCACAACCAAATCGATCATATCACAATCTCTAGGAAATGGAGATCGTCATTACTCGATGTGAGGAACAAGAGAGGTGCTGATGTAGCCAGTGACCACCACCTAATAGTTGGCACATTGAGAATAAAACTAGCAGTACCCAAGCAACCAGCCGATATGAAACGAATAAAACTAAATATAGAGAAGCTACGCATTCCACAAATAGCAAAATCCTTCAAGGAAAAAATGCAAGAGACAATAAACCAAAAATCAGCACAAAAATGGGAAAATATGGCCGACAACATCATTGAAGTCGCCAAAACAACAATTGGAGTGAAAAGCAGGCAAAGGAAAGAATGGATCAGCGAAAACACGTGGTTGCTGATAGAAGACCGAAAGAGGAAAAAACACCTGCTACTCCAAAATCTTTCGCAAGAATATAGGGCAGCGGCACAGGTAGAGTACACAGGCCTTTGCCAAAAGGTCAAAAGGGAAGCCAGAAGAGACAAACGCAGGTGGATAGATGATATTTGCAGACAAGCAGAAGAAGCAATGCTCAACAACAACTCGAGAGAACTTTACAACCTCACAAAGAAACTGGCCAATAAGTACTCTACACGCACACACTTCATTAAGTCAAAAAACGGCCGCCTGTTAGTTGAGTCAGACAAGCAGCTCGAAAGATGGAGGGAACATTTCTCCGACATGCTCAGCGCAAACGAAACAATTAACTGGGAGCCAGAGAATAACCCAGGTAGACAACTGAACATTGACTCGAACCCGCCTTCAGTCGCGGAGATAACTGCAGCTATAAAGACGCTTAAGAACAACAAAGCAGCAGGAGCTGATAACGTTCCAGCGGAACTACTAAAAGTAAACGCCACATGGATGGCAAATGAACTATACCACTGTATTAAGGAAGCATGGAACAACAACAAGATTCCGACCAAGTGGAAAGAAGGGCTAATCATCAAGCTTCCCAAAAAAGGTAACTTGACCGAGTGTAACAACTGGCGTGGCATAACGCTATTAAACACAATTAATAAGATTATCGCGAAAATCGTCCAAACAAGATTAGCGGAAACTATAGAAAACACCCTGCGCCCGAACCAAGCAGGTTTTCGGCCGAATCGCTCATGCATCGATCATATCAATACCCTTCGTATAATTATCGAGCAATCAGTAGAATGGCGATCACCACTATTCATCGCCTTCATCGACTTTGAGAAAGCATTCGACAGCCTGAACCACGACGCTTTATGGAGGATCCTTAAGTCGCGAGGTGTACCAACAAAGATAATAAGCATCCTGCAAGAACTCTACACTGATGCAAACTGCAGTGTGTTACACAACGGTGAAAAAGCGAAAGTTTTACGATACACAGAGGAGTAAAACAAGGATGTGTCATATCCCCATTACTATTTAACATCGCCTTAGACTACATACTAGCAAAGGTAGACCAGAACAGGGATGGGTTGCGCTGGACACTAACCTCGCACCTCAGCGACCTGGATTACGCCGACGACATCTGCCTGATGTCACATACGTTCGAAGGCGTGAGCCGACAGCTAACAACATTAGCAAGGGAGGCAAGTAAAATTGGCCTAAGAATAAATATTGCCAAAACAAAAGAAATGCGTATAAATACAAACAACACCTTAAAACTCCAAATAGATAATACGGAAATAGAAGAGGTCAAGGAATTCCTATATCTAGGAAGTATAATTGACATAAAAGGGGGGACCGACGCAGATATAAACAACAGAATAAAGAAAGCCCAGCAATCCTTCAGAATGCTGAGCACAGTATGGAAGTCAAGCGTCTATACACTAAGAACAAAACTGCGCATATTCCGCACAAATGTAAAATCCACCCTTTTATATGGATGCGAAACATGGAGGTCAACGAGCTCAAGCACACACAAACTCCAAACCTTCATAAACAAGTGCTTGAGAATGATCTTGCGCATATTCTGGCCAATGACAATCTCCAACGATGAGTTGCACCGTCGATGTGATGAAACTCCCATTATAAATCAAATACGCAAGAGAAAATGGGGTGGATTGGGCACATCTTGAGAAGAGACGCCGGAGATATCGCCAGAAATGCGCTAGAATGGAACCCACAGGGGAAGAGAAGGGTTGGTAGACCGGCCAATACCTGGCGAAGATCCACAATAGAGGAGCTCCGAAACCAAAATATGGGCTGGAACGAAGCAAAGGCGGTTGCCCGAAACAGAGTCCGTTGGAGGGCGCTTAGTGAGGCTCTATGCTCCACATAGGAGCCAAGAACATTATATATATATATATAGCTTTCCTATTATAACGGAAACAATGATTCCACTGGACGAAATTGAAAATCTAGCACAAAATAAACAACAAGTTGAGGTGGATCTCTTCTCACGCGTATCGTACTTACACTTGCCTACATCGCAACATCCGAGGAACGCTGTTAACATGTTGAGGAGTTAATAAGAGCATAGAATGAATATCAAGATATAAGAATTTTCACACATTCTTAGAAAATAGGAAATTTAAGACAAAGTATTCATTTCAAGCGTAAGTTTACTACGAAAACAAGTAAATTATTAAGCAGACGAAGACATTACTTAATTAAGTTTAAATTATGAGTTTTTGAGTGTAGAAAGTCGCAAAAAATATTGAATTACAAATAAATTAGTTTCAATTATAGGTATTAAATTTAATTCTCTTTCATTCAGTATTTTTATCAATATTGTGCGTTTAATAGTTCGGAGATATTTTTACTTTTTTTAAACAAAAATTCTCATTTTTTAAAAATTTGTAAATGGAGTATTAATCATGGGATTTTCAAATTTTAACACGTAGAGAAGGTAATAATAAGACACATATTCTTAGAAAATAAGAAATTCAAGACAAAGTATCAATTTCAGACCTAAGTTAACTGCGAAAACAAGTAAATTAGTTGCAAAGAAGACATTACTTAATTAAGTTTAAATATATGAGTTTTGAGTGTAGAAAGTCGCAAAAAATATTGGATTACAAATGAATTAGTTTTAATTATAGGAAGCAAATTTAATTCTCTTTCAATTGGTATATTCGTCAATATTGTGCTTTTAATACTTTCGGAGATATTTCAATTTTACGGAAAATAAATTTATGCCGAAATTAACAAAAAATGTATCTTTTATTTTTTAATTTTAGTAATAATTATCAAATTTAGAAATATATCACTCTGATTAAAAGATGCACAATTAAATTCTCTTTCATTCAATATTTTAATCAATGTTGTGCGATTAATAGTTCTGGAGATATTTGAGTTTAATTATCAAAAACTCATTTTTAAAAAATTAGTAAATTGAGTAATAATCATCAAGTGTTAACATGTTGAGAAGATAATAATATGTCACATATTCTTAGAAAATAAGAAATTCATATCAATTTCAGGCCTAAGTTAACTGCGAAAACAAGTAAATTAGTGGCAAAGAAGACATTACTTAATTATCTTTAAATTTCTGAGTATTTCTAAGCGTTGAAAGTCGCAAAAAATATTGGATTACAAATAAATGACTTTCAAACAAGTATAAAATGTAAATTTACATATAATTTAACAATAGTTAATCCAGATTAATCCAATCGTGATTCGTTAAATTTAATTCTTGTAATCTCACTCACCTCACCCTCTTTTATATTTTATTTAATCCTAAAAATTTCTATTTGCATACGAGTACGTTGCACATGTCTACTCATACGAGTACAAATATGAAGAACCATTAATTACGATCAACTTTATGCGTTGTGTGTTGGCATAAGTCATGATTAACGGTTAAATAATTGCAACCTCTTGACTAAAATCCAAACCCCGTACGCCTTTAACTTTAAAAGGGTGAAAATTATGCGCTATTGTTTAAAGCCACCGACCCTCGGCGTTATTTCGCATTCTCGTGATAACAATACCCAGTCAAAAATTCAAGGCCCTAGGGGACACAATCCCAATCCAGATTGCTGCTGGTTATTTTTGTTTGTGTTGTAATACGCTAGGTGTCTTCTTCATTCTTATGCAAATCATTCTAACCGGTTTTGTGAACGTTTGGGTTGTGATCAAATTTGGGGCGCGTGATTTCAATGAGAAAATACACTGGCTGCCTTTTTGGTTATAGTCGTTATAATCGCATAAATTTCTTAATCAGGGTGTGAAATACCGGTATCAATACCGGTTAACCGGTATTTTTTAAGACAAAATTGCTCTCAATAAAAATCTATATCAAAATAACCTTAATTTTTAAAATACCGGTATACCGGTTTTTTAAATAAAAATCTATCACAAAATACCGGTTTTTACCTCAAAATTAAATTTTTTTTATTATTATTTATAGATGGCCAGTATTGAAGTATCTTTATCATCAACCCCACGCCGCAAGAAAAATGGAAGTCTAAGTGGATCGGTGCGATCGATCCCGAAAGATGTGACAGCGTCCAAAGAACTCGAAAGTCTTCGGAATGCTCTCCGTGATAAGGAGAATATTATCCAGACATTGAGAGGTCAGCTGAGTATTCCGGCAGTGGTGCGTCTCAACCACAACATTCGCAATTGCGGTAATAACAATAACAATGGTTTACTGCGTGAACTCTCCGACGCGGAGAAGAAACAAGCCGAGGAACGTCTTGCCAGACTACGGAATGACACCGACGCTAAACGATTAGCGATAAAAATTTAAAAATGGCGCTTGAACGATTAGATATCACAGAGTAAGCATTTAAAAACATTTTTTTTTTTTGAAAAACTTTAAAAAATAAATTTTTGTTTTTATTATTTAGTAATATTGATGTGCGTATACAACAAGCCGAGCTGGAATATCAATTGGGTCGCGAAGAATTAAATCTTCTTACGTTGCTGGAAGAAACCAGAACACTGCAGCATTGTCTCGAGGAGTGCAATAAAAAGGCACACGATTCGCATACGCTGTACAGGTGAGGGCTGAATCAACGCTTATTACTGCGTAGAGATAACCAAATAATTATTATATTTGCGCGCGCGTCTCATTAGTGCAAACATTTACGACCCAAGCGGCTTAATAAGTTAAGTCGCTTGCGTGCGTGGGATTCTTCTCAGCCAAATTAAGTCAACCACGGCGCTCAACACGCGCGCGTACACGACGCCAGAAAACCGAGCGACAACTTTCACAATCACAAAATTTTATTTATTTGGCGGTTGTGATTTATTACCTGCGAATGAATTAATTTAATTAGATTAATTTGGATAATAACCATGACATTTATGAGTTAGATGTAAATATAGACGAGGGACACTCCAAAAATAGATATTTTTTTTTTAGTTTTTGTTGTTTTACGAATAAAATATTAATAATATTAAAAAACTAAATTAGCCAATAGATGCACAATTAAATTCTCTTTGATTTAGTATATTTGGTAATTTTGTACCTTTAATAGTTCCGGAGATATTTCACTTTTACTGAAATCAAATTTATCGAATAACCAAAATCGCAAAATTTCAATTTTTTCAAAATTTAACCTAAAATAAACAAATTTCTTGTATTTCTAGACTAAAACCTCTTAAAACATTTCTTTAATATTCTAGTTGTTTGAGTACAAACGAAGTGGTCAGCTTGCACGTCGCCGAAATCGTTTGTGATCCGAAAAGTCCCCGTTTCGGCGCCGGTCAAAACGAAACCAGTCCCGGGCTGTACATCGAATGGGCGTTGGATGATACCGGCTTGCAAAAAGGGGACAGGTGAGTTTTTCTACATACCCACCTCATTCTTATGCATTCTTATTCATTGCACAGTTTTACCCACTGCGCATTCCATGAACAAAACTCTCTTAAAACTTAATTCCATCCTTGAACTTCACACTTTGAATAAAAAACGAATATCATCTAATAATTCAAGAAAAAAATCTCGACAATTCATGTTACACTCTTACACGTACACGAGTACTTCTCAACCGGAAACTTGCAGTAACGCCTGTGTTTTCAGCCAGAACGACCTTCTACCTACACATCCGGTCGTGTGATGTTTTTATCTGACTGAAAACAATGCAAGTCCATACTTAAAACACTCAACAGTTGAAAATTTTCCCAAAAAAGTGAGATTATACTCCACTATGGAAATATTCCCACGAAAATCTCCATCTTGGACATTGTAGATTGTTTTTGACGAGTGTTCAACACTTGACTTTCTTAATTCACGCTAAATTTTTCTCTTTTAATTTGACTGGTTGGATTTAAAAAGTAACATTAAAATATATGTAAATCGGCAACAATATCACATTTTGGCGGTGTAATGAGAATTGGGTTTTATGGTTTCGAGCCAAAAATTAACGTATTAATTGCTCATTCTTTCATTTAGCATCTCTTGGCGTGATGCGTGCTTAATTTGTGGCCCGAATCTCGCGTGAATGAATTCGTTTCATCGTTTCCCTTTTATTGCGGCTTTTATTCTGCGTGTGGCTGCATTGTTTTACGCTTGAATGTTTAGCAACAAACAAGTTCGACAGTCGTAAACACAATCGGAACAACTTTTTCTCCATTGTAATCGGTTTAGGTAAATTAATTAAATTAAGATGAACATAATGGAGAATGTTTTATTCATTAGAGTGATTTACGTTTATACTAGAGATGAGAAATATAAAAATTCACTTTAACGCCATCACATTACCACTATTTTGTTTAATTTTTGGGGAAATTATTATTATTTTTTAAATATAAAATATTCTATGCCCTTCACAATGTCCTTGAGAATATGTATCCAAAATTTCATGAAGATCCGTTGAGTAGTTTCCACGTAAAAGCAAAACAAACAAACAAATTATCACACAAACTTATTTTTAATAAGAATTTAACTCTCAGGTTGATAGAAGTAAATGGTAAAATGGTCCTAACAAAAACACGAGATGATGTAACGAGATTACTTCAAGCCGCACCTGACCCAGCAACATTAGTGGTCCTCCGTAAAGGAATCCATGGTAAAGTGCCGGTCATATCAACAAACCACGCAAATAATGAAGTTTCTGCGCTGCGTTGCGAACTGGAGGCTGTTAAAGAACGCGCCGAAGAGGCACAACGAGCCAAGGATGGCATGCGATCTGATAACATACGATTGACACATAGGATATCCTATTTAGAAGAGCAGGTATGACCATTTCTATTACTTCTTTTTCTTAATTGATGGTAACTTGTTTTTATTTTGCAGGTTTCTGAATTACTCTCTCGGAAACCAGATGCTGACATTCGGATACTAAACCAGAGCCCAATCATAACCTCAACCGTGAAAACAAATCAAAACATCACTAATATCAACATAAGTTCACAACCCACGATTGTACCGAAACAAAATGGCGATCAACACATTCCTTTGCCGTTAAGGTCAAAGAGTAGTCTATCAAATGTGTCAAACACTTTGATATCAGCTCCCAGTCCACAACCCTCTGACCATTCTTGCCACAAATCTCATCGACATTCCAAACACCGTTCTAGAAGTGGTTTGTTACTTTCGACAAGCACACATAACCTAGAACCCAAGAAACATAACCACCATCATCACCATCACCATCGAGAGAAAGATTACAGTTCTGAGACTAATTCAGCAATGGAATATCGTACACCCAGAAAATGGTCCGATCAAACCACTCCGACCAATGAATACAACTCCAGTGGTAATATTATGGACCAAAGTTATCGGAAAGCAACAAAAATCGTTCAGGACCTCACGAAAAACAACGGACATTTATATGAGAAGCATAAATCTGCTTCTAAGTGTATCGGAAGTTCAGAAAAATACAATTCAGAGATGTTGAAACATTACAACGCAAGAAAATCCACCTCAGTGATGGATTTCCGTTCGGAAATTCAACTGGGACCCAAATATGGTCCAGATTCAAGGAGTGTAGAAGAATTGGATACAATCACAGCAATGGAACCCAAGAAAGAATCAAACAACACCAGGAGATTGTATAAAAATTACAAGAAGCAAGAAGTGTTAAATCTCTAGACTTTGACAGTGATAGAAACACTGACTATGCCTCAGAACCATCGAAACCCAGACCAACTCCTCCCAAGAAACCTCTCAGATTATCTCTACACCGAGCGCAGAGTCTACAATCAGTAGAAACGCCTCCAGCGACTCCGAATGGCTCCCCACCGAATGACAATCGCAAGGCGATGAAACGAAACTACAAAGGGGAGGCCCCACATCCAGGAAGCATCAACGGATTGAATTTAACCCATCAGGGTGTGATTTTAAACACTGAGAAAGTGAATGGATACACGGTGAAAGCAGATTACAACCAGAATGGACACACGAATGGGCAGACCAATGGAGATGTCAAATGGACCAGTTTTGCGCAGACAACGCAGAATAAACGAGATATTTTGCTCGAAATGCATCGAGAACAACGAGAACAACGGGAACAGCGAGATTTGCGAGAGCATACAAGGCGCGATGTGCGCGAAAGCAATTTTCGTGACCAAAGCAAACACCACTGGTGCTAATGATGAATTATTCACGGAGTTAATTCGCAGGTAGCACTTCAGTATGCAATATGATGTTTAAATGTGCTCTTTATATAATATTTATATATGATTATAGTATAAATATCTATATATGTAATAAATATTTTACTACTACGAATGTATTATGAATATAAACACGATTTTAAATTAGTTTAAGAGTGTTTTTGTGTTTTTTATTGGGAGTGATAAATTTTTACGTGCGTTGTTTGAAAGATAAATCAAATGACAAACAAATGACAAGCATCTATCGTATGGGTAACATATTTTGACGTTAGAGGGCGCTGCGTGTACCGTTTGGTGATATTTATTTGTGAGTTGTGTTTACGCACCAAATTTAAACAATATTTTAACTAAAGAACAAATTAAACAGTTATTAAAACTATTATTTAATGTTTTCTTAATTTTATTTGCTTTAAATTTTTAATAATTTTAAATTTTTTTTAGTGAAAGCTCAAGATAAAAGCTCTGTAGTGGCAGCACTGTTTGCCAGTTAGTCGGCATACGTCGTTTATTTGCGTTTATTTGGGCAACAATAAAGATGGCCGATGCTCCTAACCTGCCAATATCGGAAAATTTGAACACAAAAAATGGAAATTTTATTTGTGGCGTAGTCGAAGGTAAAAATATTCTATGCAGCCCAGAATCCTATGCATTTACTTTACATAAAACAACAATTTTTTCCCATTAATTTCCATTCTTTGTCACGCAAACGCCTACACGTAATAAAAATTACCATTTTAGGTTTCTATGGAAGACCATGGACGACAGAACAGCGAAAGGAATTGTTCCAGAAGTAAGTAGACTAATATTATATACTGAAGCAGATAAACTGATTATTAATCTATAATCAGGATGAAAAAATGGGGTATGGACTCATATGTCTATGCCCCAAAGGATGACTACAAACACAGAGCATATTGGAGAGAATTATACACAGTAGAAGAAGCAGAACACCTCACAAGTCTAATCACAGCTGCCCGCGAACAAAATATCAAGTTTTACTACGCCCTATCACCCGGACTGGACATCACCTACAGTAATGTGAAGGAAATCTTAGCTTTAAAGAGGAAATTGGAGCAGGTCTCACAATTTGGCTGTGATGCATTCGCACTGCTTTTCGATGATATCGAACCAGAGATGTCTGAAGCTGATAAGGAGGTATTTCAATCGTTTGCTCACGCGCAAGTTTCCGTCACGAACGATATCTATCAACACCTCGGGCAGCCGAAGTTCCTACTCTGCCCCACACAATATTGCGCGACGCGCGCCGTTCCCAATGTTACAAACTCCGAGTATCTCAACACTCTGGGGTCAAAATTAGCGCAGGAGATCGAGATTATGTGGACTGGCCCGAAGGTCATCTCAAGGGTACTTACAAAGGAATCCATTCAAGAGATAACCGATGTTTTGCGCCGGCCGCCGGTGATATGGGATAATCTACACGCGAATGACTACGATCAGAAACGAGTTTTTCTTGGCCCGTACTCGGGTAGATCTCCGGATTTAATTCCGAAGTTACGCGGAGTATTAACTAATCCGAATTGTGAATATGGGGCGAATTTTGTCGCGATTCATACTCTGGCGCAATGGTCAAGATGCAATGTTGATGGACAACGTGATTTAACTTTAAGTAAGCACAAAAATACCAAAAAATTAAATTTTTACTCATTTTAACTTAATTTATAGATGATTCAGTATCAGCAGACATAAAACTCGAGACCGAGACTGAAGATGGAATGTCCGGCGAAGATGTACCACTTACTCTTTCAGCAAACATGTATCATCCGCGGCAGGCGCTTAGAAACGCAATCACCGAATGGCTGCCGGAGTTCTCCCGGCATAAAAACGCCTGGGGCCCAATTGCAAAGCCGCAGCCTGCAGTCGCGATCGCTCCCGTCCCGATAATTCCGTCGATTAACACCTGCATGAGCCTAACTACCTCCACCACCACCACGAACACGGCGACGACTAGCGTCATGGTTGCTACCACGCCGGTGGTCAACACCACGCAGCTGCAGGCGCTGGCTGAGGTTTGCAGCACTGTTAGCGTACGACTCCAAACGCAACCATTCTCACATCCACCCTCATACAAAACAATTACAGGTATCCGCCAATGAGAGTCTCATCAATCCACTTCCAGGCCCGGTGATGAATTCACTGGTATCTCCGACGAAGGTGATCTGCAACGAGGCTATTCCCAATCCGATTACTCCAGCGCCGATTCCAGTCAAGGTCATCGCGGAGAATGAGCTGCCACCGCCGAATATCACGATTCTCAACGGTAGTAGTAAGGATCTTGATGGTAAGGCAGAGAATGATAAGACGGATGTGAGCAATGAGAGCAGTTTGAGTCCATCCGAGCCGATGGATTGTAATTCCACGCCGAATATTTCACCGGCGCATAATCCGAAGAACGCTGATTCGAGTGATGATGTCGCAATGAGTGAAGTTTCACTTTCGAGCGGCACAGGTAGCGCTAGTAGTAGTCTTCCATTGAGTGACGCCATGTTGGTTGAGAATCCACCGCAGGAGATCGAAAATGAACGCAAACAAAGCGATCAATTGACAGTTGAAGATCTACAACTGCTTTGTGATTTGTTTTATTTACCTTTTGAGCATGGCGGACAGGGATTGCAGATTTTACAGGAGTTTAACTGGTTGAAATCGAACGCACAAGTTGTTATTAATGCAAATCGCGCAGCAGAAAACACTGATTGTAAAAATGCACCTGAAGCGCAGGAATGGCGCATGCGTGCTGAAAAAATGAACGAAATGACTGTTGGGATTAATAGATTGCTGCAAAGATTATCAATGTGTAACAATCGTGAACTCCTGCATGATTTACATTCGTATGCGTGGGATATACGTGGAGTCATTTCGCTGCTCAATTCTTACATAAAATGGCTTGGTATGTATTTAATTGTGATTTTATGATTATTTTGGGTCTGTGTGCTAACATTTAGTACACTTTGTGATTGTTGTACGTGCGTTGTGCTGAATGTCCGCTATTGTACTGTAATTAATTGAGATTTCTATTGATTTGTTTGTTTCCTAAAGCTGGCGGCCATTTTCCATCCTCTATGCCATCATACACGCAAGGAACTTACACATGTACGCATCACCAACGAGTGGAGTTTTTATTTCTAGTATATTTTAGTTGTTTTTGTAGATACTTTTCTTTTTTATCTTCGAGCACTAGGCGTGTGTTTTGCAGAGCATTGTTCTTTAAGTGCATTGTGTTTTTTTTCACTCTAGGGTTCTCCAAGGGCTGGAAGGAGACTTTTATGAGTGGTGATCAAGAGCCGTGGGTGTTTCGAGGGGGACTTACTGCTGATCTTCAGGTAAATTCATGTTTTTCTTACAGGATTTATAAAAATTGAAAATTTATGCAACAGAGGCTTATACCAGTGGATTCCGGAAATGATCTCTTCGTTTACAAGGCTCCCGACGTGCCATCTTGTAAAGTTTACACCGTGCGACCTTATTTAGCCTCCGATGAAGACAGCGTGTATTCCATTTGCACGCGGACGTGTAAAGATGGCTTGGAAGATTGTCATCCGTATCCGGAAAAGTACAAACATCTGCATGCGGATAGGATTGTCGGACCATACGTGGCCTTCCATCCGGAGTTTTGCATCGTCGTGCAGGATGAGTGTGAAGTTGTAGGATATGCATGCGCTGCGCTGGATTATAAAAAATTCCGCGTGAAGCAAGAACTTGCTTGGATACCGGAAATGTGCGCTAAGTATGGTAAACTGGAAGATGCGGAGAATAACAGCGAATTGTCTAAATTCGCAAAGGAAGGCATTGGGTACTTTCATAAATTTGCCGATGAACCTACGCTTAACAATATTTCACAATCCAGTTCAATGGTTTGTAGTTTATTGCCGTCGGTTTTGGATCAATCTGTGGGTAAACAACTGGTTACTTGTTTATTGGCAGCTTTACGTGCAAACGGTACATATTACCATTATATTTCTGCATGTTTTACATCAACTAAAACATTTTTGTATCAATTTAGGTTCTTTTGGTGTTCATGTCATCGTGAACGCAGCAGACAGCTACACACACTCGTTCTATGGCAAGCTGGGTTTCAGCGAGAACACTTCCCAAGTGATTCCCGGCAAGATCGTCATGGCGCGCTCATTTTAATTGAAATGTTTTGGTGATGGAAACGAATATCATGTTTAATTGATTGCTACGACTGATTATATACTTGCAGTTATTTAAGCTAAACACACATATGTATTTGGATTTGATACTTGTGTCTTCTGTGAGACCAACAAAACAAAACAAAACAGATTCTAGTTATGTTGAGATACTCTTCTACGTCTTATCTTATACCTGTGTGAAAGATGTGCAGCTCTTACTTTTTCAATTCATCGGTAGTGAATGCATGCGATTAAAGTTTAATTACATTTGAAAATGACATATTGTACTATATCAAATATATACATAACTTAAATTATGTGTGTTTGGGTTATAACATTAGCTATCAGACAAAAATTTAGTATTTATTCATTGTATGGTTATAAAAAGTGAGATTTCTGCAGCTGTGCAACCTTTTTATGCATGGCAACAACCTAAAAACAAATATTTATTATGTTTACGGTTATTTGTGATACAAAACACATGAAAAAAATACTCACTAAGTTTAATTCATGTTCAGCGTTCTTAACACGTTCCTCCGGGTTATTTTCATTGACTACATTCTCACGTGCAGTGTTTAGTTGCATAATGATATCCCTGATCATTGCTTCAACATCAGTTTTATCACATTCCGGCTGTTGTTGTTGCAATTCTTTTGATATCTCCTCAGAAGGATCTTCTCTACTCATATATGCATTATACGCAGGATTAGTGTCATACGGCGTTAAATCCTTAACTTTTGTACTTGAATTACGTTTTTGGGTTATGTTTTGTTCCTTGCGCCATTTTTGCAATGCATTCATAGCTCTAAACTCAAAAATATTAATAACCAAACAATATTTACCTTTAATATTAATAATATGCATACTTTTCTTGTTGCAGAATTTTTTCCTGGTCACTTATAAGTTCTCTAAGTTTTTCAAGCCATGCTTGTTTGACTTGTTCAGCATCCATCTTGTCTTGCGACGGTAAACGGTCCCTGATGCTCATATTTTTAAAATACGAATGTACAGATGTCTTGGAATCACTTTTAGTTACTTTATGCACCTTATCACGTCGGCATTTATCATTTAGAAACTGTTGTCGACTAGTAAGTATCCTACGAGCTAAATTCTGTTCCAGCACAGTCGGCAACACTTCTAATTTAATGGTCCCTGACTCTGTTCTGTTATTTGCATCAGCTGTGAAGACACTGCTCGAGGTGGTACTCACAGTACTCCTCATAGAAGGCCTTTCAACTTCTTTCATATCTTTCAGGAGTTCTTGTTGGAGAAAAAGCATGATATCATCAAAACCACAGTCGACAATCTCCGGTGGTGGATAAACCAATGGATTATCTGATATTTGAAGGACACGCAGCGTTGACAATCGACTTAATTCTTTTGGTAAATGTGTTATTCTATTGTTTTGCACCAAAAGATTCTCTAGACATCTATGGGAACCTACTGTAGATGGTATTGTGGTTAAAAGATTCTCTCTGAGGTCCATCCAGGTTAAATTTGGCAAAGATTCAAAGATGTGATCAGGTAAAGAGGTGATATTGTTCCTATCCAGGTACAACATCTTTAAATTATGCATGTTTAACACTGTTGCTGGCACTTCCGAGAGTGCTTCATTGGTTATATCACAAATCACTTCAATATCGTCCATTTTAAACGTAAAAAATAAAAATTTTGACTTGGTTATATTAAATCAATAAAACTGGTTGCCATAACAAACTAAAATGGTAATAAAACCCGTCAAACATGAAATTTAAATGAAAATAAACAGGTTAAAAGGTTTAAAGGTAAATAAACAACAATGGCGACGTTTTTTTTGTTCGTGTTTTATCAATAGTTTACTTTTATGTACTTCTTGTTACCTCACTTGCAGTTGCATTCGCATTCATTACATGAACATTGAAAATGCAATAACAAACTTTTTGTATTTTTGTTTTATACATGGTTTTCGTTACACAATAATTTCGTTAATTCATTTTTGGTTTCTCACGGGGCACGAATAAATTAGATGGATACACATTCATTTTGATAAACATTGATATCTGGATTGGAAACTGAACCCATCACACACATATACAAATACAGTTGTTGTCGCGGGCATGAAGTAAAGTTGAAAACATCAATGAATAACAATCTCCATTCTTGAAGGTTATGAAAAGGAATCGAATATAACATTGAGTCGTGTACAATTTCGACAGTATCATAGTTTCTAAATATATAATAACTAATTAGGCTAATGTTTCAAATGTTTGTCTCTTTTGCTACATGCTGCGTCTTTTATGTACGGACCACTCGATACAAATATTTATTGTGTTTGATATTGATAATCATGGTTATGTTGTAGGTTTTTTAGGTATATAAATATTTCCACACAAAACTTGATTTTGACGCGTCAATATTGGTGGAAAAGCGTTCGTGATCATACACATCTTTCATTAGCCCAAAGGTATCTCTATATAATATTTATATATTTATATATTTATACGTATTTATTGTTTATACATTGGGAGGAGTTAATGTTTGCGACATTGCGTTATTGTGAAGTGTTGGGAACCACCTACAAATATAACAACAGACAGCGCTTTGACTTTGAGTGTTTCTGTTGAAATTCACCGGATGTAACCGAAGATGTAACCGTCAAAAACATAACCTACAATCTCAAAAAGGTATATACATTATGTGTCAATCGTGTGTCGCCATCTATGTACCCAAATTGATGCGCTATTGAATCCATCTATCCACATCCGAAATAAATTACTAACATAAATATAAAATATACATAAATACTCAATATTTGTTCCAATTCCGATGTTTTTACCGATTAATTTTTGTTTTTTTCATTCCTACAACAATAATACAACAATTTCTTTATATTTTATTACTATATCTCCAGGATAAATTCATTTTCTCGCATTTTGCATTCGTTTCACCAAAAATTCATCACGCTTTAACAACGTGTGTGTCATTTTAATTTTTTTTTCAATTTCAGTGATGCAATGATGAATTAATGGATTGAATTAAATTTCTTTACAACAATATAGGCCTAATCGTAAATTGGATATGACGAATTGTTACATTAATCTAATCATCATCGTAAACATGTGCACAAACAATTTTCAGCATCAGCTTTAGTTCCATCTCTTCATTTTTTTTATATACAAAAACAAAAAACGATAAAAAATGGTCCGAATCCCTCTTTACATTTGCGTCTACTCGAAATGATTTTTGTTCAATGTGTGCTGCGTCTACATAAGATAATGTATAATCTATACAACGATATATAGGGCGTTTTGTTTAATAATGTTATTGACCTTCGTTATGCGATTGTGTAATGATTGAATTCATTCCTCTCTCGCCCTCCAAGTGTGTTTGTGTCCTGTGTTTGTGGCAACTAATCGCTTAATACAAAAATATTCTTTACAGTACAGTTCTTCCAATTACTTTGCATCATCCAAGTGTCAAGCGAGTGGGTATTGTAACGACGATACAACTTAAACATGTTTCTGGTAGTTGTGAAGTTAGGTTAGAAAGTAGTACTTACATGACACCGATTTTGAGGTTAGTTTCCCTCCTGTATGGCGAACTATAGTCATGTGTTGAGATACTGTACGATAAAGGGTGCGAGTGTATTCGTATTTCGTGTGATTGTTGTTCGGTTCGCCATTTTGATGTGATTTCCTGTGTTTGCAGCGTTGCTGACGCATTAACAGTTGCAGTTTGCTGCTTGTGGACCAGCAGGAGTGTCCAACAGTCGCTGACCACCTTTACCACCAGCATTCATCAATGAAGGATCTGTATCGAGGCTGTCGGACATCTTGTCGCAGATGATGTCCACGAGTCGTTCGAAGACGGACTGGAAATTGATGTTTTTTGAAAATTTGAAGTAAATTTGAGGTTATGACGTACTTTAACGTTGATATTCTCCTTTGCACTGGTCTCGAAGAACTCAACGCCGAGTTGTTCAGCTAATTGCTTGCCGCGCTCGAAGCTGATGACGCGTTCGTCCTCCATGTCGCATTTGTTGCCGACCAGGATCACCTGTGCGTTGTCCCACGAGTAGGTTTTGATTTGAGTGACCCTGAAACACGTAGGTTCGTGTTTCTTATCGCAAAAATTACACTGCGGCATAAAAGTGAACATAACGCCTCGTAAATTTAAGAGATGCTTGAATTTGACGCCGTCGTAACATTTCATCTCTTTGGGCTACTGTAATGGCCGCCGGGTGGTTTAAAAATACATTTACGAGCGATTGTGGAGGTTTTACTCACCAATCCTGCACGCTATTGAAGGATTCCTCGTTCGTGATGTCGTACATAAGGATAAAACCCATCGCGCCGCGATAGTATGCTGTTGTTATCGTCCTGTATCGTTCTTGTCCTGCAGTATCCTGTAATTTTTCATTTTGAGGTTATATTTTTGTTTGTGAACAAAATGGCGGTGTAATACGCACCCAAATTTGCAGTTTGACGCGTTTATCATGCCGGAACACCGTCTTGACTTTAAAATCAATGCCGACCGTGCTCACGAACGCCGACGTGAAGCTGTCGTCCGCGTATCTGAAGAGGAACGACGTCTTGCCCACCGAACTGTTGCCGATGATCAGCAGTTTGAACATGTAGTCGAAGTTCTGGTCGGCGGCGTCTTTCTGCCATTTTGGATCTGCTCCGCTCATCTACAAACACCAAATTCATTAAAAAAATTTAAAAAAAATCAAAAATTTCACAAAAAAAAACTTACATCAAAACCAAAATAATTCAACGGGATTTCTACGAGGGATAATAACCGAGACTGACGTTTTCTAACTCGATCAAACCGAAAGAGTTCGCCTGGCGGAAAAGAAAATAAAACATAAAATAAAACGTGCTTAAGAAAACAATGCGTGACAGTTTGCGGCGTGAAGTAGGTCAGCCGGAATTTCTCAAATTCGCAGCGCGCGAAAGTTGCGATTTGACCCGCGGGGGCGGCTCGTGGCGGGCCCCAAAATTAGGTCACGCAGTAACGTGCGTGACCTTGGCGCTATTTCTTCCGCAACGCACTCCAACATCACTTAAGTTAATTATTCCAGCGCACAAGTACCTGGTTCATCTTCAAAGGACATCCTCAACCCGAAATTTGCATCAAGTAATCACACTTTGGTTTTTTGATTGTGTATGCGACAGTTGGTCGATGATGTCTAAGTAACGACTGTTGTCGGTTTGGAAACGAAAACACACAACAACATAAATGGTGTGCAATTGTGTGTAGGCCCTGTTATCAGCGAGATTGTATCCATATTGTCGGTATGCAAAACATGCTGGTTGGCCGATAACAATGTGACCACGCACACGCTGGTGTTAACGAACGCACTTATTGGGACACTTTACTTCGTCAAACTATTTCAATCATTACAAAATCAACAAAAAAATTTTTTACAAAAAAAAATTATTTGAGCATTGATTTGATGCGCCATGATGTGATACATGGCATATCCGTTTGGAAGAGTATCGATTACACTCGACATTGTTTAATATATATTACGAAAACAAAATTGATGGATTGAACACGCCCGAAATTAGCAAATATATCCACATTTGTTTACTTTACCTCTGGATAATCAGATGAAGAATAAAAATTGATTATGATGTGATATGATGATAACAGAGGAGATGTATATCTGTATATCTGTATGCAAATTAAAATTACCTTTCTCGTGTCCGTGTGCTTTCGTCCCCTTTTTTAACTCCCAACGAATCACACACACTGAATTTGGTTGGTTTAAGGTCTTTGGTATTGCTGGGAGTCCGGTCCGAAGATGGTTTCACTTTCGTTACGTGGCTGCGAGGTGTTTTTCAGCGAATCTACGTGCGGGGTGGCGGTCGGTGGCGGTTTTGCGTTCGCGCGTGTGTCACTTTTTGGGCGAACCGCTATGGCGAGCCTTCGCGCCGGACTAGCAGGAATCGATCAGCTGTGGGTATGCTCGCAGCTGCAGTGTACGAATCTCGCCGCCGCTGCCGCCACCAGAGCACACGGATCGATATTTTCAGCCGAAATACACGAATTGTTTGGTATGATTAAAATGGCGGAGGCGCTTTCAGGTTTAAATATTTATTATAGTAATATTTGTTAATGTATTGTTTAATTGTTAGATAATTAATGTTTTATTAATAATTCTTTAATTTTTAGGTGCTTTAGTTGGTGTATGAAGTGTGGTCAAGCGCGTGACGTGAAACAGGCGACAAGATTCTAATTTCTGATCGATTGAAGGATTGTTACAGTGGTGCCGTCTATTGGTGGAAGATTGAACTTCAATAAGGGTTGAAGAGCTTGGAATCTGCTTTTTCCCTTTTATACCCTAGAAAAATTCTATAAAATTGCCATAGAAATTACTTGGATTTTAAGTTTTTTAGAAAATATACAAAGTTTTCAAAATTATAGAAAAATTGCAATTTTTAAAGGTCTTTTTAGGGTAGTTCTGGAGGGTTCAGACATAAATTAAAATAAAAGTTTAATAAAATGGGTCTTTATCTATTCAATGGCTTAACGAGGCACCTAATTGTGTAATTTTTATAGAAGTTACAGAGTGTTTTCTAAATCAACTTTTAGAAACTTACAAAACAACTTTGGTTAACGTTTAATGGTACTTTCAAAGGGTTTAAAGGGTGAAAAATAATGACACATTATAAAGAAACTCCTTACCTATTAAACGACATCAAAAAGTACCAATTTTCTTAATTTTTACAAAAGATACAGAGCGAAAATTAAAAAATCAAAAAAAAAAATAGTAAAACATATCACCAATCATCACCAATAATGTAAAATCACCAAAAAGGTTAGAAACTATTACTTCAAACCTTTATTCACTTGATTCCCATGGATACAATTACCCACAACTCACAAATAAGTCAAAATAATCACGCATGTGTCAAAAGTTGCATCTATATAGTCTGCGACATGACAAGCAACGTCAAAACAGTTAGATGCGTATACTTATTTTATTTTTAATCTGTATATTGTGTGTTGATGAAATTCTGAACGTACGCAAGAGGCGCAGCAAGAACTATGAGCCAAGTATCCATCCACTTCTTAAAAAAAAAACTACCACCGCTATTACATTAATTATGTTTAAGGAACTTTCACCAGCTGCTTTGAAGAGCTCGGATGCATCGACACGACAGAAAAATGGTTCCATGAGAAATACCGCCCTAAAAACCTAGAACCACTGGATAAGCACACGATCCGCACGGAATTTTTGTTAATGAAAAACGCCGTAAATAATTCTGTACTTGCTAGAGTTACGCGTAAGTTGTCAGAAAGTAACGGGGCATAATTTCAGAATGAATTGGTTTATGACGTCATGAATATGAAACGGGAAAGCATTGAGGTGGCAGGATTCAAGACAGGGACATGTACTATTTTTGTCATTCATGATTTTACTAGTAATGGATATACAGGGTGGATTAAAGTACATTAAAACATTTTCTTAAAAAATTAAAAAATTAAAAATTTGATTTTTAGCATTTGGTATTGGCTTTTACTAAGAAAACAGACTGTAATATTATTTCTATTGACTGGCAAGCTGGTGCAGAACCACCTTTTGAACAAGCCATCGCAAACGCACGAGTTGTTGCATTGGAAACTAAATTATTCATCACTTTACTCTCAGTAAATCAAGAAAAAACAATTTTATTCATTTTTCTAAAATTAAAGAAAATTTTACTTTCAGTGCGCTTTTAGTCAATCCACAGACAATATCCACTTAATCGGTCATGGCGTCGGCGGCCATATTGCCGGATACGTCGGGAAATACATCAAAGGCATCCAACGCATTACAGGTTTAGACCCAACTGGGCCAATGTTTGAGAAAATGCCCAAAGAAGTCCGACTTGATTTCAACGATGCGAAATACGTCGAAATTCTTCACACAGACAATTTCAACCGTAATATCTTCTCCTAATTTTAAATAAATAATAGATTAATTAAATAATGTTGTAGACAGAAGTCAAGGAGGGCGTATCTCCCATGGCCATGCAGATTTCATCATAAATAATGCAGAACATCAACCAGGGTGTAATGATTCCTCGCATATGCCTTCTTTTTTAGACCTGCATCGAGACACTTTACAAGAAGGCAAAATATTACCAGCTTGTAGTCATAAAAGGGCTTTTAAATACTATATACAAGCATTAGAAGATGATGAGTGTCAATTTATTGGGTTGAAATGTGATACGTATAAGGATTTCCAACTTGGGAAGTGTAATGACTGTTTTGGGCCGAAAGGATCTTGTGCTACTTTTGGTTTGGAGCCACCTTCGGTTACAAGTAAGAATAACACGTACTACATGATTACAAACGGGAAGAAACCATTTTGTAGTAAGTTTTATTTTAATTTTATAGTATATTATGTATCAAGTGGATAAACAGGGATTTTAGTCACGAGTGTTTAATGAATAGAGTGTTTAATAACGTTTAGTCACACGATGTTTACGCTATTTCTTCTACTTCCACTGAATTTTCACGTTTAGTTTTTGTATTTCAACTTTTTAATTAAAATTTTTGAAATTTGTTTACGTAAGTTCCTTCCCATGACTAAAGCCCGTGACTAAAGTACTTTAATCACGACATTGGCCGTCCGTGTCTAAAGTTCCACTATTTGAGTCTCAAAACTTGCGTTTTAAAAGTGAATGAAGAAAAATATTTATATTATTCATAAATAAAACTTTAAAATTTTAATTTCAGTGGTTAGTTATTCCGTAAATGTTACAATCGCCACTGGTAAATCAAAAAAAGAATCCGAAGGGTTTTTCGAGATGATCCTGGTTGACTTTGATGATAAAGTTACGAATGCCACCAGTAACGTACACGGGTTTGTTAGTTTTAAAAACAAAAACAATTTTTATATTTTAATCATTGTAGAACCACTGTTAGAAAATTTGAAACTGGTCACACATATAAATTCGTCTTTTACGCGTTACCACCCCGAATGGGACGAATAAAAGAAGCCAAAGTCAAATGGAATTATAAATCGAAAAAGATCTGCATAATGTGTGATAAATCCGTTGTGGTTCATGACATAGGCATACGTCGCTTAACCTTAAAACCTGACTCACAGTAAGTATACTTACTTAACAGAACAATAAAAAATATTCATTTCTAGATTTCTGTAATTTCCAGAGCAATCATGTCTTGGATATGTCCGCTCAAACGCGAAACCGAAATGAAAAGTGGTGATTACATCGAATTTGTCAATTGTGAAGACCTCTACGGCCCTAAATATCCTCAGGATCATCTACAGCCTATAAAATCAAATAAAACAGGACATGCTGAAGCAAATCCCAATGTGCTAGCTGCTTGCGGTGGTAACATTAACAGTACTAATCAACTTGAAAAAAAGATGTCGCTACTTACAACTACTCCGATTGTTCCTGAAACACTGGTTGCATCAGGCGCACCTCCAGCCAGATCCATATTTGAAGATGATAATGAAGTGTTTACTGGAAAGAGGAGAGCGAATAAATATTTTCAAGGTAATGGATGGTCAGGGACTGATCCAGTGCGGAAGAGAATTATATCGAGAGTGGCGAAACCAGGGCCTGATCTGCCAGTGATTATTAAGGATTTTAAGGACTGCTTTGATGAGAACAGTAAAGAAAGGACCACTACGACTCCAGCGACGAGTAATAGTAATAATGAAATATGTGAGAATATGGCGGCGGACAAGAAAAGCAGAAAAAATGTGTTTGATAATACCTAAAGTATGATAACATATACATATTTATAATATAAGTTTATACAAAAAAATTAATTTGTCTTTTTGGGAGTAAAATAGTATATTATGTATCAAGTGCGCTAAGTGGCACTTTAACCACGTTTAGTCATTTGATGCTTACGTAATATTTTCTGCTTTCGCTTATTTTATTAGTTTTTTATTTGAACTTTTTATTTTAAAACTTTAAATTTGCCGTGGCGTGACTAAAGTTCGTGACTAAAGTACTTTAATCACGGTTTGGCCATTCATGATTAAATTACCACTTTTTATGTCTCAAAACCATGAAAAAAGTAAAAGAAAAATTTAAAAAATCAAACACATAAATTTTCTAGTTAGATTTATATTTGTCAACAATAATTAAAGTATTGTTAGTCCGTTTTATATAATTACAAAATGAGATTACAATATTTTTATTTATTTTCATATCAAGTTGTTGAACAATGCGAAATCAAATCATTTTATTGCTGCCTTTGAACGCCACAAACAAAAACGAAACCAAGACACATCATTTATCTTAATCTTCAGTAAATTGAACATTTAATGGTAATTAAAAATTATCTCTGCACTTCATGGTACGTATTTACAGTATGTACAAGTTTCAAACGTGTGTGACACAAAAAATGCATGAATTACACGAATAATAACAATTTTTAAGATTTTATTGAAACACATAGACTTTAAAAACGTTTTTTTTTTCTTCAAATACACTTGTGTTTTGTATGTGCTTAGATTAATAATGAAAAACTCATAGTATTCAAAGTCCTGAAAGTGTTAAATATTGCTTTGCTTACAGTTGTATTCCTAATCAATCTGCATTCGACTTAACATCCGGAAATACATACATATAAACATGTGTAAGTATCGGATCGAGTAATGAAAAAGTTCAGATATCTTTGTTCCCTTAAAATGTACTTCATTCATTTGCGTCTGCCGGCCACCGTTTTCATGTAAAAGCTGTCAATATAATATATAAAGTCAATAAACTATTCAGCTTCAATATAATCAACAAACCGTAGAATGTGCAATGTCCAACGAGCCGCCATCTTGGAATATATCATCTGATTCGTTCAAATTTTCAACTCAAACAGCTTAAAATACAATTTTCAGTCGTGTGTCACAAATGGTAATGAATCTGACGGAATCTTGTATTCGATAAAATCAATTCTCATCAATTGACACATGTTTCGGTTGAATTCAACTCAACGAACTTTTTAAATTTTTTTTGTTTTGTTTGCATCTCAATTGGTGTTTGTTTCATTTCCATACAACTTACTCAATATTGTGTTCATCTGCATTACTAATATGTATATAATATCTTAATACAATTCAATATTTTATATATTTGGCACCATAATTTTCTCATAACGCGTACGTGTACTAAACGAAAATGTTTGCATCGATGTTTCGTACACAACTAATAACTCAATTCCTCTGATTATTATAAACGTCATCTACGTCATTACAGTTGTCTGAATGTTTCTTGTGTTTATAGAGTCAACATTTATCATTTTTTTTCGCTAAAGGTGGCGCATTAGTGAAAGTTTAGTTTTTGTTGCTTTTTTATTTTTAAATAGATATTACGCTATCATTTTATTTTTCTTCATTTCCTATTCAGCGCTATTCAGATACCTCTATCATAGTAATTGTAATAATTATACATTATATAATATATATATATTTATATACGATCTGGCATAAGACTTCAATATCACCACTCTAGTTGTTTTTTTTTTGTTTACTTTTAAAACGCTTTTATCTTTAGTAATTTGAATTAAAATCGTGAATGTTTTGTGTTAATTAGAGACACTTTAGTTCTTATCCTAGAATTCATCATCGTTAATTATTATCTATAAGATAGATAAGTGAATAATCATAATTGGCAGTTGATATTACTTAACGTTTTTTTCTTAAAATTTTTTCTTCTTTTGTTTTGTTTTGATTATGCTAAAATAAACGTGTTTATTTCTATCGTCGTTATCATCATCATCTTTATGTTTCAGAAAGAAGGCGTTGCTTGGTGCAAATTACCTAAAACGAGCTCGAATCATATGCATCTTATTTTTCTCCGGAGAAATATTCACGTCCTCTCTTTATAAGAGGAGGTTGTGGATTATTCTCAAGGCGGTTTCTCCGCCACCTCATCCTTATCCCTAATGGCTTTCAGAAGATGGCTGCGTAGTTCCGACTCGGAGCTCCGCCACAGCAACACCAGTTCATCCTTGGAGAGTCGTTCCAGCGGCGATCGCCCGTTGGAGTTCCGCGGTGAGCAATTCGGTGGTGGAGGCGCCGGTGGTAGTGGTAAATCCTCCGACGTCACATCCGCATCCAATGACTTTGACTGATCGCCGAGTTTCGTACGATGCGCTGGTTCTGGATCCTGACCCAGACTCTGATGTCTTTTATTTTTCCTCCCTGCAGGCCCACGACGTCTGCTTGATGATACTGAAGTTGTTGCTGTGGTTGTTGTACTTGTATCTTCTACTTGTATGCGAATATGTGGATTTTGTTTGAATTCTTTACGCCGGTTCTCGGCCATACGACTTTGTAGCTCTAAGTGAAGCTGTTTGTTTCTACGCGTGGCTTCATCATCGGAGCTCTTGGGATCTGACAATGGACTAGTGAGACTTGTAGTCTCATGATTATTACTGCCACCTATTGGTGGGGGGCTGAGGAGATTACTACAACTGTGCGATTGGCTATTATCGCTCAATGAAGACCTTTCCTTTTCTTTTTCTTTTTCTTTATCTTTATCCTTAACTAAAGTCTCATCACTCCTCCCCAAATCTCTCCCACATTGTGGAACCAGACGGTCCTTATCAATAGAATCTCTATACTTTGGAAGCGTAGCCAATTTGCGTCCGATGCTCTCAGCATCCGAGAGTTTTCTTTCATGTGTGAGTTCATTGACGTTTTCAATACTCAACACAGGCGACTTGAATTTCCCAGCACCCGCAGCTCCGGGGACTATCTCCAGATAACTGGATCTCCTGCTGTTGATATCCGGTGGGCTGGAGTTGAGGAAATACGAAGCATCCTTACTCAATCTACGTCCCACAGCATTCCGATTGATGGTATGGTTGCTGTTGAATACACTATCCGTACTAAAACGTCTTGAGGAAGCCAGACTGCTGGAGCTTGCCGCACGGGACTTGGAACGTGGGCTGAAGATCAACGGTTTGTTGAGGTACGTCGGCGACCGGTTGTTGGTCGTCGGTTTGTGCGTGGCAGTGTTGTCGAATTTCGGACTTGTGCGCTTGAATGTTCGCTGTATGATGTTGGGACTAAGCATACCCTTTTTCTCAGGACCCTCAGGGGAGTTTTCTGGTGATAGGTCACCTTCAGCAACTTCGGCGACACTCTCCAGAGGTTGCTCCCGTTCCTCCTGCTGTTGCCTGCGAAGTGTACTTGATATTTTCACAGTAATTATCAGTTACTACCTGGTGACAGACTTCCGGGGGACTCACCTGCGTATCTCCTGGATCATCTCGAAGAACTGGGCCTTACTCTTGCGTCGCCGACGTTGTTCGTGTTCCTTCTGAAACAATTCCTTCATCAAGGGGAAGTTTGATTCATTTAATAAACTATTTGATTTGATTAGGTATCATGATGATGATTTGCTGATGGGAACACTACTAACCCGCTTGATACTCTTTTGGAAGAGACTCGTGATTTGACCTTGACGAATTGTATGCACCAGTTCACGGGCTGCATGATGTGGGGATACTAATTCAACGCAGTTGATAAATCGATATAATTTCTGAAACAATTTTTGGTTAATTAAAGTTGATATTAAATTGTGGTATTTTGAGGTTATACCTGGCTGAAAAACATAATGTTCCTACTCCGCCACACGGATCCCTTGGGTTTCTCACGCAGATGCGGCAGCGAGTATCGAAAAAACAAATGCTCGACGAGCAGGATCAGCAGGCCCATAATCATCCCAACGCCAAGTAGAATAAAAACGCCCGTTACCGCAGCGACGCCGAGCGGACGCGGTTGGGCGACTTCCGTTTCCAGCTTGAAGCACGGCAGCCCACCGTACCACTTCTCCTGCAGGATGTCCATATAGCCGTTGCTGGAATATTTCGCTATCACGGCGGATATGCTATCCTGGGAAATCGTCATAAATGTGTTGCAAGTGAGCAATATAATACAACGTACGAGATTCGGTCTTAAAGTGAACCACAGGTGATAAACGACCCCGGGAGGTTTTTTATGACGGAGAAGTTATTACCTTGAGCGGAAATCCTTTCGTCATCCCGATGGCATAAGTGTCCTCGTTAATCGTGTCGCCAATCTTTTGCAGTTTACAGCCGTGGTCCGTTGCGCGGTAATAGTCTAGGATCGGCGTGTCGGCGATGAGGATGTCCAGTGACCCATTACGCAATCGTTCGATACCATCTTCAACATTCTCCAGCGTGAATTTATGCATGTGTTCCCATAACAGACGATTTGCTTTCTGGACGTAGAATTCGGAAGCTGAGGATTTCGGTGTTCCGACTTTTTGACTCAGTAACTATAACATAACCAAATTTTAACCTCAAAAAAATATTTAAGGTTATAAAATGTAAACTTACACTTCTATCGTGATAATTACTGACGGTGTTATGAAAGAACAACCCAGCGATCAACGCAGCTATGTTAGCAGTATAGCTAGCTACAAAGATGACCGAAAACCCTCCCCAGACATTAATTAGAAATTTATTGGGCCAACTTTTTGGGGCTTTGAAAGCAACGAGATGTCCACATAACAAACCCCACATAACCCACAACGCTGAACTCATCGAGAAATTTTTGGACCTCTGACGGCCCCATGGATTCAACCCAAACGGGGACAACCATTCATAAATAGCCACAGCAATGGCGGTGATATTCAAACTGGTAAAGATGGCGATCCACAACTCTGGAGAAAATGGCAGGAGGAAAGCCATCAGTGGAATCTCCGATTTCTGCTGGGGGGCGGCAATAAAAGACACTCCACTAAAAAAATACGGCACGCTGTAGTCGATCACCGCACTCCTCGCGCTGGAGACACTCAACGAAGCAAAAGACATATGCGCCGTCCCGGAAACAAGGTCACCCACAATCCCATTCCATCGCACATCAGTATCATCATCATCAAACTCATCTTGATAGGATCTACCTGATTCATCTTTACCGAAACGATAACTAAGGAATTTTTTACCAACTTCACGTTTTTCCGGGTTTTCCGAATCATGGTTTTGCTTCCAAACAAACCATCAGCAACGATGTACAACCGGAAATCAAATTCCAACTCCTGCGCGATGTTCTCCAACAGATCCATTGCTAAACCATAGCAACACCTTGTGCGATACTTGAACTTCTCAAAGGGTGACGTATCACCCCTGATCCTGGACTGGGTTTCATCTCCTCGTCATCATAATCCGCCCCGTTTTCTTCTTCCTCCTCCAACCGGTGCTTGTATTCCATCTCGTTGAACACTAGGGTTAAGTTATCTTTGTCCGCTGTGAGCACGCGATGACAAGGAAGGCCTGAAATTTCATACCAGTGTGATATGTGTGCGGTGGGGTGGCACATTCGTTACCTCTAAGACACTGTCCGTCTTCGTCCAGCTCGGACTCCATCACGAACGGAGGCGCGAGAGCAGTCACCACGCGGAACACAGTACGCGCTCGTGTCGACAACGCCGCCACTGACAAATCGCCTCCCGGCCACACGATCGTGTCCAGGCGCACTGCTCGCCCCGAGACGATGCCGACCCGCTTCCATCGTAAATTATCACCCTCTGGAACGCGCCCAATTAAAAATTCAACGAATGGAATGAAAATTACGCACATTATTCTTCATTTTAACAAAAAAATTTTTTTTTCAATTTTTTATTAGCTTACCGTAATCCTGTGAGTTTCCCGATGAATTATTACTATTGTAAGAACTAGTATTATTATTAGCATTAGCATTAATAGGGTTAGCAATATCGTTGTCCTTCGATGTGTGATCAGGAACTAAATTCAGAATCTCGAAGTTTGCTACTAATGATTTGTCCAGTTTGTCAACGCCAATGTCTTGTATTAGTTTTTTCCCGGCCAGCGCGTCCGTGCAGACCGTCTTCAACTCTCTACAACAACAATAAACAAACATGTATATTAATGTGCGGAATGTTTGTGCCAGATTGTTGAATTAGGTATCGTATCACTAGGAATATCTGCACGAGACACTTTGGAATGTGTTCTTGTACTCCAAGTCAAGAAAATCGATTTCCAGCCGAAAACTTGCACGCAACGCACATCTCTATCGACGAGGAACAAATCAGATCGCATTACATCACATTATATTAGCTGTCGCATAGTCTCACGTATAAGAAGTGATTTATTAATATAAAACTTATCTCTATTGATTGGTGATGGACAGTTTTCCTTCATTAGCAATATATAAAAGTGAACGTTTTTCTTATTTTTTTATTGAACTCATGAAAAATAGTTATCTTTTTGTTCGGCCGAAGATATCTGATCCTTTTTTGTCTGCTGGTGTGTGGAATAAAGTTTTTTAGACTTTGTATCGTACGGTTAACCTAGATTTCCTTTCTGTATCGGGGAAAAAACTGTTTTTTTCTAAAGGTGTTTTTTAGTCGTTTGGAAGCATGGAAAAAATACATTTTCCGGATGATATAACACGACCTCGAAAATATAAACGATATAAACTATATCTAATATAATTCCCAGGATAATTTCCTGATTTATGCAGTGTTTTATTGCTCCCTGTGTTGTGATTTGCGAAATGGAAACTGAGGTAATTTTCTTGGAAACCGGAAACACCTTTTGTGTTACCCAGATTACAAGATTAATTTACGACATTTAAACATTTATTATTCTTTTTTCCAACCCGTGACTAAAATTCGTGAATAAAATACTTTAGTCACGGTCGTTTATAAAGTTGAAAAAAAGTTTTTACACTTTGTATTTATTGATTAATTGGTGATAGATATTTTTCTTCTTCCTAACCCGTGACTAAAACCCGTGAATAATAAACTTTAGTCACGACCGTGTTTAAAGTAGAAAAAAGTGTTTACACTTTGTATTTATTGTTTAATTGGTGATAGATATTTTTCTTCCTCCTAACCCGTGACTAAAACGAGTGAATAATATACTTTAGTCACGGTCGTGTTTAAAGTAGAAAAAAAAGTGTTTATATTTGTATTTATTGGTTAATTGGTGATAGATATTTTTCTTTTTCCCAACCCGTGACTAAAACCCGTGAATAAAATACTTTAGTTACGGTCGTGTATAAAGTAGAAAACATTTTTTTATACTTTGTATTTATTGGTTAATTGGTGATAGATATTTTTTTTCTTCCTAACCCGTGACTAAAACCAGTGAATAATATACTTTAGTCACGGTCGTGTATAAAGTAGAAAAAAAGTGTTCACACTTTGTATTTATTGTTTAGTTGGTGATAGATATTTTTCTTCTTCCTAACCCGTGACTAAAACCCGTGAATAATAAACTTTAGTCACGGTCGTGTTTAAAATAGGAAAAAAAGCGTTTATACTTTGTATTTATTGATTAATTGGTGATAGATATTTTTCTTCTTCCTAACCCGTGACTAAAACCCGTGAATAATAAACTTTAGTCACGACCGTGTTTAAAGTAGAAAAAAGTGTTTACACTTTGTATTTATTGGTTAATTGGTGATAGATATGTTTCTTCTTCCTAACCCGTGACTAAAACCAGTGAATAAAATATTTTAGCCACGGCCGTGTTTAAAGTAGAAAAAAATTGTTTACACTTTGTATTTATTGGTTAATTGGTGATAGTTTACTGCATACTGTTACTACTAGTATGTTTAGTGTTTCGGGGACTTTACAGAAGGGCTTTGTGAAGGTCGTGCGCGTTTACGCAGTTGTAAATCACGCTCAGCAACTAATCCGCCTTCGTTTTCCGAACGCCTGCCTGCTCGACGTATGCCTATTTGTTGGGATAAACGTCCTGAGCGCCCCTGGGCGGTGTTGAACATTTTAGGGCTTCAAGGTTTTCCGAACTCTGCTGTGTGTATAATAAATTGAGAGAAAATAAAATTCGTGCATTTTTAAAATTTTTAATATTTGTTTTATGCTTGGCGCTTTGTGGTTTGCGGTTTGTGGTTTGTGATTCATTAGAACCAACAATGTGAAAGCTTTTTATTCCGGCACAGTCAGACATTAATATTGTAAGCACGTCACGGCGCGCCGCGGCATTCAATGTCTGCTCGTGACCGACGAAATTGCGCACAAATTGCACGTACATGTATGCAGAATCCCTCCTTGCTTCCATCGAAGTGTCCTATATTTTACGATTTTACATAAATTTCAACTTTGCAATGACGGATTACAAAAAATCACGAAAAACTTTGTTCAGTGTTTAAAAAGTAATAAAAATGATATTAAATTACTATCAACGTTTAATTAAATTTTTAGTATAACCTAGACCTAGATTTTCTGATGTGATACTTAAAAACTTTGAAAAGTCTTCGAATTTGTTTCCGGCTTGAGGTGAAAATGAATGCCAAATGCTTGATACTTAAGCAGCGGGTAATCCGGTGACATTCTATCGACCTTGGAAGAAAAGCGATAAAACCACACCGCATGCGCTTGGTTTTGTGTCATTAGTTTCCGTCTCATCTTGCTCTTACGCCAGCCAATGTCAAAAACGTAAAACTTGAGAGTGAGAAGTGAAAAAGTCGAAAGATTCAAAAACCGGCGCCGAGTGAAGGGTGGAAACTGAAACGTTGAAATCAAATACGAACTGACAAAAAGTGCAGAAGTGCCGGCTCAGATCCTAATCCTAGATGAAGGTATGTGTTGCTGGAAGGCGTGTGGGAATTTATTTGTGTGTTAGTGTGCGGATAGCCGCCGTCATATTCGGACGATCCGTGGGATTATCGATAAGTCTCCGGTGATTTCGAGTCACGAGTCACCTCTCAAGAAGCTATTCTGACATTTATGACGGTTAGGTGAAAATAAAAAAAATTAAACCACAATTTTTTTTCAGAAATTTTTTAACACCCTGTATGTTATTTTTTTTTAATTAAAAAGTATTCTATGTCCTTTGTACTATTCTTAAGAATATTTGTGCAAAATTTCATGATGATTGTTTGAGTAGTTTTTGTGTTAAAAGGAAACAAACACACAAAAACACAAAAAATAACTTTTGCATTAAAAATATTAATAAAGATGAGTTCTAAGGTCTATTACTTGATACAATAGATGCACTCATGCGGTCAGAGGCCTTTTAAGCACGCTGGCAGTTGAAGTTGAGGTGCTGCTGGAAGTTTATCGCTTGAATTTGCATTTTTTTACATCGCACGTTTGCCAAATGACTAATTTATCTCGAGGTGAAGAAGTTTCAAGATATTCAAGATGATGAAGATATAATTGTGATTTTTAATGAGTTATTTCCATTTTTATTTGTAAAACATTCCTGTGACTAATATAACAAAATTTAAAAAATAAAAGAAGCCATAAATACTCAGCAAGAAATAAAAGTAAACAACGCAAAGAGGTTTAGACGAAGCGCGCAATAAAATATCGCGCGACGCTTTCCCGTCGAGTGTATTATTTATTTTCATCTGCGCTTGTAATGATATCGTAAATTCGAGGAGCCGGGCGCGAGCGAAAAACTCACGACTGAAATTGAAAAATTTTCGTGTATTTGTGGCCGAGTAGCAAAAACAACTCGGCAGGCAATCGTCAATAGCACAGGCGATAAAGGTAGGATATTTATTTGATGGCGAATAATATTTATGTGCATATTTCCATTAAATTTATCAAACACAACAGCTCCAAGCACAGCACACAGCAAATATGATGAAAATTGTTTAATTTCCGAATGACATGAATAACAATATTGATTCGGTGAGTAAAATATTATGTACAGATTATGACTAATAGACCTGTATATTATTTAATGGTAATTTATTTTTAGGCTATAAAATAAACGTGTTTAGTTTTGGTGTAAATCCGCTGGAGGTGAGTGTAACGTGTTATAAATTATCATTACGCGTTTCGGAAAGCTTTACAGGCAGGAAGGTTGTTATCTACACACGGGGGAGATCGCAACATGCAAGCGGCTGGAGATTTCGGCCAAAAATGCGCATGAGCACGCCTCGATTTATTGCAATCGGTTCTGCATTATTCACCAATTCTATTCGGGCTGAGTGCCCGGGGGATATGCGAGTGGCGTTTTATATTTTCCTGTGTAGAATATGCACTTTCGTCAAAACAATCTCGAGACACGTTTAAATTTAGACTCCAAGGATATTAAAATAAATAAATTATCATATTCACTAGAAGAAACAAATATTACATTAGAACGCCACCTAGGGCTGAATTATATAACTAAAATCATTATAAAATCTGCATAAGAACTTTAAAGTCTTATTTTACATCTTTTAAGACAAAATTTTAGGATAAAAAGTAGCCTATGTCCTTTTTCATGTTCTAAAGTATCTTCCTACTAAATTTTATTAAAATTGGTCAAAAGGGTTTTGAGTTATTTAGTAACAAACATCATTCATCAGAAATTCATCATTTAAAACATTAATAGAATTAATATTTGCATAGTACTCATCTCTAAACGCTTGTAATTCATAAGTGGACGTAATAAAATTTATTTTTTTGACGTAAATTTAATTGTCCGATGGTTTTGAAAGGCATAATGACTTGTGCCGGACAAACTCACCCAGCGCACAAATGAACGGCCGGATAAAGCAGACCGACTCGTTTGAAGTTGAATTATTTATCGGTGAACGAGCGATTTCAAAGCGGCGAAATTATAGAAACGCCCAAATAAATTTTGCATAAATTCCACTGTCGAAATTCTGTTATACCTCCACCACTGCCCAATTTTTATTGATTTCCACGTCAATTTAAAATAATCACAATTTCATTACTTTTACTTTAATCAGAAATCAAGTGCATTAAATCAAAAATTTCTTCGATGAAGATAAAGTAAAAGAAGAGAATATTTAGTGCTCGGCTGTCATTGTGAATGTGAATGAGTAATCATGAAATAATGAGAGCTTTAGACTAGCTGCAATCTGTGCTGTGTTTCGAACGGAAGACGGATGACATCCGCGCAGCAAAGCTTGCATAAAGGGCAAGGGCGACAGTGCGACGCCGTTCGTAATTAATCCAAACTTTGCGCCAGTGATTTAGCTCCACCGGCGCATCCACCATTCCTTCAAAGTTAAACTCGCTCTCTTCGTGTCGCGCTTGGCTTTTTTCGCCGTTTAAATATGCCGTCATACTCATAAATTCGGCGTCGGGAGTTTTTTGTATCGCTGTGCGAAAAGTTTTGTTTGACTTTTAATTTTGTTTGCTGCTTTTTGCTGCAATTACCAGCGCGGCGCCTCCACCATTAATTGGCGTGAAATATTTCAGTGTTTTTATTTTAAACAACTGTTTCCTAGTAAAACTCTTTACATTTATATGCAGATTAAGTTAAATTTATTACTGGATAAGAGTTACTTATTCAGAATTTTTGTTTGACATAAAAATCTGTGAAAAATACATTTTTGAAGTTTTTACCTTCCAAACATGGTTGTAAAAGTCCTCTCCTTGGTTCCCTGCGGTCTCCAGCAGCTGGTGAACATTTTATCATACGCGAGGCTCTCCACCAGCCAATTTGGCTCACGTTCCAGGACAACCCGTAACGCCGAAACCACAAGTCGCACGGTGCCCTTCACAAGATGTCGATCAATTTTTACCGGCACCGGTCGAATACTCAACAACCCGACCGGCAGCTGTGCGGAACGCTTGCTTCTTGATTTTACATCACCACTATTACCCCCACCACTACCACTGTAGATGGATTTGTCGTCGTCGGGGCGCTTCCGCGATTTTTTAGAACTTTCAACGCCATTTACACGATGATTGAACAAAAGGAACTGATCGTTTTTTAATAAATAATTCACACTCATATCACTCAGCTCGCTGCGCAACAGATAATCACGCGGCGGCTCGTTAGCGGAACGTTTCAATCGCGCGTTGGTCGTCTGACGAAAAAACTGCACTCGCTGCTGTTGTGTGTCCGGCTCGTCGGGCGTTTCGGTGAGGTTTTTCAACGAGCGCGTATATGTGTCAATCCAAATCCAGACGAAATGACCGTCGAGCATGTTTAATCGTTTGGCATCCTCCAGGATGCGGATGGCTGTCGGGCGGTTTGTCATCAGGACGACTACACCACGTGTCGAACGGGAGATATCTGCCAATTTCCTGAAAATAAAAATTTTAATTTTTAAAAATTTGATAAATTATTATGATAATCATTAATTTTCTTAAAGAGAAAAGTATCTTTAGAGTGAAGATTTTTGTTTCCTAAGCGTTGGTAAGTTTGTTTTCCTTTAACCTTGGAACACTTAATTCCCGAAACTGAAGACGACGTCGTGAGCCGTCATACATCACTGTCGGCCTTCGTCTTTCAGCGTACGCTTCGTTAATGGCGAAAAACCTCGAGGAAGCAATAAGAAAACAAAACGCCGCGGTCCACTTAGACCTCTTAGTCGTCATTGAGGTTTTGAGAAGACGTTTTTATAGCAACGACGAATTAGTGACATCTTCTTTGGGTGGCAGCGCCGCATCTTGACTACGTTGCCCGGCGCCTCCACGTAATGCTCTTGGCAGGTGATTGTAAAGTGTATTATGTCTGTGTGTGTGTGTGCGGTGAAAATTCTGCTGACGTGTACTAATTTTATTTGTTCGCTAGTTCCGCATCGCTCACGCTGTGTGCATTTACCTTATTCTACCTTATTCTCCGACAATATATCACGCGGCGTTCAGAATTCATATTTTCGTATATTTACTTCAAAATGCTGTAAATTCAAAATAAATACTAAAAATTTATTTTAAATGTTTATATTAAAGGTATTTGAACATGCTTTTAATAAAGACAAAATAATAATCATCCCTTGCAAGATAAACATACCGACACGCACCATAATGAAAACTCGCAAGCAAATTAAATAAACCAAGCGGAAGCGTGCGCGCGCCCGCACGCCCGCCACATATGAAATTTAATTACCTGAATATCTGTTGAGCCCTCAAAGGAGTCGGCAGCTGCACAAGGGTGGGGTGGAGGGGCGCGGCGGCCAGCGGATGCCAGAGCTCGGGGCGCTGGAGGGCGCTCACCGCCGCCTGGTCGGCGAGCAGCGTGAACGTGTGCCAGTGCGCCTGCAGCAGGACACCGCGCAGCGCCTGCACCACCTCTCTGCTTGTCGGCGCGAGGTGCATCTCCAGGGCTGAGGATTCCTGAAATTGTTTTCCACACATTAACGCATACTCAAAGTTTTTCAAAAGGTTAATGGACTTGGAAGGAAACTCAAGACACCAAATTTAAATTTTTAATAAAAATAATAATAAATTTAGATTCTGGAATAGTTTATAGACATTTCAGTTAAAGAATTTTTAATTTATCTCAAATAGTTTTTGAGTTATTTGATTTTAAAGTTTTACTTGCTCCGCCCCGTTACCACAACCTGCATATACATACTAGTGATGTTTAATACCTCGTAATTTTTAATTCTAACCTTAAATATTGTATTTTTTATGCTTGGGTTTTTAATGGTTGTAGAACAGAATATTTGTGTTACTGGTTTATTGCAAATGCCACGCTGAATGGGAATGAATAATAAGTACAACAATGGCGGTCGTAAAAGTAAGAGTCGAGAAGCAACGACAAAATGCTATTTCTGGCGGATGTGTTTTTTATGTAGGTCAGTCTCAGCGATGGCCTGTTCGGAACAAAAGGTCGACAGTCGGCACTAACTCGGACACCAGACCGCGGGGGCGGCCGAAGGGTGAAGCGGAATATCCAAGAGGGAGAAGTGCCAATGTGCCAATGTGCCAACCTCTGCCCTTCGGCACAACACAGAACTCGAAATGGTGTCGGAAGAAAAACAACGTCGAAATTCCCATTCCTCTCTCCCAGGACCAAAAAGTAAATGTTTTATATTGTTTCGCTACATGCTTTCCACATTTGCATCTCCAACCCAAAAAAATTTGAAATTTTGATTAAAAAATAAAAAATAAAATTAATTTGTGTTTTTAAACCGGTAAAAACTAATTTTTTGTATAAATAAATTAGAAATGTGTTTCTGCACTTAAGTGACTCAAAGTTTTTGCATTTTTTTGCGTTAAGCTGAAAATAAGCTTTTCTTGATTCCTAGGACTAAGACTTTGGCGTCGTCGCTGCTGTCCCTTAAGTTATTAAAATTTAATTCGATGAAGTTTTTGTCCTCGCAAACTATCGCCGCTTTTTGCATTTTCTCTTCCTGTTCGTCTTCATTTAATATTCCGATCCGGTTAAAACAAGACGCACTTAACTTTCCAGGTAACTGTCGACGACAGCTCCAATTAAAACCCCCAGTAAAACACAACCAAACTAAATCCTCTTGATAATTTATTGATTGTGATAAATTTACGGTGGAAGAAAAATATATTCTGCATCTCATTGCATTTGGCGCTTATTACCGCGGTTGGTGAAGGCGCCGGGCGAGGCAGGGTTCGACCGCAAACGGAGCGGTCATTTGAAATTCAAGGCAACATAACGCTTTAGCACAATCGCGTTAGACGAGTGCGAATACGCAAAATGTAGCGCGTCATCGATTTTCCCGCTTTTCCAGCGCGCCATGGTGAAGGCGCCTGGCATTGCAAATGCAAACAAAATCAACCTGAAGTAAAAACGTACAAATAATATTTTAGAAAAGGAATTATAATTGAACTTGACTTGATTGTGAGTGTAGTTTACGATTACGACATGGATACGAATCGGTTTGCCTTTGAGATTCCTCCAAGGATGAGTTTTTCGCTATTTGCGCGGCGGGCTGTTTGTGATTTCGTGATTTTATAGTGGCAACTCTTCGTCGTTTTGTTCCCGCTTGTTATCTTGCGCGTTTTATGTGTCTTGCACGAGGATCGCCGCTCGGATAACGTTTTTATCGCAAAAGTACACTTTTGGAATTACAGCCGCACCAGAGCGCGCACAAAGAAACATGTTTGTTGTAACATTTTGTTCAATTCGATTTATTACATCAAAAAATTAATTTAATAGAAAAATAAATATTTTGTGTTTTAAAATTGATGATAAATTGATTTCTAATAGATATCAATCATTTAAAACTTGTAAAACTCGTGAATACTTAAAAATGTAATCAAAAAGTGTGGAAATATTGTCTGAACCGCACAATAAAGATAAACTTGATAAAGAATTTCCAATATCCATTGAAGAAGCCTCCGTTGAGACACAAAAGCAGCGAGACAAGAAAAAATCCCCAACGAGATGACTTTCGTGGCTTCCCGCGACTTGAAAAACGGGTTTTTAACCAGCAACTAAGAAAACCCGAAGTGAGGAGCAAGCAAGAGAAGAAGAAGTTTAAGTGGCACGCGAAAATAATGAATATTCATCTCGTCTAATCCCAATAGGCCGATACTTTCGGTTCACATAATGCTTTGGCTAAACAAAAGCAATTCACTGTTCGGCAACTTTCTTGCTGCTTGCGGTGAAATGTGCGTCACATTGACTTGGTCACTTTGTCTTCGCCTTTGGCGGAGCAGCGATTATAAATACGGGTGCGTCGCATCTGGCATTTGTCCTTAATACGGGTGATCTCATCCATTGCGCGCCGCAATCGATGATAGAATGACGGAATGAATGAACGCTTGACTGTAATCCTTTTCCTTCGTTTCCATCACGTCTCACCATCGTACTTCAATTACTTATGCCTTGTCTGGATGTTCTTTTCTTGGCACATGGAATGGATTTGGGATTTGCCAATCAGGCGGTCGTAAATTTTCCAAAATAGCGTGAGGAATTTTAGTTTTTTGGAAAAAAATTGTTTTCAGTGGAAAAAATGATTTTTACTCGAATAATTTAATTTTTACTGTTCTAGGGATGTAAAATAAATTGTTTTTTCTGCTCTAGGGCTGTAAAATTATTTTTTTGTTTGATTTTGAATTTTTCAGGCAAAAAATCAAAAAATTACCAAAATTTCGGAAATAATTTAACTTAATTCACAAAATCTTAACTTTTAAGCACAAAAAAGTGAGTTTCGTGTGTTTTACACACAATAATTATTCACCCACTATATTTTTGTGAATTTTTTTCTTCCCTAGGGCTGTAAAATTTATTTTTTTCTTTGATTTCAAATTTTCCAAGCTAAAAGTCAAAAAAATCATAAAATTTCGTAAATAATTTGACTTAATTTACTAGAATTTAAATTTTAAGCATAAAAAAGTGATTTTTGTGTGTTTTACACACAATAATTATTTTCCCACTATATTTTTATCATGTTTTTTCATCCCTAAGGCTGTTAAAAAAATTTTTTTCTGCCCCAGGGCTGTAAAATCAATTTTTTGCAATTTTAACCTCCAAAAACCTAAAAACTAATATTTTTATCACTTTAGATAGCCCCAAATTGAATTCCCTGAACTATCAAATATCAGTATTCCACCCAGATTTGACTAAACCAACATTTATCGCCTGATGAACATCGCTGATTGATCGCACAGGATAATACCTACAGAGACACACTAACACACACGCAAATAAAATTGAATCCAATCCCACAACAAATACACATTGTTCCCCGCATTCAGCTCAACTATTGCAATCCGAGCAAAACTTTAATTAACTCCTCCTCGCGCCATAATTAATATCCACTAATGTTCACACACGTAATCAAAAGCCGCCCCGAATTGAATTACATTCTAATGGTAATTTAATCACACTTTAATTAACGTATTTGATTATAATCTAACCGCAGTTTAATCACAATAAAAATTAACGACGTGTAACATAACCATGATGATTGCTTGTATAATGTGAATGTTTGAACACATTGTATGTTCGTGTTTGTTTGCTGTTAGTGTTTGCCGCCGGCGAACGTACACGCATTTGCATTTATCTCAATAACCGTTATCAAAATACGAAAGCGCGCACACTCAATCAATGAAAAGCCATGCGAACATCCCCTGCGACGTGCACAGGGTGCACAGTATTTATATTTTATCACTGTGTGCAATCAAATGAAAACTGTGTGCATCCTGCGTTTCTAATGCATTAAAATATTCGATTTTCAAGCGTTTTGGCTTTTTGCATTTGAAAATAATTGAGGTTATGTTGTTTTAATAGCGCCGCGTATAAAAAATGCTGGTTGCGGTGTGGTTTTCTACCCCTCTTGCGGCATCATGGCGCGCGCCCGTGTTGAAATTAATTACTGTAAGCATCGCATTGGGAAAGTTTATAGCGCGGCCCGCTGACGCTGGTTGACTCTTAACGAGTTAAGTAATTACGCCCCGATATGCCGATAATGGCTGTGCATCATTATACCACCCCGATGAATTAAAAAAATTGATTAAATAATACTTGAAATAAAATTACCGAAAAAATTTCATTGACGTCAGTGTTGAGAGTAGAAATAAAAAAAGAGGGTAAAAAATTTGTTCATTATCATAAGAACGTCTCATCAGAGCGTTCACGTAGACAAATATTGGCATAGCGATGGCTGAAAAGGCGAATTACACGGATGGAGCATAATGTGAAGGCGCCGGGCATATGCATACAAAAGCGCAACGACGCGCGGCGGTTGTGGCCGAGGGAATTGTCGGACGTTCCGGCGATACAGGAAGACTGGCAAATTGAGTCGTTTCCGCAAAGTATACGAGTATGTCTCTTCTCTTGTTATGCACATTTGGAAGACGGAATGTTTTTCAAATGTAATTCAATCAAATTCTTAATTACAAGCGCGTATTTTATACAATTAAAATTCAATCGTTGTTTTGGGCTTGGCCGACCTACATTCGTCGAATGCAAAATTCTATTAGCGACGCACAAACACGAGAGTTGACAAAAGTCCAAGCGCGAACAGCTGGCAAACAAATAAATTCAATTTGAAGTTATGGTTCGATGGCTCGCGCGCGAAAACTTTTCGGCAGAAAAATAAAACTGAGACTCACAAGGAAAAAAAATGACTGCCGGCGGGAAGATTGACAAAGAAACTTTCCCGCAACCAAAAAAGACAAAAATAAAAATTTGATTCAACGTCAATACAAATTACGGATTATAAACTTAAAAAAAAAAAAAAAATAAAAATAAAAAATAAATTTATTTTGGATTTAGTTGTCAGGTAGTTATTAATGATAGTAATTTATTTTTATGTGGGTTTTTATGTAGATGCTCGTATCATCGTTTGTTGGAAGCCGCACAGCGGGGATTTTCATAGGACAGTAGCTCCTTTGTGGAGGCGCCGGGCAAAACCGTTTTTTCTCTCTCCTTGCCTTCGGTAGCAACGTCCTTACACTGCAACTTGAGCGCGGGCTCAAGCTCCAACTAGGTAGTTCAAAAGCAACCCCTGAATACTGAACCAAGCACAGGGAATAGCATAAAACAGGAGCAAGAGCAGCTTAGGCGCTTTACACGCACGTACACGTGCCAAGAGCTTCCCCCAACACAAAAAAAAAAATTCAAATACAACCCAAGACATTAATTTTAATTCAATTCTTACCGAAGTACTAAATCCGGTTAAAAATCCTTGATCCTTTGCCCAAAGCACAGGAATACCAGCATAGGTAGCCGCCTGGGAGACGGTAAAAGCCGCCGGAGTGTCACCGATGAGCAACATGGCGACGACGTGCTTGCCCTCGAGTTGTCCGCAGAGACGTTCCAATAGACCCGAGCTAAAAGTGCCATTCACCGGCAATTCCACGACGATTGTGTCCAGTGTTATGTTGTACACCTGTCGGCCAGCATGGATCGGCAAATACCCAGCAGTTACATTCGCAAGAGTTTTATTAAAAGCTCGACTGAAACTTGGCTCTCCAGGCGGCGCTGCAATCGCCACGTACATTTTTCCGGTTTTTCTTTGGCCGCGCGTTGAAGGCGCTGCCACCACCAACAACAGCAACAACCAGAAGAACATTTTTGCTTGTATTTTAAACATTTTTTGTTTTTATTTTCTAAAAAAATTATTTTTTTGTTGTTAATGGATTTGATTTGTTTTTTTAAGGTTTGTGGATGTTAACTTTTGGTTTTTCTTGACTTTTGGTTGTGGGGTGTTGTTTCAGCCGTCATACTTGTTTCGCGAGGTTGTCGCGCGTTGACGACGACATCCTGCTTCCCGGCATTATGGTGTCCAGATCGATAATCAGGATCAGACGTTTTGACATGTTTCGGTGATTTTATTTTATTTTTCGTATTTTTATGCAGATATTTATTAATTCAATTTATTTTGTGTTATTTTTAGTTTTTATATTTATTTTTAATTAATTGCGATTTTAAATTTCACTTTTGGTTTGTTTTCTTGCTCTGGATCGCGCCCGGATGTCATATTCCTTTTCTGTTAGCATTTGATGTCAAATCCAATGTCATCTGCAACATAAAAATATTTATTTTGAATATAAATTAATTTGCTGAATTTTGTTGATGGATTATTTAATTAAAATGTCAATATTTTATTAGTAATCAAATTAAACTAACAAAATTGCCAATTTTATATCAATTTTTTATTATTTTTTTATTTTTAATGCGTTTAACTTTATTGCGTAATTAAGTAAATACATTTTGGTATAATTTTAGCATTATGCATGTTAACCATGTTAGGATATCAAGACAAAGTGACAAAATAGGTTGATGTGGCGAATCTGGGACTGCCTGAAGTCGTCGCGCGTTAATTTCGCGCTGCAAAGTTCACTCAGCCGAGCATTACATTTAGTTTGGCGAAATCTGCGCGAATCTGCACGCTAACTTCCAAGCGACGAGCGCCGGAACAAGCCACTGTGAACTTCTTAATGCCTTCGCACACATTACTCAAAAGCACAAGTATACATTCATAACTAACTTAAATAGATCAATTTACTGGCTAGGCATTAATAAAATTTCTAAAAAATAATTTTTTCTATTTTCACCACAAAAAATGGTATTTTAAACACAGATGGCGAAAACAGTGATTAAAGTAGGGGAGAGGGGGGCAAAGTGGGCCCCAAAAGCGAAAAAAGGGGGCTTGTTTACCTTTTTTCACTCGTGACACTATTTTTTACATCCTTGTTCAGTATTCAATATTAATAAGCCGTGTCTATCAAAATTAAAAAATTCAGAATATGGGGCAAGTGGGCCCCCGCCTATAAAAATTTTGCTATTACCTTTGTATCCATTTTTTGCTTATATTATTTTTTTTTTCATTTCTTACTTCGAATTTGTTGATGTGAGTTACTTTCCCCTCTTATTTATCAAAAATTTTAGGGGGCCCACTTTGCCCCTCAATCTTTTAAGCCTCCTGAGTTTTAGGGGGCCCACTCTGCCCCCAGGGGCCCACTTTGCCCCCCCTTCCCCTACTTTAGCCACGGGTTTTAGACATGGGGTGGAGCTTGCGTCTGCGCATTTATCTACTGGCTAGGCATTAATAAAATTTTAAAAATATTTTTTTCTGTTTTCAACGTTTTGAGACACAAAAAGTAGTATTTTAAACACGAACGGTCAAAACAGTGATTAAAGAACTTTAGTCACAGACTTTAGTCACGGGGTGGAGCTTGCGCCTACGCATTTATCTACGGTGCAGCACAAAACCATATGATTGTTCAAATACAAAAACTGAACGTGAAAAAACTAAAATATAAAAAAAGAAAATAATGGTGTATGCAACTTTTGACTAAAAGATATTAAACACTCACTACACTCACTCTTAATCAATCCCGTGACTAAAACTCAATTTTACCCTCTTGATACTTAATATTTTATTAAAACCCAACAAAACATAAATTAATACATTTATACAACACTAATAAACTAATAAATATTGACGTTTTAATGAATCAATCAAAATGTTTCCGTCATTGTGGATTTTCCGGCTTCCACGCTATCAGGCTGATATTTGCGGTTGGAGATTTTAATCGACGCCCGGCGGCTGAGCACTAAATTCCGAAACTAATTTAGCTAAACGATTCTACGTTTGGTTAATTTCATTATGTATTACGTCTTGCGTATTACGTATTACGAATGTGGAATCTAACACATTTCTGCGTTTCTTCTTACTCCGCGCGCTTCTCAACGCAATCTCAACATTTGATATTATTACCTCGACTGAGATAATGAGCGAATACGAGAACAATTTCTTCCAAAGAAAAGAAAAATGTTTTAACTGTAATCATCATCAATTATCATAATTATCCTACGAAATAATAATTACTAAATTCTTTGTTTAATTAAGTCATTTTCTTTTCTGTTTTTTCTCCCTCAGTGGTAATTTAACGTTTCAATTCGTATTTTAATTCGCTAATTGGTTTTTGTCCGTTTGTAAATGAATGACAGCTCGGTTTTAATCATTCAAACTTTGCGTGTTCAATTAAGTTAATTAAAATGTGTTTTTTTCGAGGGTTTTTGATAAAACAATTTTCTACTTTGTTGATTTTGTTGGCGGAGAGGAAATTCCGGCGGCGGCGGCGGTGGCGGTGGAGATGACTATTGTGTACGCCAAGCGGCTGATAGTTACGTAATCGGCGCCCTGCCGAAAATACGCCCGATTCGATTCATTTCACCTTCTTCCGCGCGCCGCCCCCCGCACCGCTGATCTCGCAAGAATGGCAACTCGTTGGATTTCTTCGCCCTGAGCAGGAAAATCATAAATAATTCAACCGCCGCCTGCCGAGAAACACACGATCCTTTTGCCGCCGCCGAAAACATTAAACTCTCAACTCGAAAACACTCCGGAAGCGTAATCATAATTTTCCGAGCGCTAAAACACTCCTTATGATTTTTATATTAATAATAAATTTCATCATTTTAAGTTTTTTGCTTAAAAATTTTATAAAAATAATTTTACTTACGATTAATTTGCTTGTTGGTGTTGCAGCGGACGAAACAAATCTTTATCCGTTATCGGCAAATAAACAACTAACCAAAACGCGCGCCGGAAGAACAAAACTACCCTCAACTCGCCACGCAACTTCTACAAAGCGCAAATTATCCCCATAAGCATGGATTTTATATTAAAATTTAAATTTTAAAAGTTTTTCACAAGTTTCCCGGATGATATTAAAAGTTTTTCTTCTTTAATTTATAATTTTATGTTTAATCTTGATGAATGTTTGTTGTTGGTTGTTGGTTGTTAATTATTTTGTGGATTAATATTAGTTAGTGTACACAATGTGAGTTCAAAACGAAGCAAAGGTGTCGGAGGTGTACGAAGCCGTTAGAAAACTGCATGCGACGCCGCGCGTCCGGTACGAGGGGGTGCGGGACAGCGAGATGAGAGAGGGTGGCAGGCGCGCGGCGAGAGACACGTCGGGACGCGCCGGGGACGACGTACTGTGGCGGCAGCCGCGCGGTGCGCGTCGCTCGGCCGCACTCGCCGCCGACGGAGCGCCGGTCGGACGGACGGCGGCGCGCACGCGTCCGCCCCAGAATCGATGGACCCATCCCAAAACAGGGTGCTTGCACCTCATCTTCGCTGCTGAGGGTGGCACGCGCGTACGCCTTCATTATACTTGAGTTTTCTTACGAGTACAACTAATTGTATTTAGTAAATGTATAAAAAGTTGCCTAACTGTGTGTACTCGTATATTTGGTTGCCTATATTATAATAAAAATATTTTTATTTAAATATGCAAACAATGGAAAAATATTTAAGTTGAAGGGCGTAACATAACAAGACCGTATTACGTCTGACATTATCGCCGGATATTAGATTTAATCCGCTCTTAATGCCAGAATTATTCATATTGATTTAATATTACCAGCAACGGCATAATCCCAATGCCAACTCAATCTCAATCAGGCGATTACACCAATCGCGCAAAACGTTTTCCACGCTTTTCTTTCACTTTCACGCTAAACGCCTTGAAAATCAATTTATTGCACGCGCCACTCTCTATAAATTATTTTCACTTTTATTTGCGATAACATTCTGATGCGTACGACTTTGTAATGCGAAAAGTGTTATATTCTTTTCTCTTTTCATCCAGCAGCTAGATAATAAACGGATTTAGGTGCTTGAAAGTGTTATTATGAGCTTTGGAAGAGTATCACAACACAAAACCGGAAAAAGTGAATAAAAATGTGTAATAACCTAAAAAATAATAGTTTGACGTCTATTTTTGAGGTTAATGTCATTATATGACAGGTAAATGACACTTTTTATATTTTTGACATTTGACAGTGTCAAAGCATGCCGAATCTCCACCACAATAGCATTCTGCACTCAATAAAAGAAAATAAATATGTTACAACTTGCTGGAGTGCAAATTCTTTACCGTATTGCGATTCTATTGAACACAATGAATTCTTCAGCGTGGAGTACGAGTAGAACGAATCGGTTTTCAATGCCACAACTTTTCTTTCTCAAAAGAAATCCATATGAATATCTTGACTAAAATTAACTTAACTCTAAAATAGATTAAAATAATATATTTTCTACTTCACTCCACGTGTGCACACATGTTGTGGTTTTCCATTGACATTCTCTCTTTCATCAAACGCCTCGACGCGTGAAGAAGTCAGCGAGCGCTGTGATTGTTTCGAATAAAAGATTTGACGCGCGCGCGCTGAATAAAATCAAATGCCTCCAAGACACCTTGGCGCGCGCACAAAAGCACGATCACAATTATTTATGATGATGGAAGATGAAGAAGAAGCTGCATCTGTTGTGCGGCACACGCGTGCGGTGTTCGGCTTCGGTTTAAACCAAAAAGCGCACACAAATCGAATATTCTTCTAACCTTTACCACACTTGAATAAATCTCAAAGCATTCTTGCAAAATGTTATTCTTCACGTTAAACCTCAAAATAAAATAAAATAACAGATTATATATACACTAAATTTAATGATATAATGTCTAGGAAATAAATATTGAAATGACATAACCAAAAATGTAAACTGAAAATTTCAATCTTCTTGAATCAACTCAGACTCCCAGGTTATTTAATCTCGCGCGCGCCCTCTTCAGGACAAGCCAACTGATACAACAGTTGAATCAACGTCCGTGTCGGACGCCCCGTCATCCGGCCCTTCAAATAATACGGATAGCATTTATCCGTCGCCTCCAAACTGACATTCGAAGTGTCAAAATGGATCCAATCCACACACCTGATACACTCTTGTAAAAACGCAGCAGCTATCGGAGAACTAGCCTTAGTACGTCCCTTATTATTCAAATCATGGGACGTAAAATCCGTAACCTCCTTAGTGAACCTCTTCCACAATGGCATACGCCATACCCTGTCCCCTGTAATAATACCAGCTTTCCTAGTCTGGGCCCACATGGTCTGTGAATTAGTATAAACAGCAGAAGCTGCTGATCCCAAAGCATGTCCACTTCCATGTGACACAGCCCCAAGGTCAATCAACAAACGAGGTTGAAGGTGTAGGTTAGCATATGCCAAGGCATCACTTAGTAAGACAATACCTTCATTGTCAGTGTCAGTAATCATTATCGATTGCATCCGGGGATTACAAATGATATCCCCACATTTCATAGCCATACCACTGACCATGTTCTCACACACTGGGAGGATACCAGTGATGTTTACAGGAAGGCTTAGAGCTGATGCTGTGTACATTGCTGCTACCACAGAAGCAGCTCCAGAGAAATCTCCTCGGTAAGGAGGTTGATCTTTGCAGTCCTTTAGACACACACCTCCACTATCATAGGTGATACCTTTTCCAATGAGAACAATGGGTTTTTGTGTTTCGGGTCCTCCACAGTACCTGACTGTCAAAACCATGAAGGGTTCACATGACCCTTTTGCTATGTGTATAAGTCCAAACATTTTATGGTTCTCAATCCAATCCTTGTCATGGATCTCCACACGAAGACCACAGGGACATAGGAGGTTAACCACTTCCTGGGCAAAGTGTTGGGGGTCATGTAATTGGGAGGTGTGTCTGTCCATTTTCTAACCAAGTTTTGGGCTTCTGCTTTGAAGATACCCCTCTGGAAGCTGTCTGTATCTGAGGACCCAAAAGGGATACACTTGGGATCATCTGCCATTCTTTTTATCTTTGAATTCCTGGTACCTCCACATTGACAACACTGCTCCTTCAGCTGCACCTTCAGAGAAGTCCATATCTTCCACAGCGATTTCATTCACGTGCTCTTCTTCCATTAACATATGGGTACCTACAGCTGCTCCCACTCTGGCAGTTTCCATACCTTCATGAATGGCTTCCATTTCGTTGTAACCTTGGTTCTTTGGACCTAGACCCACCACTGCTACAGCCATGAATTCCTCATCTAGATTATGAAAGACTTTGCCTTTTGCTTTACAGAAATCCGCCCCGGAGGCTTTCATTATCTCCATTAACCTGCCGCCCAATTTGTCATTGAATTGCCGCGCGGCGTCGCTGAGTCGCGGTTCATTGTCCTCGCCTTGGTACACCCCCAGGATGAGACCTTTACGTTTTGAGTCGGGGCAATCGCAGTAGGTGCGCGTACGCACTGCGTCATTCAAGGCACGACGTACGCTCCTGCTGCATTTGCCCCACCACGGCGCCATTTTAACGCGAATTTCACAAAATGGTTGACCGAAATGAAAATTTTTGACTACAAATGGCTCCGGAGAAGGAAATTTCAAAAAGACATGCGTCTATCAAAACCAAACAAACGCCAATGTTTTTTCTCGGATAAACATAGTCACGGCATGCTGCTATTTTCGGCACAAACTTGTTTTCCAACCAGGTAACTATATTTTTCGAGAGGTATTATACTCTACTATGTCAGAGTGACATGAACTACTCTAAACTAATCAACAAATAGTGTTGAAAAGTCGAAATATCTGCAAGTCAAGTGTCCGAACAATAAAATGCCCGGCGCGCGGCATACCACTTCAAAGTCACAGAGTACCCGCAAGCGCTAATCGCCAAATGACGCGCACAATGCAACAAACAATAAACACACGAATGCGGTGTGAAAGTGAGCCCCGCTTTGTACCTTTCGGGAGTTTCAGAAGCGTGAAGCGCATTTGACGCACCAACAATGGCGCAACCCCGATGCGGTGCGTTTGCTGTACCGCAACTGAAGGTGCCGCTGCTGCTGGAGATCAATGGATGTATTCGAGTCGAAGTAATTTGCTTTACTTAGGCTACTGCCGATGCCGACAAAAACGCTGTTACACTTTTGCTCTTTTCATGGAGAACTCACTTGGAGTGCGGCTATTCTGTGCAGTAAGTGATGACAAACATTGAAATACGTCGCATGGGTCATACCTTTTTGAGTTTTGGGTATTGAATGTACCCTTTAGTGAGGTATAAGTGAGATATTTGCTAGTTTGTTGTCGCTTGGCAATTTTGAATGGCATTAAAAGCGATTAGTAGCGACAACAAGCATGGCTAATCGGATAACAAGATTTTCGTTCAAGTACTGTATATAATAAGTTGAAAAAAGTAGTTGTAAACGTTTACAATAACTAAATTTAATTTGAATTTTTTTTTTTGACTATTAAAGTAGAAAAACGCAATTTTTTTCTGAAAAATGCGTTTTTTACACTTTTTTTGCAAAAATGCTAAAATTTTGCCAAAAAATGTAGAATATCTTCAAAAATATTAACGGTACAACATTGGTACAAATGTTGTAATCTTAAAAAATAAATTGCAAATTTTTTATGCTTATTGAATTGAAAAAAAAAACCTAAAAATTTGTGAAAAAACAGCAAAAATTTAAGAAAAAAAACGCGTTTTTACTTGTTTTTTGCAAAAAAACGTAAAATTTTTGTACAAAAACTAAAATATCTTTTAATCTATTAAAAATACAACATTGGTAAAAATATTATAACCTTAAAAATTTAATTACCAAACTTTTATGCCTTTTGGATTTTCAAAAAACTTAAAATTTTGCCCAAAAACCCAAAAATCAATTTTTTTTCCACATAATATAATTTGTAGTATCAAATTTCAATGTTTGATATCAGTTCCCGCAAAAAATACTAACCGCCCCACCAAACACATGCCAGGGGTAACTTATGTCACCCTTACCCATCCACTTCCCACCCCTTACGAAACACAAACCACATTTACATCGTTTCCACCCTTATTGTTGAACAAATCCAGAGATGAATTTACCAAACGACACTCAACACCCTTAAAGCAAATCATAAAATATTATCACAACTACGGGTCTGATGTGATCATAATTCAAAAGTTAATGTTCACTGTGGGTTTTTATATTGGTCGAAGGTTGTGAAGGGTCTGAGCTCTGAATGTGAGGGTTGTTATATCAACCCTCGACGCATAGAGACAACGTCAACGATTCAAGTATGTGCTTTGTATTTGTATCTTTTGAACATACTGTATGATATGTTATGGGTAGTCGTATATTGCCGACGTAAACGGTCCGAGATTTCCGTTTCGCACGTGTGATGCATAAAATAACGGATGGTGAAATTAACTTTAACCGAAAGTTACTTCTGCATACAAATTGGATTATTGTCTTGAATGTTTTTGATTTAATTAACAATATACTCAAAATTACGCTGAGATAATCGATCATTTCGGTGATGGTTTTATTGTTGGTTGAAATTATGTATTTTTAGCGCTATTGAATTTCAAAAATTGTGGTTTTTGGCATAAAAAGGATCCACCGTTCGATCATGTCACAATGAAGCGGCGAACAAAGTTGGATTGTATTGTGATATCGTTTTTAGAACGCTTTCTTTCTTCGGTTCGGAGTTGAGCTGTGATTCACTGCTTTTATTTGCTGTACGAGTATCGCTGCAAGATCCAAACATCCAGCCGTGCGCCGAGAGTGAAATTTAAGATGAAGAAAATTAAACAATGCGGAATCAATTGCAGCGTAATTGATTTTTGATGTAACCACAATTAAAAATAAAAAATATTTCACAAAAATATAGGTATAGCAATAGGTATATCGATTACATCGCATGTTTTCTTTTGTTTGTTTGTCTAGAAAGGATTTTAGTCGAATTGAAATGCAGCAACCCGTTGAATTGAATGAAATTTCAAATTTGTAAGTTGTCGACGTAATTATGACTGATGTGCTTTGCTTGGTTACTCGATACTGCGTCAGGGCGCAACCCGAACAAATTTTTACCAGTTTACTGCGGCTGCAACACAGAAAACTCATAAAGGGTTCATGTCACAACAATTCTTGAAGATGAAAAAACGTAAATCGATCATAATTTGTCCATGACTTAGATTAATACACGTACAAAAAATCATGTGTACAGTTCACACGTAGAATTGAAACCTTCAGAACACTGGACTGCAGAGAGAAAAAGCAAGTGGCTAAACGAGGGCATTACAGATGAGATTGATTGAGAGCGAGCGTAGCGAGACTCCGCGATTTGTACCTATTTATCTCTTTTAGTTTACGAGATATTCGCGATTGAAGGAAATCGTCAAAAATGGAAAAATTTCACTTTTTAGCACTTTTAGTCGCGTTTCTTGACTTTTTACCCTTGAAAATATAATTATTTTATATTTGTATCTGATAGAGAATTTTCCAGTCTTTCATAATCACGAATTTGCTGGTTGCTATCGCTTTTAGTTTAAGAGATATTAATTATCAAAAATCGTCGAAAAAAAGTATCAAGCACCTCCCCTTGGCAATTTTTTCTTAAGTATGAAAATTTCATCTCTCCGATTTCCATTTAAACTAGTCTATCTTATAGAAAATAATTCGTAGATTAAAACGCTGTGATTAGAACTTATTTATCCCTTTTAGTTTACGAGATATTCGCGATTGAAAAAAATCGTCAAAAATTGCAAAATGTCACTTTTTAGCACTTTCAGTCGCGTTTTTCGACCTTTTACGGTAGGAAATATAATTATTTTATATTTTTATCTGATAGAGAATTTTCCAATCTTTCATAATCAGCAATTCGTTGGTTGTAACGCTTTTAGTTTAAGAGATGAATTTTCAAAAATCGTCGAAAAAAAGTATCAAGCACCCCCCCTTTGCAATTTTTTTCTTAAGAATGAAAATTTCATCTCTCAGATTTCCGTTTTAACTAGCATATCTTATAGAGAATAATTCGTAGATTAAAACGCTGCGATCAGATCTTAATTATCTCTTTTAGTTTTCGAGATATTCGCGATTGAAAAAAATCGTCAAAAATTGCAAAATGTCACTTTTTAGCACTTTCAGTCGCGTTTTTCGACCTTTTACGGTAGGAAATATAATTATTTTATATTTTTATCTGATAGAGAATTTTCCAATCTTTCATAATCAGCAATTCATTGGTTGCTAACGCTTTTAGTTTAAGAGATATGAATTTTCAAAAATCGTAGAAAAAAAGTATCAAGCCCCCCCTTTGCAATTTTTTTCTTAAGAATGAAAATTTTATCTCTCAAATTTCCGTTTTAACTAGCCTATCTTATAGAGAATAATTCGTAGATTAAAACGCTGGAATCAGATCTTAATTATCTCTTTTAGTTTACGAGATATTCGCGAATGAAAAAAATCGTCAAAAATTGCAAAATGTCACTTTTTAGCACTTTCAATCGGGTTTTTAGGCCTTTTACGGTAGGAAATATAATTATTTAATATTTTTATCTGATAGAGAATTTTCCAATCTTTCATAATCAGCAATTCGTTGATTGCTACCGCTTTTAATTTAAGAGATGTTAATTATCAAAAATCGTCGAAAAAAAGTATCAAGCACCCCCCCCTTGGCAATTTTTTCTTAAGAATGAAAATTTCATCTCTCAGATTTCCGTTTTAACTATCACATCTTATAGAAAATAGATCGTAGATTACAACGCTGCGATCAGATCTTAATTATCTCTTTTAGTTTACGAGATATTCGCGATTGAAAAAAATCGTCAAAAATTGCAAAATGTCACTTTTTAGCACTTTCAGTCGCGTTTTTCGACCTTTTACTGTGCGAAATATAATTATTTTATATTTTTATCTGATAGAGAATTTTCCAATCTTTCATAATCAGTAATTCGTTGGTTGCTATCGCTTTTAATTTAAGAGATATTAATTATCAAAAATCGTCGAAAAAAAGTATCAAGCACCCCCCCTTGGCAATTTTTTCTTAAGAATGAAAATTTCATCTTTCAGATTTCCGTTTTAACTAGCCTATCTTATAGAGCATAGTTCGTAGATTAAGAAGCTGCGATCAGATCTTAATTATCTCTTTTAGTTAACGAGATATTCACGTTTGAAGAAAATCGTCAAAATGGCAATTTTTGTCAATATTTTTAATTTTGGTTCCGTTGAAATTAATTTTGGTCGGCAGATGGCGTTCAAAACGGTCAATAAAAATATTTTATGCTGAAAGACAGGGTCGAAATTATTACTTGCCGAAGAACAGGGCCGAACTTTTTTCTTAAATTTTTTTTAGTGCGAAGTCAAAATTTTCTTTAAAATTGTCAATGGGGCCTAAACGGTCAGTGCTAGAAAAAAATTGTTCTGAAATAAAGTAATCAGAATTCAACAAGCTATCAAAATCCGCAATCAAATTTGAAAAATTCCTATTTTTAATTCTGCATAAAAAAATGAAAAAGTTTTGCCTTTTTTATGACGAAATCTTTTCACGGTTTATGTTTTTTATAGCATAAATTTAAAAGTTGGAATTTTGAAATTTTTTCGTCAGATTATGATAAAACAGACTATTATAAATCATTTATTTTAGTAAAGTTTTTACGTACAACCTTTATTTAAGGCCCTATTGACAAAATTGTATTGAATAGATTTATGCGAATATCTTCAAAACTATGAGTCTAATTAAAATAATTTATTAAAATATTCCATTCAGATAATTGTCCTCTTTCATAATCAGCAATAAAACCTTAAATTTTTTAGTTTATAAAAACCAATCAAAAAATTAACTGAAATATGGCGGAGGCGCCTGACATTATATTATGTAATTCGAATTATTCTTAAACATTAACAATACCATTAAGTAGAGGGGCTCTTAATACACTTATAAATATAACTTTTTACTCATTAGTACTTACCGTTTATCCAGTAGAAGCATTTAAGTGAATTGTATACTTCCATCAACACTTAATTACCGATTATCTCCGGAACTAATAGAGATATACACAAACGGAAAACTGCATTGTGTTTAGCAATCCATTCTACATATGATAAGCTGTTAAAATTTCTACTTTTGAAAAGTGAAAAGTGTATTTTCCGATGCGATTTTCTCGGAAACTATAAGAGTTACCGAAAAACTGTTTGCACTTTCTTCATGCCGTAATAAGGATCTATAAAACGGCAGATTCAGTTTTTTGATTCTAAGAAGTTGACCAAAAACCAGTTGAAGAGTGTCAAGAGGTTACACTTAAGTATTTTGTGGCCTAAAAATTAAAGTTTAAGCTACAGGAAAATTGAAAACGCTATTCGATACAAAATTGCAATGTGATGAAAGATATCCAGTTAGTTTTTTGATAACACCAATATTTCCCAAATTACCTGTGAAAATTGAAACAGGCCTCAAAGAATTACAACTCAGATTTTCTTTAAAATTTCCAATATGATGTAGAATGATGCCCAAAATCCGTTATCTAAGTTTTGTTCCGATATCTTAATTAGTTTTTGAGTTATTGACCATTTTCAATTATTACATAAGTGTAGAAAATTTAATATTTTTAAGTGCTAGATGATGTATAATTATGTCCTGAATCCAAATCTGAAAACCGTTTTTTTCTATCTTCATTAGTTTGCGAGAAAAGCGCGATAAAGTGGATTTTCAGTTTTCTCCATCATTTTTAATGAGAAAAATTAAAATTGAAAATTCAAATTTTTTAATGCAGATTATTACAGAAGACAATTATTTGAACAAAATATTTTAATAATATTTTTTATTTAGACTTTTAGTTTAGAAAATATACGCATAAAACTGTGAAATTATGTTTAAATCAACCGACGGCAATAGGGCCTTAAATAAGGGTTGTAGAAGAAAAGTTTACTAAAATAAATGTTTTATAATATTTTGTTTTATCATAATCCGAAGAAAAAATTCAAAATTACAATATTGAAGTTTACACTATAAAAAACATTAATCTGTGAAAAGATTTCGTCATAAAAAAGGCAAAACTTTTTCATTTTTTATGATAAAATAAAAATTGGAATTTTCAACTTCTGATTTCGGATTCAGATAGCTTGTTTAATTCTGCTTAAATTATTTAAGAACAATTTTTTTCTCGCACTGATCGTTTAGGCCCTATTGACAATTTTAATAAAAAATTGAATTCGCACTGAAAAATTTTAACCGAAAAGTTCTGCCCTGCCTTTCGACCAAAAATTTTTTAACAAAAAAGTCCGACCCTGTCTTTCAAGCAAAAATTAAATTTTCTGCCTGTTTTTAAAATTACAAAATTCGTTTTAAAATTAAGTTTGCCTTAGTTTTTCACGGAAACTAATTTTTAAGAAAATTTGGAGTCTGTGTTTCGACCAAATTAAGCAAATAATCGTTGAAAATAGCTATTTTTGATGAACATTTTGGGGCACTTCCCAAGGGTTTAAAGAGTTAAATATAGACTCTAATTAAAGAGGGTCTCTTGAAGTATCTAATGATGTAGAGAAAATTAAAATCCCTTGATTACTTTAGGAGATACAGAGGGTTTTTCAGAGTAAGTTTTAAGAATTTGAGAAAAACAACAACTTTTGACGAGCATTTTAAGGCACTTTCCAAAGGTTTAAAGAGTCGAAGGTAAGCACAATTTATAGAGTGCGTTTAAAGCTATCCAGTGACGTATTGAAACTTAAAATCGTTTAATTGATATAGGAAATACAGAGTGTTTTGCAAGCTTCAAAAATTAGCAAAAAGTGACAATTTTGATTGGCATTTTAAGGCCCTTCCCAAGGGTTTAGAGGACTGAAAATAAACTCAAATTAAAGAGAATCTTTTCCGTAATCCAACAAAACAAGAAAATTTAAAATCCTTTAATTGGTATAAGAGATATAGAGTGTTTTACACATAAAATTTGGAAATTTTGAGAAATATAACAACTTTGATAGGCATTTTAGGGCACTTTCCAAAGGTTTAAAGAACTGGGAGTAAATGTACCTATATTGTAGAGTGTCTTTTGAGCTATTTAATGACAAAGGAAAATTTAAAATCCCTTGATTCACATAAGAAATACACAGCTTGTACCACAGTAAGTTAAAAAAAAAAGATAAATGCAACATTACTAAACCATATAAACAAATATGTTTATCTCTCTTTAGTGTCGTTTCATTAATTTTGAAATCACAACAATTCTAAAGAAGTTTTCACTTCAAAAATATCAAATTACTCATTGAGCTAATCACAAACAAAGAAAAAAGCTTTAAAATTTTCAATTCTACTCAAAAACTCTTTGAGTTTTTTAATAATTTCTTAAACATTTCATTCTCCACATCAAAAACGCCGCTTTTAAAAGCTCTGCTTGCTTGTTCCAATAATAAAGACAGCAGACAGCCACCTATGACATAATTTACGTGACCTACAAAGCAACAAAAAAAAAATACGAAATGGATCACGAATCACCCCATTCGAAGCACTTCAGGTAACGATCAGCGTCATAAAATTAAACCGCAAACACACGAGACAACCGTGGTGAAATTCCGTGAAATCGCAACCACTCTAACAATCATTTACTAAACGCACCCTTGACATACCTACATGAAAAAATAGTTTTCGGAGACAAAACGTCTACGAAAACCTGAATTCATCAAAGCATAACTTATAAATTTCATTTGCGATGAATGGTTGAACGGTTGCGCTGTTTGAATGGCAGCGTACACACCCCAAAGGTTCTAGAGGCTGTGCGAGGGGTTGGTGCGAGTGGGGTGCCCTCCAGCAGCCCCTTTTTCGTTATATTGTTACGGGGCTAGTTCCCACTCCACCGTGCGGTAAACCCAGCCCACTTTTGACTTTTCGGACAATAACGCCATGCCCATATAAAAATCACCCCCGTCCAAAGGGCGCACATAAGTTTTGGTGAAGATCTCATAGAGTTAGTTACATTCAAACCAGCTAGAGAGAAGTGTCGTAGTTTTAAGTGCCTTACAATGTATTCTGCTCTACCAAACATCTACAACATGATTCATCAAGAAGAGAAGACTCAGAATCAGAAATCTTCGGGGAAGATTTTCAGACCATGGGATTTACATCAACAACAACAACAACAGCAAGATTCAACTGTTTCTACTACAACCAAAGAAGTGATTAAACCTAAATCTGAAGTTATTGAAGAAATAAACGTAGAAAAATCATCTCCTGCCTGTCTGGGACCAATTTCTACACTTTATGACTACGCATCAACTTCTACACTTCCATATTTACCTCTACAAGGACAAGAATACCTCCCTGGATTACCCACGGATCTCCTCCTGACACAAAACTACGCTCTAGAGGAATATGCAAGGATTCTAACACAGGATCATCAAGCAAAACTCATGAATTCACGAAAACAACGTCCGAAAAAATACAAATGCCCACATTGTGATGTTGGATTCTCGAATAATGGACAACTCAAAGGTCACATTCGTATACACACCGGAGAGAGGCCTTTCAAGTGTGATGATGCTAATTGTGGTAAAACATTCACCCGCAATGAGGAGCTGACCAGGCACAAGCGTATTCATAGCGGACTGCGGCCATTTTCATGCGCGCAGTGCGGCAAACGCTTCGGACGAAAAGATCATCTCAAAAAACACTCGAGGACACACATGCAGCCACGGAATGGAATGTATGCCGTCCCGGTTATGTTCCCGCTGGACACCTGGGCATCCGCATATCCATATATGTCTCCAGTGCCGATGTTATATTAAAAATTAAGGATGAATGTATATTTGTAAATATTAACACTTAAAATGCAATATTTTGATATGATATGTATGTATATAATAAGCAAATTATATTTTTTATAAATATTTATCAAGACTGACGATAACGATGAAAATAAATGAATTTTACTGAATTTTTATTTTTTTATTTTTTATTTTATAAAATTTAACGATTTTGAATGATTGAATATACGAGTATTGCTCATTTCATTTCATTGCGTTGTGGACCGCCCGTGAAGCACCCGGAGGAAACTGACCATTAGTCGAACACTGGATGCTTTTGAATATTGGTTATTAGAACTGCTAAAGACGGAAGTTTAGCTGGCGATTATTGTCAACACCCTCGGTTTGGCTATGATCACCCACCGGGCTGTCCCGCTGCGGGCTAATGACGCGCTGGACAATTGATTCCGGCTTAGAGCTTTTGAGGTAGCGATGAATGTTTGAGAAATGAGCATTCAGGAGAAGAACTTGCAAACAGTTAAATTTAGACTTCAATTGCACAATTTTGACAAAACGCTGTGGAATACAATGCGTATTTTGGGGCGATTCATGTCAACATGTGAGTATTTACTGTTTGGAATAATAATTGAAACGTATTATGTTTAAATTTATTTTTGAAAGCAAAATAAAACAAGTTATACTCAAGTAAAATGCTTGACATTTTTGTTGGTATTACCTATAGTTTTGTTAAAAATTGCACAACAAATAATTTTTTTCTCAAAATTTGTATTTTTTGAAAAAAAAAAATCGAAAAAATTATGTTTTTCTATTAAATTCTTGTTTAAAAGCAAAGAAAACAAGCAATATTTTAATGTCTGTTGTGTTTTGCTTTAATATTTATTTGCAAAAAGAAGTAAAATGTCTGATATCAAATTTTATACTGTAGATTAGCTAAAAATTGCCTTATAAATAATATTTTCTTTAAAAATTTGTAAATTTTTGAAAATAAACGCAAAAATTAAACAAAAACGCAAAAATTTAAAGAATTTATGATTAAAAATAATAAAACACAAGCAATAATCAGAAAATGTTAAATTTTTCTTAATAATTATTTGCAAAAAGTGAGCCAAATGTTTATTTTTAAATTTTAAATTACACTTTTTCTAAAAATTACACAAAAAATAATTTTTCTCCTCAAAATTTTAAAATTTTTGTGAATGAAAGCAAAAATACAAGATTTTCTTCACAATTCTCTAAAATAATCTCTTATATTACGCTACAATAACAATAATCTTTTATTGTAACAGGAAATAATAAAACAACATGACGTATTTGTGCGTTAAGTGTCTTAATCCTCCAAATACTCGCCCATTGTTTGAAAACCATGAATGAAAAGTACTTAAACCAAGCCTAGACGAGCAGACCACAGATTATTTATGAATGAACAAACGACCATTCAACACCACTGCCCACTGCGAAAAATTATTCAGTGTAATCCGTTAATCTTCAGGTAATACTACACATGCCCACAATGCAAATATTCAAAAGTCGAGAAGAAACGGAAGTATTAACTTAACCCATAAACATTATCAATGAGTACTCGTATTTCAGCATTGAAAAAAAACTTACTTAATTAAAATCGCAAAAGTTTACCATTTCATCATCTTCCTCGAACACTTTGCAAACTTTCAACTCTTGAGAACTGCAGTGCACGTAATTGAATAAAAGAGAAGTTAACTTTGAAGAGCAACACACGCCCACATAATGTTGTTCGTGAGAGAATCGTAACACAATTACCCATCGGCTATTATTAGAGACAGGTATAAATAGCACCCACGAATTACGAAACGAACAAAACTGAAAGTTGCGCTCGCTTTACACGCAAAAATGCACCTGTTTTCTGGACGCTACCGTGTGCCATTCATCTCTACGTGGGAAACCTTTACTAAACTGCAAATTTTAGCCAGTAAGTCTTAAAAAAAGTGACCGGCGGACAGTTTATTGAATGAGAATAGACTAGACTATACTAAATTTTTTATTAAACTGAAATTTTGTTTGTTGAGGTGATAATAGCTGGAATAAAAATTCACTGACACTTTAAGAGGGTTTTTCTTGATCGTAGGCGTATCCAGACAGATTTTTTTTATATCAGATGAAGATGAATGCCATAGGAAGCCAAGGAGAGAATAAAAAACATGAAGGAGCGTATTGTGTTTACATGCTCGATCAAATTCATGTGTCTATGATAGGTTATGTTGGAAGCATCTTATAAAAAATATGATTAATTACAAGTGCTGGAGAATATTTCTTTTGCGATTGTGATTTGTTTTGATGGATATTGACAATGTTTTTGAAGAAATTTTTGTTTTTTGGTAGGTTTTGAAGGATTTGAAGGAGAAACACACTGTATGTTTAGTGTTTCATAGGGTCGGTTGGCGATGAGGGTTCGCGCCATCGAAACAAACGCCTAGCGCTAACCCCAAACCACGAAAGGCACAACCCCGTGACTCACACTTCGAGGACAACCCTAAATGAAACAAATCAACAGCCGCCATAATTTTTCATATTATGAATAATAATTTTGAATTAAATAAAGTAGTTGTGTTTGTATAAAATTAACAAAAGAAGAAAATAAAAGAAATCTTATCAGTAGAAAATTGGGTTTAATAAAAGAAAGGAAAAAACGTAATTTTTAGGGTTTTGGCTTTAATTTTGTAGAAAAAAATGAGAAAAATGTTTGATATCAAATTTTATAATAAAAATTAGCTAAAAATTGCTTTAGAAATATTTCTTTTCTTTGAAAAATTCTAATTTTTAGAAAATTAAATGCAAAAATTTGGTTTTTCTAAAGAATTCATGTTTAAAAGTAAACAAAACAAACAATATTCTAATTTTGTTTGTGTTTTGGCTTAATATTCATTGACAAAAAAGAAGTAACATGTTTGATATCAAATTTTATATTGCAAATGACTTGAATATTACCTTAAAATAGCTTTTTCCTTTAAAAATTTGTAATTTTTTGAAAAAACAAGTAAAATTTGGGTTTTTGTCAAATTTATGTTGAATTCATTTATAAAAAATGAATAAAATATTTTATTTGAAATTTTATGTTGTAGTTTTGTTAAATATCACACTTTTTCCACAAAATTCGATTTTTTTATGCAAGAAAACATAAAAATACCTTCCAAATAAACAATAATTAGTATTATTAGTATATTGTCTTGTATTGTGTTTAATTAAACATTTGATTCCAATAACGAATAAATACGAAATTGTCACTAATGACAAATGATCCAAGATGCCACACAAGAAGTGCCAGTGAGTAAATATTCATTCGCCGCGCTGCCGGCGGCGATCGATCGATAAAACCATTTCAATTTGTAAGCACCTCGAGGGGGGTCGACGGGATGTACACATTGCAGACATCCATCCACTCTTCAACCAGCTTCCGCATCTATCCGTACCACGCTATTCAGTGTGATAATGCGAAATTATTGCCCAACATCAAACCCCAGCACACAGCACAAAGTACAAAATAAAATAAAAACCTTCAACTACCAAACTACAAACAGAAATATCCACTGCGGTTATGTTGATATTGATATTGATGAATGATCGACATCCTGCGGTTATTTTCCTATACGTTTTATTTTCTCACATCGCAATGCAAAATATTTCATATTCAATTCAATTCGACCCTTGTTTCTGGTTTCTCTCTCCTAGTAGTTGTGTTGAAATGATTTGTGCGTTTGAGCGTTGTGAGGAAATTTGAATTAAGGGTGTCGTTGGGTTATGCGGTTTTCGGTAACAATGCGCATTCGTCGTGGACGCCACGCAGCGCCAATGCTAACTATCATGTCAATGCTAAAACTAGTTGAATCCCGCAGGGAGGCCACCCTAATCCGCCACAAACGCCATCATCCTCGGCTTCTTTGTTTGTAGAAACTCATTCGTCCATAAATTTGCTCAATTATAAAGTAAAACGTCGAAAAAAACGTCAAATCTATTAAAATTTATCGCAAAACTCGCAAAAATTGCGATATTCTATGCTTGACCCGAGGTAATTCCATTGTGGGTGAGGTTTATGAATGAAATACTTGAGACCTGAATGAAAGTGAAGTTTATTATCGTGTGTGTGGTCGATTGTGTTGGGTGTTAATTTATGTGCTACGCCTTGACCACAAATAATTTAATTATCCACAGACGCGGTGGGTGGGTGTTGAAAATTGCGAAAAAATTACTTCAAAGTAAAATTTATTTCATAAAACATTTCATTAAAAATAAAATTTTAAAAATGTATTACTTTAATTTATTATCGTTGAAATTAAATTTTTATTGTTTATTATGTGTTTTTCTACGTGTATTGCCTTCTACTGGTGATAAAACGACATAAAACACGCTTCTAATCACTTTCTGGCGATAAAATATAACAATAGTTCAAGAATTCGCCTACAGATGTCGCTGCAATGCACTTATTTATATATTATACTAGCTTTAACCCGCGGCTTTGCTCGCGAATATCTAAAATAATGAAGTTGCTTCCGTACGCGTCTATAGTCACAGAAGAAGTAACAATGAAGTAGAATGGCGGGAAGTTAAAATGGCTGAAACTATAGTCTATGAAAGTATAGTGTACAGTCTCCATAGTGTAGTCAATTGGATTTGATGTTGACGTAGCTGTCGGTAATACAGTGTGATAATACAGTGTGATGGTACTATAGTACTTAGGTTTGAGCTTCATTGCTGGAATGCTAGATGGCGTTAAAGTAGTCAAATAGCCAGATGCAGAGGTATTATTGGCTAAACAATTTCTTTATTTTGTTTAAAAAATATATTTTTTTATTAAATAAAAAGTAGCCTATAACCATTCGGGGACCACTAAGAATATGTGTACAAATTTTCATGACGATCGGTTAAGTAGTTTTTGCGTGAAAGTGTAACAAACATCAGGACTTTCGCATTTATAATATTAGTAGGGATTCAACTCAGCGAGAAACACGATGTTCATAAGTAAATAAACAAGTTCTTATGCGTAATTCAACGAATACTTGGAATTAAACAATAAATAAACAACATTTACGATGAAATATAATCAAGAGGTAAATAATGAATGTAATATTGTTGTTATTAGGTAATAATTCATTTATTTAGGCAGTGTATATCGTCATAAACACTATATTTACATCCATCTGACCTCCCTTGTTAAAAAAACGTTCGCAATGTGGTTTTCTCATCCGCTTACAGTGTTATTCAAGTTTGTTTTCTTAATCGTCATTATTAGTGAATACGTTACAAAAATCGTGCTCTTCCTCTGCGCGCGTACGAAGTAAATTTATTTGCCTGCGTGTTTGTGTTTGTCAATTTCTTGTAATTAATTCACTTCAGATGGAAAAAAAGAGCACAATCTTTTAACAAACCATAATCAATATTAAATACAACAGTGAGCAAATACTTGTCAGCCCAAAAATCCATTTCATTTCTTCATCATTCAAAGATGACTGAATTACATTTCATTTCATTTTTATTTAGTTTTTGTGTGTGCGTGCAAAAAAATAAACAATAGTGCAATTTAGCCAAGAAATTTTTGCTTCGTTTCATTTTTTTTTGTTAATAATTTACATGTGGTAATATTTGTAACGTGTACGTGTACTTAAATGGTACTTTAGACTTTCAAATCGAGGTGAAAACATCACTCAATTATTATTATTAACAATAAATTTTTCTCATTTATTTAAACATGGAATTTATGCAATTTTTGAATAAAAAAATTCATAGGAATTTATATTAAAACATTAAATACAAATAAAATTAATTATTAATGCAGGAATTTATATTAATATTAATAATATTAATAATAATAATAATAACAATGTTAATAATAATAATTGAGTGAGTGGAATCACCGTGTTATTAATTAGTTCGTTTTGCAGTGCATTGCGCCGTCATGACCATCCTTAATCTAGAATAATCATTACCATTATAATTATTATCACACAATCATAATAATAATGAGTGATTAAACTAAACAGTATTGGCACAATTCTTATTCGTAACGTGTGTGTGTTTTTTTTTTCATTTTTGTTTAAATACCGTGTCTAGATTCAATAAACTGTTGAATTTTCTTCCTCCTCGTGATATTATGATACAAACTGAACTGTTTTGATTGGTACATTGTACAGCAAGTACTAAGCTACACAATTATTTCCGTTTTTTGTTTATTTTTGCTTCGTTTACATCATTCCCTCAGCCTCTTTTGTTCTGCTTTGCCATCTTATTTATAATATGATAATAGAATTACTTGCGTAACCGAAGAGTTACAGTTATTACCGGTTTCCTTAGGTTACAGCTTTACGGACGTTATAATTGACATTTAATTATTTATAACGCAACGATCGATGAACGTAATCCACACGATGTTCTTGTTTGCTGTCAATTATATCATAAAACAAAAATTTTTAAATTTTTTTAAAATTTTTCGTCGTAATTGTTGATTGTTTAATTAGTTTTTGATTATAACCAACTGAGAAGCTTAATCACGCTCGTTACAAAGTCAACAGAATTAAAACTCTTAATATATCTTCTTAGAAATTTTTATTAATTCATATAATATATTTTTTTCTTCATTTGTGTGTGTTACTCTCTTAAATTCGCCTTAATTAGTAATTAAATGTAAATTTAGTTCTTCGCGTAGTTTTTTTTTTGTAAATTTTTAATTTAGATCAACGTGTAATTGTGAAACTGTTCGAAATTAACAATATATTTGTCGGTAACATTTGATTTTTAAACTGGTTGCCTTCATTAATTAGTTTCTCTCGAGGTTTACATCAACGTTTAAAGTGATATCAGATGCCAAACATGCCCTAAATGTTTATTTATTCGTTACAAATACATTTCGTAACATACCATGTCTTTTGCTTCATTTTGTCAACGTTTTTTTTCATTTTTCTTTTTAAATATTTCATATTCATACATTCTTTTATGTACACTTGCATTCCTACTATGCCTACAGTCCGAGTTTCATATAATAATTCATAGTTTAATTCATTTTTATTATTTTGTTATGATGGTAATTTTTTTTTATTCACTTGCCGACCGTTTTCATTGCCTCTCGATTGATTTAATTGTTTAAATACTGTGAGCAGTTTAGAATTATTTTGGTCGCGGTGAGTTTTGCTGTGTGTTTTATTTCATCGTCTCGCACTCGAAATGATATCATACTTTATTTTATCGCGTTGTTTCATATCAAAAAATGAACGCACGCATTATGAAAAAGTCTTAATTACGGATTACGGTACTTAGACGGTGATTAGACGGGTGATTTGCTATAAATTTCCTACGGCTATGAACGAAATCAGCGCGTAAAAATCAAAAAAAAATGATTTTTTTTTATTTTCGTGTGCTCAGTTCTTAAAATGTCCTCACCGTTGGGACCGCGTATCGCATCGCATCGCGTTGGATGGAGAGTGTATCGGGATAGATAGCCCAATAAAAAATTATCCTTAATTTCGATAACAATAATTCGATTTCGATTCGTGCGTGTTATCATTATTACATCCTGCTCATTTGTTTGTGTGGTGTTTTTTGTATTTTTTTATTTTCAGTAATTTATTTCTCGAGGGTGCTGATCCATTGCGAAAAGGCTATACATATTACACAATAATAATCGTTATCATTCAGGAGTACATCAGGTTTTTTTGTTTTCATCTTCATTATGTACAAACGGAGGTGTGTACGGTGGCGATAATTATAGGTGCGTATTATCATTAGATACTTAAGACTCTTATATATGTTACAGTGAATAAGGAACAATCGGATCAGCCCTCGCGTGGATCCGAACCGAACAAGTGTCAATTAGATAATAATATAATAATATTTTATATAATAAGGTAATGTTATTAGTTGTTTTTGGTTTTCGTGTGTTTTTAGGCCTCTACGCCGTGAATTCAAAGACTAGGTTTATTTTTCAATAACATCACTAAAGAGAAACAGCTCTTCTTTTACATTTCTCATCATTATCTATGTGTTGATTATCATCTAGAGTTTAAAATAAATTTATGTTGGTTGAATTTCTTCGATTTCGATTTCATGTTGTTGTGTGTAGAAGTTTGGTTATGAATGCTTTCGGGTAGGTCCCGGCTCTCCGGTGCGCATGCGCGCATGACTTTCGCAATGAACACACACAAATCGCGTCCTCTCGCGTTCAACTTAAGTGCTATAATAAAACTAGGTGTTTACTGGTGCGATGATAAGTTGCGCGCGCATTGTTGAGTTGAGTTGAGTTGTCCTTTTGTGGAGGGGGCACGAGAAGAGCCAGGCTTTGGCCGCAACTAAGGCATAATCGGGTTTTCGCTTAGCTTAGATTTCTCATTTCCAGATACACACCATACCACGGATTTAGAATTATGCCTGCATTGAGAATGCATCAGGAATGTCTCAACAACTATATAATTTATGCTTATTTAAATTTAATATACTTTGTTTACGTCAGTTAGCCGCGCAACACTTAACACGGGAGATACGGGGGTGGCTCGCCGGCGCGACGCGAGTCTACCCTGCGAGTCACTATCAGTGTTTGTACTCCGGGTACCGCTTGGGGCGGTGGATGGTGGCGTGCTCGGGGTGCGGGTGCGGCTGAAGTTGCACTGGCGGTACGGGCACAGGCGCGCGTACAACGCTTGTTGGCTCCTCGCTCGTGGAGGAGGACGGCGACGGCAGCCGGTACTCGCGCGGCATGCCGCCGCCGCCACTCGTGCCCGCCTGCGGCACGGCGTCGTCGCTAGCCCAGCGGGCCAACTGCTGCTGCGCTTGCACGAACTCATCGCTAGAAACACACACAACAGACAACAACCGTGATGAGGCAATGCGAGGTTGGTGGTGGAGTGGGTCGGGCCGTACATCCAAGGACAGATTACCTTTCGCTGTCGGGCGTGCCGCCACAAGGCGCGCCACGTTCATGGTCGGCGCTTTCGTAGATGCCCTCCTCGTCGGGCGCGTGGTGCGCGTGCGGGTGCGGGTAGGGCATACGAGCGCCCGGCCGCGGGTACCGTGCACCTACCCCGACGCCCACGCCGCCACCGCCCCCGACACCGCCGTAGCCGAAGCGCGGGTCGCCGCGATGCGACTGATGCGAGCTCTCACTGCACGCCGACGAGGATTCCTGACGATAATGGCGGTCGGCTTCCGTTTCCGACATGCGGATATCCTCCGAGCCGCTGGGGCTCATGTGACGGGAATGGTGTTCCAGTTGACGGATGAGATCCTCCAGGTTACGGATACGCAGTGGGCCTGGCCCTCGTGCTTCCACTTCATCATCATCCTCTTCGTCGGCGTCCACGACAACCTTAACGAACACCTGTATCACTCATCTAGCACTGGCTCGCGCGGCAGCGCGCATGCGCCACTTACCTGCGGTTCGCAGACGTTCTCCTTGGAAGAACGTTTGTAGTCGCCGTAACCCGCGGCGCATTCCTGTAAACTTCGTCGCAGTACCTCCTCGCTAAGGCACGACGTGCTGCCTGATGGCGTTGACGCCCCGCGGTGATTCGCTGCGGTACGCAGCGCTTTGATAATATCCTCATGGTACCCATTCAGACTCTTCAAGGTGCGTTCGACATCCGTCATACTAGTAGCTCCCATTAACTGGGCCATACTAATATTGTTCTGGGAGAGGATATCATCTGGTGAGGCATCTCCCCAGCTGTCTTTACCATCGCTCATCACCAGACCATAGTCGTGCTTCTTCAGGATACCCTTTTTCTCTGGCAGTTTCAAATTGTTGTGTTGCAGGTCTATAAAGGACACTGTTTCATCCTCACCTTCAATGACAACTATAAGTAGATATTTAAATAAGAATAAAGAGGGTATTACCTGAATGGGTTGGGTCATCTTCACTGCCCGATCCCCGACACCCATGCGCTTCAATGAGCCCAACTTGTGATCCCTACAACAAGTAATCAAATGGGTTGTAGACTTTGAACAACATCAAAACATGACACACATCTCACGTTGAACATGCGTCTTCCATGCAACCCAAAATAAGGAAATCATAAATAAGATAAATTAAAATTTTTGTTTGTTTCTCGTCAATATAATTGAAACTGAAAGATCACTAGTGAGAGACAAAAAACGGTTGCAAATGATGATCATAAAACTGACAGTATGTGTGTGAATGCGATGAAAACGTTCAACGTTCAACGTAAATGGTCAAAAACGGTCCAAAAAACACACTCGGACGACAAAAACAATATACCACAACGTCTGACTTCGTTTCGTGTGAGAGTGCAAAATATAAGTTACAACGAACAAAGAAAACTAACTGGTAATGCGATGGTCCACCAGATCCCATGTGATTCGACGATCGGAACAAAACGCGCTGCGAGTCCGCACGACTGGCAAAAATCGATAGAGATCATTAGTGACTTTCGAAACAATCCACACCCCCACCCAGAACAGAATCTTACTCCTCGTCTGATTCATCTTCATCGTCTAATATATTATAGTATATATATATATAAAATTGTATGTACAAACTGTTCGTTTTTGAAGCAGAGCTTTTCTACGACTGGACGGAGAATTTTCAAAAAAGACTTCGACAGAGAGAGGAAGAAAGTCACAGACAGATAGGGAGACACACAGAGATAGAGAGAGACAAGTGCATTACGAACACCAACAAGAAATAATCAAGAGATGGCCGTCGATTCAATCAAGGTCAATCAAGGTCAAGTATATATAATATAAAAAAGCGCTCAACAAAATCGTCAACACACAGATTTAGGCATTCTCATCAAAGGTCACCAACACGCTAATGCTAACGAATCGACAGACGAGAAAAAGTTTTTTTATTTTTTTGTATTTTTTTTGGAAGTAACAAGAAAAAAGCTCGACAAAACGAAACTACGTATCAATTCAAAGTCCATTCGTTCCGTACAATCACACCAAAGGTATTGTGAAGTTTTTCGTTATCTGGTAGATTCACAAATAACCAAAATGAAAAACATAAATAAACTGGATGAGATTTTTGGCGAAAAATTTTTTGGTTTTTTTTTGGTTGGATGTGAGTGAAATGCTGAAATTACTTACCCGTACGCGGGCACTCCGAAGGGCATTATCTTGTCAGCGTTATTTAAGTTATCCTCTTGCGAATGATTGCCGGTGAGGACGTAATTTTTCTGCATTGAATTTTTATCGTACGGTTTCTCGTACTTGCGCACGGTGGTCCTCCTTCAGAAGCGAACGCATTGCGTGAGGATGAAGTAACGTGAGAATGGAAAACAGAAAAAGCCGGAATTAATATGGTTGCTCGGCGGGTCGCCTTCGACGTTTTCATCTTTCAAATTCTTTTCTTTTTTTTGCTTGATTTGAGTTTGCAATCCACGCATCCGCGAACAATTTGAGAGAGAAAACACCCATTAGAGTCACAGAAACTGATTCGGTAGATTATAGACAGAGAAGATAGATAGAGAGAGAGACAGACAGAGAAAGAGAGAGAGTCAAAAACAAAACCAAAAGCGACAAGATACAAAGGTGGTCTATCAAAAATCGCTTGAGTTGTGTGACATTCAATAAATAAGCATAATTAAGTTTGATGAGCGTGGACCACGTTTATACTTTGGCTTCGAGAACGTATAGAATTCGAATATTGGATTGTTTGTTTAGACTTTTAGAGCATGCTCGAATCGAAACCATAATTATACATGAGATTAATGTACATTTTGACTTTGTGGAGAATTATTTTTGTGTCGATGTGAAATTTATTACTTAATTCTATAATGTTTTTCAGTTGATTTTTAATTAAAAATATGGTAAATATTAAATGATTCTATTGATCTGTGAGAAAATCAGTTACCATTTGGACCACTCCTTTGTATAACCATCAAAAAAATACGCAAAAATTCCTAGGTTCTAAGAAATCCAATGATTTCCTAAAACATTCCACGGAATATTTTAGTCGTCATTGAAAGCCATCTATAACTATTGTTTTGCATTTTGTAATTGTTTCCTTGTGTGTTTCTTGTGTTGATGTGTATGTGTGTATGTGTCTAAAAATTCTACAGTTACATCCTAGAGATATTAAGAACAGCAAAAACTGTTGATAGGTTAGTGTCCAGATTAAATCGTCATCTTTAGAGATTGTCTGTCTGTTCGCGCACATTTTGACTTTTTCTTGATAAATTCGGCAAAAATGGTTTTCGGCAAGCTTTTACTAAGAGAGGAGGGTTGAAAAGTTCTGAAATGAGGTTAGGAATCAGCACAAGGATGTTCAGCATCGGCTCGCCCAGAATGTGAGAATGTGAGTGAGAATGAATCGGCTAATATGGCTATTTGTTTGGTGTGTGTAATGTCCTAAAATTATTTATTATGTATTCTAATTTTTTTTTGTTGTGAATTGTGTGTACATCGTGTACTAGAGAAGAGAAGAAAAGAGGGATGTTATCAGAGGTGATTTTTGTTTGTTTCTGGGTTGGCATACATTCTGCACGCATTCAAAATATAGCATCTAATAGATTGAAGAATGTAGAGAATAGAGATTTTACATATAGCTCAAATTCACACCACCGAACATGCTCACAGATCATGCGTATTTTTTTTCATTTTTTTTCTTTTCAAAAATTTTTCAATTTCTTTAAAAATGTGCTTTTTGTTGGGATATTTACATTTACATATGGATCCTGCGGCAGCATGTGACATTAACATCCACATTTCGCAGGAAATGGAATGTTTAATGACGGATCCATTTTGCAAAACATTTTTTTTTCGGTTTTTGTTTACGTCAGGAGCGTGCACTAGTTTATATTTACACACATGCCGATTGCCCCACATACAATTTTACCAAACAACATTTAATCACGTTCACAAATGCACCACCGGTCATCAATCAATAATAATAATAATTCTGATCATCTGTCTGTAAAATTGTAATGCCGCAACCTGCTGTGGCCTTGCGACTAGGCTTCTTTTTGGAGATGCACAGCGCGCGTCAATGGAAATTCACCTCTTATTGAACACACTTTTCCAACGCGCACAAATTTTTACAGAATTTAACTCTCGTCGCGAATGCAAACAGCCGTAAATTTGATTGCGTAAAGTTTTCCGGAAAGCGGAATTAAACCGAACGTAAATAAATTATGACCGGGGCGTAAATCGTCCTCGGCGGAGCACAAAAAATCACGCCTGATGACTAATTGAATTTATGATTATCATTCCACTGCATCGCAAGTTGGCGGCGCTCCAAATTAATTCGAAAAAATTTAATTAATTCTTGTTTACTGCTAAACTGGTAAACATGCTAGATTTTTAGAAACTGAGTGCGTGTCGAGTATCAAGTGTTCTGAATCTGATTCTGAATGAGTGTGAAGGAGGTTGTGAGGGTGTTGTTGGCCTGTTTGCATTCGAATCGAAAGTGTGAGCAATAAGAAGTCGTGGGCTACGGACATCTAGCGATAGCAAATCATAGCAGAAGGGGACAAAAAGATGGACGCGCGACGCAGAAAACCAAAAACCAAAACAAATCATGGGAATTGCCCAGAAGATTAATAAAAACCAAAAAATAAAATAGAAAACAAACAAGTGAGTAACAATGAAGTGTGTCGCAAAATCGGCAAAGAAGTAATAATGAAAAAAGAACGCAGCAGAAGAAGCTAGCGGATGCTGAATATGTGGATCTCTACCTGGACGGTCTGCTCACTAACCTGAGGCAGAGCGAGAAGTTTTTGTGTACTACGACTGACCTGTAGCATAGAGCCATAGTTGCAAACACAATGAACACACCCCCTACCACCGACATGAGTGTACCCACGAGAAAAACCGTGTTCGAGCCGTGATAGGACTCTGTGTGGCGGATCCAACGCAGGAAGACGAGACGACGTCGACGTCATCATCATCATCATCATCATCATGCATCAACACAACAGGCGAAGATAGAGAAGGAAAGCACGAATGAGACAAAATATATATAAATGCACAAACTCCGTACGTGATGAGTAAATATATACAAGGCACAACATCGAGAGACTGTAGAAGCCTATGTACAGGACACTGCGCGCAAGCAGGCACCCGTTCTCTCGTTCGCTCGTTCTCTTGCTTCGGACGGTGGTTTGATTGAATTAGAGACACAGTTTTATTGTTATATTTGATTTGTTTTTTTTTGGAGGGGCTGTTAGACCGACACGGTACCTGTAGCAAACAGCCACTAGGGCAAAACATACGAAGACGCCCTTCACCACGCCGGTCAGTATAAACACCATCGTCAGTGTGCTGAAGGTATCCTTGTTCTTCTGATCTGCAGGCACGAACCAAAACGCTCAACCTTCCACACCAAATATCATCATCCTTTCAAGCATCAAAGATCAATTTTACTTATTTTTTTGAATAAATAAAAAACTTGAAAGAATTTAAGGTCCCAAAATGGTCCTTTGAGGAAAGGATCACTTTAGGAGTAAAACATTCACAAATTACGCACAGAATATACATAAATCAGCAAATGGCCTGAAAGAAATCAAGATTAGTCTGTAATAAAATTTGATGATTTGTAGATCTCAAGGGTTACCTGAAATGGAATCTGAATAGGATACAATAAACATTAGGGGGCTTACCATAGGGAGTCTCCTTTTTCTTCATAATATCGGCAAGGTCCTTCATGCCTCTGGTTTCGGATGGTGGTGGGGTGGGTAACGGTAGGGCAGTAGTGATCTCCTCCTCAATTGAGCAGTCTGGGCCGCTCCATCCAAAATGGCAGTAGCACTTATTGGTGTTTGTACAAGACTACCCCAAAACAAAAATTAGCAAAAATGGTTCTAAAGGTGATTATTGATGGTCATACCCCGTGTCCAGAACACTCAATGTCGTTATTGTTGGTGGGACACTTGGTAGTATCCAAATAGGGATGGATATTTGTGCAGGTCTGATTGTAGCAGATACGATCATTACCACAAGGTGTCCCGTCCCTGACAAGCCCCAAATGTGGGCCTAGATTAGACTTGGCACGTGCGGGTCCTTCTGGTTTGTGGATGGACTTGCACTCGTACTCAACGCCCTTGATCGAGATGATGGTGCGCGAGTAGAGCTGGTCGAGCCCCTTCTCCGCCGGCGATCGATTGCCGTGCTGGCATTGCAGCGTGCCGCACTTGACGTTCTCGGGCGCGCACTTGACGAAGCGGCCGGAGCGATCGTTGCCGCAGTGGCCGTTCGCCGAGCCCTTGGAGTTGAACTGCTCGAAGCACTGCGCGTCCGCCGACTCGCCGCCCGGCCCCCAGATCTGCTCACACTGTACGGCTAACGTGGGACACACGCCGTCGAAGCAGAAGCCCGTATCCTCGCCGCACGCGTGTCCGTTCTTCTTGTGGACGTCGGAGGGGCAGTCGCCAGATTCACCCGAGCACTGTTCGGGCAGGTCGCACTCGTTCGTCGCCGCACGGCAGATTGTGCCGCGCTCTTTCAGACTGCATCGGTCGCAGCACGGCCCCGCCGCACACTCCGCCTCCGACGTCAGCTTGCACGTGATCGGATCGCAGCACGGGTCCACCGTCGGGCAGTCGTCGATCGATCCGCAGTCGCACTCTTCGCCATCCTCGACGATTTTGTTCCCGCACGTGCGACGAACCTACATACCCCACATACACATATACCTACACATCACCGAAAACTTCCTCATGTGTGACACTTACCTCGAGCTCATTGGGCTTGTTCAACAAGCAAATTCCATTCCCAGTACGCAGTCGGTCGATGTAATCCGATCGGCTGCATTCGGAGAATTTGTAAGGCTGGACATTGTCCAATCCAACGATGGCCTGTGCCATGATACATCCATGCCAGTCCCAGCAATGACATTCTTCCCGACCATCATCATGGGCCATGCCAATATTATGTCCGATCATGTGGGCCATCGTCCCAGCTAGTAAATGTGGTTCATAAGTGTTGATATCCACACTGATGGCGACCGCCTTGGCAGTGCATACGGTTGCTGGTACAGCCATACCCGCCTCACCACCAACAAACATTTCCCCAGTCAATAACTGCGTAGTATCCTTATCAACATTATACAATTTTCTTGAAGTATAATCATTGAAATTCGACAAGGCCCTGCCGATATCCTGTGAGCGGTCAATCTGTGCTTGATTACCACCCTGCCACGTCTCAACATACACTACAGAAACACGTGTGTTGAGCGTGCGGAAGTAGAGATCTGCAATATTGGCCACCTGAATGGCATCGTGCACAACCTCAGCACGAGTGCTGCCATTACGCTTATCGAACATGGCTTTGTCGATGATGATGGCCGTCTCGATATACTTGGTGGCTTCGCGCACATCACGTTTCAGCCGCGGCTCCGACACCGGTAAGAAACCCGAGTGGGTATTCAGCCGCCATTCCATGTTGCCCGAGTTGGCGCACCCTTTGTTCGCCTTGGTGCGCGCCTCAAAGATCACGTGTGGATGTTTCTGCTGAAAGAAAGAGTGAAGCTGTGCAGTCGCTCGATATTCAATACAAATCTAACCTAGAAATTTTTGTAAGTTTTATCTTGATAGGAATGGTAATGATAAAAGCGATTAGGCGCTAAATCGTCGGTGGCCATTTTGGGAGGCGGGCAAATGGCCGCATCTGGAATTAGAACGCTAATCCGGTTTTAATGGCTTGCGTTCCTAATCAAACGATCCGAAATTGGTTCGGCATGTTCCGAATGATACAATGTAAACAGGCTCGTTGTCAATTTCACAAATGCTTTTGGGGGTGCAAGCGAGTTGGTACTACCACTACTACCACCTGACCGATTGTGCTGAAAGATTCGTTTTTAATCTTCCCGTCTAACGAGATTTGCGCCTTGACCCGCCCCCGACAGCAGACTCTCCACGCCGTGATTGTTGTTTTTACTATTTGCTCCGGCGTCCCCGTTCGCAGCCAATTTAATTATCTCCGAATGAAAGGGTAGAAATCTAAACTAATTAAAAAAGGTAACGAGCAGCGCGTAACTTGATTATATTGCTACTCCCGAGCGAGAATGCGATTTTCAACACACTTCTACACTCTGTAGAGCATCTTTCTGAAGGGCCTGCAAATTGCATTCTACATTTAGAAAATTTACAAATCCACAACACATTATTTTATTAAAAAAATATTTTTTTTTGATTTTGAGATGAAAAAATAAATTTTGATGGCCGATATAATCGAACGTTATTGGTTTGAAGCTGGCGTTGGCGCTGGACAGGACGTTGCAGACGCAGGGGCGGCGGGAGATCGTATAATTAAAGAGATGCGCAATAATCATGGGCCGGGGTAATTGGCTGTCACTTGTCACCGCTCAAGCCGACATCCGTACGAACGTGTTCATTAAAACTTGCTCCAATTAATTTTAATTAATCCAGCTGGCGCGCGCGTTTGCTCGCCACCGTCCTCTCGCGCCTGCCGCCGCCGCCTCCTCGCCGCCGCCTCCTCGCCGCTCGCGCGTTCATATATGACGAGTGTGTAACTCGCCTGCTGATTCGGCTGCAATTCCCGATTGCTGCCGCTCAGACAGGATGTCGGCAAATGAATCGTTATCCTCGCCGTGCACAAATAAATCCTGCGATTAACACCTGATAATGACTAACCTACTTAATGATTTATTGTAAAAAATATTCATATTATGCATTAAGTGCACTAAATGGTACTTTAACCACGTTTTTTTTATGTTCACTTTATTTCACGTTTATTTTGTGATTATTTTTTTTAAACTTTGAAATGAAGTTCCATCACGTGAATAAAGTACTTTAGTCACGACTTTAGTCACGCCCGTGACTAAAATGTACTTTTCGTGTCTCAAAACCGTGAAAAAAAGTAAAAATTCAAAAAATTTGTTTTAAATACTGACCGATAAATCACCACCATAGAAAGGATGAATGACAAACGTCTCATTTCCAACATGGATGACACCACTGACACCATTACAGGTATGGAAGGCGGCTGTGGCCCCCGGGTAGTCCTGCACCGTGCCGTGATAATAACAGTGCTCGATCTCCTAAAAACACAAAATAATTAACATCATGTTTAAAAAATTATGCAAATTGTGATTGTAAAAGCTCAAAAGTAGTGCGCAGGTAAATCCTTATCCATAGGGCGATGAAGGGCCATAAAATTTAATTAAAGCACTGCGTGTCGCAAAGCGACTTTTGACACGAACGACGAATTTCCAAATCGCGGAAAGTTGGCATCGTTAAACCGAAATCACAACGAGCATTACTTTGGGGCTCTGAGGGTCCGGAGGGTGGATCCACCACGCTTTACGTGGAGAGGCGTTTTACAACGTTTTAGGGACTAAATGAATTTTAATTCGTCGCCACTCCAACCTGTTTCCAAAATTGCGCGCAGAATGCTAAGCGGTAACAAAGCGCTTCACCTTCCACGTAATAAGCACCGAATGCCGACCTAGCAGGATTCCCAGCACTCCAGACCTAGACCTTAAAAGGGCCACCGGTGTAACTTTAGTTAGTTGGCCGAAAGTTGGCGGCCACTACAAATATTTCCACGGCGCATATTTCGAAGTCTTTGTCTGCGTCCGAAACATTTCTAAACTAATTATGAAGAGTACACAGTTGAAATATCTATTGTGGTTATAACAACATAACGCAACATAACCTAAAAAGGATTCTGTGAATGTTTCACTTAAATTCGAGGAAATAACTTGAGTTGATTTTAATTTGTGTAACAATATGTTTAGATTTAGATTTAAATTTGTATTAAATGACACGTTGACTATTTTCCGACTCTGTTTTTGTATTTTTGTTTCTTGAGCTTTTGAAAACTTGTTCGTGTGCGCCAGCTTGTATTGCGTGCTTTGCGCTTGTTACCGGCAGCAGCAGCAGCTCAATATTTCTCGCACGGCGTCGCGCAGCAAGTGACAAATATCATTTCGCCTCACGTACGGCACAAATTTCCTAACAAGCCTTGTGCACCGCCAGCCGCACCGCTGAGGTGTGCTCGCGGACGACGCAGCGAATTACATGCAACTATTCGCACCGGTTGACTTTACGCGCTTTTGTTACCGGCAGCAGCATATCGCTAGCAAATTTTTTCAGAAAAAGAACGAATATTTCTCGTTTTGGAACACGGCGTCGCGCAGCAAGTGACAAATATCATTTCGCCTCACGTACGGCACAAATTTCCTAACAAGCCTTGTGCACCGCCAGCCGCACCGCTGAGGTGTGCTCGCGGACGACGCAGCGAATTACATGCAACTATTCGCACCGGTTGACTCGTTACGCCTTTTCAGCTTTTGGCGGCCGGTGGAGGCGCCGGGCGCGCATTTTTAGTATTTATATTCACGGCGCGCATTGTGCATATTCTTGCGCGTGTTTTATATCGCTAGGTGGCAAATTTTTTTTTCAGAAAAAGAACGACCATCTTATGTTCTCGTTTTGGAACATTGCTAAACATTTCAAGTGTGAGTTGAATAATAATTTCCTTGGGGGAGGAAAATAGAAGATTTTTATAGAGTTTTTTGTTAATTTTTCAAAAACTAGTGGAGATATCTTTATAAATCTTTTAGTAATCGTTGAAGTATTAAAATATGTATTAAATGAAGTATTGAAATTGTCATAAATAAATTTATGTCAAAAGTTATAAACAAAAAACTGAAATTTTAAAATTTTTCTTCAACAACCATTATTTAAGAACCTATTGACAATTTTGTTACACGGTCAGTAAAAATATTTTATGTTGAAAGACAGGGTCGAACTTTTTTTAATGAAATTATTACCTGCCGAAGAACAGGGTCGAACTTTTTTCTTAAAATTTTTCAGTGCGAAGTCAAAATTTTCTTTAAAATTGTCAATAAGGCTTAAACGGTCAGTGTTAGAGAAAAATTGTTTTTAAATAAAGTAATCCGAATTTAACCAGCTATCCGACTTCGAAATCAGATTTGATAAAATCCAATTTTTAATTTGTCATAAAAAATGAAAATTTTTGCCTTTTTTATGACGAAATCTTTTCACGGTTTATGTTTTTTATAGCATAAATTTAAAAGTTGGAATTTTGAAATTTATTCTTCGGATTATGATAAATCAGGCCATTATAAATAATTTATTTTAGTAAAGTTTTTACCTACAACCCTTATTTAAGGCCCTATTGGCAATTTTGTTACACTAATTATAACACTGATTACTATCAACATAATCAGTCTGATAACAAAATTTCACTAAGATAAAATATCCAGAATAATGGTTCCTTGGATTTTTTGTCATTAAAAATCTGAATTTTTCATTTTTAGTTTTTATATATAAAATGATGGAGAAAACGGAAAATCTACTTTATCGCACTTTTCTCGCAAACTAATAAAGATAAAGAAAAACGGTTTTCAGATTCAGATTCAGGACATAATTATACATCAACTAGTATTTAAAAATATTAAATTTTCGACACTTATGTAATAATTGAAAATGGTCAATAACTCAAGAACTAATTAAGATATCGGAACAAAACTTAGATAAATGGATTCTGGGCATCATTCTACATCATATTGGAAAATTTGAAGAAAATCTGAGTTGTGGTTCATTTTGGTCTGTTTTAATTTTCACAGGTAATTTGGGAAATATTGGTGTTATCAGAAAACTGACTGGATATCTTTCATCACATTGCAATTCTTTATCGAATGGCGTTTTCCATTTTCTCGTAGCTTAAAGTTGAATTTTTAGGCCACAAAATACTTAAGTGTAACCTCTTGATACTTTTCGATTGGTCTTTGGTCAACTTCTTAGAATCAAGAAACTAAATCTGCCATTTTATAGTTCTTTATCATGACATGAAGAAAGTGCAAAAAGTTTTTCTGCAACTTTTATAGTTTCCGAGAAAATCGCGTCGGAAAATTCTCTTTTCACTTTTCAAAAGTTGAAATTTTAAAAGTTTATCATATGTAGAATGGTTTGCTGAACACAATGCAGTTTTCCGTTTTTGTATATCTCCATTAGTTCCGGAGATAATCGGTAATTAAGTGTTGCTGGAAGTATACAATTCACTTAAATGCTTCTACTGGATAAACGGTAAGTACTAATGAGTAAAAAGTTATATTTATAAGTGTATTAAGAGCCCCTCTACTTAATGGTATTGTTAATTTTTAAGAATAATTCGAATTACATAATAAAATGTCAGGCGCCTCCGCCATATTTTAGTTAATTTTTTGCTTGGCTCAAAAAGTTAAGGTTTTATTGCTGATTATGAAAGAGGACAATTATCTGAATGGAATATTTTAATGAATTATTTTAATTAGACGCATAGTTTAGAAGATATTCGCATAAAACTATTGAATACAATTTTGTCAATAGGGCCTTAAATAAGGGCTGTACGTGAAAACTTTACAAAAATAAATTATTTATTATAGTCTGTTTTATCATAATCCGAAGAAAAAATTTCAAAATTCCAACTTTTAAATTTATGCTATAAAAAACATAAACCGTGAAAAGATTTCGTCATAAAAAAGGCAAAACTTTTTCATTTTTTTATGCAGAATTAAAAATAGGAATTTTTCAAATCTGATTTCGGATTTTGATAGTTTGTTGATTTCTAATTACTTTATTTCCAAACAATTTTCTCTAGCACTGACCGTTTAGGCCCTATTGGCAATTTTAAAGAAAATTTTGACTTCGCACTGAAAAAATTTTAAGAAAAAAGTTCGACCCTGTTCTTCGGCAGGTAATTATTTCATTAAAAAAAGTTCGACCCTGTCTTTCAACATAAAATATTTTTATTGACCGTTTTGAGCGCCCTCTGTCGCCCAAAATTAATTTTAACGGAACAAAAATTAAAAATTATGGCAAAAATGGCTATTTTTGACGGTCATTTTAGGGAACTTCTGGAGGATTTTCAGGGTCGTGTATATACTCATCGTAGAGAAGAACTCTTTATCTATCACATGACGATGAAATACCCTAAATTACTCCATTGGTTTCCGAGATACAGGGCATTTTTCACATCAATTTTTGAAATTTTGTAAAAATAGCATTTTTTAATTGGCATTTTAGGGCACTTCTGGAGAGGTTAATGAGTTGGAAATATACGCATCTTATAAAAGGGCTTTTTAGCTTTCATATGATGGTGAGAAAACTTAAATTGCTTTATTGATTCCGGATATATAGGGTGTTTTCTACGGCTACTTTTACAAATGAAGAATAAAAGTTTAACGACCATTTTGGGGCACTTCCTGAAGGTTTAGAGGGTCGTGAAGGCAGCCATCTTATAAAGGAAGTTTCTATCTATAACATGACGGTAACATGGCCTAAATTTCTCTATTAGTTCTAAAAATATAGAGAATTTTCCACAGAAAGTACTGAAAATTTTAATAAAAGAGCGCAAGTTTTTATTAATTTTTGGGCATTTCCTGAGGACGTATAGAGTTGAATGATACATATATTGTAAAGGGACTCTTTTTGGATAACCTAATAAAACAAACTTAAAATTTTCCAATGGATAGAGGAAATACGGGGTGTTTCCTGCAGCAAATTTGACAAATTTCACATTATACTAACTTTAAATGGCATTATAAGGTACTTCCTGAGCTTTTAGAGGCTCAAATAGGTACAATAGGCATAAGGGGCTATTTAATCTATAACCTAAAATTGATATACCTTATATTGCACTACTGGTTCCAAAGATATAAGGCGTTTTCCACAAAAAGTATAAAAAATAGCAAAATCCTGTCAACACTTTTCATCAAATATTTTCTTAACGTAAAAGATGCGTAATTAAATTCCTAACAACTTTGTAAAAGAATTATGCAAATATCTTAAATAGTTTAAAAGTTATTCAACAAAAACTAAAAACATTTTCCGATTTTTATGCAAAATAATACGAAAAATGTCAAAAACTCATAAATTTTGAATAAATATTCAGCAGGAAAGTTTACGAGCAATATACCGGTTAATAAATTATGTTGATTTTAATATTTGCGATAAATAAACGTCAGAAACGAATAAATCTTTAAAAATATGATCGTAAGTGACATGCAATCAAACATTTGATGTGAGAAATGAAAATTTTATGGAAATCGAAAAGCGTACGCGAATGTATATATACATCGAGCAAATTATGTAAATTTCATTTACCTGTTTTGAGACCTGCTCGGCTCCGTTCGCTAAGTAATGCTTCTGCATAATATTAGGTGCTATGAGTTGTCTGAAAAAGAGAAGAGAGAGAAAAAATAAACGCACAGAATCAACGTTAATGTCGGCAATTACTTATCCGCTCGCCGCCCCAACGAATTTACATAAAGCATTATGTATTAGGCATTAAGCGCACCATCAGCGCATTAGAACGTGAAATATTGTTATAATAGAGCGGCATTTCTCATTTTTGTTTCCTAAGCGTCATCCACTCCCCGCTTACAAGCTTAATTTTATGTTGTTTTTTTTATAAATTTCCGTAATAATAGCTTAATTATTTGCAAATGGCCGCCATCAGAAACAACATATTGCATACTGTATTGTTGGTTGCCTACCATAAATCCCCAACATGTCAACATGTTATGATACACAATACATAATACATCGTCGTCATCATAGCCGACGATTGTGTTCGGCATCCAAATCGCTCGCATGCTTCAAAACGTCTCAACCTTTTGTGTTTGACATATACAGCAATTTTTTCTGGTTAGTGCACGTTATAGGTTATGTATCGGTCAATATTGGTAACCAAAATTGATCCAATATCATGCAGGCATAATCACCAAACGTGTATTACAATTTCGCATTGCATGCCAATCACGCTAATTGGCAGCGGCAATTCTAATAGATAATTGATATTAGGAGCGACAGGTTAGCGCAGGTTGGAAATTGTTGGTTAGGCAACGCACCGTAGGCATCCACTTCGACGTTGTGGCTTGGTGTGGGTCAAATTACACGCGCTGGTTTAATTTGCTGCACAAAACGCGCGCCTGGAGCTCGCGGATTGATGAACGCACGCTCTAGTACTCTAATAGCTCCCACAAACGATCACTCCAAAAAGTGTACAGTGTGTTGCCTATATCACAAGTATGTGTGAGTGTATATATGGTGGACTATAGTTGGACTTTGTAGCATTCACAGACAATGCACAATTTGTTATGTTTGCAATCCGTCTGGTAAGTTGATACGCCAGCAAACAAACCGGATTATTTCGTTCCAGGCGGAATTCGCTGACGGCGCAATTGCGGCTGCTTTTTACTAATCTCACAATATCACAATATTGCAATTTAAAAAGTGCCGCGGCGTGCAGATTCAACAATAAAGAAATAATGTTTTGCTTGCGCGACACTAAATAAAAGCTGTTAAGTTGTGTGCGATATTGATGACGAAAGTTTCGCTCGAGTGGACCGAGAAGTGTCGTCTGCGATTTCCAATAAAAATAATGATCTCGAGCGGCGCGAACAAGTATATCTACATTTTGAGCGCGCAACAACAACACGCAAACAAACTATTTCAATAAAAAAATAACAACAAACAAGAAGTATAAGATGAAAGTTTGTGCTTTGGAAAATAGCGAAAGTTTCGCTTTTTACTTCTTTTATCGAAGGAATAAAATCAATAACAAAGTGAAAAAAGCAAGAAAAACGTGCAGGAAATTCAATAAACCAAGCGGAAATTGAAACACATCCGGAATATATTGAATCATTCAAGATATAATCGGGATAATTTATAATTTAAACAAAAATCTTCAATTTTTAAACATTTCTCCTCAAAAAAATCACGATCTGAATAATTCAGCGAGTCAATTTCATAAATATGAATATTTAAAAGCATGCGTAAATAATAAATGTGTATAGTCTAAGTATACTATGAGAGTAAGGGTAGTTACTACCCTTGTAGCTATTTTCGGCACCCGCTGTGTTCACGTCCCGGCAGTTACCGAAGAGTACATATACTCCTTGACGACGCACCGCTACTTAATACCGACAGCGGCGGCGGCGGCGGCAATTTTATTTATTTTTTATGAGCTCCTTAAGGTTAAGAAGGGTAAAAAAGACGATGCAGCCCGGCGCCTCCACCGGCGGGTTAAGTAGATGATTGATCGCGGCGTTTTGCGCGTCTCCGCTGCGGACAAACAACCACAACGATGACAGCCGCAAAATAAATGCACTGTACTAGACACAAGGTGGACTTTTAATTAAAACTGCTGCGTAAACTCACAAACTTTTATCTTATACTTTATTGCTTTGTATTGTATGCTAATCATCACAAAATAATTGATGAGAAACAGAATCGTGAATATTCTGTGTTTAATATTACAGTTGACATCATGGCGTTACTAGTGAAATCTGGTTTTGATCTCTACAGTTTTGTATTCACAAAATTACCGGGTAATTAGTATTATATTAGATCTTAAAGTTTAATGCATTAATTCTAATTCTGGGTGAGTTTTGCAGATGAACGAGTTGAAAATTGGTTTCTAATGAGTTCGCCCTGGCCCACGGTCGGATTAATGTGTTTGTATTTGTACATAATTTTGGATTACGGCCCGAAATTTATGAAGAATCGCCAGGCGTTCTGCATTGATAAATTACTGGTGGTCTACAATGCTGTGCAGATTATCTGCTGTGCCGCCATCGCTATCGAGGTAATATCAGAGTGTAATTTGTGAATATTGTGTGAAATTTATAAATTTTATTGTTTTTAATATCGCACATACGCAGGGTACGAGGACTGGTCTGATTAATTACAATTTTTTATGTGAACCGATGGATTATAGTGAGAAATCTGTTTATCAGGCGCGGCTTATGTGGTTTTACTATATTTTAAAAATGATTGACTTGTTGGACACAGTAAGTATTATAATATAAATTCAGAAATTAATTTGTTTGTTTGTTACGTTTTTACGCGGAAACCACTCATCCGATTATCATGGAATTTTGTGTGAATATTAACAAGAGTATTTCGAAGAATATAGGATAATTTTTATTATTAAAATAATAATAATTCATTAAAAAACAAAGCGTTAAAGTGCATAATTACATTTTTGCAGAATTTTTAATTTATTTGGCAGATTTTTAATTTTTTGATTTTTTTAAAGATATTTTTCATCCTTCGTAAAAAAGACAACCAAATAACCTTCCTGCACGTATATCACCACTGGGGCATGTTTGGTCTATCGTGGCTGTTTGCAAAATTCCTGCCCGGCGGCACAATTCTCTATCTCGTCGTGATCAATTGCTTCGTCCATGTCATAATGTATTCATACTATTTGCTCACCGCCTACGACAAGACCTACAAAACGAGCGTCTGGTGGAAGAAGCACATCACCCAACTGCAGCTTGTACGTATATCTAAATATATTCCACAAACAATCTCAACATGCAGAAAAAAAAACTTGACTGTTTTTAATTTAATCTAATTTAATGTCGCAACTTTTCTCCTCCGCAGGCGCAGTTTGGTATTCTTCTCGTGCAGCATTCGCAAATATTATTGTTTCAACAGGGCTGTAATTTCCCGAGGTGGATATTCTGGTGCCTTATACCGCAGAACTTGACAATCTTCTCGCTGTTTGCTGAATTTTATTACAAAACTTATATCAAGCGAAAGTGAAGTTGAAGGACACAAAAAATGAATACAATACATGTCTACTCATAGTTATTTACATACAATAGCATTGTTGAGATATTTTTATAGGCAACCAATAATACATGCTTTTGAATTAATACAACGCCTTGTAATTCTTCCAGCGCGTTAATGATCGCATCAAGTGTCGGCGACGATATCGTCATTGTGTTTGCGTCGTTTGTGCGCGCAAAATTTGCAATTCAAATCTGGTGTGTTGACTGATTGGCGGATGGCGCTGTAGTCGACCGCGCGTACATATTATTAGCAAGGATAATAAGAATGGATGTTTTACTTACGTGTTAAGCTCGAGATCCAGGCGAAACTTGTGGTTGAAAGCCTTAATGAGAAGCGAGGTGCGGTGGAAGTGTTTGCCAGTCTGTAACAATAATACAAAACGTGATAAAGAGACGCCGTGTGGATGGGCAGGATGTGCGCTTGAGAACGCACTCGAGGAGATCAAGTCTTTAGCAAACACCACGGAAGGTTACAAGACAAGAGAGAGTCACCTTCGTAGGCCTCATGCGAATATAATTCGACGCAAAAGCGTTTATTGTCTTTTGTCTTCAAATTTCACGTCTGGTACATTATTAAATTATGTTTATTTAATATAAATTAAACTTTAAACTACAAAAAAACAAAATAATGTTTTCTCGTACAAAACACTACTTTATTTAATTAAATAATTATTCCTAATTAATTCCAGACTCTCTATTTGTTAGAGAATATAATACATTTGAAAAAAGCGTAATATCACTTCAAGTGGCAATTGTAAGCGGCGCGAATCGTGCGGAAAGCGTTTAAGAAGTTTTCCTCCAGAAAAGCTAGCGCAATAAAAACACTGCAAACTGTCTGCAGTGGAAGATATAAAAAAATCAAAGACCTGCAGATGTAAGGAAGCAAACGGAACGCCAGAAAGAGATGCGCCGCTTGTTTGCTTTATTTTTACGGCTGTGCGGTGTAGAGAAGTCCCGGCAAAACGACGCCGACTAACAAGTTCAAACTTTTTTAAATTGAAACTTTCGAATTCATTAGTTATGGAAGTTGTTGCTGCGCCAAACTTTTAATATATTTAAAAAAAACTTCGCTGGTGGAGGCGCAGGGCATTGTGTAGACAGATAAAGAAAAGCTTCTTCTAAAACACAAAAAATACAAAGCAGCGAAATAAAAGAATAATTAATTTATTCCAACGGACAGAATAAAAGCTAGTTGTGTTAATTCTTAAATTGAAACATTTGTTTATGTGTGTTTTGTTTATTTCTGTGTGTGTGTAGGATGCGTGATCTCAAAGTCGTCGAAGAAGAGAGAGCTGGGCGTGGTGCCGGTTGCCTCTCTTTATTGATTCGTCATCAGGTTGGTTTTCAATTAAGAGGAAGTCGTTACCAGGGGAACGCCGCCCCCGGCCGGCGGGCAACTGCCGAACCACTGTCGGCGGCGCGCAGCACACGCTTTGCATGCGCCCTCTCCTCACCTGTTACCTGCCCGACGTCGTGATTTATTTTTCTGCGTGCGTCCCCCTTCCATCTCCTCTTGTACCACCCCCACCCGAAAAAGGGTACATTGGTTCTTCCGGCAGGCGCGTACGAAAACAAAAACAATTAATAATTAATTAATGAAGAAAGTTTAAATTAATCACTTTTTCTCGACCGAAATTCTTTGGGAAACAAGTTTCCTCGCTCGTCTACCCAGGCAGTATCGAGAGATGTTTGTGTTTAATTAAATGATATTCGAAATATATTGCTGGCGCAAGTGATTTTATTATAATAACGATGTGGTTTTGGTATAAAGTGGAAAATACTGATTGATGTCGCCAGCGATAAATTACAAGCGATATTAGGCTATGCGAAAATGGAGTGGCGTTGGTTTTATCGCTGGGTGTGTCCCCTACAAGCACCTTGGAAGGAATTGCAGCTATCTGATGGGCTTCACTGCAATAGCACAAGATTTATTTGCGTTATAAATAAGTGCACGCCAGCCGAACGAAAAGGAAAACCATCAATTCGGGATAAAAGCATTATATGCCTATCGTGGCGAATCAATTCACCTGGCTAAGTGTACGACAAACCAATATTACTTCTCCTTCGATAAAGCCGAAAGCAACTACAATGAATACACTCACAGAAAACGAGAAAAAAAACAGAAAAAGAAAAAACATCCGGATACACTATTTTTAGTAGTGTAGCAATGACCATTGGTCAACTGGTGATAAATTCGATGGGCAAATGAATTATATGCTCGAAAAACTAAAATACTAAAAGCCTTCGAGAAGCGCGCTAAGTGCGCCAGATCAGCAGTCTGTCACTGTAATAGCCCGGCGCCTCCACGAATGCGCTACGTAGTGTTGTGTGGTGCGATCCCATTTAGTGCTATTTGTGTGTTTTTTCTTTTCGTACCTTTTTGGATCAAGTTTACTTTTTGGCGCCCAGAAAGAGTCTGGAAACTTATAGCCTAACCAGACCCGCCTACTTCAACCCTCTGGCGCAATACAATGCGATATGAGCTGGACCAACGAGAAGAAGCAGTGTGACCATTTGCTAGTTTTGGTAACACAATGCTCTCGAATGCTTTTTGCTATCTAAGCACCGCACATATATAATTAAAAGCAACACAGCCATTTCATTAGTGGGCTTCTTTCGCACCACACAACACACCGAGGGTGGCAAAAACCCTGGACACACATTAAACATTAAACCCCAGAAGCAGCAGAAGCAAAAATTTGCTTATTTTTTGTTGTTTTTGTTGCGATACATAATTATATAAGATATTTTTGCTGAGGCGTAGTTTAAGGGTGGAAATTTGTGTAAAGGACTTTGGAGCGTTTTGCGCGTGCAGTGGTTGTGCTGCGTCAGTGTGACGGCGTCGTTGCGGACGAAAGAAATTCATTGGATTAATGAAAACGCGATGACTTTGCAACACTGCGGAAGGGTAACACGCCAGCGCGGGCCCCTCAACAACGTCGAAATGAGCAAAAACGAAAACGTGCTATTAGTAAATCATGCTTTCCGGGGGCGCGCGCGATAGTTGTGTATGTGTGTGGGCGCAAAAGAGAATATTAGAAAATGGAAAGTGATAAATTCGTGGCGCGAATTACGCGCACTCTCCATCATCCCAACGGCAATTAATGCCAAACTAGGATTCAAGGGATAATGATAATGGATTAGTTGGCAATTCTCAAAATTTGTTTACGCGTTCAAAAATTATCTCAATCATCATTAGTTTTGGGGCTGAAACCTTAAAAACTATTATTTTGCTAAAATTTTGAAAAAAATCAGAAATCTAGAAATGTTCAGTAACTTTAGATTAAAAATAATTATCATGAAATTTTTCGTATGAAAATATTTAAAATATATGTAGAAATAATTAATTAAAAGATATAACAATATAAATAAGTTTGATTAAAAATTATCACCAAATTGCCCGGCGCCTCCACATAATACATTCTATGTTAAATACAAACTAAACTTAAAAACATTTTTGGATTTTTTCTCTCAAAAATTGTTTAAGACTGCTAAGTATTCCAAGGGTGAATGTTTATGTCGGTCGATTTGGTCATCGGGGAGTTTTTTCAGGTGCAGCACGTACGCCCGAACGGCCTCGAGGATAATTAGGGACCTTACAAATACACAAACAAGCGCACGGTACTGATTGAAGTGTCTACGTGCTGTTTTTGCCCGCTGAGACGTCTTCATCCTCGTCGATGCAGGCTGGCACACATTCGAGCTTCACTCCGCTGAGTTATACGCTACATCTGCGCGCCGTGCCTGATTCCTCACACTTTTTGCGCCTTTTTTCTTCACAAGAGGGCGCTAAACTTAATTAGGAACATTAAAGAACTAAATCGCAAACGCACACGTTTTATTTTATTTTATTTCTTTATCAATGTTTAAAAAAGAGATTAATCAAAAAGTACATTATACACTATAGTGAATAATGGAAATTTAAGTAGTGATGACTTCTCAAATAGATCTGTAACTAAAATTCAATCACTTTTGGCTCGTCGCTCATTTGTCGACAGTTTCGACAAGTGAATAAACGCCGAAATGGGCAAGTAGCAGGCGCAGGATGGCAAACAGTGGGTTTTGGGTAAAACCGCACGCACAAAAGGCTATTTATCAACTGGCCGGCAGATAGAGAACATTCGGCTGGTGGGTGGGTCGAAAGAAGGTTGCGCTGGCACTTTACAACTTTTCGCATATATCCACCCGAGCGGGTATTATGTTTTCTTCATGTAAAATTCTGTCCGCCCTCGGACGTCACTTCAACGCACAAATCACCTACTATAAACTTTCGAGACTTTACAAGACGTCGCGAAAGATTTCGGCCGGTAAAAGTTGACGATGTGACGACAAACAAAAATATAAATATCCTAACGAGGGAAATATTTTCCTCAAAAACATTTATACATAGTAATTACATCATTAGAAGGCTAAAACAGGGTTAACAGAAGTGGGTGGTAATAAACTGTTTGCTAAATGTTTTACGACGCCATGTTTTACTTTTAATGGTGGCGCAAATTGCGGATTTTCTTGCACTCGTGTTTATCTTCATTAAGATTAAGATTTATTAATTATAATGTAATCAAGTATAATTTTTGGGTTAAATACTAAACTTTATACACGTTTTAAATTTTTAACATTTTTGTTTGCGTTCAGAGAAACAAAACGATTTATTCCGATGCCGGAAAGCGACGGCAATTATAGTTTTGTCTCCGTTACATTAATATGACAAAGGACCTCCACAAATCATCCCCTGCACGACAAAAACGCTGAAAAAAATTCACCACCGCCGCCGGTGGCGGCAAGTGATATACGATTAGAGGGTTTTATTCATTAGGAAATGGTCAGCACGCAACAACTAACGGCCGAAACGACTTCCTAAAATTTTGCACACGTATGACCGGCGCCTCCACACCGCACCAAACCCGGTGCAGACGCGGAAGTGATTAATTTTTATTTTATTACCACTACGAAATATCTGTCATAAATTAAAAGTGTGTGTGTAATTTAGGAGTTAACTAATATTCGGGGTCCGATTTTCGGGGCTAATCCGATGTTCTTGTTGTTTCTCCTAATGGAAACGGCGCGACCGAATCTAAAATTGATCCGCACGCATTATAATCGCGTCCCATTGGGCCCCAGCCGCCCGCAAGCCTTCTGAAGGCGGATGCCCTAAGATTTAATGAATTTATCTGAACGACAGGCGCGTCAGACGGACGTGTGTATGAATATGAATGCCGAATTAACGTCGCCCCGCCGAAATTTCGAAATCGCTGCTTTAATAGGTTCGTCACCGCCACCAGTCGGCATACCAGTCGGCGCCGAAGGGGAAAATTGTATGAATAATCGCATAAATTTCCTGCTTTTAGTTATTATTTAAACA